TCATTGAATGAATCTAGGGGCAATCAAAAGGTTGTTGCAAGAAGAGTAGTGTAAAATGAGTAATCTTAAGATTAATTGTAAAAGGAAGGATGGGTAATTGATAATAAATCAGGTTAAATGGAGTTGGTTTCCAAAGAGCCTGTTAAATATATATAAGAGGAGATACTAGTATAAACAGAAGATGGGTAATTAGTAAGAAAGTTAGTGAGAAAACCATTTAATCCAAAACTGAAAATAGGAAACAATCTATAAGAAACAGATAATGAGGGTAATAGAGTGTTATCAAGGACAGTAATTGAAAATAATTAATCATTGGCTAGCTTATAAGCTGATGGATGGAATGTACAAAAACAGGAGAAAGTGATATCTTAAGAACCCTTGTAATATATAGAAGAAGAAGTAATTATTGTAAACCCAAAGACTGGGAAATAAGAAAGAAAAATAATAAGAAAGCCTTATTATAATGAGGATGTTGCCATTGGGGATTAATTAAATGAATTAAATGGTGGCTAAAGAGTGTTAGCAAGAAGGATAGTGGATAATGAACAATCACTAAATTAATTGAACGAAGAAGGATGGAAAATGAAAGATGGGAATCTGGAAATAACAATGACAGAGCCATCTTAAATGATTGAAGAAGAAATACTAGTGTATAATGAAGAAAGTGGATTATATGAACGAAAACTAGTGAGAAGATAATATGATGCAAAAAGAGATTCTACTTTGTAATTGGGTTAATTGAAGGAATTTGATCAAAATGGAAATAAGATTCTATCAAGGAAGATAGTAGAGAATGTTGAATCGAGTTAACAATTGCAGAAGAGTGGATGGGTTAATCATCAAGGAGTATTAGAGAAAACAATTAATGTGCAAGAACCAGATAAATTCATAGAGGAGGAAATATTGATAATAAATCCAAAGACTGGTAAATAGGAAAGAAGATTAACAAGAAGACCATATTAACCTGGAGATGAGAAGATGGAAATGGGAGATAATATTCTTGATTAATAAGGGGGAAGAAAGATAGTGTCAAGACGTATTGTAGAGAATGATAGTTCATCTGAGTTTTAGTTGTAATAAGGGTGGAAATAGATATCTGCTGGAATGTTTGAAGTGCAATTGTGTGCAGCTGAACCAGTTAAGTATATTGAGGAGGAGATCTTAATTGTGAATAAGTCGACCAAATAAATGCAAAGGAAATTGATTCGAAGACAATTCACTATTAAGGATTAGAATCTAAAAATAGGAGATGACATAAAAGAGAAGGATGCTCAAGGAAATAGAATTTTGGCAAGGCGTTTGATTGAGAATGTGCAATCCTTGACTTAATTGAAGAAGGAAGGATGGTCTAAACTACCTGATGGAACATTGGAAAAAGTATTGGCAAATATTGCTTAAAAATTCATTGAAGAAGAGATTCTAGTTTACAATCCAAAAACAGGTAAATAAGAAAGAAGATTAACAAGAAGACCTGTGATGTTGGAAGATGATAAATTTAAGGTGGGTGAATAAATTAATGAATAATTGAATGATGGCACTAAAGTAGTTGCTAGAAGGATAGTTGATAGTGATTTTGCATTGACTAGTTGGTAATAAAATGATTAAGGAATTCTGATTCATTAAATTAGTGAAGCTGAACCATTGAAATATATTGAGGAAGAAGTATTGTAAATGAATCCAGAGACTGGAATGATGGAAAGGAAATTAATTAGAAGGCCATATAATGATTAAAAGGTAAATTTGGGAAAAAATATTAATGAAAGTAAAGAGGATGGTACGATAGTATTATCAAGAAAATTAGTGGAAAATAATGAGTCATTAGCTTAATGGAGAAGAGAATCAGATGGTAAATTAGTTAAGGTAATTAACTCTGAAGAACCAGAACAATATGTTGAGGAAGAAATCATAACAGTCAATCCAAAAACAGGTAAACAGGAAAGAAAATTAATCAGAAGACCATTTACTGAAGATGATAGAAATGCAATCATTGGTGATCAAATAATTGATGAAATTAATAATGGATAAAAAGTTATATCAAGAAGAATAATTTCAAATCTTTGTTCAAGTGATGATTGGAAATAAAATGAAGATGGTCATTTTGAAATTGTTGTTGCTTAATAGGAGCCTATCAAATTTATTGAAGAAGAGGTTCTATAATATAATGAATAGACAGGGTTGATGGAAAGAAAACTAATTAGAAGAGTATTTTCAGCATCAGCATAAATAGGAAATAACTTATAAGAAACAGATGAAAAAGGAAATATTGTTATTTCTAGAAGAGTGGTTGAAAATTTGTTATCATCAGAATAACAAAAGAAAGATGGATGGAAATAAAATTAAGGAAATCTGGAGTTGTTGTTGAATGCATAAGAATCTTTGTAATTAATTGAAGAATAAGTATTAATTAGAAATCCGGAGACAGGCAAATAAGAATTAGTATTAAGACGTCGTCCATATGTGGAAGGTGAAGAACCAGTTAATCCAAATGATGGATTACTATTATCAAGAAAAATCATTAAAAATAATCAATCATAAGGATAACTATTTAATGAAGGTTGGAGTAAAACAAATGGATAGTTTGAGAAGAAGATTCATAATGTAATCAATCCAATATTATCAAATAAATTGATCCCAGATGATCCTACATCATTGTATTATCTTGAAGAAGATCATATTTTGACGAATCCCAATAATTAAGAATAAGAAATTCATGAACTTAAATTCCCATATCAAGGCAATCAACATTTAAAGATTGGAGAGGGATTAAGAGAAAGAGATGATTCAGGAAATCAAATAATTGCAAGAAAGATAGTCACTAACATAGATCCTGATTATAATCCTTATTAAGATGTAGAGGAAATCACAGAGATCATTGGAAGTGGAAAAGTTAATGAGTTTTATGCACTTTAGAAATTGGTAAATATCACCGAGGTTATTATAAGCAAGAATTTGAATGAGAAATAACCAAATGGATTCATCATCAGATCTAGAGTGGTTATTAATGAATATCAAAAGACTTAATAATAAGGCTGGAGAAAATTGAGTGAGTCCGAGATTCCTCCAGGAATAAGATAATGGAATTAAAATAAAAGATCCATGTATTAGATTGATGAGGACAGTTAGGAACACAGAGATTCTTAATATAGATCTGTTGATGAACAGAATTAGATTAGAATTTTGGATTAAAAATTGAGTGTCAATGGAAAATATGTAGAGGAAGAGATTTTGATTAAGAACTAACACACTAATAAATACGAGAGAAGACTGTAAAGAAGATATACAAACGAAAATACATTTGGCGATGATTTGGATGAACTAATATTAGATATTAAATATCTAGCTAGAGCAGAAGTTCAATTCTAATTAGAATTAACAAAGTAAGGATGGATGGAAGTTAGCAATTAAGTATTGTAAAGAGTCATAGCTAAAAATGAGACTTTGCAAATGATTGAAGAAGAACTATGTAATAGGGAAAAACATGTATAGGTGTTCATACTAAAACCTTACAAGAATGAACAGGTGTAAATTGGTGAATTGGATGAATTGTAAGAAAATGGATTACATTTATTGAGAAGATCGATTGTTAATAATAGATCATTGGCATATTATAAGAACAATGACTTTATTAAGAACAAAGATGGAACCTATATTAAATAAATTAAAGGCGGTATCACTATGAAGATTCCCAAATATCAAGAATAAAATTTTGTTAGGAGACCTACTCAAAGACTCTCTTAAATTCAATAGATTGAATAACACAACAACAACATCATTAAGATTGGTATTACTGAAAATGGATAGGATGAACCTGCCATTGTTAATAGAACTACCAACTCAGACATTTCAGAGACTGATAAGATGTTTCTCAAATAATTAGAAAGAGGAACTAAGAAAGATAGATCGAACATTTATTAGAATATCTTGAATGATGAATAATTGAGAGGAAGAATCAACTCTGATAAGAATAATAAGAGTCCTTCTTCGCCTTTTAGTGAATATTCTACCCCTAATAGAGGCAAAGTGTTATCCAAAGTCTTGAATAAATTCGTTAAAACCTCATTATCTCAAGCAATGAATGAGCTTTAATTAATTTATTTGGCTTACAGACAAAAGAAGAGATAAACTTATCAAAGAAACTCCACTAATTTAACAAACATTCTAGCCAATTTATTCTATCGTCAATCTTTCGACACTTTGATTGAACACATGCAGAAAAATGTTATTGAATTTGATGAGGATGATGTTATCAAATATAATGAAATGCTAGATGAGAATAAAATAATTGCAATGGAAATACAACCAACTGGCAATGAAGGTTAAGCAGCAGAACCAGTTGAATTGAATGTTACACCTCCTGAGAAAAAAAGGATTCTCAAAATCAAACCTAAAGGCTAACCAGAAACTAAAATAGTTGGCAGTATTTCTCAACATGATAGTGTATTACCCTATTAAAGAAAGAGTGTAGCCCATAATACAATGAAAGTCTAGACTCCGTATTAGAGATCTTCAGGAAGAGCCTCAACTGTAATTAAACCAAATACTTTACAAAGTTCTTAAAGTCTCAAACCAACTACTTAACTTGCGTAATAATTTATTCAATATTTAATAGACGTGGTTCACTTCAAAATATCTCAGTTCCATTTGGATTGCAATAACCAAGAACTAATGGTAAAAAGAAAACTACTAAAATTAAAGAAGCTCAAGAGAAATCAAATTCTTAGAGCAATAAACATAGTTAAACTCCATTGTCCTAATCTTATGTATCTATATAAATTAATTAATTAGGCAACCATAAGTTAAAACTAATCTTAAGCTTCCATTTAAAAACAAATGTCATAAGAACAATTGGCACAAATATAAAAGAATAAAATTGCATCCTAATTTAAAAGAATGGGATCAGTGCAATTATCTGGAGCATTCAAAAAACCATGATATAAATTTATATTAATATATATTTATCCTTAAATATTATAACCATTTATTATAAAAAGTATATTTATTCATTTGTTGTCTATCTTATAAATAAGATTTTCGTTTGCCTTTATTAATTCCTCCTACAACTATGATGTCTATTTAAGATTTTCCTTAAGTGAATTAAATCCACTATTGATTTCTTCCAATTAGCTTCCCAAAGCTCTGGCTGCAACATATTTACGAGTGGTTAACTTTAACTGAATAGCGTATTTTTTCATCTTTTTGCTCATGTTTATGAATTCATCTTCTGTCAAATCAAGATGTCTAGAAAATGAGTGATCAATAATACCTTTTGGCATAATGCATACGACCAAATATGGTAATAATCATTGCTGCCTCCTATTACATTTGTTTTTTTAAACTCAAACGATCAATGAGAATGACAACCTTGTTTTCCAATGTAGTTAAATATGACTCATTTGTGATGATCACAATCATTGATGACACAACAAAGTTACCCAATATACAAACCACACTCATTACTATACGTCCTAATAATGTTCTTGTATAATAATCACCATATCCCAACTACAATTTAAAATAGAAAATACAGTAGTGCTTGTAACAATGACACACCACATGGAATTAGCATAACTACTAAAATCGTTACTGCTAACATCGATTCTATTTAAGGGACTCTCGCATATTCTTAGACAATAACCAAATACAAATATCAGAAGAATCATAGCGCTATAATTAACTGTGAATGGCTGATTTCTAATGATGTAATTATTCTTACCTCATTAGAGATTTTATGGTAAACATGTAATCAGCTTAACTAGCATACAAACTACAGACTCTATCTGTTCTATTGGAATGCCAATACGAATTCAATAAGGTTGTACGAATAAAGAAGATTACTCGAAATGCCAGAGTCAAACACAGCAATTCATTTGCATAATAATATACCTGTCTATTATATATAGTTTACATCTCCATCAACAAAATCATTTGTAAAATAAAAACTAATACTATCTAAGAAAGGTAGGGGAGATGCAGCAATAATTATAATTTCCATCAACAACTCTACGTGCTCCTTTGTAAATCCACTATACACATCTCCTTTACTCTCTCTCCATTTCAGTTTTACTTGATTCCTAATTACAGCCAATCCCATCATTATTATATTTGATATGAATATCACCCACAAAATCACCAAGCGTGCTTCTGGTTATTCATCATAATGAATTAATTCCAATGTAATAACAGTTAAACCAGTCCCAATAAAATTGAATACAAAAAAACTTAAATCCATCATCCTAAATCTACATTTTATTAACTAAATCAATTACCGTTGATAATATAGATTAGTCACTCTTCCATCTTCCAATGCATCCCCTGAAGATTCTAAATCGAAAAAGGGAGCCTTATTTTAGATCGGTTCTTATATCTAATTGGCCTGTGTATTGAGTCGTTCTTGATCTGGTTATGTTTGCATTATAATTTAAAATATTAAAAATATCAACTCAGTACAAAATTTCTTTAATCTCATTTTCCATATCCAGCATTTTCAATTTATTAATTCGTAATTATCTCTACTCCTACTTTGATAATTGTAGCTACTCTTCTATTGTAGGTTACTTTATTAATTAATCACCAGGTTATACATAATCGTTGTCTACTAATATTTCTAATTATACATTTACTAATTAAATTAATCTATAAATAAAGTACATTAATCAGAATGAATCCCTTTATCTAAACAAATCTTACACACTTTTACATTTTTAATTAGTCTCAAACATTACTTATGAAAAATGTGACAACATGACATAAATGCATACATATACTTTTCATTTTCCTGTGAGCATACCAGACATCTATCCATTAAAAGAGTCCCTTTTTATTCTTAACCATATAATATCTCTAATCTTTTAAAATTTTAATAAGTTTGATTTCCTATAAATTGTTCATGTGTAATTAATTAAAAAAAGCATAACTTCTGCAATGTTACAGTTGTTCTTCTCAGTTCTTCAATATGGGTAAAAGGTTTTAATAGTTAACTTAAATTACTAATAATCAACTTGGGATGGACACTCTCAAACATTTCCATTAAGATCTCTTAGAATAATTTATTAATGGAATTAAACTTATTCGTCTATAAACGGAATTCTAAACGTAAAATTAGCATTCTATTAACACAGGTCAACCAATATTGAAAATTATCATCTTCGTTAGAACAGTTTTCTCTGCATATTTTTAAACAAGGTAATATTAATATTAGTAATTGTTATTGTAATTCGAGTTGAGAGTGTCCACTCTCTAGAGCAATAAAATCTGTTCTGATAACCTAAGATTACTCAATGTTATACATCAAAATATATGTCTAGAGCTTCTTATAAGCATCCACTTCTTTCTTTTAGAAATGCAACTCCTTTCATTATTTTATATTCTTTACAGATAATCATACAATCTTCTTATGGGAAATCTCCAAATTGCAATTCATCGTATACATCCTATGGGTGATGCTTGCACAATAACCTTATATAGGAGATCATAATTTATTTATCAATTATTTCATTCTTATTCCTAGAATCTTATATTATTTGATTCAGCAAATATAGTTTAAAATTGGGATGGTTATCCAACTTAACTATTGCTTATTTATATAAATAGTTAGGAAAATATTGCAAAAGTATCTTCAATTTCTCAACACTTACATCAGCCTACAATTACAATTGATTTTTACCAATTATTAAACAATAGTCACACAAAATTTAATAATTTCCTCTTTCTAATTGTAAAATTAATTTGAATTGAGTATCCTATCAATATAATTGAATATGTATTCCTAAATTATATTATACTAAAATACCTTATCAATTAGAGATGACGATGCTAGCATAGTACCAATACATTTTATCCAATCTCCTTTTAAACAATATATTTCAGATTGAATTCTTGAACATGAAAGTATTGAACAAGAAGCTTCTGATAAAATGCTCTACAATTACTAATCATCTCCTAATAACTGGGTTGTGAAAAATGTTATATATTAAATCAGTAAATTATCTCTTTTTATTTTATCCTAATCTGTCATGTCCTCTTATAATTTATATTCCATCTTTTAAAACTTAAAGTTACTTTTGTCTACAAACACCTTTAAATTCTCATATGGGCATCTTAAATTGTAAATCATAACTTACAAGAAATCCTCATAAGATATTTAATAACCTAACTTCATTATTTCCAAAATAAAACAATTGAATTAGCTTACTATATTTAATTTCTTAATTTTCGTATATATATTTCTGATGATGATCTCAGAAAGTTCACCTTGTTATTTATCTAATGCATCCTTAAAACCTTATAATTTGTTATAAGTCTTATTATCCTTTAAAATTAACAAGAGTTCATTCAAAAATATTCCAGCATCTATTTATAAGAACCTCTCCAATACTTCACTTTCTAAAAGCCATTATAATATCTCAATTACTATCTGAGGCCAATATTTTTCAGGAATCTTCTCCTAAGAAAGTGATTCTCCTTTAAATATTAAACTCATAAACCAAATACATTTATAACCTAAACATTATATCTACTCATCAATTTATTTTTGGCTTAGACTTGTTATATCCAACTTTGTTGATTTAAAATAATGCTATAAAACTTAAGAATTGTTATTTAAGCAGGATTGATAAATCTCAAAAATAGTCAATATAGGTGTCTTATAATCTTCAATATCTTTTGGTGGAATGTATATCAATATACTCTGTAAGTTGGATTGAATACAGAATTCTTTGATAAGAGAATAATTAATAAAGCTTTTGTCTAGATTAAAAATCAAAAACTTCAATAATTTTAACTTATCGCCTTTACTAAAATAGTCAAGTATATCCTTCAATGAAGTATCTATTGGTATTTATTTAATAACTCCTTTGTTTATAAAAGATTCCAAACTTTCATAAAATTACCTTTCATATCTATTACTTTTATAGATTAAATATATTTAGTTAAATAGAAACTCATATGATTCAATCATTATTAAGAAATCCATAGCTATGTAAATTGAATTAAATGATTAAGATTTTACACTACTTTCAACAAATCTTGATACTAAGGTGTGTAAATGAGGTTTTAGATACTCTTATCGTCCAATTCTTGGAAGATTCCCTAATTTTATGAGTTTTCCTGAATACAAATACAATCCCATTCCAAATTATTCCTTCAACTCATTATTTAATTGGAATTATTACATCTAATCTTCCCAAGTATTTAATTTATATTATACTATTCTTGATTTATATATCTTTTCTTCATTGGAAATAAAGAACAGTTAATTTTAAAAATTACAAATTGAATTCTCAAAAACTAATAGTTCTCCAATTTTTTAACTCATAATATCCTGACTTAAAGATTTTTAAATTATATCTACTTTTTATTTTAGAATCTCTGATATTCCTATTAAAGAATACAACTTTCTTTCATGTTTAACAAATATAATATCATTGCTCAGCCAAGTAAAATACTATATATATTAGTTATTAAAACTGTATTGACATAACAAGTTTAAATTAGATTTCAATCTATCATTTTACTTCTCAAATTAAATTGATAGAACTTCTAATGTGTTATCATTACCAACTGCTATTAAGAGTGTCTTCTTTTCAATTTACCATTTAACTTAAATGATTCTATTCTCTTGAACCTTATAATTTAATTTCATTAGTAGTTGATATTCTGGTTTCAAATTGACTAATTGTATTTAGTCTTTAAATGTTAATAGGATGTATTCCTAATCTTAAAAATTTATAGATTCAATCTAATGACATAAAATATTCTCTTTTAATTCTAATTTCATCTACATTCCATATTTTAATAGGGTTTATTTAATTCTAATTCCATACACATTACCCAATGAATCAGCCATCAATAACTAAATCTTAAAGTTTTTCGACTTTTAACAAACAGTCATTGAAATAGGAATACTTTCTATTTTCAATTAAAATGCCTTTACAAATTCATTTTTAACGTACAATAACACTTATTTCTCCGAAATACCTATTAATTTAGTGCCTTTATCTAAAAATCTTAGACAAATAATTGGACTATGATTAATTTTTTTGTTTTGCTCCAACTAATTTATTTGGTTATTAAATTAGATATAGATTACAGCTCTGTTAGTTCCAAAGGCTACCATATTTTCAAAACAAGTTATACTAGTTATCAACAATCCTTTATTTTTTTCATAAAATTCCTCTTATTTATTCGAAACCTTTACTTCTTTAAATAACTCTAAAGTGTGTATTTTTTTTTCAAAAGCCTTCAACATCTCTGTTTAATCGAATTATGATTGTATCTAAAATTATTACCTTTCTTGTTTTCCAATATTCTCTAATACATATGGAATTTCTTTTATTTCTTAAACTTATTTTTGATTTGTATATTAATCTATTTTTTTATTTCCAATTGATAAGTTATACAATAATGAGTAGTTATCCTTAAAAGGCATTTTCTTATCGATTTATTTATATTATGAAATTTCTTTTTTTGATTCTATTGCATTTACTTTGTTCTCAATCAAATTCCCTTTGAGTAGTTAATCTAATTTATTTATCTATTCCTTGCTATTTGGAGTTGTTGATTTTCTTTCCTTAGGAGGGCATAAATTTGGATTAGCAATAATTTCATCTATTTTCATATATTTTTTTTTGTTAATCAAATTAATTTTAAGAATTCAAGTTAATGAATTATATGGAGCGAAATATTTGTTGAGAGCTAACTAAGAATGCTAAATGATTTCATTGTTCAACAGTGAAACTTTCTGAATTTATGAGTTTAATCTCTTCTAAGAATTTAATACAACTTTATAATTATCTTCATTATTCTAGGATCCTTATTGAGTGTGATAATAATATAGTGTAATTATGATTATGTATTTTTATTTAATCATCTTTTTGCACCATTACTTAGTGATGGAGAGCATTACAATTCATGAAAATTGAAATTGATAATAAAAATTGTTTTGTCTTTTGTTTAGTATAAATCCTACTTATTGATTGATGTAATTATTTTATTTGTAAATTAAGTACATATTAATTATTACAATAAATGAATAATCCTTAATGTCAATCCTGCATTTAATATATTGCAATTGTAACTTGTAGAGAATGCAAAATTTCGCTATGTTTCAAATGTGATGAACAACTTCATTAAGAAAAGAATGATAATCACTACAGAACAACTATTTCATTTCAACCTCGATCAACATTATAAAATGACGATGAAAAAATAATCGAGATGATAAAACTGAAGAAAAAAGAGTTTTAAGAATTGAAAGAGAAGGAATCTCAATTAACTATGCATTATCAAGATAGAATGATATAAGCCAAGAATAAATATGAATTACAAATTTCAGCATTAGAAAACAGATGTATAAAATATTAGAGTATATATAGTGCAAAAGTCATAGAAGTTAATGAATGGAGTCAGCCAAGATAATGGCGAACTTGATGTTGATAATCTGTAGAATGAATTGGAGAATTTAGAAAAGAATTTGAAAAGTGAAATAAAATTGGTAGAAGAAGAACAAAGATTGTTGGATGAGAAAACTCAAAAGGTTGATGCCCTATTAAATAGAGTTAAAAAGGCAACAGACATTGAACAATAACAAATTATAAAAATGAATGAAGTTGTATAAATATTCAAAGCTTGTTCAGAATAATTGTAAAAAGAGAAAGTAATTATAATGATCTAGTTAAGGATCTATTGATGCTTGACAATGAAAAACTAATTGCTGAAGTAGAGATCTTTGCTAAATTCTTTGATGAAAATGGACCTTTGATGGAAGAATTAAATGCTTAGAAGAATAATGAATAATAATGAAAATTTATTTTTGTTAATATGAGTAGAGGTGACAAGTCTCAAAACATTTTCGACTATAAGGCTAAAACTCTTGACTATTGGAAACATACTATCGAAACATTGTAACTATCGATGCCATTTGATGTAAAGATCCTCAATTAATTCACAATTAGAAAAATACAAATTCATAGCACTTCCTTTAATTGAATATGTTTATAAGTAAAGAGTTAATATAGTGAAGATAGCCTTATTATTGCTCTATCTAAATTTGCAGTATCACATTAATATTATCTTAGGAATTCTAACAAAAGAATGTTACGAAGTTTATGACTTCTTTTGTCAATTCATTTCAACTGTTACTGAAGGAAATCAAGAAATCTGCTATTTTACTATCATGTTAAGTCCAGCTGAATTAGTCAAAGCAACATCTTATCTATTCTCATTTCACCTTAAGTTAAGAAAATATATTTATGCAAACATTATTAATGAAAGAGAAACAAAAGTTAAACCTCTAAATTCTCAAATTATTCTTAGATTAATGGGTTTCTGTTGTTTCTAAATAGATGGATAACACTGCCATCAGTTTAATTGGAAATAGAATTGGGAAGATGCAGATGAAAAATCAAAGGACAAGATTCTTAATAATAGGTAAATTACCATTCCTTTATTCTTACATAGTGTAAGACCTTTAGACCTCCTCATTTATTGTTAGGAGTTATAAACTCAAAGACTATTACAATAACCTCAATAAAGATAAGTTGCAACATTTTTACCTGAGTAACAACATGATGAAGAAATGCCATTAATATAAACTGTCTAACCTATTTAACAATAATAAAAAAATAAATAATAAATATAACCTGATCTCTAAACCAAAATGAAAGAAGTTGTCTTAATTCATGAAAATCTTGCATCCAATTATAATAAATTAGCCATTTTTTGCTTTGCTTAGTAGGCCTAAGCTTTATTGTATAAAGTCTTAACTCAAGTATTTTCCTCCCTCTATTTTAGATCAGAAATGATAAGAATTGGTTGAATCCGAAATATAAGAACTATAAAATATCATGAAGTTTTAAGATTTCTTGCAAACAGATCCAGAATTAACATTAAGAAATAGTGGAATTTATGAATTCTTTTGAGATTTAAATTTGTTAATATATATTAATTTTAGAGTTTATTAATAACACATTAAATTCAAATTAGACAGAAATTCATAATTCTATTTTAATATAAGTTTCTGACAATTATTAATTCATGGAAAAATATTAGAATGATTTCACAAAAATGATATATGAGCCCCCATAATTGAACATACTCTATAAATAAATGGAAGTTAAACTCCAAAATAATCCAATGAAAGAATAAATTCTTTAAGATTTAGGAGAAAATCCAACCGAGATTGATATTAAGTACATAAGCTATGTCACAAATATCCCAGCACCATAAATTAAATAGTGGTTAGAAGAATCCTAAAAATCTGATCTAAGCATAGATATCGGTTCCAAAGAATGTCTTTTTCTTGGAAGTAGAAAACCAAAGGGAATAAAGAGTGTGAAGATTAAAATTGAAACCCACCATAACACTTTTGATTAACCTCTAAATTAACAAGAAGAGTAGAAACAAATAAATGAATCGTAACTTAAAGATAATATCTATAAATAGACTTAAAAGGAAGCAAAAATAAAATAAAAGAATCAATAAATTATTCAAAAGCAAAAACTAAACTAATAAATTTAGGAACCAGCTTTCATTGAACTAAAAACAACATCTCCAATTATTCGGCAAGAACAAAACCAGATTAAGAGCTTAATAGAAAATTAACCTCTATAATCTGATATCAATTAAGAAAAGCATGCTTAAAATAAAATCAATCACTAAAAAAATTAAACTAGCATTACATTATAAATCGAAGAATAAAAAAAAGTATATCAAAAAAATGAACATTAATTACTCTAAGATAAGAAATCGATTGCACCTAAATTGTTAATTTCAAATATTAAGGAAAATAATCAAAGTACAAATTAGTTATCATCATAAGTCCCATTAGTGTAATAGTCTGAAGTTCCTACACTTGATATAAATCAAGGATAAAATGAAAAACAAATGGAATAGAATAAATTCGATAATATAAATAAAAAATATACTCAACAGAAAATAAAATAAAAAGAATAGAAACCAAATTAACTGATTTCACAAAATTAATCAGAAGATCAAACTGATATTGCTCGAGATTTTGAAAAGAAGTTAGCTTATCTTCGAGATTAATATAATGTTAGACACAACGATGTAAACTCAAAGGGTTAAAAGTAACATCGATCAACATAAATTGAATATACTAAGAAAAATCTTGAAATCTAAATGCTACAAAATAATCAATAAGAATAAGAACTTTAACCGATCTCAATAAGTAGTAGTCGAAGTTAATAATAATATTAATAATAATTGTAAGATTAGCCTTAAAATTTTTTAAAATATTAAATTTTACCTACTTAGGATAATAAATTGGATAATACATAAAATCTATAATAGTAACAATAATAATAACATTAGGCATCAAATTTATCAAGGTAGTAAAATCAATAATTCAATAAATAAAATTGTTTTGAATACTAACACTTATAATTATAAAATGTAAATCAAGATTAAAGACCCTTAGGATAATAACAATGTATTTAATAAGATAACCCATATCTTGCTTAAGGGCCTGTTATCAATCAAGCCTATTAACCTTCTTAATAAAAGCACCCAAAAACAGCAATTAATAATGCAATTTAATTTGGGTATAATTAATCATTATATTAAATACCTGCCTAAACTTAGGAATAAAACTACTGTTAGTAATATTCGTATTATGATACAAATATTTTACAAAAATTGCAATAACGTTTAGATATGATGTTTTTATCATAAAATACGCATCAATTGACTCTACTATAAAAGCTTGACTAAATCATAAATTTAATTTAAAGACCACAAAACAAGAAATGATTTATAATCTATGATTAGCTAATAGATGGTTGAAATTATAAACCTGAATTTATAAATATTGGAATTAATTTTATATTGAATCTAATTATATAATTCATCTTCTAATTCTAAATGTACTGAGGTGGATCAAATAGAAAGTAAATTAAATAACTTTATTATAATCTGAATTTCATTCATTATGCAATTCAACTGATTATTTGTTTTTAATGTTTCATTCCAAAAATTATTAGCAGTATCCATTTTCATTTATTTGCTAATTATTGATTTCTCTATCAATAATTAAAAAATTATAATATTAATGAATTATTCTATATTAATCAAAGTTCAAATCCAAAACCTGAAAATTCCAATTCTTATGGCATTTGAGGAAAAGACATTTCTTCTTAATCATAATCAAATTTTCCAAAAGGGGTAGGGGAAAATAAATATTGGTTACTTTATTCTTCGATCTCACTTATTATTTAAATCTATTATGGATCTTCTTACTTGAATTATGGGAACACTTATTTGAATAAGACTTGAAATGCATTTTCTAAAAATATTAAATTTTTCATACATGACTCAAATTTCATACCTTTCACTAATATGCGAACGCTATCAATGAATAATCTACAGTTCTTTTCACCTTCTCTTGCTAAAGAAAGTTTATTCTTATAATAATTAAGTAATATTTTACTTTTAGAAATAGTTAAATACTATTTTTAATTTTAATTTAATATTCAATTGAGGACAGGAGGTTCTATTAAATTTTTACCTATTCAAATTATAGGGCTTTAATTTAATTATTTAATTCAGACTATTCTGCGCCAAAAATACTAGAATCTCTTATAATTTATTTTTGATGTTTCTTTTTAACAATGTTCCTCATTAATACTTTTTATTTAGCAAAACAAGGATTATAATATGTTAAGGCTCCATATTAATCTTTGCTACTCGTAAATCCATACATGTTGAGTTATCTAAAAATGTGAATTCTTACTATAACCTTAAGAAACTTGAGTATTTAGCATGTTTAAAATATTTAGGTAGAACTAATTCTTATAATAGTTCCCTATCTAGAATTTGAATTTTTACTCCATCCTCATCCCATCTGATAATGTCTTGAAATTCATTTTGCTAATTGTATTTATCTCTTTAATACATTTAACATTTAATGTGTGACCTCAATGAACTTAATTACTGTACGTTACTTATTTTTTCTATGCATTTTTATCAAGTGATATTAATTTAAGGAGAAATTGGAATTCTTAAATACCTAAAAAAATTTAATATCAAAATAAATTTAATTATGGTATATATTCAAATGGCAACCTTTAGAAATGATAAGAAAAAAGTATCGTAAGTAACAGAATCTTAACAATTTGTTTATCTTATCATTAACTGATATAATTCAATTCAATTCAATAAATAATATATATAAAGTTATATGATTTTAATTGAATATAAAATAAATTAAAGGTCGTTCTTATAATTTAATCAATCTTAAATTCTTAATTATTGACGCTGATAAGCAAAATCCTCCAAATTTTGATATGACTTCTCTATATTCGAAAAGGCTTCATTATATTTTGAAAACTAAGTAGCTGGATAATAGGATGATAAATAATTAAATATTTAGAGTAATTATATGTGAACCTAAGGCATAATAGGACTTTTATTGAAGTATGAGATTGCATTTTCAAGCTATAAGATTTCGCTAGAAGGAAATGTAATTTCTAGCAGTTCTTAAAATGTGAAAACTAAAAAGTATTTTATAATATTTACAAAATTGAGGCAACATTCCAGAGTAGAGTTTAACGGTTGTATTTAATATAGATTTTGCTTAATTAGATGTTTAAATTTTACTTTCGAAGAGCAACTATATAAATTTAGATAATTTTACATTTATTAAATATTGAGTTAGACTTGTCATTTTATCAACAGATTATAAACATCCATCAATCTGTTATTTTAATATTTGTTAAGTCATTTTTATTTAATTCATTTAGTTCCTCAACGCAGAAGTCTCAAGCTCACAATATGAATTAGATGGTCTTTGTTTCTTTTTCATTTATAAGTTTGGACTTTACTTATTAAATTATAAGTTGTAGTAGCAAGAATTATTTCTTTCAGTACATACTCTTAGAAATCCATAGAGATTTAATTGTCTGAAATTATATATTAAAATACCTTAAGAAACTAGAAAACTTTTAATGTCTAAAGTATTTTGGTAGTATTTTTTATATAAAAGTAGGTTTATCTAAAATCATAAATTTGTCTCCGAAATCATTCCATCGTATAATATTATCATACTCTTGATTCTAAATTATTAATTTACTTAACCTCCAGAATTTAATAAAGTAATTTTAAAAATGATGAATGAATAATTCTGTTTTTCTTAATTTTCTTTTCTTACATTAATTAATAATTAATTAAATATAATATTATAATCTGTAAAAACATTATTTCTTAAACAAGAATTCCATTTTTAGAATAGATATATAATTACATAATCGTTATATTTTTGGAACTTAAAAAGAATCACTAATAACCTTTAGGTAAAGATGTTTTCTTGGCTTATTTTTATAGCAATTCGAATTTGTAATCCTCTATATACTCTAGAGCGGCCTTTTGGTAATTCCAATTATTCATATCCAAGTAAAATCTAATGTGATATTGTTAAATACATTGCAACTTTACGACTCTTATCTTCTGGTTAACACACTTAATCTAAGAACAGTCCAATTTTCAATTCTTGCATATACTTTTCTATATCACTACTTCAATATTAAATATATACACATCTTATTTTTTATAGTCACTAGTTGGATTAGGGATGATCAATTTCTTCAAATAAAAAATATCATTAGTTTATAGGTTATTATAAGTCCGTATTCTACATGCAGGCACTCCATATTATAATTCCAACCCTTCTATTGTGTCATCTGGACAAATGATATGAATAATTTCTTTTTTTCCGTCAGGAGTAGCTGTTTCTTATGATTATAAGATAATGTTCTTTTAGTCAGTAAACCAATCTTCATCATATAGATCATAATGATCCTTCAATTCAGTTGGTTTGTACTCTTCTTCTTTTTGTTATGGTTTTGATTTAGATATTCCGAATATCCTTGCCAAACATCCAACAGGTTCTTACTATGTTTATTTTAGAGGTTGTTTTAAACTCTCTTCATTTATCAATGATTAATTAATATTTTCATTGTCCTTTAGATTCATTTCTTCCATCTCCACCAAACGATGAACTTGGTTTCTTCTATTATAGACTTCATTAGGAATATCACCCACTTTCATTATATATTAAATAAATGATTAATTTAAATGAAGAGGAAAAACAGCAATAAAGCAAACTAATCAATATATTTTTCCAGCATGCGAAATAAGGACTAATTATATTGCTTATGAACAATTTAATAAAGGAAGAATTATTCTTTTTATAAATTACTCTTTACTTAACAATCATAATGCTAGCATTCAATTTTATTGCGGCCATATTTTTGCTTTGTGTTAGGAGAGATTTTCCTAGATTAGAGTATTTTCTCATTTACACATTGAATCTGTTCTTATTTTTGACATTGCTTGTGTATTCAATGAAATTCTTCATTGAGCTTAATGATACGAATAAACAGTTATCCTTATATGTAAAAACTTACATTTTGATTTTGCTTCAAAAAGTATTAAGTTGTGAATTCATGATTAGGAAATTGAAATTTTGACAATAAAAATATTTCCATACGACATAGCTAATAGATAAGTGAATTGTTTTACATCGTTCATTTTTGTATTTTTGATTTTGTTAGATGAAGATCCTATTTAATGTAAACAGCAATTTGCAGTTCTCCTACTTTTTCATTTAATAAATCACACCTTTCAATTGATTCTTAATACTTTATTCAGTCTTCTAATTTTGAATCAAAAAAAATAACAAAAAGAACTGAGAACATTTTCAAAGTAAATTAGTATATTTATAAGTTTCTAGTATACTTCTAATTGTTTTCTTCATGATTCAAATAACTTTATTCATTTTTACTATTATAAAGACAATTCAATTAAAAGAAGAGGATTGTCCATGTTTATATTTTACGATTCAATTTTATTAATGTTTTGCTCCAATTAACTTTGGTGCATTTTCATTCGTGATATTACTTGAATATTAGTGGTTTAAAGGCACATTAACAAATTAGGAAACTATTGATAAAAATAGTTAAAATTAGAGTTCTTGTAAAACAATAATTCATATATTTTTAAGATGCTGCTTCACTTTAGAAAAATAATGCAATTCAAAAGGATAGACAATCTTTCAAAAGTATGAGTTCAGTAATTAACAATCCTATGGATAATAGTGAATGCAACTCATAAGCACCAAATTTTGGAAAGTATATTTGAAGATATATTATTACTTAGAGATGAGAATAAATAATTGTAAAAATTAGGCACGAGTCAATTTGGTGCATCCTAATATAATTAAGGGATGGAACATTCTTGGGCCAATGTTTATCATTAAAATCCATTTAATTAATAAAACAGCAAAGATAATAATAATAATCAAAAACGTGAGAGTAAATCTGTAGATGAGAGTTTTATAAGATAGGAAGAATCTCAAATTCCAGAGAATTTATCTTAATTAAATAACCCTATGGATTCAGATAGTTAAATTCTCAAATGATTTATGCAAATATATATCTAACTACATACCATCATATTTAGCTTAATTTTATTCTTTATTTGATTCTATTTTTTGGATCGTTAAAGTTGAGTATCATAATGAATATATCTAATTAATCAATCTCAATTGATTATATAATGATGTACCTAAATTCGATTCTTATTTCTAACTAGCAAGGTAGACTTGATTATTGTAAGATTTTGTTTGTATTCCTATTTCATCCCTCGAATAACTAAATCCTTTAATATAGGGATTTAGGTTATTTAAAATATCATTGTTAATCAATCTAAATTGTAAATTTTAATGGCTGTTCACTAACATAAATCAGAATTGACATTAACTTATATTATATATTGTTCTTTTAATAAACTAGCTTAATTTTAACTCTATACTAAGCATTATCTTTCAAAATTTATTAATAATAGAATTATCCAAAACAAGATAATAAAATACTAAAGGAAATATACTTTACAAGAGGCTCCATATATATGTATTATAGTACTGTATCTTTATTTGTAGATTTTAAGAGGAATTATTGATTGAAGAAGTTCAAAATTGCTCATATTATTAATTATGACTTAATATATATGTGTCATGAATTCTTATTCATCTATTTCAAAATATTATAATTGAATTTTTAATAACATTAATTAAAATATAAAGAATATAAATGGAAGCAAAATCAACTTACCAAGCGTAAATAAATACGATGTTGGATCTAACGAATGTATTCGTGATAAAACCTATGACTAAAAATGGTGTTGATCTGAAGATAGCAATTGATTATAACCCTTAGTATAACGAGTAAGTTTAAATTAAATTTTCAGAACTCTGGGATGTATGTAAAATATTGTACCGATATTTAACAACGACGGAGAACCTACTTAACATGGGTTCATACTACAAATAGATTAAGTATTAAAATTTCATATTTTCTAGGCTATCCATTTGTCAAATAGCACTCATTATAGGAATTAATATGAAAAGAAACTTGCAGAAGTGTAAGAGAAGAATAGAAATCTAGTAAATATTTAAATTTACTTTTAGTTTGTACCCAAACCAAAGGGAACCAAGATCTTCTGTAATGTTTGCAAAGATTACATTGAAGATTATCTTCAAGTAAGTAATTATAATAATTAGCATACTGAATCAAGAAGCCACAAATTGAAGTTTAGGAAGAACAAAGTTATCAACCTCATTTCCTCCATGGTTGATGAGTTTTAGAAGACTCAAAGTATACCTCATAATACACTGACTCTTCCTTCCAATTCTGATAGTTGTGGTTACTACTAGTCCATCTTAGATGAAAGCACTGAACATTGTGACACTACCTAATAATAGGAACCACAAACTATCAAAAAGATTAAATTGAATGATGGTGTCAGCGCTTACAACAAGTTGGGCAACTCGTAATCATTATCTATTAATTATTTTAGTCTTGTAAATAGCTCTGAATAATCATTCAACGACAAGTTCGGAAAGCAGTGTCTTTGAAGGAAATATTATGAGCAGCATCTATATATATATATATAAAAAAGAGAATAACATTTCATAAATCCTTATCTTCTCAACAATATATTCTTTTATAACTACAAATTCTTTTTTAATGAGAATAATCCTATGTATAAAATTCCTCGTTTTAATTTAATTTATCAATCCATCAATATTCTCCAAAGTAATTTGTATGTTAATTAAAATATATTTATTATTATCTTGATAAAATTATTCAGAAATGATGAAAAACAAAAAGAAATTTAATGGAATCAAATTCATCGAAGTAACCCATAAAATATTACAAGTAAAAATTAATATCATTTGGATTAGGAAAAATAGTATAAAGATGCTATTACTTGGGATGATGAAGGAAATAACATAATTATTATCGATAAATATTTCTTAGAATAAATTGTTTTGCCCAAATACTTTAAGCATGCCAAATATTCAAGTTTTTTAAGGTTTTATATTATATGACCATTTAGATAGTTAAACCTATATGGATTTACAAGCAGCAAAGATTAAAATGGTTATTTAAATTATCATCATAAAAATTTTGCGAGAGACAAATGTGATAAAGATAGTATTCAGAAAAAATTACAGATAAAAGATATTCAAAAGTCTTTGGGAATATTTTAATCTGTATAAACTGAACTATAAAGTTAATTATTAACCTTATAATTGGAATAAAATAGAATCAAATAAAGCCTTTTGAATTCAATTGATTAGTAATTATAAATTAGATGCAGTATCAAAACGTTCTTAGAAGTAAATACTTCATTTATAATTGAATAGACTATCCGTTTCATTAGATTAGAGAAAGAAAATTAATTTGATTAATTTATAAAAGGTATTCAAACAATTTTCTAAGGCTTGAATCCGACAGCATGTATCAAATTTGAATTTAAAATAGACCACTACTTTCAACATCTTATAAACCTTGTATTTTAATAATTCAATTTTGAAGAAGTACAATCTAATTAATATCTATCCGAAATGGACGAATAGAGTAACTCTTATATGATCTCCCCATATCCTCTTGGATTACTTGAATTAAGAGCAAATCTGAGTTCTCGAAATGAAATATGTTTCAATAATTAAGCATTGACATTGGATACATGATAATGATATTTAATATATACTATTGTATCTTAATAAAGACTGAAATACATTATTATCAATTGCAGTACTAAAAATAGAATTAAGATTTACAAAAATTAGTAATATTATTATAAGTAAAGTTAAATATTTAAGTTGGCATTATTATAAATATTAAGATCTAAAATTATTGTATATATTTAGTGATATCAGATATTGATTAATATTCTATTTTTTCAAAATGACACATTATTAAAATAATATTTAGACAATAATTAATTCAAATTGAGTTGATTTTATAATGAATAAAGCACCATTGTTGATTGAAATGGATTAGATAAAAGAAGAAGAGAGTCATAAAGTAAGTGGAATAAGACCATCAAAATTTTCTATTGTAAGTAGACTCTCGGTTCAAGATTTACAAAGTGCTTGGTTTTATGTATAAGAAACTTGGAAAAGTGGTATGTCTTAAGCAGCATTGAATATCCCATTTGTATTAGCATTGGGAGCTAATTCAGGAGTTTCAGCTGCGATGGGACTTACAACTGCTTTTATAGCTGCATTTGTGAATGGGTTTTTTAGTGGTAGTAATCACTCAATATATATGCCATCTTGGACAATTACAGGGTGGAATTATTTTCTAACTCAATAATATGGAATTTAGATATTGCCATTGGCTACCTTAGTTTCTGGATTGATGATCTACTTAATTAGTTTGTTTAAGTGGCATCATTTGTCAGATTACATTCCTTAATACGTTATAGAAGGATTTTACTTAGGAAGCGGATTCCTCTTTTTGATATTGTATAGTGATTACATCTTTGGAATAACAGATAACCACACAAATGTAGGTTAGAAAATATATTCGAATTTAATAGAGATGTACATTTCATATTATGAAAGAGGTGATCTTTAGAATGTGCTTTACACAGTTTTAATATTTATGTTCTTGCAATTCGGTTATAAATTTCATCGACCTTTTCCTTGGGTTTTGTTAACTACTTCATTTGGTTTATTGATTGGGAATTTATATCCAACTGAGTAATGTTTGAGATACGTTTATGGAAATACTAGACTATAGTTTAATCTTATATAAATCAATGAACTGGACTTGGGATTTGAGTAAATTTTTGAGATAATGCAAATATGTATACCCATAGCAATTTGTGTAACCATCCAAAATTTATTATGTGCAAGAGGAGCTTAATCTTTGACGGAGGTCAAGTGTGATTATGACTAAGAAACATTTTGTGTATCATTTGCTAATGTTATTAGCGGTTTAGTTGGTGGTATCCCTTGTTGTGCATCCAGCAGAATGTACACTCTTAATATCAAATTAAGAGACATCAATAAATGGTCATCAATAATAAATGCTTGTTCAATCTTCATATTTTATGGGATAGCTTCTCAATTTTTTATGAATATACCATTATATGTCATCGCTGGTTAAATTTTATTAGTTGTATATCAATTTCCTCCTTGGAATTATCTTATTAAATTGTATCAAACAAAGAGAAGATTAACATTATTTAAATGTATATTAATATCTTGGATTTGCTATAATTATGGAGCAATGTACAGTACAATTATAGGTTGTTTGCACTCCTTATTTTTATTTGCATAGAAAATGAGTGGAGCTGCATCTGAAATCATAGTAAATACGGATCACGATGCTCGTAGATCTTCATATAATGAAAAAGAATAACATTTCGATGATGATCTACCAAAGGTTGATGGATCCTATACTCTATATCGATTTAGTGGCTCAATCAATTATATTAATATTAATGTACAATTAATTATCCTTAATTTAAGAATCACATAATTCAAATTAAGTAGCTAGCCTTTACAGATTACATCATATTTAGCTTTAGATATGTTAGTGTCTTTGATGAATAGGCAATTGATAAACTAGCAATTATGATTGAAAATCTCATGAGTATGTTAATTAAATTAAATCTTTAGAATCATAACATGAAATATACTTGACTGGACTACATAAAACTATGATTGAGGAGATGGAATACAATTCTTTTTTCAAAGAGTTCTTTATCTTATGCCATGATAAAGTTAAGACTTTGGGTCAATGAAAAGAATATTATATATAAAAAGTTTTATGTTATTTTTTTATAAATATTTAATACTTAATTCTATTAATTTGAATGTCATCATAACAATAATGTAAGTATCAGGCTGCGTAAAGGTTTAAGTTTTTATTCAATAGCCAGCAGTCTTAAAATTTAGAAAATTGCTTTTTTACAAAAATAAAGGATAAAAAATACACTTATTTGAATATCTCATATAAGGATTAGTTAATGATTAGTGATTTGATTTTACTTTGGGAATATGGCCATTTAAAGGAAAAATTAAATACGTAAGGATATTTTTCATTTTGGTAAATGTTTAGAGAATTTCAGAGATATATAAAAAGTAAATAAACCATCTTGAATTTTTGTTAGATTAAAAAGAGAGATAATAAATTTTATATATCATCTGATTTTACTCTTAATATTAATTACAAGACTATAATGCAACAATATGATGAATTGCTGGCTAAACTTTCAAAGTTTGTAGATCATGATAAAGGTAAAGATTTTTCTTTTATTATAAATTCTGCTTTTGATATTTATTCAAAGATAAATGCAAACATATCAACCTTGAATGATAATGAGATAATTGATATTATTTAGAAGAGATTTTTTATAAAGTAATAGTTAAAACAAAATAAGGAAAATGAAGGAAAATATATAAACTATTTTAAAGAAATTAATCAAAAACTCAAAAGTTTATAATTCTATTAATAAATTTAAATCTAAGATTTATTAGTTGAAGCTGATGCTGAAACATTGGAATAAGTGTATCATTATGTATAGAATTAAACTGCTTTACAATTTTAATTTTAATTCCAAGAACAAAGGATGATTAGTGATTAAGAATTAAATAATTATTTTTTGACTTCCATATAGATTAGTGAGTAAATATTATCAGACAAAACTGTTGTGGAATAGTTTCTAAATTTGGAAGATAAAAATTAATACATATAAAACAAATACAATGAGATTTTCAAGTTTCTAGAAAGTTATTAAATTTCATTTGGTGATAACATTAACAATTAAGATTAGAAATTCATAATGTTTAAATAGGAATTCATTAATTAATTAAAATAAAAATTTTGGATTTTTGAAAAGGAACTTTGTTTATATTGTAAAGATGATTAGCTAAATAATGAGATCAAAAAAACATTTAACCAATATTATAAATCTATTTGTCTTAAACTTCCTTTCAAACAACAATTTTAAGAATTGATTAAGATTATAATAGAAAATGATAAAATGGAAGGAATTGTTGAAAGAATTTTGGATTTTAAAATTTCAACTATAAATAAATATGTATTAGATCACATAGCAAAGTATAACATTCCAGAAATTGACAAAAAATTAGAGTAATTGTATTAAAAGAAAAAGTAGAAATATTTGATAATATTAAAAAATACTCCAATTTATCTTTAATAAGTTGATATTGTAATTACTTATTGCAATAAAATAAGTACAATGATTGCACTCGAAAATAGTTAAGCAATAGTAGATTTTACTAATTCAGATCAACTCAAAATTATACAAAGTTATTTAAGTATGTTTGTTCCAAATTATGAATATCTGAATACTGATGAATAATACTTAGTTTAATTGTTTTAGGAAACAAATACATTTTGCCCTGATCTAAGCATTTTAAAATCAACATAATTTCTTGCTTTTTCATAAAAGATTTAATTCAGAATACCAAAATAAGAAATTTAAATAGAACTTGGGAAGTAATAAGATAAGGAGAAATTAGATTTAAAATATTTGAATTATGAAAAGCTTGATATTAAAAATGTGCTATCTTAATATAAAGATTTCGATTAATTACCTTCTCTATTATATGAAAACAGAATATGGGATTAATATCATAAATTATTGATCTCAGAGTGTGTTAAATTTTTGGATGAATAGTAAAAGTAAAGAAAAAACTAAAGATATAATGAGTAAAAAAAAAAATTGAAAATGTAATATGAGATGGATTTTTTTATTCCATTTGGATGGATAGAAAACATTTTTCTTAAGAGTTATGATGAATCTAAGGAAGAAGATTTAATGAAAAAAATAGATGTTTTCTTTCTGGAAGTGGGAGAAGATGAAGAAGAGTAACTTAAAGCACTGAGAGCATACGGAGATATTGAGGATAACATTATTAAAAATAGAAAATAGTAAATTAGAGAATATTTTCACTCTCTCAATCCGAAAAACTATTAATCAATTGAAGAGTTGAAAAAAGATGTTATAATAGAGATTTAGAGGAATAGAGAATAATAATTTAAGTAATTTTATGAGTTAAAAAACTTAATTGATAATATAGATAAAGAATATCTCAAGAAATGTCAAGAAATATTTATATAACCGCCAAGTCATTTTGTAAGATTTAAAGTAGATAAATAAACGCAATCAAATGATATAATGGATATCAATAATAAAATCTTATCATTTTATAATGAATAACTGTTAAATTGTCTGAAATACCAATTAGATTAATGAAAAAGAAATTATAATTATTAATGATTAAATTTATTATTCTGTCATTCTCTCTCTTAGAAGTACTAAGCAAAACAAAGGATGAATGGAAAACAAGAACAGTTTACCAATTGCTCACTGATCGATTTGCAACCAGTACTGGCAAATCAAGTTCATGTAATTTGAGTAAATATTGTGGAGGAGATTATAAAGGAATAATCAATAATCTGGATTACATAACAAGTAATGCTATTATTAATACTATTAGACATGGGATTTGATGCTATTTGGATTTCCCCTGTAAATGACAATTATGATAACGGTTATCATGGATATTGGTATAGAAATATGTATGACGTCAATAAAAACTTTGGAACTGCATAGGATCTGAAAAATTTAGTTACTGCTTGTCATAACAAAGGAGTATGGGTAATGGTAGATGTCGTAGCTAACCATGTAAATAATAATATTAATTTAGATGGGCAACACTAATTAAGACTATAAATAAAATTATCCATTCAATTCATCAGCTCATTATCATGACTATTGTATAATAAGTGATAATGATTTCAACACTCACAATTTAGCAAATATTTAGAAATGCAGATTGGCAGGTTTGGCTGATTTGAATTAGGACAATTCATTTGTATCAAGTGAACTAATTAATTGGATAAAATGGCTAATAAATGAATATTAATTTGATGGAATTAGAATTGATACTGTAATGATGGTAAAGACTGATTTTTGGACCAAATTTACTAATGCAGCAGGAGTTTATTCTGTAGGAGAAGTATTTGATGGAGACATGGGTTTCTTAAAATAATTTATAGGCCCCATAAATGGACTACTAAATTATCCTTTGTTCTACACATTAAGAGATGTATTCTTACACAATAAGGGAATGAATACACTTGAAAGTTTCTTCAACAATATTGCAAGTTCATTTGGTAAAGCTAATCTACCTTATATGGGCAATTTTAATGATAATCATGATAATGCTAGGTTCTTGAATGATGCAGTTACAGGTTATATCCCTGAGGACTTTGAATTCTTTGGAGAAAATTCAAATTTCACCGTGACTGCACTAAAGAAGCTTCAATTTAAAGCTATCACTGCATTTACTCTCACTTCAGTTGGTATCCCAATGATATACTATGGATCTGAATAATATTATGCAGGGGGCAATGATCCAAATAATAGAGAAGTTTTATGGAATCATTTAGATTAGTAAATATATATTTATATTCAATAGAACATCTGAGATGTATAAGTTTATCAAAACAATTAATGAAGCTAGAAAAACTACAAAAGCTGCTTCTTAAGATTAAATTTAAAGATATGCAGATGCTGATGTATACGCATTTACAAGGGGAACATTGTTTGCTGCCTTTTCGAATAAATATGATAAGTAAGTTGTCAAATCTATTACATATCATCCTTATGCTGAAGGTATCTATTTTATTGACATTATAGGAACAACTCTTTGCAACATCTTTTATACTACGGACTGTGTGAAAGTGGCCAGTGGGGCATTTCCTTTATATTTAAATTATGGAGAAGTTAAGATCTTCATTCCAAAATGATTGAAAATTATAAATAAATTATAATAAAATGTATATCAATTACCTTCTATTACTTATTTTTCTACATAGAGGACAATTAGTATTTAGTTTTAACCAATCTACTATGCAATCCGTATGAAATACATGCTTATCTGAACAGGACAGTATGATCACGTATTCCATGGCTTAAAAACTTTGCATACATATAGCACAATCATTATCTTATTGAATCTATTGTGTTAATACTTTCTAATTGATATTTATTCTAATCTATTAATAACTCCTTGAAACTATCCAAAATTTTCATTTTTTCTAACTTTTTCTCCTTCCTTCTTTTGAACCACATATAGGTTTCATATGTAATAAAAACAGGGAAAAACACTATCCATAGGAATACCTTAGTAAAAGTTGAAAAGTATTAATTTAATCCAAATATCACCACCTAAATCAATTAGATATAGTACTATAATCATATAAACAATGCATAAGTAATAAAATAGTCTATCTACAATAAATATGCTATGGCTATACAATAGCATTATCAAGGCAAATAATTCAATGAAAAAAAAAGCCAAGACCAATAATTTATTTAAAAGTTTTAAACACTTAAATTTGTCTAACAATTTTTCCTGATAATATAATTTTATAAGTACATAAAGTTCGAAACTCAATTTTTAGACAAATATGTTTCTTTAATCAAAAAGTAAAAGCCTGCCAATTAATTGTTGATTTTAGTAATCATTTTATTCTTAAATTTATTATTATCGTTGTTATTAATCCAAACCTTATTCAATATTAATATTATTAACTAGTTCCATCTCTATAGCTAATTGTAATATTATGGAGTATTTATTTAAGTATTTTTAAATCACTCTATACTAAATCATGACGATAAAGCTATGAATAACTTATGTAAAAGAAATCTATACCTGTTATATAAAGCCATATTTCTATATCCTAAAGACTATAGACAAACTCTTGTTGAGATAATATATTTTCATTTGTAATAAGTATAAATTTCAAAATGATCTGAGAATATAGATGTTCTTACTAATAACATTCCAAAAACATATTTGATGACCGAAAGAATTAATTTGATCTGATTTTTTTTTATTAACATAATTCTGCCTGATTCAAATAGAAAATTAGGTAATTACACATGTTATTCATTTTGTTCTATCAAACTATCGCTTAGGTGACTCTCATAATTCATTCTCTATAAATTTATTAATTTAATTGTCCAAAAAATTAAAATTTTATGTTTATAAATGAAAAGAAAATTATATATTTATTTGGATCTTCTCTTAGTTTATTCTTTATTATAATATCTGATTCAGATTAATGGGACAGCAAACGAAATTCAATATTGACTATTTTGAAAATAACAAAAATTTTTCTTTTCTGATAAAATTATAATCGAGATTCACAACAGAGGTTTATTAGTCCTCATCTTTCCTAAAAGCATTTCTTCTTTCAGAACTAAGAATATAACAATATTTTGAATAGGAACTGTTATCAAAATTTTTCACCATCAAAACATAAAAATTACATTTTACATCTTTATCAATTTCATATAGATTTTAGAGTCTTATTTTGCTTCCTCAATTTGCTTTTCATTATTAATGTAAAAATAATTCTGCTGTGTGGGTAATTAACCTTACAATGGGAAAAGTTGAACATTTGAATGGTTTATTTTTATGTATTTATCTATTTTTATAGATTCTCATACTTGAAATCCTTTGTAATAATTAGATAATTGCTAGTATTTAAGTAGTTCTAAAATTTATTTCGATTTTATTCATAAAAGTATTCATAGAAAGAAATCGTTATTTTTGAGATAAACATTGACAGTTTATGAATTTAATATTTTGTTTACTGAGATATCTTCATCTTATTGTGAAAATTGAACAAATTAGATTATCTACCTATTTCGACAATTTAATTAAAGATTATACATTTAAAATAATAATATCATTAATTATAAAAACTGGATGGAAAATGGTCCATAATTTCTAAACGTAGTTTTTTTTTATAATTTGGATTTATTTTAATTATAAAATAAATTTTAAGAATTGAATATATCTTTAAATGATGTGAAGACGGTTAATTTGATTGAAATAAAGGTTTTGTAGGAGTGAAATTGTGGAGAAATAGTTAGATATCTGTGAGTTATAGGTTGTATGGTAATGATTAAAGGTCAATTCAAAAACATTGATCATATGGTTTACCCGTTTTTGAGATTCTATTATATTGAGAGTCATGTGTTTGGATAATTAATATTAATAATGAAAGTCATTCTTGCTATCTTGTTGTTAGTGAGCATAGCTTCTGCAACATCAACACATGATCAAATAATGGCCTTACTTTAAACAGGCACAAAGGCAATGGATGCCATCGATACAGTGTTTGGTTTATTAAACGATCTTATACAATCAAATAAGGATGCTTAATTTGCAGCAGATTAGAAGAATGAAACAGATGAATGGATTGGAGCTCAGTAATTTTAGTATATAAACATAGAACAATTGAATAATTCACAAAAATCAAATCACTCAATTAAAAGCTATTCTAATAATCAATTGAAAATAGAGTGCAATTTGAATAAGAATTATTAGACACTAAGAATTATCTTGCTTGGAATGAATAAAGATAAGATGAGATCACAAGAAAGATTGGTGTTCTTCTTGATGAATAATGTCTTAGTAACTAATTGTTTGTGAGATCAATTAAGCAAAACAGAGAAGCTCTTGAAGTTGTTAGAGTACTTAAGCAAGATGTTGCCGGTTACATCATAAATGGTGATTCATTTGAATTAGTTCAAGAGAAAGCCTCAAGTGTTGCTGAAAAACTCAAGGCTTACAGCAATCTCTTCAATGAACACGAAGTTAAATCATTCTTGAACTTGGCTTAAACCTCGTAAGAAGAAGGAGTCAGCAGAGGAGCTACATTGGCTGAAAGAGTCCTTGGAGTTCTTGAATCACTTGAAGCCAATCTCTAAGCTTCTCTTGAAGCTCTTGAAGTTAATGAAATCAATGCCTCATGGGAATTGGCTGGATGGGTTTCATTGAGTGAAGCTGAAGTTACAAATTTGAAGGTCGAATATGAAAGAAAGCAAGTTTATGCTGACAGATTAGCCACTGTAATAAATACATATAATTTATTAGTAAATCCAAGCTGCCTTAGCTTAATAAGCGAAATCAAAGATCATTTTACAAGAATCCCAAGATGCCCTTGATTAAGCCTAAGCAGACTTAGAAACCAAGAGAGCTGATTATGCTGATGCTAAAACAAAGAGAGATGAAGAAAATGCAATCTTGGATTAGGTTATCATCATTTTCAAGAAGTAAGTTGCCTCATGGTCAGGAAGGTGATGAATATAACTAATAAAGTTATTACAAAAACAGCATTTGGTTTAAATTAATCTTCTTATTTATTATTAATTTATTACAATAGATAGAAGAGTGATATAAATTTGAGAGAAAAGAAGTTATTAATTAATAATACTTTAAAATTTGCTAATTCACCAATCTTTGAATGGATCATCTTATGGTTTTACAGGATCAGGTAATTCAGTACTGTCTGGATAAGTAGCGAAATTGGAAGTATCGTAATCAGATCTAATTATTCTATTATTTCATTTTACTGGATAACAGGGATATATTAAGGCTTAATTTTTTTATTGATAATATCTTTCCAATTTAGTGTTTCATACCACTTGTGTTATTTAATGTCATCAACTCCATTCTTTAGATTCCCAAATCGTTTCGTGACATCCTATTCTAGTAAATGTTTAACTAAGCTTTTTGCCTCACTAAATTAGTTCGAAATGTTAAGTTACTTATCAAAATTACGTGGGAACTTGACTTTGCCCTTCAATATTTTCTAATAGATAGCCATTGGATCTTCATCATTAAATGGATCAATTCCTTTGTGAGTTCAACTATAATACAAATACCTGCAAGCATCTCGTAAATGAAGATTCCCAAACACCACCAATCAACTGGTTTACTATGTCCTATGATTGAAAATTACTTTACCCTTGTTTAATAAGATCTCTGGGGCTAAGTATTCAGGTGTTCCACATAATGTGTAGGTCCTGTCCTCGACCACTTTAGCAAAACCAAAATCAGTCAACTTTAAATACCCATCTGACTGGACTAACAAATTCTCTGGTTTCAAGTCTCTATACACTATGTTCTTTGTGTGAAGATACTCAAACATTAGAACAACCTAAGCAGAGTAGAACCTATCCCTATTCATAAACATTTACTATGCCTCCTCATTCTGAACAGTCCCAGCATTTCTTAAATATGTAAATAGTTCACCTCCTTATATATATTCTAAAACAAAATATAAGTATCGTTCGTCCTAAGTGTATCCACTCATTTCAATCTAGAAAATTCAATCATCAAACATACCAAAAAAGGATGCTTGATCTATTTCAAAATATTGAACTCACTAATTATATGATCAACCTATTTAAGTCGTAAAATTTCTATTTTCTTCAACATCTTCAAAGCCACATATTTGTTACTCGATTTTTGCTTAGCCAACCTCACCCGACCAAATGAACCTGTTCCCAAAGTATTCATTATGTCATACTCCCCTAATTTCACTTTTTTAGTTTCCATATAAATAATATTTTATATTTCCATAATGAATATCAATCCAAAACTCATTAAATAAACCTTTAAAAAAACAGCATTAAGCAAATAGAGGTAAGCTTAAATCGATCTTTATTGGAATATCAATTGAGATGAAAAATACATCATATATTTCTCACATACACTTTGATTTAATAGTCCTTCAAAGGTAGATTATATTTTTCTACATTGATTATAAAGTTCTTATTCCTATTATTTTAAAGAATGAAGGAATAAAACCAATTAAATTTTTAGCAAGAATAAATGCAATAATTTTTTAAAGATATTTTTATAATAAATTAACAAAATCTTTTGATAATCTATCAATCTACAAAATAAAGTGAGTTTAATAAATTCAATACATTAGAATTATTACACTGAGATTATATTCAATATAACAAAATTTATCTACTTTCGAGTATCAAATATTAATACAGCCATTTTAAAGAGTAAGATAATTCTTCTAAAAAAATTCACAACCATTTTTATAAAATTCATTTTGTAATTAATCCAAATATGATTATGAAAAGAAAGTAAACTCAAAAGATTGAATTTGATTAATCGATTGTTAAAAGTTCAAATATTGAAATTCCTCTCAGACCAAACTCAAGCAAATTAGCTCACATTGTTAAATCACCTTTGCCCCTTAAAAAGTCTATGTTATCTTAACATTAAAATCAAAGGAAAAATTAATAAGAACTTCCCTTACCTCAAGACATGAAAATAATTAAAATTAGAAGCATTACGCCAAATCAACAAAGAGTGTTTCAGTATCATGTATGATTCAATATTTTATGATGAAGAATGCTAGCCCTGCTAAATTGATATAAAAATAACCTCAAACTTAGTCAGATAAAAAAATATTAGTCATTACCAAAAGACCAGAAAAATAATAATTTAGAATTACAAAGAAAATCAATTCATCTGTTGAAAGAAATAATTCACCGTTTAAAGCAGGAAGCCCAAATCAAGGTTACGAATAATATTGGGTAAATTCTGAATCAACTGAAGAAATAGATTTTAAAAAGTAGAAAAAAAATAATATCAGAGAATAACATTATAAATAGTAAAAGTAAGAATTTAAAAATCATTTACCAAAATGTGCTTAGGATTTCTCTATGACCTCACATAAAAATGATTTGCATAAATTATTAAAAAACTATTAATAAGAGATTAAAGAAACCCGTCAATTATACATGCATGATAACTCTCCTCCATTAAATATGAGTGGTATAATATAATTCAAATAATAGAAATAATGGAAATAAATGAAGATGGTCTTTCCTCTTTAGCCCAAAGCACCTACCATCATTAGTTGCATTGAAAGATAGACAAACTATGCTATGCTGTTTTTATAATATATTTTCATTAAAGATCTTCTTATTCTTGATTGAATTGTAAGTTCAATGCTTTTTTGGGTTTACTATTGTCTTCTTCCTCAAAAATGAGTTTACTGTTCACTAATTTTGCTTTTTCATATAACTCCTTTTGCTATTCCTCTAACTACTTCAAGTGTTCTTCGTCTTGAAACCTTGCTTTATTTTAATTTTTCACCTTATAATCGCATGAAAACTTTAAATTAACTTCCTCTTTAATTTCTTCTTCCATTTCTGAAAGAAATGGAATTTATCCATCTAATCTCAATTTTACAATAGCTTTATAGAAAAACTCTCCAGATATTGTTTTTTTCCATTTTCCAGACAGATAGTATTAGCTTAATCGGAAACCGATTAGATATACTCCCTAGCCAAAGACATGACTTATGTCACAAACTCATTGGAGCATTTCATTTCCCCATTGGTTGTGGATTTGATGAATTATTGTACGGTGGCTTAGATCATAAGAAGATAATACCTTTTGTGAGCTATTCCATTTTATGTTATCTTTTTCATTTTAATTAATCAATATTGTCTTTGAAATAGGATAGATGCAATGCTTTATTATAATTAATGATTCGTCATAATATTAATGAAAGGATGCTTTTACAAAATTCAGTGTAATGAATAAACCCACAGAATACATATCTCAAAAAAAAAATGTGATATTAAAAGTGAATTACATTTTATCCATTTAACTATTCTTTAATTTTTGTGCAATTATATTTATTTAGTAAATAAATTTTATGAGTATCAACCACAAGAAAAAAATATTTGAAAATACTACTTCAAATCCATTCTAAAATTCACTTGAATATGTATAAGTTCCAAAAATTCTTGAGCAATCAATCATATAGTAGAATCTGCAATAAAACAGTCGATTAAGAAACTCAAATTAATTGGATTTATCAAAGTAAGTCCTAAATGAACTTCAGATTTTATCACCTAATGACTTAGAATAGTTCCTGATTTTGTTTAGATAGCCATAATAAATCAACATGAAATTAGAAAATAGTATGTCTAATACTTAATCTGGTTCATAATAATTTTATGAACAACTTGAAACAGAAGGAGAGAAGTTGAGATATAAGTTAAAGTCAGATGCTCGAATTGTGTAATCAATTATTGAAAAGCATACAAAAATGAGATCTAATAAATAAAGATGTATTGAATAAATGAATCATCTAATAAATGAAATTAAATAATCTAATAATGTTTCCAAATATTCAGAACTCAATCGATCAATAAAGTACAATTTCAATTAACTTGAGTCCATTTAATTAGAATTATAAGATATTTAAAAAGATGCCTCCACTTTTGAAAAGGTAATGTCAGTTTCTGCCTAATAATAATCAACTTTTCTCTAATATAATCAAGGCAGTAATTTACTAGATCAAACTATCGGACATTCATCAAATGAAACATCTGAAGCTGAGTTCACATCTTTATCTTTATAAATATATTCCTCAATTGAAATGCATGCCAAAGAATTAGAGCAAACTATTTCAGAGAAAAAGAGATTAATGTATATAAGCGAAAACTATCTGTAATATAAATAAGCATGCCAAGGCTTGATTTAACTGATCTAAAAGTATCCTTCATTTGAACAACAAAAATCATAACAAATGTTAAAGTTAGAGAAAATTGCTTCAATCTATTTTCTCGATTTCTAAAAAGAGTTGAATTAATAGATTTTACATTACGCTTAGAATACTGAATAAATTCGATAGTCTTTGTCTATTATTGAAAAGATGAAATATTTATTGGAATAAGCAAAGGGTTTGGATTGCATAACTGAATTTTATTAATACATAGAAAAGTAATTGACTGGAAAGCAACTTATAATTACATCAGAAAACAATATAAAATTAGTAAAAGCTTACTAAAAACAATTTAAGATGATTAATATCAATACATATCAATACTTACACATTATGAGATATAAGATTTATAATAAATGTCAACGTGAGTTTGATTAATTATAAATTGATATAAAAATAGCCTAGAATTTACAATCAATATTATTGAACTAAGTTAAAATATATAAAAATTACATTTCATCTAATTATTTTCAATTATTCAATGATGTTTTAGCAAAATTAAAATAAGATTTGAAATAAGAAACTTGGATATATTTAATCAATCTTTATAAAGAACAAAATTAGAGGAAATAAGATTTAAAAAATGTTCTTTAATATTTAACAAACTTAAAATATGAGAATAAATATTTATCTAGACTTATTCAATTATTTGAAAAACTAATAAAAAAAGAATTAGAAAAAATTCAAGCCTTTTATCCTTAACTACATAAATATTTAGAAATTAAGGACTTTAAGGCATAAAAAGATTTTGAAAATTTTTATTCTCAATATTTACAAAGCTATAATGAAATAAATCCAAAATAATTAAGCATATTATCTGATTTTAATTTATACTTGGAAAATTCAATTAATCAATAGTCAAACGAGTAATAACATTAATAATTAAAATCACTTTAAATCTTTCAACCTATAATTAGGTAATTAAGTAATAAAACAATAAGTGGAAATTTTAATGCTATAAAAGTATAATTTGAGGGTATACTTTAATTTGAAATTGATATTGTTCAACTGCAATCATCAATGAAATCTATTCTATCAATTAATTTTAATCTAATATTAGATGACTTTTTAGATATAACAAAAATTAATAACAATAGTGTTTTATCTTAACTAATGGATTTTATCTAAAAGAATATTAAAATTATTTCAGAAATAAAGAGCGAGTCACTTTATGACATCAAAGAATAACAACTTCGTCAATTACAATGGATTTGGATATTCTTTGAATAATTTGACAAATTTAGATCTGCCTTATCATAATTATTCAATAACAATTCAACAATCTATTTTTCCTAATATTCATAGTTCTTGACAAAAACCAATTTTAGTGCTTTATTCTATCAGCTATCTAAATGCAATAAAAAAGTGTGTAATAAATGGTATGATCTCTAATAGGAATTAGCTCAAATATGTCTTAGATCTTATTTATCCTATATAACAAATCTACTTGATAAAATAATCCTTTTATAAATGGATATTCCCTTAACTCAAATTATATTAAATGAAGAAAATTGTTAATTAATTTTATAATTTTTAGAATAGCACAATACAAGTAATTTATAAAGATTCATTTGCAAGCATTAGATCTACAAAAATATTAAGTAAATGCAATCAAATGAAATAAATTTTAATCAGATCAAGCAATATTTTGAACAATTGCGTTTGGGAAAAAATGATGAAGAATGTCTAGATCTAAAGTATATTGAAATTGAATGTTCAGAATCATTACAAAAAGATGTTGAAATATTTACAAGTTTACAAGAAGAATGGATTTTAGATCATTTAGAACAGGGCGATACAAGTTTTTTACAAGATTTCATAAATTAGGAAGGAATTTTCAGTTTGAACCTAATGAAATATAATTAAAAACTACAGAGATTAGCCAAATTATCTATTGAGCAAAGCATAAATTGGAGAAATATAAAAAAAATATTGAAATAAGACAGTTGATTATTTTTTTTACTAATTAATTATTTAAAAATAATAATAAAAATCAATGAATTTCTTAAAGTAATTCTTCAAGTAAATGATCAAAAATCATATCTGATAAGTCGATTGCAACTACAGTTTGTTCTTCATCGTAGCTTATCCATCTATCTTCATTTTCAATAATCTAAAGATTTTTCATCAAAAAAATACCTCAGCAGATAGCATTCTAATCATCCTATCTTCTTTTATTTAAGCTAGACACTCTTGATCAAACATCAGAATCTTAGGATATGGACAATCCTCTTTATCAATTAGAAATCCAACTAAATAATGACACCATTCCAAAACTTTATCTAAGCTAGATTTTATTATGTTTGGCATATCACTAATAATCTTTTTTCGAAACTGTAATCTACCAGCATCAGATTTCCAAGCATAAGGTTATCCTGCCATCCCATAAGGTCTATGATAATCTAAAGCTTCATTCAAAGCATCGAATATTGCTTTATTATGAATATGCTCCAATTCAAGTAATTAAGATGTTTGGCTCTTCAGAATTTATTCATTTATTAAAAATCTCTCAAAAGTACCAAATAGTTCTGCAGTCATTATGATATTTTACAAGTAATTCTCATTCTAATTAGAATCCTCATCGGATAAAATGGTTGAATCAGAAATAGGATGTAAGAATTTCAGCATATCTTTTGATGAAGGTCCTAAAGGAACATTTATTTTGGCTAACACTTCATCTTTAAAATTGCAAAGCATAAACTCTGTTAAATGACTTAAATAAGTCTTGACTTATGGAATTCCAGTTTTAAAGCCTTTGTTTTAGTTTGTTCCATAAGATGTTTGCAATTAAGATGGGGGCCTATTGATCAATGCTTTTGTAACTAATTCAAAAATATCAATATTCTGTCTGCCAAGTTCTTAGCAGAACAATTAAATTTCCTAAACTATCAACATATTTGAAATGAGGATAGAGTATGATTCTGCCTACTTTTCAGACATCTTAGATTAATCTCTTACAATGTCTGAGACTCTTAAAACTTGAGATTAGGCTAGCAAATGCAGATTGAATGGCTCTTGTTCATAATCTGCAAACTAGTGATTAGAAGGACTTGAGTTATTTTTAAAAATCACTTCATCATCAAAATTTTATGATTTGCTTAAATCTTCTTCACTAAGTAAGGATGATTTTTATGGTAATTAATGTTAAAATTATTGAAGGTTTTAATTTTGAATGTCTATAATACTATTTCTTAATGATTATTCTGAATATAAAACAGATTCTTAACTAAAACTATCTATAATCTTTATGTAAGATTGTGAATTCGATTGAGATATCTATTTCATAAATAGAAGATCTCTTTGAGTTTTCATTACAGTCTCATAAGTGCTTTATTGACCCTTGATAATCTCATTTTTTTTCTTTTCCAAATCTTTTCTTTGTTTTGTTACCCATTTTTCAAGTTTTCTATTCTATTAATCATAAGTCTTAGGAGATATTTATTAGTTTTAATAGGCATCATTTATTGTTTTAATTTATTATTTATGTCTTTCTTCAAGTACTTTCTCTCTCATTACTATTAGTTCATCCATTTTATCTCTTGACATGAACTCTTTGAATTTAACCGAAACAAAATCTTAAAATGAAGTTTATTCGAAGATGCTCTTCTCTTAATTGAAAGTCTAATCTTCTTAAGATAAACTTTTAATAAGAGATTCAGATCCAATTGCACATCTGATTTCTCCAATTTCAACTTATTATTAATTCTAATATTCCTTTTCAATTTCATCAACATCAATTGACAATCTCTTTTTTTTTTTGAAGGTTATTTATTGATTCATAATCAATGAATTCTTTTCAGTACTTTCTCTGCAGTTTTCCATTTCTTGTTATTCTGAAATTGCTGATAGGAATTGCTTTTTTTCAGTAGTTTTCTTTTCTTCACTATCTATTGAATCACTAAAGCCTTCAATGTAATCTTAATAGGAATGTGCAGCAAATATTTATTTTTGCGCTTCTGGTACTTCTTCTTTAATTAATTTTGCTTTTTTATTCTTATTTTATATTGAAGAGTCTGAAGATTTTTCACTTTGGTCCTTATCTATTAATTAAATTTATCCTTTTGAATCAACTTTTATGTAACCCATCTTTATTAATTCTTGAATTTGACTTTAATGTAAATCATTTAAATTAAATTCTGCTTATTCTTCCTCTTTTTTAAAATAATCTTAATAATAGCTTAAAATTTATCTTGTTTTATATCTTCTCCACACTTTTTATATTTTAATAGCTGCTTGTTCATCTGTTTAAGATATTTATCTTTTTTCACTATATTTACTTGCGGCCTACTCTATTGATCTAATTTCCTCAATTTCTTTAATATCCTGTTCATCCCAATCTCTTTATGAACTCAGCATTTCATCTTTATCTTCTCCTAAAGTAATGAGTTTCTAACTATAAAAACTATTATCAAAATTAGCAAAGTCCTATTCAGGATCGCTTTCATTAGGTATGTTTGCGCTACTTGAATTGCTCATATATTGATATATTGATGAGCACGGTTGCCTCATGGATTCATGATTAGACAATTACACTAATTTAGATTTATCAGATTGGTTTTTGAATTGACATAACACTTTTCTCTTTTTCTTTTAATCATATCTATCTGATATGATATTTTCTTTTTAATCTTCATAAATAATTCCATAGGTTGATGCAGTTCTATTTTTTCTTCTTTATTTTGTATCTCCAACTGAAAGAACCTTCTATTTCTTGATCTTATATAGTCATTGAGAATTTTATAAATTTTGATGGATTTTGAATTGTCTTTCGTATTCTTTCTTTCTTAATTCTTATTTTGCTATCATAATCAGTTTCTATTTGAATTCTTTGTATTTCCTGATTTCTTCTTGGTTGATTTAAAATTTAGGTTTGTTTGGATCTTTTTTAGTTGGAGTCAATGATTTATTTATTTCTAAATGATATAAAATAAGAGTGCTTACTTTTCTTTTTAATAAATTTATCGATGGATATATTATTTAAAAATGAAACACCTAATTGATCTCTCCTCTATTTAATGTCCACATCAGTTTTATTCACTCTTTTCAACATGGTGTCTTGGACATTTCTCTATTTGAGTTATTCATTTAAAAAGTAATTTTTTAATCGTTCCTAATTGACTCCCCAATTGAAGAGAGGGGCAGTATTAACTTTTTTTTATTTTTAAAGCTTGTTCATACTAGTATTTACAAACTTTTTAGGTTTACTACTTTTTTCAAGCTTTTCTTATGATGCTTTAGTCACAGGCGCGCTAAGCTTAGTATTTAAAGCCTTCTTCTTTTTTTTCTTTTTGGTTTTAATTTTTGTTGGTCTATTGATCAAATTACCCAACATTATATCATTTTCTTCTTCTTTGATTATATTCCCATATTAAGGATGTTCTCGAGAGTTTACTACTAAAGGAGTATTAGTGAAGGAGTCTAATTTACGTCCCTTAATAAAACTGTTCTCTTTGATTTGAACACTTATATTTAATTTTGAATTGTCTTAACTTCTCATTTGAAATTTTATTTTGTTAATTATCAAATATAAAGAGAATTAAAAATAAACAAAAGAAATCCATAGATATTTAATAGCAATCTTCATTTGGTGTTATTTTGATAAACCCATAAAGTAATGTAAATGTGTGCTTCTACTACTTAAAATAATGAACATATAATGGAATTGGAACCCTTTGGGTCATCCTTCAAATGGGAACGTAAGAGTTAAGATTAGCATAAGGATGGCTTGAATTAAGCAGGTTTGTAGCCAATTTTGGTGAGTTTTTATACATTTTATAATATTTTTTTTATATCTATTTATTGATATACATTGCTATCAACCTTCGGTTAGAGTTTAAACTGAAGTTTTGCTTGATCCATCCTTAAATTTATAGGTCTTAGTTATTTTTGTTATTTTTTGTCCATTCTTAATAGAGATAGCAGTTGAAGTACTAACTGAAACGCATCCTGGGGGCAACTTTTCTAAAAAGAATCTAATAAACTTGAATACCTTCTTCTTCATCTTGTGGAAGTAGAGGACCTACGTTACCACCTTTGCCTCCTAACATCATGTTTTTCATTTAATCTTTCATATTTTAGGGTTGCGATTATTGTGCTTTGGGCTTTTAACCTTGTGCTCCCTTTGGAGTAAATTCACCTGCAAAATCAAAGACACATTAAGTCTAATATTATTTATGGTCTCCTGCTGCTATTCCAACTAACAAGAAGTCAGGACTCAAACAGTTTTTTCTATGTCCTCTTGTGCCTACTCCATCATCAATTAATAATTAGATGATCACATCCTCCCCACTCTTTTGGCCATAACTGATATTTTCTCCGATTTTACCGTTCCATTCTCCATACCTTTCAATTCTGTCAGATAGAGATGAACCATCAGTACCAGTGTGACCACATACACCTTTTGGACCTGTATCGTTAACATGATCAATACAAGCTTACTCCAATCCCTAGTCATATGTCAAAGGTTGAAGAGGTTATTGTTTTTATAAAAATGCAATTAATTCTAATAATAATTCGTTATTTATACCTTGGATAACCTTAGTGCCCTCATTAGTTTATAATGGAATCTCCCCAGGTTTGTAAAGTACGCTACCCTTGAATAACTTCATCAGTTCCTATAACTTAGGTATGGGGAGAGTTGGATTTTACCTAACTTGATTCAAATAACCAAAAGCGTCTTTGGCAATCTTATCATCAGGATCTTTGGATTATGCTTTAGCAGGAGGTGCTTATTCTCTGGATTGCATTGGGGCACTTTAACCTCCCTCATTTTATGAAGCTCCACCTTATTATGAATTTCCATTAGAATCTGAGCCAGCTTAATCTTAGAAAGAGCCTGCAAAATCAAAAACACATTGAGTTTTGAATTATTTATGATCACCATCGAAAATGCCGACTGCTCCGAATTCTGCTTTGAAACAATTTTTTCTATGTCCTCTTGACGATACACCATCATCAATAATCAATTAGATTATGACTATGTTCATATATTGGATAGAAATACCATCTTCTCCAGTTGTTTGACCATAACTGATATTTTCACCTATTGTCACATCCCACTCACCATATCTTTCAATTCTATCACTCATTGATGATCCATCTGTACCGGTATGGCCTGTAACACCTCTTGGTCCTGTATCTTTGACATGATCTCTAGCTGCGCATTCCAAACCCTTACTCCAAGTCAATGGACCAACAGGCTTTTGATTCTGTAAGAAGGAGATGCATTCTGAAAATATATAGCATAAATTATTAACCATTGACAACTTTTGGCCCTTCATTGGTTTATAAAGGGATCTCTCCTGGCTTATATACAACATTTCCTTTGAACAATTTAAGATGTTCCTACAACTTTTGGATGGCAATTTAAGGATTTTGTCTGAGTTTATTAAGATATTCGAATGCTTCTTTCGATATTTTGCTCATTAAATAAATAAATATTTACAACGTGCAAAAATGAATGAGTTAAGTTAAATCACATTTAAATATAATACTTTAAAAGATTATACAAAAACAAATCAATTCTGTTTAGTTTTCTTCTTTTTCGATTACTCATCTGCTGAACTTAATTTCCTTATGATCCACATTATACCTGCTCCTATGCAAAGAAAAACAAGTATTAAGAATAGAATATCTGAGAAGTTGGCTTTTTGTAATTTTGGTTGATAATCTTGTAATATTCTATGTTTTCCTTTTGTCTACTGAGCAGCAATCTTCAAGTACTCTAGATCCAAGTCATCATAATCGTCGTCTCTCTCTCTCTCCAATTGTTTTTTCTTATTCGAATCTTCAGCCAATGCAGATTCAAAGTCCTATCATTTTCAACAATTCAATATACTTCAATGTATTTCCACACTGCATTCTCCTAATCACTGATTTCTCTTTCCCAAGAACCGTTTCTGAATTGATTGAAATCAATCTCCTAAAACAAAGCAGGCAATCTTGAATGATCAAACTCCTCCGCTCTCACTTATAATAACACTTAAACACTTTCATCATAAGTGAGCTACTTGGAACATGAAATTGCATGAGTGGTATATAATTTGATCCAAACATTTTATTGTTCCACCTTAGAAGCTTAACTATTATTAATAATAAATATTCACTTATCTACAATTTCAACAAGTTCACTTCCATAATTTCCCAAGTGCATTCTGGCTAAAATGATACACGTATAATAAATTGTATCTCTTTCCTTCTTTAATTTCTATTCCTACAACAATCTGAGTTGTTCTTCAGGAGAGATCTCCTGAATTGTTTCGATACCATCTTGATGAATAGTATCATCTTGACATTTTGCCAGAGCTAAGAGGAAAATAATTGGAATTAACATTAATTAATTAAACGTGTAAAATTAATATCAAGAATCAATTAAAGTTTAATGAATTTATGTATTTAGTACTGCTGCATTTTATTATTCCAAAAACTTAGTATAATCATCATCCTTAATCGGAATTTCATCAATTTATATGAAAAAGTAATCCTCGTTCACTTCTGGCTACCAATTTGTCAGAATTCGCACAACTTCATCCAAATTACTCATCTAAATGATATTCATTCATTCTTACTTTCAACTCTATCTAGAAATATTTCAAATAACAAATTCCAACTTTGAATAAGTAGATCTCTCCTTCCAACAGAAAATTATCCCATAATCTTGAAAGCATGGGAAATTTGAATTGATGTAAGAATATTTTCAAAAACCATTTCATTAAATAGAGCTTTGTTTCTAATTTAATGGCCTTGAGATGGTTATGTACAAAAGGTAGAATTCTTTATAGGTTCTCCTCAAAGAATCGCAGTCTCCATTCGATTTATCTTATATCATTTTAAAAAACACTCAGGAAATGATATTAATGGAGTAGATTGACCAAGGCCTAGAAACAATCATATTCTTGCAAATGCTTGATAAGAACTACTGCAATATCTATTAAATCTGGTATGTATCCGAAATCTGGTCTATAATTACTGAAGGCATGCAAGATATTTGACAACTCCTTGGCTTTGACATCAGTAATGAAAGGATATTGTTGCTTTGCCCTTTCGATATCCCCTCTAATGGCTACATATTGATTATAACTATACATTCTTAAATGATTTTAGAGTCTTTAACATAGTAAGCATAGAGTTCTTCTCTGATTTTAAGGTTATTACCTATAATGATGGGCCATAGAGTTCTCCTTGTAAAATCAGGTAATCCAAGTTTCCATAAGATCATGAGTAACATTGACTTATTTTTCTTTCCTTGCACAATCATCTCCTATTAGATATTGCTTCCATTATTGACTTCAGATTGATTGCTGTAATGTTAGTTTTGTATTTGTTGTCTATTCTATATAGGATTTAATGAGATAGTCTTCTTCAGACAACGACATAAGCTTTCTAATACACTGGAAGAATTAGCCTGATTCTAAGCTTTCTAAACAGCTTCTTCTTTTTTGACACTAATGTACTACTTATAACTCAAAGGTTTATTGGGTTCATAATCCCAATGCGAACGCCAGAATGGTAAGATGTCATTTCTCCATATTTCTGATCTCTTCTCCTCATTCTCCTATCTTCTTTATTTCTCTTCTGCTCTCTTGGCTTCCACCTCTCTACGATTTATAATGACTGCTCTTAAGTAATTGATCCATTTTGATTTAATTTCCAAATCATTCACTTTGATATCCACTGATCTACGAATTGTAATTATTGAAAAACAAAACATGTCAAATTCTGGGGGAATTTTATTCTTAATCATGATTTCAGTTGTATTGTGTCCCAAAGCTATGTCATGTACATCACACATATTAATGTATCTTGCTGGTTCATTATCATTATCTATCGATCTCCAACATATACGTCTTAATTAATCATTTATTGAATTACTTTTCATCGCTGCTTAAGAAGAATTTCCTTGGCTATCCCCCATTGTATCTGCCATATTTGACCAAATTACATCCTTTCATTAGATCAAAGGCTACTTACAGCCATTTCGTTATTTGCTCTCCTTGTAGTTTCTCGTTACAGAGAATCATACGATTGTACATCTATTCTAAATAATCCAGCGTAGTTTGAAAGGGTTCTCTCGTTATTGAGTCATAAACCTCCTCAAAGTATTTAGGTGGTATATCTGGAAATACTGGAATATTGTTTTTTAAGAATTGTTCCTTTGTCATCTTATTCTTCTCTAAGATTTTAGTAGAAGCAGCATCAGTAGATAACATTATGAATGAATAAGCCAATACATAGGGTGTTTCATCTGACTTAAATTCGTTGGGATTTTATTAATGATATACTCTTGCAAATATTTTGACAACTCTATCCACCATTTATGCTTCTCCTGCTAATCGAAATCTACTCAATAATAATCTCATTGAATCTAAATAACTTTTCCCTTTTAAATTCATAAGATGACAATAAGCCTCAAAAATCTCTTAGTTCTTTTGATCTGGCTTACAAAAATATTTGTTTATTGCATCCTTGTTCAATCCCTTTGTATTCATAAGCACCTTGGCTTTGTCTTCATTCGTGTTCTCAATAACTTAATTTTCAATCAAATATTACAATGCCTAAAATATACATTATATTTATGAATACACTATTCTGGTCCTTAGAAAATCTAGTTATAAACTAATCAATATGAACTCTCTATTAAACTGCCTATTCACATATTGTAATTTGTTGTATTAAGGGATTATTCGCATTTAAAATCCTATCCATATTACTTTATTATTTCTCTTATTGTTTCTTAGATTTTTACTTATTATTCTATTCCCTTGGAGAATCGTCTTCAACTATTATTACTTAATCCTCATCATCATCTAGCATTTTTCGAAGTTATTAATTATTAAATAATATATAACTATTGTAGCAAGTTTATGCTTTATGCAATTTAATATTAAATTAACAACAAAATTTGAATTAAATGCCACCCAAGATTAAACCAAAACAAATCAGATAAATGATTCAAAGTACAACCATTCTGCCACCAGGAACTGACAAAGGGTCAGATAAATCATTTGGAGAATTTTGTATTAAAATGAGTAAGGTCTAATGGATTCAAGATTCAAACCCTCATTCTGGCAATTTAGTCTATCGTATCTCTTTTTGGGGATAGGAAGGAGATGGACTATTAGTATAAGCAGTAAACTAAAATTTGCAATACTCAAGTGAATTGAAGTATGACATTCGAGTTCCGATTATTTAATTTCATAAATATTTGAATGAGGCTGAAAAAGTTATGATTTATCTTGTGGATTCAGAGGATAAGTTTTAAATTTTTGGATACATTATCATTAATTTTGCAAGACATTTGAATAAAGACTTATCTAAAAATTAGGTATTTCATAACATTTCAGGATAATATCCAATTTATAAATACTTCCCAGAAATGCCTGAGAATAAGGAATATAAAATTGGATATCAGAATATCGAAGTAAATTCAAAATTTATACTACTATAATAATAAATAGAATTATGTGCTTAATTAAATCAATCCAATAACATTTAATAATTATAACATATCATGATAAAAGAATAATAATAATAATAATAATAATAATAATAATAATAATAATAATAATAATAACAATAACAATAAAATAAATAGACTTAATATCCTTAAATTAATGTCATTTTTCCAACTGAAAAAGAAGCTTGGTTATAATAAAATCCAGATTAAAAACTAGCTAATGTTTTATTTGCTAATAACCCATTCCAAAAAAATGCAGAAGTCAATCCAAATAATTATTATTAAGGAAATAATTATATTGATCCGGAATCTAATATCAATTAACATTAGAGTGAATAAACCAATTAAAATTAAAACTAGTAAAATGTCAATAATGATGTTTCAATTTAAAAAATGAGTCCTTCTAAGTAGGATTAAAATTTGAGTGGTTAAAAAACTAAAGTTTAAGGAAATGTTAAATTTGTTGATGATGTTTCAACTAGAATAGAATAGATATTGAGTTCAGTTCATTGTATTAATTGTTGTCCCTAAAAGTAGAAAAGATCTGACTCTGTATCTAATCAATAGAATTAATAAGAAAATAGTAGTAATAAAAAAAGCCACTCTATTTCTAAATAATAAGAACCATTTAGAAATTCTAAGCCTAATAGTGGACATTACAATAATTCTCCAACTTAATATAGATATTCCAATAAACCAGAAAATACTAAACCTAATCCACCTAAATTTAAATCAAACAGAAATTAATCACCTATTGAACAAGCAGAAAAACCTCAACATAAATAATCTGAAATCCCCCCTTAATAAGAACCAGTCCAAAAACCATTATAAGTTAAAACAACCTATCAAATAGAAACTAGAGGAGTTCAAACTATATAAGAGGAAGTCAAGACTCCTCCTTAAAACTATACAACTTAAAATTTTAATTATGATAAATTCTTTGATTCTTATCGAAAACTAAAGCTAGAACTAATTGATTTTCATGCTTATTCTTAATAAGTGTAATAGAAATTGAATGCAATAAATTTAAATAATATTTTTATTGATTGCTAATTCAAAAATTAACAAAAAAGGACATTTTTTAAATCTTAAGGATAGGATTTATATTCAATAAATGAGGCTGTAGAATTTGATGTGTTTATTAATGAATCTTCTTTTCAAGATTTTTAGGTTGATTAAATAAAATTTTTAATACAATGCTATAGAAAACCAGAAAATTCTGATGATCATAAGTATTTTAAAATTACACTCGGTGAAGGTTAATTTCAAATAGTTAAAGCAATTTCAAATGAGGAGTTTTATATCATAATCAACACAAATTTACCTTTCGATAGAAGCAACACTTCCCAAAATTCGGGTTTATAATACAGCGTAGTAAACAAAGATTTATTGAATGAATATTAAATTCAATAATAAAATAGACTTGGAGAGATTAGATTAAAAGCATCTTTAATTAGAAATCAAGAGTAATAAAATTTTATTGATCAACCAATCTATTATCATTATCATTCATTTAACCCAACTCTATTGATTAGATTAGGTAAAATAGTGGGAGTAGATAAAATTAATTGCAGATTCAAAATTCCTGGTTCAAATGATTTCTTCTAATCATCAATAAATGATTCAGTGTATTTGAATTATTAGGTTATTACTCCTTTAAATTTTGATTCGTTCTAAAAGATTGAAATTTCTCCTTTCATCGTTGAAGTATGGAAAGAAAAGGAGTTGTTGGGTATGATTAGAATACCATTGAAATCAATTCATGAAATTCTGATTAATGAGGCTTAGGAATTTAATGCTAATATCTTTAAGAATATCTATCCATTGATAATATCCGATGAACAACATCCAATTAGAAAGATTAGAGATTCTTTACAAGTTGGTTCAATTCATGTTTTAATTGCATTTGGTATTCCAGCACAGATAAACAAAATCAAAATAGAAAACATCTATACAAAAAGCATTCAAGAGGTGGGAAATCAATATGAGGAACCATAATAAGAATAGGAAAAGAAAAAAGTTGATCAAGAAATTTAAATGGAAGAAATTCCAAGAGAACTAACTTTTTAGGAGAGATATGAATATTTCAATTTTGAATTGGTTGATAATATACACTAATCTATAATTGAGGTTTTGTAATATCTAAATAAGAATGATAATTAATTTTAAAAAAACATTCCTAAGGGGCAATTTTTTAGTGTTGAATAATTACAATTCATCAACATAACTGAGGAAGCTCTATTTGCATTCATAAGAATCTTTGATTTCAAGAATTAGCATTCAATAAAAAAAGAGCATATGCTTAATAGTCTAACTGCATTCAACATTTTTAGGCCTAGAATATCCGTAGAAGTAAACAAATAGATTAAGAAATTCATTTAATATCTAATTGATTAGCGATAGGATCCTCTTGAGTATGTAGGTAAAATTCTACAAAAGAGTGATTATGGAATAATGGAAAGATCAAAATTAGAGTAATACATTCCTGACTTTGATTTTGAGTTCTTTGGATATTTCTTGGGGCAACCTCAGGATAGAAGATTGGTTTCAATTAAATTATTATATGAATTAACATGTTAGTTTGTGTAATTCAATTATGTAAAATTAGAAGAGATAAATGAATTTTGGTATTGTTTAGCAATCTAAAGTTCAATATTATAGAAGGCATAAATTATACAACTAGATGAAGTGACAAAGTTGACTCTCAATATTGAAGAAGTACAAGAAATGTTTAATCAATGCCTAATTAATGTATCATTTTGGGAAGTGTATTGTATATTCAGATTCATTAAAGTCAAGAACAATAATTTTGTATTACAGGATTGGGAGATATAGAAATCACTATTGCAAGATTGGTTTTCGATCAAATAAGAGGAAGTTAAACCTCCTGTTGTGTAGAATAAACCAAAGTAATTTGATTTGGAGGATAAGGAAAATTAAAATCAAGAGAATAAGAACCTTGAATTTTATGTGCATAAATTTAGTATCACTCTAAAAGAAATCTAAAATTTGAAATTATCGATTCCTTATGGTACTCAACTTTGTGTTGAATATAAATATCCGCTATGTGAATAAATAATCAAATCATACCCTTTAATTTACTCAAAGTAAACTCAATATCAATGTCCTTCAGAGTCTACTTACACATATATTTAATAAATTGAACAAAATACTAAATTTATTGATGTTGTTGACTCAATAGAAGGAGGTATATATTTTAGACTAAAGACTGATGAACAAAGCTTGGCTTAAACTTTCCTTTCTTGTTAAGAGATAGTCAGTTGGATGGAAAGGAATTCAGATTTGGTTAAAGATAAAGTCTTAGTGTTTATGCCTGTAAATGCTAAGCTTAGTTTTAATATCAACTATTCTAGATAGAAGATAACTTAATAATAACTTTCCTCGAATCCAGAATTGTTATCCAGTCATAATCAAACCCATCAAGAAATTCATTTGCCTAAAAGAGTAGGATTAAATGTCTATGCTGAAGTAACTCTAAATGATAAGGCACTTAAATTTGAAGATAAAATAATCAAGGTGGATATTTATTCAGCTGTCAATTTTACTGCATAGATGTAAGTATTTTACTTAATTTAGATCTAAATAATAAGGTTAAAAGACTGTTATAATAAATGAAGAAAAACAATTGTAAGTTGATAATGAATTGATCTAAGCGTTATCAGCATAATAAATGATCATACAAGTGTCGAGCAATACTTAAAATCTTATTGGAAAATGTGAATTGATGTAAACTTAATTGCTAAGAGGGTAAATTGAAGGTGAATTTGCGTTAACTAACTCATTTGGTTTATTTGTTGGAATTGCTAAATTGAAATGCCAATTGAATAAATACAAAATTCCTTTGGTTCAACAATAGGCAATATTAAAGGAGAAAGAGTAGGAAGAAAGATTAAAATAGATTACTTGTATGATTTCAATTAGAGAGATCATTATTAACATTTCTTAATTGTTAAAACCAGCAGGCAATGACACTGGTTTTCTGTACTTTGTCTTGAAACTCAATGGGAAAACTCATTAAACCAACCCTGAACAAATCGATAAAAAGAGTAATATTAATTTTTATACTAGAATTGTCCTGTTAATTGGCATAGTCATTCTTAGCAGTGGAAATGCAATCTTATTAGGAGTTAACAATAACTGTATATTTTAGTAAGAAGAATGCTGCTAATCAATTGAAGGATGTTAAGTTAGGAGATTTAAATATAAAGTTTAATCATTTGACTCAAAGTTAAATTGATAGTAGATTTATATGCATGAATGAATATTTCACAATTAATTATGACTGTTTTATTAGCAGAGTCGGCATTAAGCTGATGTTAATTAATGAGTATGAGGAAATGATTCCAAATTTTGTGAAATTTTATTCCTAAAATCAAATATATGGTTGCTAGAAATTGAATGAATTGCAATAGAATTATAAGATTGACAGATAGCTATATGAATACATTTCGAAATTAGTTAATAACAACGAATATGCATTTCTGAGTGATCAGATAGGATATCACTTCAATAAATAGAATTTCTTCTTGTCAGAGTAAAATTTAACATGGGACTTGATTGAAGAAGTATATAAATTATCTAATAATGGGTTTATGGAGGAGAAGAAGGCAAAGCAATTGTTAGATTCCTTTTACATAGTAAATTTCAGTGAGAAATCATATTCTCTATTCACAAAACCCAATGTGTTTGACAAGAATGGTTATAAATATTTAAATCAATTTGACTTTTCAGTATTCCTATCAAAAATTAATTTGAATATTGAGGTCCAATAAATAAATGAGATAGTAATACAAATAGTAAGGGCTTAAAACTTACATTTATTGAATCAAAATAAGGCTCCCAATCCAGTTATTTAAATGGTGTTGGGAGATTAATCATATAGAACTCCAGTGCAAGTGAGAGAAAGCAATCCGACTTACAATTATTGTTTTAGTGTAGGGTTGGAAGCTAATTGTAATTTGGAATTCAGAGTTCTGAATTCAGGAGCAGAGAGAGAGATCTTGGGTTCATGTTTTATGAATAGTAGTGAATTAATAAGATTACACGAGAAACAATCAAGTGAGGAGATTAAAATGTACATTCATGGAAGCAAGGCTTAGGCATACTTAGTGGTGAAGGTGGGAACAGGTTCGAAGACTTTGTAAACATTGGAAGAAGTTTAACATTATTAAATAGAAGATGTGGATTTGGAGAGAATAAGGGCAATAATTGGAAAAAAATGATATTAAAATTTTTAAATTAATTTTAAAATGGTCAAGAATGTTGCTTAAGAGAGTGTCAACTAAAAACTCTAATTGGTTGTTAGATCAGGAAAGATCACCATGGGTTACAAGTAAACCTTGAAGGCCATCAGAAATGGAACTGCCAAGCTTGTATTCATTTCAAACAATTGTCCCACAATCAGAAAGACCCAAATTGAATACTATGCCATGTTGGCTTAGATCACCATTGTTTTATATCAAGGAAACAACGTCGATTTAGGTACGGGGGTTTAATTGGGAGGCTTAGCTCTTCCTAATTGAGTTTATGGGCATGAGTGATTTTATCTTATTTTAGGTACCGCCTGTGGTAAATTACACAGATGCTCAAGTTTGGCCATCATTCGATGCAGGAGATTCTGATATCTTAACATAATAATGATACATTTTTTATTAGTACAATATTATCAAATCATCAATTTCTTCATTTAATCATATGAGAATTATTTTATTCCATCGATAAAACCTATAGTGAATATCGAATCGAAAGAGATCAAGAAATATTATTTTCAATCTATAATAGTGAAGAGTTAATAATGATATTTTGTGTAAATTATAAGAATATTAATTCATTTAATTTTTTATATGTTTTTTATTTATATAATCTAATTACTTTAAGTACTAGGATAAGATGATGATCCTATTCACACTTCTATCATTCATGGAAGTTCAGATTTAGGATACTATTTTGTTAATATTTATGTTGGCAATCCTCCCTAGAGACAATCAGTTATTATTGATACTGGAAGCTCAATAACAGCCTTCCCTTGCGATGCTTGTGATTAAACAAAATCATGCGGAATCCATTTGGATTAATATTACATTAGAAATAATTCATCAACTTAAGAAGAATTGGATTGCAAAAGTCAATTTGGAGAATGCACTTGTCTGAGATGTTTGAATCAATAATGCATTTTTTCTATTTCCTATTCTGAAGGATCACATCTGGAAGGGTTTTATTTGAAGGATCAAGTGATTTTTGGGGATTTATTAATGGAGGCTAAGTCATCATCCAATGAATCAATCTCAAAGAAGGATAGTAGTGTGACTAGTGTTTTCGGATGCACCACCAGAGAAACGAATTTATTCAAAACTCAATAGGCAAATGGTATAATGGGCTTGTCTCCAAAGACTAACACTAGTCTTGCATTTCCTAACATTGTGGATGATATTCATACTCAACATAATGGAATGAACTTGTTCTTTGCCATTTGCATAGGGAGAATTGATGGTTACATGACAATAGGATAATATGATTACAGCAGACATCAGAAGAACAGTGCGTATTATACAATTTAGTACATGCATACTCAAAATAAGCCAGTTTATGGTGTTAAGATCTCTCAAATTAAAGTTCATAATAAAACCATCTTGGCAGGAGCAGATCTATAATCAGGAGGAGGTTCATTCATAGATTCTGGATCTACTCTTGTGAATGCTCATCCTGATGTCACAAGAGCATTGGTGAATTTTTTTGTGTGTGAATCTGCTAATTGTCCTCAAATGCAGTTTAATGATGACTTGGCATGTTATGTGTATAATAAAACACTCCATGGATCCTTTGAGTAATTTATTTCATTCTTCCCTACTTACCAATTTATCATGGAGAATAATTTTATCTTTGATTGGACTCCGAGAGATTACTTAACCAAAGACATGGTATAACATGATGCTTATTGTTTACCTGTTGCAGGGTACTCTGGCAGTGTGAGAATGATATTGGGGTAGGTGTGGATGCGAAATTGGGATATTGGTTTTGACAAGGAAAACTTGACTCTAACCTTTGTAAGAAGCAATTGTTCCTCTGACTAATTGAAACATAATTTCACTGCTGATGATTGGTTTTAAAATGAATTAAATCAATCCAATATCACAGTCAAAACTAGATATCCTCCTAAAAATGTCGACTAAGAATTTCGTATATAACATAATTATATTTTATAGTATATGAAGCTCTCAAAATAGTTATTGTGGTTCTTACATCGATCATCATAATTATTTTTATAGTTTGTATCAGAAAGAGAAATTTAAGTAAACAGAATAAAAAGGGATCAAAATTACCAGAAGCAGAAGATGAAGCTTAGAAAGCAGTACAAAAAAATGTTGTTGTTGTTTAATGAAAGTATTAGTAAAATTAAAAATTCTATAAATATTATTGTTATTTTGAATGAAACTCAATAACACTGATTTTTAACTAATAAATGAAAATCCAATTATGTAATTAATTTTGTTTATTAAATATGTTCGTTAATAACTATTGCTTGCCAATGAATTGTATTGTTGCTCCACTCAACGGTTGTGGAGGAATATACTTAGGAAATGTTGATGCAGCCTAAGATTCTCAATTGCTCAATTAACATAAAATTGGAGCTGTATTGTAAATATTAGATTAATCTGTTCCTGTATAAGGAGCCCAAAAATTAGTAATGTCTTATCAATATATTTAGTGGATTATGGCTGAGGATTCAGAAGACTTTCCTCTACATAAATACTTTGATTAGAGCATAAGATTTATAGAGAATTAAAGCAAAAAGACCAATGTGCTGATACATTGTTATGCTGGGATATCTAGATCAGCTGCAATAGTAGCAGCATACATGATGCAGAAATACAATTGGAGTGTCAATTAGACAATGCTGCATATCCAAAGTAAAAGAAGGATTGTGAGTCCAAATTCTGGATTCATGAAATAACTAAAGGATTTTGAAAGGAAATTATCAAATCAGGATCAATAATTATCATTGAACTCATTTAAGTTGGACAGATCAAATTACAGGCCAAGTTCAGCATTGTCTAATTACAATAAGATAAGCACTCCAGCTAAGTCGAATTTCGATAAAATAAATATACCAAGCACTAAGTCATCATCGAGATTGGATGATTTTAGTAGTAAATTAGATCAGTTTAGACATTTATTGAGAGTGAAACAAAAGGCTTATTGACTTTACTTAATATAAACTATTATAAACTCAATTATTAATATAAATATGTTCAAAGACTTAGGATATCAATTGCTTATTAAATGGAAACTCTGGAAAGTATTGATACTAGTATTTCCATTTACATTTATATATGGAATATACCTGCTCTTTGTAATATCATCTAAATCAGATCGAAATTCCTTTGATGGAAGTCAATTAATTCAAGTCGAGGTCAATAATGAGTTAGCTTAAACCTTAAGTTAGTATTCTGAGTAATACATGAAAGAATTTGGTAAGACTGGCGATATCCGATAATTGATGATGAAAACGTTTAATAATATGGGTTTGGAAACATTTTATTAGGAGAAGCACAAAAATGTGATTGCAAAATTGAAAGCACCAAGAAGTCCTGATTATGAATGCAGTTTGATATCGTTTGAATATAACGATGAGGTTCCGAATATCAAGATCAGAAGTATTGCATATGTGTTGGCACTCATTAGACTATTTTAATCAGATTGTATGAATAAAAAATAATATTCTTAGACATAAATTATTTATCAAGAGATTTAATATTTGTAGGCTATCATTCAAATCATAAAAGATACGGTCAAGGAATTACAGCATTCTTGGAAGAGTATGTAAACCCATAGGGAGTGTCCTTTATGCCCAGATCTGGGACTATCAGATCTTCAATCAACATCAATCTAGATGATAAATTTGATTCTGTTGCCTTGAAGGTATTTGGATTGAATGGTAAAGTCTCAGACAGAGATTATTACAATAGTATCAACAAGATTATGGAAAAATAGAATTTTTATTATTAATTTACAGAAACTAACTATTTTTGGATGTAAAAACTTGAAACCTACTTAGAAAATTAAATAAGAAAATATTGGTAGCTATTAGAATTAAATTCTCTGTATTAGATACCTTAAGCTAGATTCTTATATATGAATCCTTATTTTTCAAATCAAATTGAGATGTTTCAAGGAGATCTGCATGATGCTCATTCTTATATTATGAAATATGGAATTTATTCATTAACATTAAGAGGGTACAATTCTCAAAACAAAAATGATACAGTTTAATTGACTAATAAGTTGTTATTGGTAGGAGAAGCCAGTATTAAGGCATTAATGGCAAACGATGAATTCATCCATTCTGGTTCAACTCTATATGTTCCTTTAAACAAAAATTCAACATTGACAATACAGAATTATTGTTTGCCTTATGTGTTTGTGATTTTGAGTTGTGCCATCTTTGCCATAAAGTCAGTTTATAGTAGATGGCATTTCAATTTATACAATGATGATAAAAAAGAATTGGGTAGATGCAATTCAATGGTTGCACATAAAGCAATCATTGAAATCTTTATGGGTTTCACCTTATGTTTCATTCCAAATATGATGAGTTATTTAAATATACAGGAGTTCGAGTATTTCAATTAATTCTTTGCCATTATGCTGGCCATCATAGTGATATACTAGATAATCATTTATTCTACCAGGAAATGGATTTTTGGATAATTTAGATTGCCTCGTAAAGAAAGTGTGGCAGAATGGTTATGGGTTGAATTAGTGATTTAGGTATGTTTTGTGATGATGTATGCGGGAATAGTTCAAATACCAATAGCCACATTTATTGCCATTTTCTTAGGACCTTGGTTTTTCTTCATTTAACCATTGAGATTTAAACGTACTTTTATTTGTTAATGTAGCTAATTTCAAGTTATGGGATATATTCACATACTTAATCAATTTACTGTTTTTATATGGATATTTTTAGTTGTTTTCATACTTTGGGTTTGAGTCGATTTTAACATACTATAAACAGGTGGTTATCAATTATAATAATGTTGGAGTGTATTTATTTTATTATTTAAATGGGGCATTGATTCCATCTTTAATAAGATTTTTTGAGTTGTTGTTATTTTGATGTTTGATTTAAGATGAATTTATATTGTTAATGAAACTTAAACATGAAGTGCAAAATCATTATATTGTATTTAATTAAGAATTCAAAAAATCATACTATCCTATAATTCTGTCACATCCAGGACAAGAATGAGTGATTTTCATAAAATAGTTCTTCAAAGCAAAAGGAACCCAACAAAGACAAATCAAAGTCATTATTAACGTAGATATATAAGTGTAAATGGTGCTTTCCACAATAACTACTGAACTACAATATGTATGACAATTTTCACATTGTATTTATATTGGAGAAGTTGAATTAAATTCGATTGCAAAACTAATTGAGGATTCAAAAAAGTGCTGATTTGATTTAGAGTCCGATTTGGCCTGTTGGGACATGTTATAGGCAGAAACAGCACTCGCATTTAGACTCTTCATTGATTAAGCCTTGCATGAATGACTTGATGTTGTAGGCATACCTCTACCTGGTGAATCTGTCAATCTCAATGGTATAGTCAATTACATTAATAATTAAATTTATAAGTAATCATGGTGATTGTTGTTATTTTAATCTGTTCTAATATTTATCCAATTGAGAGTGTAAGGTCTGGTTAATCACTTTCATCCCCAAATAATCCGAATTCAAGATTGCCAATTTCTAAGATAATTTGTGAATTTCATCCGTATATTTGAACTCTTACTCTTAAACTCTCTATTCCAATTGATTGACTGAATCTATTCTAACCTTGATTCCCCTTAACTCTGTTTAGCACTCTACCAATTCCTAGCCTTAACTGAGTAGCATCTATTCCTTAGTTGCTAGTTCCTCTTACATTGTTTTTAAGCCTTTTTAAGCCTCTACTAATTCCTTCTTCAATTCAGATATCTTTAATAACAATTTCTAATTCTCCTCTTGTGTAAGAATTAATTCATCGACGTTCTAAGGGTTAAAATAAGTTGGTTAAGCATTATTTTTCACTTTATAATTATTCCCTTTTTTCTTGAAACTCCTTTGAGAATCCTTTGGAGATGTCACAGTCTCTGCACTGCTCACACTTGGATCTTTCGACTGTAACTCAAATTTCAATTACTCTACCTCCTCATTCAACTCTTTTATTTTCTTATCACTCACTTTACTCTCAGATTGAACAAAGTAGTAATCACTTACCAACTGGTCATACTGTTTTTTCAAGGTATTCATGTCTATTTAAAGTTGATTACATCGTTTTTGCAATTGTTTTTAATCCTCAATCTATCTTTAATACTCTTGAACCACCTTCCCCATCTCATTCACAGTTTCGTCTTCCATCTGAATACTCTTATCCTCCATCATCATTGTAGTTTGAGTGTCTTTGCTAATATTTTCCCTACTGGGTTATAGTAGTGACTTCAATCTCCTATTCTCCAAATCATACTCCCTTAGAATTTATTTATATTATTCAATTTCCCTATACATCTCATCTTGATTTAGTAGGGCTATTTCATTATAGGATTTTGCTTCCGTCTAAACTAGCTTGGATTCTTGTTATTTGACCTTATTTGTTGACTCAGTTTATTTGACTCCAAGGGTTATTCCAAAATCATGGTCTGTTTATTGAGTTTAGGAAACCTTACTAAAATCTGTTTGAGTATTTTGAGAAACTTTTAGCACCTAACTTTTTTTCATGGGATCTTGCTTCTCCAATTTTTCAAGCAATTCCTTTTTCTGTTAATTACTCTATAGGATCATATTCTTAAAGCTGATTATCTATTTCTCATATTATTCAATAGATTTGTCTTTCTACTTTATTAACTCATTCAATAATTCCCATTTCTTGTCTTCACATTGTATCTGTTTATCAATATAAACCTTGTCTTTATCCTTATTCTTCAAATTTGTTAATTCATTTGTTAATCTCTCTACTTACTCACGTAACTACTAATCCTCGTTACTATTTGGCTTACGATTCTGCATTGAATAAGATTCGAGTAAGTTCCTCTTAACAGCCTCACCACCAGATTCAAATAGTTTAGAATGTCTTTGATGCATATTAAAATAAATAATAATTTTGAGAACAAAGTTGAACCTTTATTCCCTTTACAAATACCAATACCGAGACCGAATACTTTAGCTACATTAGAATAAGATTTTTCTATTAACCAAAAAGGTTTTTCAAACTAAATTTATATTTATTTCAACCATTTTAAAATCCAATTATTAAATCGTTTAGTTTTCAGAGAGTACTTGTGATATATATCAATTAAAATTTATTTTAATGGCTGACCAACTTCGAAGTTCTGTTGAATCTATCTTTTTCCTCTAGAACTTTATAGAGTATATCTACATCTATCATTTTAATATTAATTAATGTATTTAAGATTCTATTGAACCTAAATCATTTATCTTGGCAAGAAAAATATATTACACACAAAAATAGTAAATGATAAACTTAATTATTGTAATATAATCATGCAAAAGTACAAATTAATACAAATATATATTTATATTTTTAATTCTCTATTGATCATAATAGAATCAGAAATATATATCAAATTTTACAAAATCTATATTTATGCTATTCATCATAAATCTGTACTCCATATCAAAAATTAATTTCTTGATATTTTTATTCAATTTTGTAAACTATTATTTTATTACTCCTGTAGTTTTTGTGTCTTAAATTAATTAATCTATTCCTCTCTAAAAGAATTTAAAAAATTGGTTTTCTCATTATAATTAAATTAAAAATGTTTCTTGCAATAACTTATCCCTGATGTTTCAATCTGCCCAATTTATTATGATTATACAAAAATAATTTATTTGTTTTATTGGAATTTATAAATTATTTATTTAAGATTTACTATGCAGACATTAAAAGTGTTTTACGGTTTATATAATAAGTAAATCTTTGAAAATGGGAATTACAAAGCTAAGGGTGGAGAGTAAGTAAGTCAATAAGAGAATTGATTTAATAAGGCTATCTAATAATTAAGCATAATTTATTTAGTTCCATAGTTTTTAGTAGTAATTTATATTGCTTTGACTCTTCATTTCACACTTTGAGTCTACCATTAAAACTCATTTATAATAGAAATATTCTGACAAAAAGTGGATATTAAATTTTCTTTGCGAAGTATTAGCCTAAGATTTATTGTTATAAATAAAAAGAAAAACATACATAATTCTCTTTTTTAAGGAATGATAACTCTAATAATCATCAGAAATCTTCCTGAATACTTGATATTGCGAAATCATTATTAATCTCTATTATTTTCTTAAGTTCATTAGAAGTATCATTTTTCTTAAAAACTTAAAATTTCATAATATTTATATTATTTTAGAAATTCATTTATATCCTTCTTTATTTTTCAGATAAATATATTAATTTTATCATATTATAATATAACTTTTAAATAAAATCAAGTAAATGAAATTTAATTTTAGTTCTGATTGGCTAATGAGTCATTTTTTTGATTCTTAAATATTAATAAATGATATAATTACTTAAGGACTAATGCTTTTATATTATTGAGATTTACTCTTCTCAACTGGTAACCCATTAATTTATTACCTAATTTTGCCTATAATTCTATTTTAAGGTTATAGATTAGATGGTAATTCATCTCTTTCTACCAAAGGAGGATTCTAAAACTCTATCTGTCTATATATGAAGTCTCCCCAAGTTTCTCTAGGGTCAATAACAGGATCAAGTAATTATTACTTTTTAGGTTTTTCATAGATATTTGGAATGAGTTAGTATTCTGTTTTTAACTTTAAATGAGTTATCATAATTTCGTAATTTACATATCTGTAATCGTTATCTTAAGCAAATTGATAATAGGATGAAAACTAGAGAATTTCTTGTATGAATTCAAAAAGATAAAGTGCTGGTCGATAATTACCATGTAAAATAGAATAATCCAACGCTGAAAATCCTTGATTTGAACGAATATTAATATCAGCTCCAGATTAAATTAATAGAGACACAATTTATAGATTGTCTCTTTTGCAAGCCCACATGAGAGGAGTGATACTTGCGGAACCTCCTTAATTTGGATTTGCACCAAACTAATTATAATGTGAATCAGTGGTACGTCTAAGATTATTTGAACTAGAGCTTTATCATTTCTCCAAACAGCTCTTACTAAGGGAGTTTGGAGTATATCTGATGCAAGATCTTAATTAATTAAATTAGGTGACATTTCTAAGATTTGTTTAAGTTTTTCTACTTTTGCTTGATCAATATATCTTAAAAGCCTCTCCTTCTAACTTTAATTTCCCATTTAAACTAATTATAAAATATATTATAATATCAGTTATTTTCTTATTAAATTTCTAATAACGTCTCAAAAGGTGAATTTTAGATTATTGAAAACTAAAGAACTAGAAATATGATTAGAGTTATTTTAAATTAAAAAATTCAATTATTATTTAAATGCATGATTAAGAGAGAAATTATTATGAGCATTTAAGTTTATGATAATTATTTACTAATAAATAGAGCAATTTTTGGAAATCAACAAAAGCTATATTGATATAAATCTCTATAAACTCTATGATTGACTAGCTAACACAAATTGTTTAGTTCCAACATAATTATTTCAAGTAAGTTGAATCCATACTAAAAGATTCTTGTTAATGTGTTAAATAGTAATTCAAAATCTAATGTAAACAGAAATTAATAGATTGATTTCTAAGATGAATTTTTGTAAAAGGTATTGTTTTTATTTAGTTTATATCATTTATATTAATTTCTATAAATTATTAATAAATACATGCAAAAATAAATAGTAGAGTGTCTTGTAGAAATTAGCTAGCAAATATCAGTATTTATATTTATTATTCTAGAATGTTCATTAATCTGAATCGAGACTGTCTTTTAAAGTAATTATTTCTATTTAAATTTCCAATAGCGATAATTACATAAATTTTTGGAAAAGCTTAAATCAGGTGATTCCTTAAAACAATATTAAAGTATTCTGATTCGTTATTTACATAATGGTAATAATTTATTTTTATAATTAGCGATATCGAATCCCCTAAACCACAAATTGACTGTCTAATAGCAAATTATTACAATTTTAATATAGTTTTTTGAAGTCGACCAACCTCAAGGTATTAAATATAAGTATTTTAGTTTGTGACTCATAAACTCTTTGTGATGTAATAGTTGACTTTGTGAAGTTTCTAATAAAATAAGAATTTTAGGATGAATATTTAAAAAAATAATTTGCGAATTTTATCAAAATTACATTTTGGAAAAAAAAAATATTCAACATTCCTAACATGGAAATAAAGGATATAGAAATTGTCGATTAGCATTTCAATCTAAATTTAAAAACTTCTATTTTGTAAATATTTATACACATATTTTAGTTCAAATAAAAGTTTATAATAGTTATTAAAAAACTATCTATTATCTATTGAGGAGCTCTCAGAATACCTTTTGGCTTTTTAATATCCAGAAGTTGTTCTAATGGTTTTAGATCTAAGTGCATTAAAATTTGATATTCCTAAATTTATAAAGAATGGAACTCTTGATTTTGATTGCAAAAGCAAATTACAAATTCTCCCTCATGAACAATAAATTTAATTATTCCTTAATCTCAAAGAATTAGATAATGAAAAGTTAGACATTGTCACTCAATTAATATTTTAGAATTAGGTATTGGATATTGCCTCTTAAATACCTAAATTAATAACAGTCATAGTGAATTCTTAATAGATTGATTTTGACAGAGCATTAATTATCTTGAAAAGGATATCAAATAATTAGAAATTTAATTTAAATTATGAATATTTAAGGGCTGTGTTATTGTAAAGTAAAGAAAAACAATTAAATAACTTCATTATTGATGCAATAGTGACATTCGAATAAAACCCAGAAAACATAGTCAAACAGGAAATATAGAAACACTCAAATCCTCTTTCTATCATATATTTATTAATTTAATTGATTAAGTAGGAACACTTTGAGTAATTATTTGAGAAATTGTTGAATAAATCTATTTCACCTTATTAATATGTGATATTACATGTGATATTGATCATCTAAGAGAAATCCATAACCCTAGATCCCTTATAGGAATAATGTTTAAGATTTCAACTTAATGAAATTTGTTTAGTTTAGATGTTTAGTTTATATTCATTCTAAAATTTGAACATAAAGAGAAAAATGAAATTGCTATCATAATTTCAACAGTTGATTGAAACTGAATAGAATATGTCATTTTATGATATCTTAGTAATCATAGGACAGGAAACAACACAATCTCCCTAAATTAACTAAAGAATAGGTTAAATTTTAAATAGAGAATGGAACAACATAAGTAATTTCTTGAAATAAATCGCTTACAATAAGCAATCTCAAATTATTTAGGGATTCTATTATATTGTTATGTATTTTACAGATTAAAATGAGTCAGAATTCTTAAGACTTTTTGATATCATACACAAATCGATGTGTACTAGAAATAAAGCTGTCAATTATAATATGCTACTCAATTCAATTCAATAATATGAGCAAGGCAAACCTGAGACTGAGATACAACTTTATGTGATGCTATTAAAGATCAATTATTTATTATAGGATAATTTCATAAATAGAAAAAAAAATGGAGAAGAGATTTCAGAAAGATCAAGTGAATTAGGAGACTTGAATGAGGGATAAGAGTAGGAATATTTTAAGTAAATACAAGAACATGGAAAAAATTTGATTGAATAATTAGAAAAACAAATAAAACGTTACGAAACAATATATTTAGGCATGCAGAAGAATTTATATTTGGCAGTTTAAATAAGTAGACTTTTGTAATTAAGCGATGTTAAGATCAATATTTAACATTCTCTTATGGTCAACGAAAGAGTACAGAATATGCTTTTTGAATAAAATCTAATTGAAAGTGACATAATTTGGGATTCTTTGAAGAAATTACAGAAAGTTCAACTAGCCACAGCTATAATATAGATATTTAAAAATGAAAAAAATAATGTGAAATTAATAAAAATGGTAGTGGTAGAATTAAGTAAGTTGTGTAAATTTCGATATTATGCATTGCTATGGAAATAATACGATATTTTGAGTATCTAATAAAATGTCTAGTAATAAATAAGCAACATAACTAAACTTTAAATGGCAGTTCATAAATTTTAATTAATATTACAAATTTAGGACAACTATGAATTTCTGAAGTTTGGATATTAACAAGTCCAAAAAAGTTAGTTTGAATTATTGGCTCTATTGATTGCCATAAGTTTACATTGTGGCATTAGTAATAATTTTATAGATGGGATGGGTGAATAGAATGAGATGTGTATAAATAAGTTGATAGTGGAATTCAGTTGTGCTGGTTTATTATAATTGGTATTGACTCTTGTTAAACCGATCAAGTAATAGAAGAAGAAAAAGTAATCAATGGAAATAGAGAAGAAGTTAGAGGATTGTTTAAATAATTAATTACAAGATGCAATTAATTTAGTGTTGATTGGAATTCAAAAGAATCTAAACAAAAATTAGGATTTGAAACAAGAGTTCATTAATTTGGCAACTAATGTCTATTAATTTGGTTAATCTGCAGAATATAGTTTGATCTTTGACTTATTTGATAAGATTCCCTATCAATTGATAATAAATTGCTTAAAATCAATTTAAAATCAGGATAAGTTTTTTGATTAAAAATTGCAACATATCTTAGTACTAATAAGTAAGTTTGATAAAATATAACTAACCAACGAATTTTTTGAGTTGTCCTATGATATAATAATCAATAATCACCAAATTACTTAAACAATGATAGAGTACTGTCTCTAGTTGATCAGTATTATAAAAATGAATGAGAATGGACAATCGTAAGTTTAAAGTAATATTGATGTTCAATAACTGAAGGAAGTTTTAATACCTGAGAATTTTGTACCGACTGGTTGTACTATTTAAAATATCCAATAACAAATCTACACTTGTATTTAGTGTTCGAATAATAATAAGAAGAATATACAATGTTGTGCTAGTTGTGCTTTTAGTTGTCATTAGAATCATCAAATCCAATATGAAAATATGATTGAATCCATGTGTGAATGTAACCAAACTAAAAAATGCAATTAATAAAGATAAAAACAATAGATTCAACCTTAATTGAATAGAAGACCTTTGTTTCCACCTTCGACAACGGCCACATCCGGAGTTTTGGTAGAATATTTAAGAAGAGAAAGGGAGATTCGAGAATATAGAGAGTTCAAAGATTTAGAATTGCATCCCCACATAAACATACGAGAATATACAGGTAGAATAAAAGATAACTTTTAAGAGTTTGATTCAGAGGTGGAGTTAGAAGATTCTCTGTCCAGTTCATAGATTTAATACCATGAAGAATCCAATAATGACGTGGTTGAAAAGTACGAATCCAGTAGCAATTCAATCATAGAAATCGAACCCAATTAGTTTGAACCAAAAGAAGTCAAAAATCAAATGAGACCACAACAAGATTCAAAGTTTTTTTCAAAACTTAAAATTAATTTCGAACTTCTATTTGATAAATTAATTTAAATGTGCAATTTTACTGTCTAAAATTATAAGAATTTAGAATCTAATTAGTTAACTGATGTTGAAGAACAAGAATATGAATTGTAATCGAAAACTGCTCATAATATTCAGAAAATAACTGCCTTAATATCATCTGGCAATATAATCCAACATAAAACAGAAAATATTGATGTTTTGAATGAGTTAAGAACTCAATAAGAACAAATACAATCAAAATTAGGAATTTATTATGTAGCATTCCAAATAAGAAGAGTGATCGATGAAGGAGACAACTTTATTGCTGTTGTAGGTCACAGCGAAATGAAAATTTTCAACAAGGCCAAATACTTTTCACTCCTAGAAAAAAAAACAAGCGGATTATAATTACCCTATACGAAAATAAGTTGTAGACCTCCTGTCTCCACTATTCTATTTAATCCCTACAACTAAAAATAAATTCTAGTGTCTGCCCTATTAGAAATCCATCTTTATGAACTAAAATAAGATGGCACCCTTTAAAGTGACAAAACTGTAATTGCTCGCTTTACACATCCCATAAGCAAAACCCTTTGGATTAATCAAAACTCCTTTGCTTGGTTAGCATACAATTCCATATATACATTTAACATTAATACTCAGAATTAGCAATGTTACAATCTCAATATAGAGGAGAAGAAGATCAAAGATTTCTGTGTTATAAATGGAACAATCTTATGTGTTGATTTATAGGGAGATATTTATCAATAGAAACTTGTTGAAGGACAATCCAAAATTCCCATTTCTGAGAAGGTCAATTTAGATGATCAGCTCAAAGGAAAGACCAGAGATAAAATTCCCCAATGTTTAGCCAAGATCAATAACACTTCAATTTTGCTTATTTCATATAAGAATGGAGCCTCATTTCTTTGTAATTATTAAGACAAAGCATTCGTAAACATTGTAAGATTGGATGAACTACTAGTGTCTCAATAATTGGATGGACTATTAGCGTCTCCTTAATTTATCAGTCAGAATAAGAGTCATCTAAAATTCGCAGTCTTAGCATAAAAATAAAATCTAACTAATCAATAAGTTAATTTTCATAGTGGCAGATTGCTTATTATTGAAATCAATAACAAAGGCAATGTTTATGTTTAACAAATTTTTGATAATTTTGTTGAAGGATTTTGTCTTCTCAAGGATTCAGAATACAATTTCTATGCATTAGCAGTAGCTGATAACAAATAATTGATATCTGCTTGTTTAAATCTTAAAGATAATGCCACTTAACTTTGTGTAGATAGAAAAAATGAAAATTAAGACTAATTGATCAATTAATTGAAAGAGAGATTTGAATTAAATTTACTAAAACAGTCATCTCATCTATTTAGTCCTTTACAAAATTTCTGTTTGGCCCCTAGTGTATTGGCAACTCCTTAGTAACTATAAATTGGGCCCACTAGCATCACTGTTACTCAAGGATATGCCATCACTGGTATCATTTTCAATAAACCCAATGTTGATCAAATAGAAATCTTTAAGTATAGAACCATATAGAAAAGAAATAATTTTATAATCATTCCCTTGAATTACATAGAATAAATCTATACTTTATTGACTCACACAATTACATTCACCTAAAATAATTATAGCAACTTGCAAGTCTATATATAGAAAATGACATTATCATAAGCTATGATGACAAAACTAATGTCTATTTTAAATCAAGACAATAATCAGATGAAATCCTATATATTTTAAGATATCAAACAACGCAACCAAAAGTTCAAATCTATGCTATCAGAACAATAAATTAATTTAGTCAATAGTTTAGATTGTCTTGGAATGACATTACAAGCATATCAGAATCCTTCTATTAAATTTACAATAATACCATAATTGATAACAATTATTTAACAAAACCAACCTATAATTACAGATTCAGCAAAGAAGCTATTAAAGACTTTATTAAAAAATCATAAGGCATTATTGGGTAGTGAATACGATTATAGATCAATAAAGGATAAAATATTCATTGAGAAAATTAAGAGCAAGACAGCCACTTAAATAGTATAAAAATTACAAAAGATTTAAAGTACTAGACTCCCTTAGTTGTTTTATGTATTCAATTAAGTTCCAAATGTTGTTTTTGACATTCTAAGTGAGACCATCAATTATAAATAGTATTCTTAACTTCTTCTGAGATATCTTTAGTTTTTGTAGAATTGTTCAAAAGACATCAATGAAACTCTTTCATAAATTGAAGATATTAAACAACTTTGGAAATTATCAAATCAGAATATGTTTAATAGAATCTTCATTGATGAATTAATCATTTTTCAGAAGAATAAAAAGAGTGAGACATTTGAATATGCTTGGGATGTATTTATCAAGGACAATAATCAATAACCAGAAAAAATTGAAACTGAATATATGGAAGAGAAGAACAAATTAGAACCCTTCTATGATTTTGATGAAATCCCAATAGAATATGGAGATGACTATGATCCATATGAAGCTATTTTGCTGCGTTAAGAAATTCAAAAATAACAACCCATAATTACCTAAACAAAAAAATGTAGATAAATCGCATTCCCAACACCAAAACCAACTTAGTCTCTCGTAGTTGAACAATATGATTTAATAAAAGCCTATTCTTTATGGCTTCAAAAAGGAATCAAAGCTTAAAATGAGTTGTATCAAAAGGGCAAGAGGGAATTCTAACATTTACTCCAATTATCGAAACAATTTTACACTTTAGCCAAATCGACCAAGAATATCAATGTGGTAGTTGATTATTTATAAATGATTGACTTCAAGGGCAAAGGCATTTCGAGCATCTTACTATTGACTTATATAAATGGAAAAAATGTTAATGATGAATTATGGACTGTTTTTAATTAGAATTAGCTCTTTTTAGAATTATAAGTATTAATCATTTTAATAACTAGGTTATTTATGATGTGTTAAAAAATCTTGACATAAGTGACTAGCAATAAGGTCGTTTAAAGCAGAAGAATTTGCCATTGGATAAGTTGAGGGACATAATGAAAAGTGAGATTGAATCATAAATTTAATTATTAATTGGATTGATGGAAAAGAAGAATTAATTGTTATACCTCCAAATTATTAAATATTTGTTGAATGCAACAAAAATCAATGTAAATATTTATACAATATATTAGACGCAAATGGCAGAGAGGTTATAGACAAATCAATGGACTGAATTAATTTGCTAATTGAAAATAAATTAATCTTCAAAGTAGATTGCTTCAACCTATTTAAAATAATTGTTATAATAAATAATTGCCAAACAAGATTATTATTATATAAAGGATATAAATTTATATAAAACTTAATTGAGGGAATTAAATAAAAATTAGTGGCTTTATGTTAATAAACAATCAACCTATCAGGCATTAAAACGAATTTTGAAAACCAGCAAGAAGAGACCATAATTTTGGAAGGAATTTTGTGATGAAAACGTCCTGAAAACAATAAAATCGTTAATAAAATCGTATCCAAAAGAAACCTTGGAAGTAATTGAAATTATTATTTGATTAATAATAAGTTTTGTAAGATATTTCAAATCATAAACATTTATTTCATATATATAGAATTGATAAATTAGTAATTTGAATGCTCCTTCTTTGATGCTCACATTAATCCATTAGAACATGTACATAAATTTTCAACGTTCTTAACAGACTTTAATTTATATATTAAATCTTACTTTATTATTTATTATGATGGTTTTATAGGCAGAGAATAAATTCCAAATATTGATTTATGAAAAACTTTCTGAAGTGCAACGGATCATTCGATTTATGATTCTAGTGCCTCAGTATATTTTTTAAGTATATAATAGTTTCTAAAAATAGAAAAACTTAGGAAAAGAGATCTTATACTGATTTAATTGTTGCTCTGAATTCAAAAAAATTATTAGTGATTACAGTCTAGATATGTTTGAGAGGAATAAGAATTTTTTATTTAAAGAAATTCCTATTTTGTTGATACATTATAATAATTAATATATATATATGTCAAAAGAAGTAGCAGTAACTTCGACATTAAAATAGCGTTTATCTGCAATAGAAGATAAGGAAATATACTTTGAAGACAGAGACTCTTTTAGTGAAGATGGGGTATAGTTGAAATCTATTATAGAAATATGGGGAATATGTCCAAAAGTAGAATCGGGAAATTTTAAAAAAAGTTCAGGAACTTATGCATGATGGACAATCTACTGTGAATTAACAAGAGGATTAAAGTTTTGCTGTAATGAATGAGAATCAGAAATAAGAAATTTTAGAAGACTTGGAAGAGGAATTCGGACAATCATATACAGAAACAAAGGTGAAGGTGAATACTTACATAAAACTAATTCCAAAAAATGAATTATAATTGGCCTACATTTACAGTGACAAGTAATGGATATTATATAATGTAGATATCCCTTCTTAGTCATTCGAAAATAGATTTTAATATTTACAAAACTGATCTCATCGTACGCTTAAAAAATTACTACGCATCCACTATTTGAATTGATGACATTGTTAATGATTATTTTTAACTCAGCAATGCTTGCTATAGATGATCCAACCACTAACGTCTAAACATCTTTCTAAGATTTAACAGATATCATATTTTTGGCCTACTATACGGCAGAAGCAGTCTTGAAAATAGTAGCATTAGTAAATTGTTTTAATTATTCAGGGATTTATATTACCAAAAAAAGCCTATTTAAAAGACACATGGAACATCCTCGATTTTTCTGTGATTGTAACTGCCTACATTCCTTATTTTCTGTCATCCAACTCAGTCAATTTGAATGCCTTAAGATCCTTTAGAGTGCTTAGACCCTTGAGAACAGTGTCTTCAATCAAGGCGCTAAGAACTATTCTGTTAGCATTATTTGCATCAATAGCTCAATTGAGAGATGCGGTTGTCGTTCTGATATTCTTTTATTCAATATTTGCTATAGCAGGTGTGTCCTTATTTTCTGGATATTTGAAAAGAAGATGCATAGGTGAAATGAGTGGAATCACATGGATTTCTGATGAAATATTATTCTGCGCAGACGATAATAATTGCCCATTCCCAGAGGATACTATATACAATGAGAATTTCATTTGTGGAAAATAAATAGCCAATCCATAGAATGATTTGGTTAATTTTGATACATTTGGTTATTCCTTCTTATAGGTTTTCATTATAACAACATTAGAAGGATGGACATAGATTTAAACAGCTGTAATGCTCACGTTTTCTTAATACGTAGTTTTGTATTTTATTATTGTTGTTATTGTTGGAGCATTCTTTTTGGTCAATCTTACACTAGCTATTATAAAATTAAATTTTAAACCAGAGAAGATTCAAGAAGAATTGGCTTAAATTAAAGAGGAGATTGAAGAATATGATTATAGATAACTCAGACAATTAAAATTATATGATCCACAGAGACCCATAGTAGACACTGATGGTTATGGTATCTCATGGGATAAGCATCATGATTTTGATTAAAATGCAATTATGAATAGAAGAAAGAATTCCAGAAGAGGAGCTTCTTAGTTGAATATGATTAGATCATAAAATATGAAAAAGTTAAGAGGAAAGAATAAAGTAAGTTTTCAGCCGATAAAATCTGCTGTGTATTACAGTAATCCAATTGTATTGAAGAATAAACAATTGAAAATTGAAGGAATTTATGGAATGGGCAATTAGAGCAAATTAAATTAATAGACTTTGGGAGTGAGTGGCTAAAATAATAATAATCGATCAAGTGTTGTAAGAAGAAGCAGTCAGAGTAGTAATAACGATGAAAGAACTTCTTCAAAAAAAGAGGATAAAAATAATATTAATGAAAATGAAAGTCAAAGTTAGAGTAGGCCAACCAAAGTAATCCCAAGAAAGAGTATTTAATTTGGGGATCAGCAGATAAGTTCAGAATTTCTAAACTCTCCTATGATGGATTTGTAGAGTGAAAATATTCGACCGTTGAATGGAGGTACGATGATTGTCCATCATCAAGGATCTATGGAGAGTAGTAAGAGTGGTGGGTCAAAATAGGATAAGACTCCAACCAACAATCAATTAGAAATCCCTAGATTGGGAGAGAGTATTTAATTTTAATAATCTTTATAGTTAGACAACAGTCTTAGAATGTGAAATCCAATCAAAAATTTAGTTTGGTGGCAGGTATGAAATACTAGAAACCTCCCAGAAATTCACCAAAACCTGATTCATAGAAATCTCTAGATTAGAATGAATTTGATAGTGTAAATTTAAGTGAGTTGAATACAATATCAGATGATGATCTTGATTAAAGATTAGAAGAAATGGATATTTTTGTTTAGGATAAGAATGATGATTCTGAAAGTGAAAAGAAGAAGAAATAAAACTAAAAAGAATTAAATAGATAGAAGAGAATGGAAAATAGAAGATTAAGAGATTTAAATAAAAATGCCTAATAACATTTAGATGATGCATCCTTAAAGTTGAAATCTAAACTATACAATACAAAGTTTTATCCAATTATTATAGTTGATTAAGAATTTGGCAGTGTAAATGATGTATTGGTTTCACAGATGTTATTGAAATTGGAAAAGGAGAAATTAGAATAAGAAGAGAAAATTAAAGAAATGGATATTAAAATTACCTATTGCTTCAAAAATTAAAAATAATCTTTGGAACTAAAAAAATCAAGTTCTGGTAAAAGTAAAAGTATGACTAAATCTGGGTATTTGAAATCTGGATTGAAATCTAAGAAAAACAATTTAAGTTTAAGGAGAGTGTAACCAATTATGGATGAATTACATCCATTTGAAGATCTACAATTTCCAACAGACAAGAATTTTGAAAATTAAGATGATTAAAATAAAGAGAATGAAAATTCTGACTCAGATGATGAACCTGATGAGCAAAATAATGAAAAAAATAATAATTTTAATGGAAGTGCAAGCCAAAAAATTAAAATGAAAAAGAAAAAAAAAGATTAAGAATAAAATGAGAAATTGGATCTTTAATAAATAGGGGAGAAATTTTCAGAAAGTTCAGATTGCATAGTCGATCTGAATAGAATTCGTTAAGTTGAAACAGATAAGTAATTTAATTAATAAGAACTCGCTCTAATTCCTGCTTCTGAATTAGAACAGTAAAAAGGAGTATTTTACTAAGAATTCCAAGATATTAAATAAAGAGATATTGAAGAAAGCAAAGGTGCTATTGTTGCATAGGCATCTATTGAGGATGTATTGTTAATTGCTGATTATACTTTTTATGACTCAAAATTTGCAAAGTAAATGAATTCAGTAATGAAAGCCTTAAATTACTCAAAAAGAGAAACTTTCATTTATTTACAAGGATTTATAGGATTTTTAAAAGTATGCTAAAATCATTTGTTGTATTTTGTGTAATCTGGATATTTTGAAGCAGCTATGAATCTGGCAGTGGCATTAAACACTGTAATCTTAGCTTTAGATGGTTTACTACCAGATAGCAGTGCAAATACATTACAATAGTTTAATCTAGGATTTACCATCTTATTTACAATTGAATTAGGATTAAAAGTAATAGGAATGGGACCCAAAAATTATATTTCTGATACAATGAACGTATTTGATGCTGTGATAGTTGCATTGAGTTTGGTAGAACTCTTTTTCCTAGGAGGAGGAACAAGTGGGAAATCTTCATTATCAGCCTTTAGATCTGTTAGAATATTCAGAGCATTTAGAGTGTTGAGAGTCACTAAGTTGATGAGAAGTTTACAATTTATGGGATTTCTGATAAAAGTATTAGGTAATGCATTCCAATCCTTTATGTATATTATGGTTTTGCTGTTGCTATTTATTTTTATTTTCACTCTGCTTGGCATGGCCTTTTTTGGAGGGCAATTATCTAAAACTCCTAGTAGATAGAGTTATGATGATATTTAGAGTGCCTTCTTAGTTGTGTTTTAAGTGCTCACTTTAGAGAATTGGAATAGTATTTTATGGGACTTATTGATATAAGATGTTTCTGCATTTATTACAGTTCCTTATTTGGTGTTTTGGATTATGATTGGTAATTATGTCTTTTTGAATCTGTTTCTGGCTATTTTATTAGAAAACTTTGAAGAGGAATACAAGAATGATAAAGCAGGTTTAGACACCAATATTGAGATTGGACAGGATTCTATCATGGACAATACCACCTAGCAGGTAAATTCGACGAGCACTTTGAAATCTACAATGAAAACAAAAAAACATACAGTTGCCTAATAATTAGAAAACAATGGGGATCCTGAGTCAAAGAAACATAAATAGTTTTAATAAATATTCTAATACTTTGTTGAGCCAGGACTTTGTTAGTTCTCATTATATTTATTCTCGCAAGAAAACATAGTTCGAAGAATATGTTATAGAATAGTTAAGGATGACAAATTTGAAACACTTATTTTCTTTATGATATTTCTCACTTCAACCAAACTAGTTTTTGATACTTACATTCCTGACACTGGAAAATTAAAAGAAACATCATTACAGATTGATATCTTTTTTGCTGTGTTTTTTGGAGTTGAAATGATTATGAAAATAATTGCTTTTGGATTTGTATAGTAAGAGAGTTCATATTTGAGGGAATCATGGAACATTTTAGATTTCTTCATTGTTATAGCATCATTTATAGATGTAAGTGTTTCAACAATCAATCTGAGTTTTGTGAAGATCTTGAGATTGCTTAGAACATTAAGACCATTAAGGTTTATTACTCATAATAGATCAATGAAAATTTTAGTATCTGCATTATTACAATCGATTAATGGTATATTCAATGTGGCCATAGTTGTGATTTTGGTTTGGATGATGTTTGCCATTCTTGGTATAAATTTAGAGAAAAACAAAATGCATTATTGTGATACTGGAGATGACGAAATATGGTATCATTATGGACCAGATGAATGTGCAAAACATGGTGGAGTTTGGGCAAATCGAAAAGTTAACTTTGATAACATTTTGAATGGCATGTTGACTTTATTCATATTATCGACATTGGAAGGTTGGCCAGATTAAATGTATTGGTTTATTGATGCCGATGAATCAGGACCAATCAAGGGAGCTTAATTACAATTTTCTTGGTATTTCATTGTATTTATTTTGATTGGTTCCATTTTACTGATGAATCTATTTATTGGTGTTATATTGGTCAATTACCATTTAGCAGAAGAAGCTTCAAGAGATAAGATACTAACTCAACCACAAGTAGATTGGATTGAATTGTAAAAGCTTATTGTTCATGCTAATCCCAACTTAGCTATGTTTTTCAGTCCTGAAAACCCTTTTAGAGCTAAAGTGTTCATTATTATTAAGCATCGTTATTTTGATCCAACGATTTTGATGATTATAGTATGCAATATCGTAACTATGGGATTATCCCAAGATGATTCTCCAATCGCTTATGATAATGCATTGCAATCTCTTAATACTGCATTTACTTTTGTATTTATCACTGAAGCACTCCTAAAGATTATTGCATTGGGACCAGTAGGATACATGAGGAATTCATGGAATCAATTTGATTTTTTTGTGGTATGTGCATCTATTTTGGATTTGGTACTGTAATTCACTGGAAATTCATTTATCTCATTTTTGAGTGCAGGACCACAATTGGCTAGAGTATTCAGAGTACTTAGAGTAACAAGATTATTTAGATTGATCAAATCATTTGAAGGATTGCAGAAACTTATAGAAACAGCAATTTACTCATTACCTGCTATGTTGAATGTGACAGCTCTATTATTTCTCGTTTTCTTCATCTTCTCTATTCTAGGTGTGTTTCTCTTTGGATCCATCAGAAGTGGATGGGCAATAGACGATGTGAATAACTTTTCAGACTTCCACCATTCCTTTGAACTCTTATTCAGATGTTCAACTGGAGAAGATTGGTACAAAGTCATGTTTGATATCACTATGTAAGATGGCTAAGGATATTATTGTATATTCTTCATTATTTTTATTGTGATCCAATAATACATTATGCTTAATTTGTTCATTTTGATTATTTTGGATCAATACGAAATCAATTATTTCAACAGTGATAATCCCCTTAATAAATTTTAAGAGTATGAAAATATGTTCATTGAATCTTGGTCCAAATTTGCTAAGGAAGACAAAGGAATGAAGATGAGTCAACAATTACTAGTACCATTATTACTCGATATGGAAAAACCTATTGGTTATGATTTGAAATAGAAATTAAATGATGAGATTAGTGAATGGAGAAGAATCAATCCTCAATTAGACACAAAGGAGAATGTCCTAAAGCAAACTCTGATTCTCAAAGCTTAGGCCAAAAGAGCTGTTTCTACTTAAATTATGAAAATGAATGTCTATGCTGATGTTGCAGGGTAGGTCAAATATCATTAGATATTATTTTCTGTTATGAAATCTTATATGTGGAAGAAAGTGTAATTGAATTTAAGTCCTGAAGGAGCTGAGAAGATTCTATAAAAGGAAGACGAAACATAAAAAAGATTGAAAAAGAAACAGGTTGGTGTTCAATCTAAGGAGGTGAATTTAGTCAACCCCATTGTACACTTTTTGTTTGTTCATATGGCTTTTAAAACATTAAAGAGGTATGGAGAAAAGAAGAAGTAACAAAAAGAGTTGCAAGCTCAATTATTATTGGAATAGGAGTAGGAGCATTATAGTGAAGGTTTTAGTTCTGATTCATCTTTTGATAATAAAATCGAAATACTCTCAAGAGTATCAAAAGACACAGAGCATCCAAAGAGACCAGATTACGGTAAAACCAAGTATCTTACTCTACCTAATACTGAGATCTACAAAGAAGAAATATATATAAATTAAGAAACCCCAGTGGTGAATGATTCAGATAGAAGTTCCAAGGAAGAGGAGGAAGAACCTGATGAGGATGGTATTTATTTATATTAATCAATTCAGTTATGTAATAGTATACTAAGGACTTTAAGAAGCATCTCATTAATCCAAATGGGTCAAATGGAAACATATAGGATGATAAAAGTGCAAGTAATTAACATCAGGGTGGTGGAGCCACGAGAAGTAGCAATTCTCGAACTAGTCAAATCAATAAGTAACCAAAAAGACTGACTCTGAAGCCAAATGATATGATTTAAGGATTGGGATTAAGTAAGAAGTCTATTTAAACCAACCAATCACCTGCTAATTAAAACCCTAATGTTTCTTAAGATAACCCTTCAATTATGAATCAAAGCAATGGAAACAGTTCTAGTAATAAATGATTAATATATAAATTTTGCCAACTTAAATATCCAATTATTTATTAAATTAAATATCTTGAACATGTTCAGAAGGGTATTTGGAATCTCTAATAAATACAATCCTACTCGTTTACGATACTTAAGAGAGTACGTATGTTTAAGAGAGGCTGCAAATCCATCAGCTTAATAGGCCTAAATAACTTAATTCCAATAAGTGTCAAATAAATACGGATTGTCAGTTCCTTAATTGGCAACTTTATCAGGAATATTTTAATTAAGCTAATTGCTCAGACCCTAAAATTTCCCAAATCCTAATGATTATAAAGTAAAATCTCTTTTTGAATATCCATAGACACACGTTGAAAAGTTAGAAATTATTGTTCAGACAATCATAACAAAGTCAAGAATCATTAGCTCAATTTGCACAATCTTTAGAATTTAAAATTCCAGAAATAGCAAAACTCACAAATGATGCAAGAAAATAAGCTGCCTAAGAATTGTTTATCATTTACTTAGAAGGAATTCATTATGATAATTTAGTCTCACCGTAGAGATTATATTATATTTTAGAGGCTACGTTGAATAATTGGAATCAACTTACAGAGAAAGAACTACAAAAGCAATCAAATAAATTTAAGCAGAAGTGAAGGATCCCTAATTAGCAGCCTAATTATCATAATCCCTTGAATAGATCTTCTAAAATTACTAATTCAATTAAGGAAGGTTTGATATGTCTTCTAATTTAGATATGTCGGTTTGATTAAGTCATTCATCGACGCTCTATAAGGAACAGAAATTTAGGTGGCTTAAAAATTAGATTAAAAAACTTAAGAGAAACAACTATTCATTCAAACAGTGGATAAAGCAACAAAAAAATTCTCAGCCGAGGATCAAGAATATGCTAGAAATGTCGATGGACATGATTACAAATTATTCTTATAAGAATTATATGAGAAAGAATATTAATCAGGGTTTGCACAAAATAGATTCAATGAAAAAGGATAAAAATTGGTTTATGAATCGTAGGCATAAGAACATCACGTTTTAAGATATTAAATTTTGGCAGGAGTATTTGCTGGTTACTTCCTCTATTTATTCTACAGAGGTGATGCCTATTACTCCACAATTCTTGGCAGTTCCAGTAGTAGCAGCAGCTTTCTTCTATTTGGCTAAACAAGGATAAGTAAAAAGAATTGTAAATAAATTTAGGCTAAAAGAGCTATTCCATTTGTTAGACAAGTACTCAAAAACACAGACAACACTTATGAGGTTGTTTTTGAATAGAATCGTATCATCAGTAGAATAGAAAATGTTTAATCAAGTTAAATCAAGTAAGTAGTTATGATTACCCTTCTTTAAGGCTTGCCCAAGATACTTAATTTGCAAATTCATTAGTGCTTGGCACTCCAACAGATTTCGGATATCATGTCAAGGTAGCTGATAATTCATTTATTGCACCATACTTATACAGAGGAAACGGTTTAGATTTCAGAGCATTCATTAATGTTTGATTCAATAATATAAATCACAATAAAAACAAAACTTTCATCCATTTTATGATTCCACTTAATTCTCAATTCCATATAAATCTATTTTGTCTTGATTTTCTAATTCATCTCTATCCAAACAATTGAAAGCGAATCCTGTATGCTTTTAAACGGCAACTTATCCAGATGGCTTTAATTGTTATGTTTAAACATTAGTTTGTGGATATGGCAATCTTACAGACATATTCTTATTGACTCTCAATAACACTCTGTTTAATTTAATGTTTAATGCTATGTCAATACTAGAAATAGCAGCAATTTACCAATATGTTTCCAAGATGAAAGTATGGAGTTTGGAATAGGCTAAATATTTAATTAATTAAATACGATTCAAATACGACATAGGCTTCAGCTGATGGTAAATTATCTAAAATGATCCACGAGATTAGATATGATATCATACTAAAAGCGATACTTCCCTAATAAATGATATATGTAAAATACTAATAAGGCAGGAGTGTATGTATTAGAGAATATCAGTATTTTAAGATTACAGGTAACAACAACAAGGCCAAATATCATCGTTCCTTATGCCCAAAGATGATGAGTGAATCCATTATCCTCTACAAAAGTTTCAGATATTGAGTATGTCGGAAAGAAGCAAACAATTGCAGTTTGCCAAAATCCACAAAATATCCAAAACAATACAATTTAAATGTTAAACAAGAGTTCCTTAGGACCTTATTGATAATAGTTTTAAATTTTATTGTCAGTCAATTAATCAGCATCGTATTCTTCGTCGAATATCCCATAAATCATAATAGGGAGAGCTCCATACAAAATATTAAACAATTGATAAATGAAAGTGTCATAAAGAGACTAAGCAGAATACATTGATAGAATTCCATACCAAAATTGAGGCAAAACAACCAAAATATTTTTATAAAATGTATAACAAACCAACACACTATTCCTACGATAGCATTCTCTACCATGATAAAATAACAACCTTCTTAATTCTCTGAATTCCTATACACTATAATCAGCTGCTCTTGCTGCTTATTATCCTTCAACTCCCCTTATGCCGACGCCTACATGAGCAGCTGTTATCATATTTACATCATTAGCACCATCTCCAATAGCTAAAGTTGAACAAGATTGATTTTGATTTCTTATTAATGTAACAACATCTTATTTCTGCTTTGGACTAACACGGCAACATAACACCACTTCGCAACATTTCCCAATTTCAGAAACCTTTTTTTGAATATCTGGTTTTAATGCATGCAATAGAGCATCTCCAGATATAATCAAAGCCTACCTTTAGTTTAAATTTTAAGATCCAATCTTATTTAATATATCATCTAATCTTTCTTTGATCAATGCTTCTTCTTTTTCATCGACGATATGTTATGTTAATTGATCAGTTAATAAAGAACACGAATAACCTATATTAATGGCAGTTTCAATTTTATCTCCTGTCAAAACCCATACTTTAATACCTGCTGCTTTAATTGCAGCTATTGTATCAGCTACATCCTATTATAATTTATCTTCAATGGCAGTGGCACCTAAAATTTCGTAATTTTTCTCTAATTCGTCCTATAAGATTTACATCTTTTCCTCCCTATTTTCGAGAAGTTGAGTCGCTTATTAATAACGCTTACGCCATTCCTAATACTCCCCCTTCTCTAATTTTCTCTTTGACAATACCAAAGTTCTTAAACCTATTTTTCCATACTCTTCAAGTCTTTATACCAATTTATGGTATTCATTTTTATTCAACTCTTCATTAGATAACCTCACTTAATCCAACAGAATTGAGTCAGCTCCTTTTGAAAATAAATAAATGTCTCCAGTCTTTATTACCTATACTAATATTGATTATCTCTTCCTCTATGATGTAAATTCAAATATTTCAAGCAATTAATATTCGATTGTTTAATCCTAAAAATTGACTCTTTTTATATTGTTTTCATCAGTGCCTATAAATTCGAATCCAACAAATCTAGCAAAATTTAGTAAAGCTAACTCATCTGGAGATGTGGCATTATAAACTAATTTACCATCTCTTTATTCAGATATAACAGTATGACAAATTGTTATCATCATTAAACATTCTATTACTTTATCATGCATAATATGGTTCTTATCTTGAATAGCTTCAATTAGCGTTTTATCTCTAAAATCCACATTACTTACTTAAGGAAAATTCTATAATTCATCATCTGTTATATAATCCTCTGAAACTTTTAAAACATCTCCATAATTTTGATTACCTCTATATTGAAATTAAATTCTTACATTATAATTTGTTTAAATTCCATTATATTACATGTTAAAGTTCCTGTTTTATCACTAAAAATATGTTCAATCTGCCCAAGTTCTTCATTTAAATTAGATGTCTAGACTCTTGGTTAATTTAATTTCTCATCCAAACTCATAATCTTACCTTATATGAATTTAACCATTTCTAGAGTAACCAACAGAGAGATGGGTACAAAATTATTGAAGATCAGCATCCAATTTCCAAATCTAACAAAAAAGTTATATGGGATAGTATATTCTGATGTATTAACATCTATATATAAGTAAGTTAGTGTCATCCTATTGTTATAATAATAGATTGAATAGACAAGGGATGCTATTATACACATTATAAATTGTATGATGAAGATCATAAGAATGAATTTTTGCATCAATACCTCCAATTTGCTTTTCTTTGTTCTTGCCTTGAAAGAATTCATCATAATCTTTGTATCATGTCCAGTATAAGCTACTAATCCAAATATATATTTCACATTTCTCAAATTGCATCCTCTTAATAAGAAATTGTTAAAATTTATTGATGAAACCTGATGATTAGATGACGTAGTTTCACCCATGAACTTATATAAGTATGGAGTAGGAGCCTAGTATTTAAGGACTATTCTCTTGTCCAATTAACCAAAACAATCATCGGATTTAAATGTTTAGATTAAATCAGCATGCACATTTTTTTATTTCAGATTGGTTTCCCCATCTAATGATTTTGTTTCAACATAACAAATTCCTTTACTTTCATTTGATCTCAGGAGAAGCATATCCGCTGGTATTATCTCATCTTAATGAACCTTCACAATGTGACCTACTCTTAAATTAAACGAAGGCATTTTGACGAATGTAGTTCCATCGAATGCAGTCACTTGTTGGTTATTTTCTTCGATGTCAGATTTTCGTCTCTTGTAATCTTCATAGAAATCCTTGGCTCCACTCACTAAAATTATAAAGCCTAATGGTAAATATATTGTTGGTATTCCAGAACTGATTGAAACCTCCGGAACCATCTAAAGGGCTCCCATTAACTAAAAGATAACCTTAATTACTTACCACAAAATAAACATTGGCTAATTTAGAGAATTACTCGAATAATTATTTTGGGAAAAAATTCAACAAAGTGTACTTAGATGTTTGAATGCTGTTATCAGGCAACTAAAAGTCTGGTCTGTTAGAAGTAATTTTTCTGTTCTTCGATTAATATTTTTGAGCGTAATTTCCTTTTGCCTCTACATTATCATACTCATATTCTATTCTTATTTTATTATATACCAAATAAATTTTGCGTTTCTCTGTGATCTTAGCTACTCAGAATATGTGGTGTCTATAATTCTAATTATATAATTTTAGGATCTGTCATTTTGGAGAAATCAAATGTTTCAATATAAATATTATTATGCTGAATATCTTATAAATTATATTAATGTTTCTAAAAGCATAAAGTTCTGTATAGTTATCTTCAGCTCAAAATTTCGTATTTTTAAACAAAGATATTCAATATTTCAGAGATTTCATTACTTAATTACTCTTTAATTCATGATTTAGAAGTACAAGCCAACTTTATATTAAATTGTTCTTCTATTTATATATAAGGAAATGATTCGGAAAATTGATGTTTATTAAAATACAATTGAAATAACTATCATTAATTTTATGATAAACTTTTAACAGAAGGAAATTCTTAAAAGAAAAATTAAATTATTCACAAAATGAATTGGTTAAAAAATATAGAAAATTATAAACTTCTAATGTTTTCAAAGAAAAAAATTGATTAAATTTTTGCATAAATTTGTACTAAATAGAAGTATATGAATGTAGTAGTAATAAATAATTAATTTAAATTAGGTTTAGAGAGGTTTCAACATAATTAAGATTATTTAACCTGTTAGCAATTAATGGAATATAAAAATAATAAATAAGATTCATAGAAGAGCAATCATAATTTTTTAAATGTATTTTTTTTCTAAAGCTTTGAAAAATATAGATTACATTGGGAATCTGTAATAAGTAATCAAAATTTTTTTGGCTCTTTAAATTTTCCTTTATCTATTATAATTAATATGGAGCATCGAAAATTAATATACTAAAATTTAATTATAAATGGTTTTTGCTTAAAAATCTCTTAATTAACATAATTGATACATTTAAATATTGAAGCCATGATATAGCTACATGCTATGAAACAGAATTATTTTTTATCTCTCGTTTATAATAGGCTTAATAATATCCTCAAGTATATTAGTGCTCCGATTCTTCAATATCTTGTTATAAATATAATCGAGTAATTACATATATACATTTAAAGAAGAAAAATATTTAATTCTAATCATTATAAATATTGAATAATCTTTAAGAAAATAAAGATATATTATAAATTAATTAATTCTAAAATAATTGAAACAATACTCATACCAATCTCTTATATGAGTAAGACAAGAAGATTAATTGCATTTATAAGCATAAAACATATGTTTTAGATATTTGATTTTGAATATTCTCAGTTTTAATCATAATTCAAAATTTATAGATGCATTAAAAATTGATGAGATTTTCATTTGAATAGAAAAGGAATGAGTCTAAGGATATGCATAAAGAAGATATTAATATAACGGAAAATAAAATAGGAATTATTTTTTTTCAATAAATATGCTCTAAGTTATTAAATTTGGAATACATAATGAATAATTTTTTTGAGTTATATGCAAAAATTATGATATATTTGATGAAATATATTGATTAAGATTATGACAGTGTTAAATGAGAGCAAATTCATTGAGTACTATTTTTAGATCAAATTAGGTACCAGATAAAATTATCTGCATGATTGAAGATTAGTTTCCCTTTATTCTTTACAAAGATAGTATTAAATCTTCTAAAAATTCTTTAATTTATATCCAGGACATGACGACATTAATAATTATATTTTATGTTTTTTATTTTGTTATCATTTTTACCCTATATGCTTAAAGGAGAATGGATTCAAATTGATTCAAGTTTTTATGATACATCTGTCTCAAGCAATAATTGGAAAACAAGATAGGATTGCTCTTGCAATAATAATTGTAGTGAAGATTTTTAATAGGACTAATGCTCTTCTAATCCCTTATAATACAATAAATTAAAAAAAGACAGAGAAAGAATTGAAAAAACATTTAGTTAACAGAGTTTTTAAGTTTATGTAATTTTTGATGCTTACTTCAATCATGCAGATTCTTCAAAGGATTCTGATTTTTATGTTACCTACAGAGAAGACTCCTCATCCTCCACAATAAATTTATATACAAAATAATATAAAGCATCGGACCTAAATTAATTAGCTAACAGAATATGCACAGGAGGTGGGGATTATGAATTTGATTTATATACAGTTGTAAGTACAACAATTACCAATGCTGCTAATAAGTTTTCTATTAAATTTTGTTTAAATCCAGAAAAGGATGAAGATACTATTTTTCTTAGAAACATATTAGTTTATGTTAATATTTGCTATCCAACTTGTAAAACTTGCTCAACTTCTACTACCTGTTCCTCATGTTATTATGGTTCTGTATCATCAGGTTCTTGTGGATGTGATCCTTCTCATTAATTTGCGCAAACAGCAGTGGGATGTCGTTAAGAATGTGAAAGAGACTATTATATAGCAAGATCAGATAGTATTTGTGTTCCTGATAGAAGGATTAAATCTAGTGTAAAGTACTTTGATTCCAGTTCGATATCATCCTCAGATAATCCTAGATATCAGCCTTTCGTCTTTATACCAGATATTTTTCACTATTAAAATACTGACTTAGTTTATGATGATTGTGACAGCGATGATTTTGTTGGAGAATTATTCTTTAATGAAGGTATGCAGTTATCCTTAGGTAAAATAAATGCTATTAAGTTTATAAGATTAAGAGTAACTTTTTATTGTTTTAGTTTTTAAACCAACAGCAAAATTTAATTTTTTGTAGATAATATCTAATAAGGTGAATTATTGAAAACCTCATCATCTTATTCTTATAATCAAATAACCAAAATTTTTACTGATTCCGATTCCTGTGATTCTAAATCCTATACATTAATAAGAATTGAAGCTATTTTCAGGACTTATTCAGATAGCCCATAATTAATTTTTTAAGGAAAACTATAATAATCTAGTGAATCATGGGGATTTAGAAATGTCACTATTGATGTTGGTCTATGCTAAGAAAACTGTAAAATTTGTTCAGACTTTGCTACATGTTCTTAATGTGAATCTGGGTATACTAAGTTTTAAAATGGATGTGTCAGTAGTTGTCCAGCATATTCTTCAAATTGCGTTGATTATGCAGATATGATATCATGTATATATAATATTTAATTTAGATTCAAGATACTTAGCAAAAGGTTTTTACGATTTAAATATGACAATTAGTGATGTTGAATCTTTTTATGATACAGTCACAACTACTGGCAATAACCAGAAGACAGGTTAAAAGTTTTCATTCTTTCCGAATAAATTTGTATTGGGAGGAGTAATGGTATGGAGAGATGCAAAATATCACAATTCATGGCCCATCTCTAAACCTCACTATGCAATCACTATAAGATTTAATCTAACATATGGAGATGAATATTCAGGAAACTTTTATTATAAAATTGGAACGACCACTAGTGCTGCCTTTACAAAGCCTGGCAGTGGATACAATTTAATTGGTAAAAATAAAGAAGAAAGAGTTAGATATTTTGAAATTTATAAAAATCCTTTTACAGATCCTTCATTGGATTTAGAATTATAATGCACGGGAGGAAATGCAGATTTTAGAGAAGAATTTTGTGCTATATCAGAGTATTTTATTGTTGTTCATTATGTAAATTGATTTCTTAAATATTAGTGCCCTCCATTTTGTTCAGCTTGTACTAGTGCAACTGCTTGTACTACTTGGGATTCGGGACATACTAGTTCCTCTTGCTTATCTAATCAATTTCTGTCTTTTGATTCAAGTACATAGATCTATAGTTGTGTAACATGTAGTTAAACTGGATGTTTAACATGCAAAAGTTTAGAAGATTGCACATCTTGTACTTATACAGCTACAAATCAATTTTACTTGGTAAATGGTATCTGCTAATGTTATCCATTTTTATATCTTTCAGGTACCTAATGTACTTAATGTAATAAGTACTGCGAAAATTGTAATGGAGCAGGATAAACTAATTGCATAACATGTGTTTCAGATTTTCATAGATCAATCTCTTTTAATTAATGTCTATGTTAACCTGGCTTTTATGATGATGGAGTTAATTTGCCTTGTCTTCCAATATGTGGAGATAAATTGGTTGTAGATGGAGAGGATTGTGATGATGGAAATTATAATCCTTTTGATGGATGTTATAATTGTTAGTTTAGTTGTGATTTTGGGTGTAGTATATGTGTAAAAGGTATTTGTGAAGATTGTAAATCTGGATACTAACTAACAGAAAACAATTGTGTTAGCATATGTTAAGATAATATTATTGTATAAGATGAAGAATGTGAGGATAATAATTTGACACCTTATGATGGATGCTTTAATTGTAAATTTTAATGTCTTAACCATTGTGTTACTTGTACCTTCGGTGTATGTACAAAATGCGATGAATAAAATGGATGGTATTTAGAAGATAACATTTGTTAACCAAAATGCGATGATGGAATAGTTACTCTTGAAGTAGAATCATGTGATGATAATAATGAGAATCCAAATGATGGTTGTGATAAATGTGAATATTCATGCATACTGAATTGTTCATAATGCTAAAAAGGTAAATGTTTATATTGCGATTCTGGTTATACTTTAATCTCAAAGACTAATGTTTGTATTCCAACATGTGGAGATGGACTGGTAGTTAGTAGTGAAATATGCGATGATGGAAATATCATTAAATATGATGGTTGTTTTAAATGCTAGTTAAGTTGTTAAGATTCATGTTCTGACTGTTAAAAAGAAGGATGCTTAGAATGCAATACAACTGGATGGATGTATAATCCATTGGAGATGAGATGCGAAACAATTTGTGGAGATGGCATTAAAGTCAAAGATTATGAGGAATGCGATGATTTACTGGATGAAAATTGTTATTAATGTAAATATTAATGTTAAGAATCTTGCAAAACTTGCTATCAAGGATTTTGTTTGAAATGCAATAAAGGATGGACTTTAAATTCCTTAGAAAAATATTGTTATCCAACAAGTGGAGATTCATTAATTGTTGGTTCTGAATAATGCGATGATTATAATTAGATGTTATATGATGGATGCTATCTCTCCTAATATTAATGTCAAGAGACATGTTTGACCTGTTACAAAGGATTATGTTAAAATTGTGTTATTGGCTATTATTTATATTCTAATAAATGTTATGAAATTAGTGATGATGGCATTGTTATTGGAAAGGAGTAATGTGATGATCAGAATTTAGTAGCATAGGATGGTTGTTTTTAAAATAGATTTGATTGTCCAAAATATTGCTCTTCTTGTGTTTATGGACAATGTCAAAAATGTCTCACCTCCTCTGGTTATGGTAAAGTGGATTAATTGTAAAATTAGTGCGTTTCGTTTTGTGGAGATGGAATAAAGTCTATTGAAGAAGAGTGCGATGATGGCAATGATATGCAATATGATGGATGTTTTAATTGTTAATATTCTTGTGATGCCTATTGCGATATTTGCAATCAAGGGAAGTGTGATCAATGTCTTAATGGATATTATTTAAATACTAAAACTAACACTTGTTATAGCATTTGTGGTGATGCAATAGTTGTTTTTAATGAATAATGCGATGATGGAAACAAAATTAGTGATGATGGATGTTCTGATTGCAATTACTAATGCCATAAATAATGTACAACTTGTATAGATGGTCTATGTTATTAATGTACTGGAATTGGTTGGGAGATAAATACACTTATTAGGGAATGCTAGCCAGTTTGTGGAGATGGAATTGTAATAGGAAATGAGTAATGTGATGATGCTAATGATATAGGAGAAGATGGATGTTATCAATGTTATTTTGAGTGCTAAAAACAATGTACTAGATGCATTAAAGGATTTTGTGAAGAATGTAATACTTTAGGTTGGTAGTTGGATTGGAATTATTGCATTCCTATTTGTGGAGATAAACTTGTTATAGGGAATGAAGAATGTGATGATGGTAATTAAATCCCATATGATGGATGTTTTGAATGCAATTATCAATGCTAACCAGAATGTACCGATTGTTAATTAGGAGTTTGTTACAAATGTGGTGTATAAGGATGGGATATAGAAAATCATATTTGTTTTCCTGTTTGTGGTGATGGATATGTTGTTAAAGGATAGGAATAATGTGATGATGGCAATACTGTAGAATTCGATGGTTGTTTTATGTGTTAATATCAATGTGAAGAGATGTGTACCACCTGCGAGTTGGGTATTTGCTATGAATGTGACGTTTTTGGTTGGGTCATTGAATAACACAAATGTACTCCTTATTGTGGAGATGGAGTTGTTATTGGATATGAATAATGTGATGATATGAATGACGACTTTAATGATGGTTGTTACAAGTGTAAATTAGCTTGTGATTAATATTGTACAGATTGTTTGGAAGGAATTTGTCAAAAGTGCGAAATCGGGAGGTTTGTAGATCAGAACATTTGCATAGCTTAATGTGGAGATGGTGTTTTTGTAAAATCTGCTGAAGCTTGTGATGATGGTAATTTTGATGATGGAGATGGATGTAATTCATAATGTTTAATTGAAAATGATTTTGTTTGTTTTAACAATGAGGGTACCTTCTCGAACTGCTTTTATTCTAAGTAACCTTCCTTTACGATCAATCTAGTAACTAAAGCTCCAGAAGATTTCGAAGATGTACAAGTTAAATTTGATCAAAAAATGAAGTATGCTAGTAGCATAAATAATGACATCTCAAATTTCGTAATAACAGACATCCTTAATATGGAGAATAGCGAATTTCAGATTACTTAATCAGTGATGAAAGCGAGTCCATCAGATGAAATTACTGAAATTGTTCTAAATTTTAAGATTAATTTCTTTGTACCTGTTGATAGTCCAGTTTTTTAAATTAAATTCATTGATGAACCAATACTCTCTGAATTCAACTTAACTCTCAAAGAATCTTAAGGAACATTAGTCTTACTGACCCCATCAGTCTTAAGTTAAGCTTAAAAAGCTATTGCTTAAAGTGCCTCAGCCTTCAACTAAGCTGTCATCTACTCATTAGCAGGATTATCCTCCTTATGTTTGCTAACAGGCTCTTCAGATATCTTTTGGAATCTCATGGATTAATTACAATATTTATCCTACATCAAATACATCAACATCCAATTTCCAAACAATCTTAATATTTATTTTGATGTTTTTAAATTGATTACCATTTCCCCTCTAATGTCAGCCTTTGGAATCGATAAATTTTTTAACTCCTTAGATGGAGATGCTACATATTTCATACCAACGATGAATAAATTTCAAAAGGACGAAATTAATGCATACTTTTTTACAAACTTCTAGAGCTTCCTTTTTTGTTTTACTTCAGCCTTTGGAGGTTACTTGGCCACTAAATATATTCACATTTTATTATATAAAATTGGGCCATATTATGTTTCCAAAATTAATCTAACAATAGGAAAATTAATTTATTCTACAAGGAGAAGTTTAAAATAGAAATCCAAATAGTTTTACTATAATGGAATTCTAAGAATAATCATGTCAAATTCTTATGATGTTTGCTTTGCCACTACCATTCAATTGTCATATTTTCAAAGTCAAGATTCAGTCTTAGTAATCAACTCTTATTTGTCTCTTTTTGTTTTTACTACTTACATTTTAATCTCATTATATACTTTCCATGTAATGCAAAGCTTTTCAAGTACTTCAACACTAAAAGTCAAAAATAAATTCGATGCATTGTTTGAAGGAGTCTAAGAATCAAAATCTGTATGGGTTACCCAATTCAATGCAGTGTTGCTTATTAAAAAAATGGTTTTCATTAGTTTGATAGTATTTATGTAAAAAGAAGGCCAACTTTAAACCCTATGTATAGCAATTAATTAGACCTTATTTTTGTGTTATCTCATTGCAAATAGGCCTCTGTCAAATTAATATGAATATTATAAAAACATCATTACTGAGTCGTTGATCATATTCAATACTATCACATTTCTATTTTATGCTTACAGAGTAGAAATGTCTCTAACCTTAGAAAATTCGATAAGTCTAGGATGGCTACACATTTTGACATCCACATCAATTTTAGCTGTATCATTTATATTCGACTTTATTCAATAATCTAAATTGGTATTAGAAAAACTAAGAAAGGCATTTCAAGGTCCAAAAGTTGAAGAATAAGGTGCTGCAGTTACACTATTTTATTGATTTTTTGATTTTATTCAACTATATAAATTCATTTAATTCTTAAATTCTCATCTCTATCTAGGAATCCGAGTGGAGTCGTTAATACTGTAAAAAACCTCTGATAAACTCTAATTCAAATCATTTTTTCTCGATTCATATCTAATATTTGAGCCTTTACCATATTATTTCGAACTTACAACTAAAATTATTCATCAAATACTATAACATTAGATAAAAGGTTTGGGAATTTACTGAAATTGTCCTTCTTCTGAAGATAACTTTAAATTACTAAACAAATAATTATTGAACTTCATCTTAAAAGATGTAGAAGAATTTTGGTTTATTGAAAAAAAGCATAACATAATCTTAATATCTATTAAATATTTAGAGATAAGAAGAAAGGCAAAATACAATCATTTGAAATGGTAGATTTTTCATAAAAATTAAAAGAAATCCGACTTCAATAACATTTCCTTCTTTGTTATCTTACCTATTAAGAGGCATAATACAAAGATCCTCAATATTATAAGTCCAACAAAAAGCAACTTTAATTATAATCTCTACATGCTGAAAATTGAATAGAGAGGGAGTTAATTGAATTTGAAAATAATACAATATTTTATGTACTTTAAATAAATACATTTCATTTTACTTATTACTATTGCTATTGCTATTATTATTGTGTTTATTAGATTCTAATATTAGCATTGTATACTCTGGCTATATTAACTTCGATTGTAGTGATTTAATCTTTTAAGAACACTATGTCTTCATCCTATATCAATAAAAGGGATATACAAATTATCTAAGATTCGAGCTGGCATTTTCTTTGTTTGAAGATAAAAGGCCTTTAGCTTCGTTGAATTCAAATTCTACCATAACATTGGCACCTAACCAAAGGGCAACTGTCTTATTTTCTTTAGGTAAAACAGCTTTTGAATAAATAGTATCTGTAATAAGAAAGTCAACAACTTCATCTTCTTTTTAGTGTTCCAAGTGTTCTACTATGGTCAAAGCTCTTTCAATTTCTGGTAATTTATTTTGCATTGATTCTCTTTACTTGACCAATTGTGCTTCCATAAATTTGTATTTGCTAAACTCAATTAATTTCATACTTATATGCTTCTTATAAGCTTTCCATCAATCTTTGGATTGAATTCTTAGAGATCAATTCATCAATATTTTCAAAGAAAATGGCCTCTGGGATTTTTCTATTGTTTTATGCCTACTTTGTTACAAGGTCCATTTATTAATTAATTATGATAATTATTTAATATATATATAAATTTTCATGTCCAATAATTAAACTTTCAAAGATTTTCCAAATTAAAGCCATATTGAATTGAAATTTAATACTAAAGACCAACATGGACTTGAAAGAGAAGAAGCCTTACAAAAGTATCGAAGAAATGTACTCATAGACAATTTAACTATTAGATTAATTTACTTACTAAAATATTTGCATATGATGTAGATCAACCGGAACAGGAGAAATAACATGAAATTTGTTAATCAGAAAAACAAAACGGATAATTTCAAATAAAGCCCCATCTTTTGGAGAGTATGAGATAATCTCTGGTTCAATTATAAAACAGACACAAAGAAACAATAGAATAATTTAAAAAAAGAAACGAGTTGTTTAAATAGCGAATCAATGAGGATACTAAGATAAATAATTAAGAAGAATTTTAATAATTTATAAATGAACTACAATCAGAAGATTTACTCTGTGAATCCCACCCATTTCTTGATAAAAAATCTTCATTTTATATGCAAACTAATCTTTAATAGCCTATTTAAGTATGAAATGTGAAGTATTAATATTTTAGATAAGTTAAGAGTAATGTTTGGAGTTAAAAGAATAATTAAAAGATGATTAATGCATTTTATTAAGTTGACTTATAAATTATATCAGTTCAATTTTTATTAATTTGTATAATAAAATGTTGATTATACTTTCAATATGCTATTTGATTCTCACTATATTTGCTTATTTTATTGAATAGAAAGTGAAGAAATCTCTTATTCTTCAATAAAGCTAATTCTTTAGTATAAAATTAAATAAAAAATCAGAACTTTATAATGAAAATTTGAGTCTCAAAATAAGGAGTATTCTTTTAATAATTCTATTTTAATATAAAATAAATAATGTAATTAAGTGAATCCAAAGCAATTCTGTTTAATAAATTATTCGAGAGAGATGTGTGTATTAGATGTATATTGAGATTGTTCAAAATTACAGATATTAGTACATACAGGGAGACTCAACAATTCATTTAATTGTTGTTTGATGTAGGAAAAATGATTGGAAATGAAAATGTAAATAATTAAACTTATGTTAAGAAATTAGTAGAAGAGTACGATTTCTTGTTCTATAAAAGGAAGGCTGAGATTTTAGATTCTGATGTACAGCCTTTAACTTGTCATTCTTCATTAAAAGATTAATTTATTAAAAACCCTTTTCACACCTTTGATAAAATTAATAAATGTTTAGTATGTCATGGAATATTACAATGTGTGGATGATTCAAAATTTATAGGAATACTAGTGGATGAGATATAAAAAAAGTAATATTAATTCGAAGCATTTAAATTTTAAGTCAAAACACCAATTGGCTGCTAAATTAGATAAATAATAATCGTAAATCAATGCATTTCAGAAATTGGTTAGATAGACCCCTTATATGAATACATTAGAACTCCAAATTTTGCAACAGACATTAAGATTTGCGTGAAGTGGATAATGTGTGGTTTATTAAGTGAATCACTTAAAGTCCCCAGTGACGCAAATGATGATCGATTTTAAATATGTTTAAATTTTGAGAATATTGGGGATGATGTGAAATAGTTTGAATAGTTTAAGAAAATAATCTCAGATATAGATGATTAATAATGGGAAGAGAAAATCACAAAGAAAGTAAGATTCTAATATAATTTAGTTAAAAATGAATGATCCTCAACTGAAGGCAGAAACTCATAATAGATTATTGCAGAAGAAAAATCAATAATCTCAACCATTTTTGCCAACCTAAAATAATTTGGAGAAAATCTCGAAATTAACCAACGCTTAGATATCATCCTATAAGATAGTAAATGTTAACTATCCAGTTAAGTTAGAAGTGTCTACTAGCTATTAGAATATTTTTATCAAAGGCAACTACATTAAATTAGGAAGATACATCAGTTAGACTCCATGGATTATAGATGGGAATAAAATCTATGAAGATTCAATTGAAGATTTGGTGAGTGCAGAAGCATGCAAGATATTTAAGCCTTCAAGCGTGAAGTTTCATTCAGGAGGCAGGGAAGATATTGATGTAAGAATGTTAGGAAATGGTCGACCTTTTGCTATTGAATTAGTGGATCCTCACCAAGGAGTCCTTAATTAGACTTAAGAAATCCTTAGTTAAATAGAATCTAAGATCAATTCATAAAATGTAGTTAAAGTAACTCCATTGACATATACTGACACCAACATTTTTGGAGATTTGAAGAACTCAGAAACAAACAAGGTCAAAGCTTATTGTTGTGTAGTTGAATGCAAGAACGCAGTCAATGCAGATTTGTTAGAATAGGCAAATCAAATCAAAGATTTAGTCATTAAATAGAAGACTCCAATAAGAGTACTACACAGAAGGACTCAAATGGTGAGAGATAAGATCATCCATTCATTATTGATTAAGAAAATTAATGAGAAATGGCTTTTGGTTTATGTGTTGAGTAGTGCAGGTACCTATATTAAAGAGTTCATTCATTCAGATTTAGACAGAACAGTTCCTAATTTATGCTCACTTTTGTAGAATGAATGTGACATTTATTAATTAGATGTCATAAAATTATACGAGAAGATTAACGAGGCCGTTATTATTGATTTTAAGAATCTTGATATAGAATGCGGGTGTAAAATTTGAGTATTAATGTAAAAATTATTTGATAATTCTAACAGAATTATTAACTCAATGTAGAGTATTTAAACTAAAAAAGGTATCTCTATTTTTGAATAAAATTTATTAATCCAAATCAAATGATATAGTAGGAACGTAAAGATGACTTAAAACTTAAGATTCTTCTCTCATCGTCAGTCAAGGTCAAATCCGAGGCTGATTGCAGATATTTTGACAAGATCATCCCCTTAAATGAAAATCAAGCTTTTATTTATTACGACGGTGGCTCATATGAATTGTATGACATTGAGTCACAAAATATAATTGGCTAAGGCCAAATCACCTGTGATGTCAAATTTTTCTCTCAGATCTACCCCATGTACTATTTAAAAATAATAATTAGGACCTTGAGTTACCTTGACCCAGATGATTTGAAAGTCAAGTTGTTGGATCTTAAAACCGGTAAACTCAACCAATCCTTTACCTTCCAGGCTAGCAATGTGGTTAAACAAAACAGTGAAAAATAATAAAAGGAAACTTTGGCTGATAGTAATACAATTATATAATGATAGAATTTCGCCTCATGATATTAGACAGATAAGCAGACAAGATTAGATACTTAATCACTTAAGATTTGGAAAAACAATATTCAAATAATAACACATGTCACTTCATCATTAGAATCATCCCTCAAACCTACGCAGCAGACACTCAATTTGACATGAGTCCTGTTTTTGAATATAACTATCCAAATAAGACAGGATAAACTGAGTTATTCAACTGGTAGGTTGATGATGAGACATTCGCTGTTTATGGATAAGACTTCGAAGTTGGACAAGCTGAAATCATGTTGATCAAGCCCCACTTAGCTCAGAAAGCATTTTACATTATTTAAGTCAAAGACGCATTGCCTTACACCTTAATCAATGTTACCAATTGGATACATCCTCATTTAATTGCTCTTTGGTAAAATAACAACAATGGAGACGCCAAGCCAACCATTTTTACTATTGATATAAGATCTTATTATGATGGAGAAAATTGGTTACCTGAACCAGAGTATAACGCGGTTAAAGTAAATTACATCATTAATTCATTTTAGGTCAGAGATGAATATGTTGGAGAAGAGCCAGTTACATTTATGGATATCTATCAATTCCAATTGAATTCCACATATGTTTTGTAATTTAGACTTGTTGGTATTGATCCAAGACTTTCACTAATTAATTATGCCAATATTGATAAACCTGAAGTGATCAACGAAGTAAAAGTAGATGACTTTTTCCATGAATTCCCAGCAAATAAATCCTATTTATTAACATACAATGATTTGGAGTACAATATATATCATAACCCATAGAGTAAAAAATGGACAAGTAGAATTTACCATTGTGTTTCCAGTTGATGCAAGACATCAATTATTATAAATAATTGAAAAAGCAAAAGTAATTGAAAAATATGGCATTAACTACGTAGAAGAATTATTTGAATTCTATTAATGAAATTCATATTAAAAGAAAATATTAAATTACGAACAGCCTTTTTCTCCATTTTCTATTAAATTTATAATAAATATATAATAATAATTCATAGAAAATATCTTCTTTTTGCTATTGTTTGCTATGTTTAAATTTATTTAATATTGGTGATATCATTGCCTTTGAATATTTCCGCGTCAGATGGTCTATTAGTACTCATTTTATTATCATTTATCATCATAGATCCTTAAGAATTTAAAAATTTCTCTTATTAGGGACGATTGCTAGACAACTTGAAATACTTTTCAATCTATTCAATTGACCCATTTAACTATGAAATTACTACATCGACCTTGAATGATGGTTTTTCATTTGTGATTTTTTATGTTAGATGAAATAGCAATCTATCAAGTTTTTCGTAAATCTTGTGCAATTCTACCAACCTCTTCTCTTCCAAAACGATATTTGGAGACGTATTCTAGGACAACTCCAATTTCTCATTCATCTCCTTTATTGTCCTATTCCATAATAATTTATAATTACTTTTCATAATATTCTATATCTGCTTAGAATTTGATCTCCAAAGCATGGTATTTGCCACTTAACTCTTATCTTTCTTGCAAGAGTAAGGATAATTCATTATTATCAAATTTTAATTACTAAATAGTTTATTCTGATTCATATTTAACTTGTTATAAGATATCAAGTTCTTCCAAGATTTACTATCTTTCATTTTAGAGTTCATTGTTTATCTGCTTCAACTACTGAATTTCTTATTAAGAGATTTCAAGTTATTAAGATGCTTCCTGAAATTCCTTATTTCTTTACTGATATTCTTTTTAGAGCAATTCATATTTTTATTAAAATTATTGATGTTTTTCATTCAAAGCCCCAAATTATTAATGTACTTGAACTAGTTGATTGAATTCCTTAGACATATCTTCATTTTATTTTAAGATATTCTCCAATTCTTATTATTATTTTTTAATTAACTATTCTTTTTCATTCATCATTCTATCAGCTTCACAAATTTGTCTTCCTGTCTTAGTCATATTGCTTTCAATTTCATAATTTAACTATTCCAAATTTTCAATTCTACTTTATTAATCTTCAGTTTATCTAATATTAAGTTGTAAGATACTTTTTCAGTTGTGACATTTAGTAGACACTTTAATTAAATTATCTACTCAATTCTCTATTTGCCTATTCGCACTCTAACAACTTATTATTGGCCTCAGTCAGTTATAATTAAAAACTCATGATTTCTTTTTATTTGTCTGAAATATTCTTTTGTAGTTACTAAAATAATATGAGTAATTTTATACTTTCTTTGAATTTTCTGCAGTAGCAACTTCATTCTTTTTTAATTGTAATTCCTCTTCCAACTAACCTAGTTTATCTTAAATCTGAATCATTTTTTTAATTTGATCATTTGATGTTTCTGATTATTTCTTTCTTTCTTAATTTTCAAATTTCAACTTTTCTACTTATTATTGCAATTGTTCAATTTGTTCTTTCTGTTATTCAATATGATCAATCAAAGCATCCTTCTCTTGTTCTTATTGTTGAATTGTCTAATTGGCATGAGTGATATTCTTCATGGCCTCTTCCATCGATTATGACAACTCTTCATTCTATTATTATAATTCATTGTCATGTTTTTTCATTAGTTCATTAATCTAATTTGATTATTTAAGTTAATTTTCTAAATGTTATATAATTTGATCTCTCTATTTAAATTCATTCTAAATAGTTTACATCTACACTCTATTGTGTTACAATTCTAAATAGATATCAATGGCATTCTCATTTCTTTTCTTGTTTTTTGAATTAGTTATAAACACTCCCTAATTATACAATTTTTTCTCTAATTCCATTTTAATAATGTGATTATAAATTCTTAATTATTCTGAATTCAACCTTTCCTACATCAGTTGTTATTCCAACTCTGCCACTGTACCTTAAGATTATTATTAAGATTATTGTTGCTATTGTTATAATGAAAGTTAGGACATCTGAGATTATTGAGATTGTTAAACAAATTGAGGTAATTTTGATTCTTAAACTGGTGTTTTATTAGGACTTGAAGGTTATACTTATTATTTCTTTGAACTGTCCGGCCTTATTATCTGCACCACTTTTGGCATATTTTAATTACTAACTTACTATTTGGGTTGTAGAACCTGATTTTACTATTAATCCTATTCATTATTCACCAGAATTAATGGTCCTTTTTAGAAATTAGGTGAACTTACTGACTAAAATATACGATTTGTATCCTAGGATGCTAAAGAAGATTTGAATTTATTATCTTACATGCACTGTATACTAGAGATTCTTAAGTGAATCTTTGTTGTTACTACTATAGGAGTTGTTGATTTGGCTTAGTTGGTGTTGGTTACTCTCTTTCTGAATGTTCAGATGGTTAATATTCATAACCCTCATTCTCAAAATTGATTTAAGACATTAAATTTATTTATTAATAATTTAAGGTTTCCCTTAACGATCTTTTTATTTGTAAAAATATATAGATTCTCATTCATCGTATATTATGTGTATCTCTCCTGAACCTCCACAATCTGAAGATGCCACCACAAAGACCATATTAGTCCAACAATCAATTTACAGCTCAGCTTGAACTGGCTAATTAAATGCCTTATTCTTCACTAATTGGATTAAACCAGTGGCAGGATTCACTGTTAGGGTAAGCTGATCTCCCCTATTGAAAAAGGGGAATTTAGAAGCCAAAAACAATTTGTGAGGTTTTGTGGGATCTAATTCAACTGATCCAGTCTCACATACTCCTATTTAAAATGTTTATAATATTTATTGCTAGATACTAAATGTGATTGATTTCGGTGGTTTAAGAGGCCCTTCTTACAAACGAGGTCCTATCAAGGCTAATCTGGTTTTATTTGTTTTATTGCCAGTATTTGGAGGTACAAGTAATCTGGTTGGACTGATTAATTTGAATTAAGAATGCACTTATTTAAATGTAAATGGATTGAGAAAAGTCTTAGACAATTGACTGCTGAAAGTCGATAAAAATAGCTATCTTTGACTTGGACTTGCATTCATTGTTGGAGATGCCAAGATTGATTAGGTTCCCATAAAAGGTTCAGCATTTGACAGTTTACGAGACATTGAAATATTCTATATATTATGATTGAATTCTTCCATTTATTATTGTATTTATGCAGTCATATCTTAGAGTGTGTCTTCCAAAATGTTAAGTCTCTTCTCTAATCTTTAATTAAAAAAAGTGTGTTCTTTTTGATTGCATGTTGATAACAATTCATCATTTTACAGTAATAAAAGTAGTGATGATTTAAGATTATCAGACAATTAGACTTGTCTTTCCATTTGGTTTACATCTTTTATTTTTTTATCAGCCTAAGAATCAGTAGTGAGATGTCTTATTAATCTTTCTATTTCATTCAGCTTCTAGAAATAATTCTTTTGTAAATTCTATGATTTTTAATCTCGCTCATTAATCTGGGTCTCCAATTATTGTAACAGATTATTGAACACATCTGTAAATTATTGTAATTTATCTTTTATCGATTGAGTCTTTTATTATGGTTATTTCCACTCAAACATAATGAAATTAGTTAATAAATCTGAGGCTCGTTTTATGGACATCATTTATAGATGACTATCAATCTCTATACATTATGTGCAAATAAATGAATCACGAAAATTACATTTCAATTTTATCATTTTTGCCCTCTCCAATGGATGACGATGGCATCGTTATTATTCAATAAATTATAATACATATTCATTCAACGATTCCATTTATTTTTATTTATTATATATCTGCCCAAATAATTTTTATATATATTGCTACTATATAATTATAGAGATCCTGATCATATTCAAGTTATATCCAAGTTGAATTGCTCCTCTTAACCAGTGAATCTAACATCATAAATATTAAAGATATTTATTCAACATAAAATTTATACAGGATATTTTATAAGTATTTATTATAAATATTTTATAACTAGTCAACAATTTAGAATTCTATTATTTGAGTATCCTATTTAATATAATATAAGTCTAGAACTTAGGCATTGATAAGCCTATGATAAGATGGATTTCTCGGACACATAAATAATATTTATTAAGTAAAATAACCTAATAAAGTTAGGCGAGTTAACATCTAAATACATAAGAGGAATCAATTAGATTCATAGCCCCAAACAATATTCCGTTTTTAAATAAAGCTTTGGATCATAGCCTAATTAATAAAATCCTAAGATAAAGTTGAGATTTTTTTTCTATCAATTCTAATTAATATATTTGATTTGATAATTAAATTGAGAATCAAATTTAAAAAGTTTTATAAATTCTGGAGGAATGAATAATACAGATTATTCTTTTTTATTGTATTAATATAAAATTTGTTAAATAACTAATTCATAATATTATTAATGATTATCCAATATAAGATTGTGGCTATTTGCCTATTCCTTTCATTTGCATAACTAAATCTACTTATGGAAGATTTTAATTCGTTAGGATTTATTTCTTCAGGCTGGAAATGCAAGCCGAGCAACTCTGACTCATTAATATACCATTGCCCTAATGGTATGGATCTAGTTTAATTGAGCCACGATTGTAATAAGATAGAAAAAACGATTTTAAATATTCCACCCCATTATAGTATATAACTTTATGTTGATTTCATTGCTTATAATACAATTGATGGAGGTGAAATTGCCGATATTAGTGCAGATAACAACAAAATATATGAATATTTTAACGGATAAGGAGGGCCTTTTTAATATGGCAATTAATGTGAAACTAATCCATCCATAGGCAGATTTGATATGATTACTTCAATTAAGGAGTTTGGCCATTCAAGCAGTTAATTAACGATATCGTTCTCTACGAATGTAGATGAGTCATTCCCTAATGAAGGCTATCCATTCAGAAATTTATAAATTTATTACTAATCATGCCATTACACATGTAAAACATGTTCAAATAAATCTTATAACTCATGTTTAAGTTGTTTTACAATTAATACCGTACCTACACTCTAATAATGTAAAACATGTAAAGATTAATAAAATCTCAGATTTTTATTATAAACCCAAGGTTGTTTAGTAGAGTGCCCTGACGGTCACAGTTATGATTAACAACTTGTGTGTTATAGAAACCTAAGTAAAATTATAATCATAAATAGTGTTGAAAAATCTTTTAAATCTCAATACATAATAGCCAATGATATCATAATAACTACTACTAACTTCTAATTTAAATCTTGGAGCAAGATCCCCTATATCCTGCAATATGATTGATTCATATCTACCATACTATTAAGATGAAGTTTTATACACACATTTGATTTTAGATCCCTCAGCAATAGGTATTAGACTGAGAGCCACAATTATTTTATTTGACTCATGGATGCCAGACAAATATTTGTAAATAAAAATAAATGGATAAATTGTAGATTCCATTAATTTCAACAACTTAATAGTAACAACAACGAATAGTATTATATTGTATTAGGATTTAAGTACCCAAATTTGTTCAACTAAAAATAAATTTAAAATAAGAATTGAATTAAATCAAATTATTACTGTATAGGCTGTAAATCTTTCCTTTAATGGATATAATTTAGTTGATCAAACATTATCATGGTCTGTTTCAAATATAAACATAGAGTATGAAGTTTGTTCACTGAATTGCAGTTCTTGTTCTGATAGATAAAATTGCAATGCTTGTTTATTACCATTTCTTTTACATAAAGGCTAATGTATTTAAGTTTGCCCATCATATTCAAGGATGGTTGGCGCTCAATGCATTGATTTGGATGAAGAATTAATTGATAAAGAAAAATCAAAAATAAAATACTTAGTTAAAGAGTTTTATGACATTTCTACTACAAAAGAGAGGGTGAATGAGTTATTCTAGTTGGTTTCTGGGAGTCCTAATAATTTTGCAAAAGGAAGTGATATATACTTTTCATATGTTCCAAACAAGAAGGTTTTTGGAGGAGCATTAGTTTGGGTAGATGCAATCTTCTAATTAAAATTAGAGATGCCAAAATATTATTATTAAGTGAGAGTTAATTTTCAAGTTATTTTGGGGGATGATTTTGGTGTTGGAGATTTCAAATACTCAATTAATAATTAGAATAATGTAATATTAACAAAATCAACATTGAACCCAATTCAATAATCATAGATTTGGGGTGATTTAAATCCAGAGTATGTTCTTTAAGTTGATTAAATAGTAAATAAGGTTGATATTTAAAATAGGTTGACAATACTATTTACTTGTAATAATCCAACTAAATTAGTCAATTAAGCATTCTGTGCTATATAGAATTTATTTATAACAGCAGAATTTTATTGCACTAAGGAATATCGATTTGATTTATTTAACTATGAAAAAGGTTTGAATCCCTGTGTTCCAATTTGTGGTGATGGATTTGTAGTGGATGAAGAATAATGTGAGGATGGAAATAAGGATCCATTTGATGGATGCTTTAATTGCCAATATTAATGTTAAGAACATTGTCAACATTGTGTATAGGGGGTATGCTTATTCGACTAGGAAGGAGAGGATGATAATTAGAAATTTTTTGAAAATGAAGTAGTTAGCAAAGAAGAAATCTATTACAATGATAATTAAATTACTGATGATAGTGCTGAGTGTTAGGTTGAATGTTTAATTTGCAAGGATGGGAATTGCTATCAATGTATGGAAGGCTATTATCTTGAATAAATAACTTAGATTTGCTATCTGCAAATAATAGATTAATAATATACTACAGAGATTCAAAACAATACTCAAATGCGTAATATTGATGGTAGTGATTGTTAGAGAGAATGTTTAAGTTGTAATTTTGGGCTTTGCTATCAATGCATGTAAGGCTATTATCTTGATTTAATAACTTTGAATTGCTATCTGCTAATTATAGGTTGTAATAATATAAAATCATACTCTAAGGAGATTCAAAAATATACTACAATGAGTATTTGTGAAATTGATATCCCTTATTCAACTTTAGATAGTATCTACTAAGATCCTGATTATGTATGTATAAACTGTTTGACTTTCGAATATCAGAGTTGTAATAATAAATGCTCTTTTTGTTATCAAGGATAGTGTTTTTAATGCTAATCTGGATACACTCTATTTGAAAATCTAGATTGTCTTTCTATTTGTGGTGATGGTCTAATAAATAAAGACTAAACAAACTAAGAATTAAACGAAGATTGCGATAATCCTTTTGATGAAGGATGTCAAAATTGTGTGGTTTAACCTGGTTATAAATGTATAAAAGAAGATAGTTCATTATGTTGGACATGCGATTCAAAATGTTTAAAATGCGTAGTTGATGAAGATGATCAATTATTATGTTAATAGTGTATTGACGGTTATTATGGTTTAAGTAGTCTTTGTTACATATGCGATGATAATTGCATAACGTGTAAAGATGATTCAGCTCTATGTACATCATGCTATAGAGATGATTGCTAAAAATGCGAAGCTATACCTGGTTTATACACAGATTATGAAATTAAGAAATGCATGCCTTAATGTGGAGATGGTATCAAAATTCAGTATTATGAATAATGCGATGATGGTAATACAATTGATGGAGATGGCTGTGATTCAGAATGTAATTTCGAATTCGCTTAAGAGTAATATTCTATTGGAATTAAACGTCTTAATGGAGCATCTTTTAATGATCTCAGTATAATTCAAGATTCGTATATACAATTGAATTGTTAGAAAACAACAGTATCTATTGAGGGTTTCGATAAAGAACAGTTCATCTATAATTCTACTAGCAGTGATATTGGATGTAAAATTTAATTTTAATTCTTCAAATCGATCTATAAAACCAATCTAATACACATCTATATACAATTTCAAGAAGTTTATACTAGAATACTGGAAGAACAACTCTAACAATATAAGGAAATTTAAGTGGATCCAATTGAATAAATAATTTTAGATGATAGTCAATAATCCTAAGCTGATGCTATTTCTAATGCTCAATCTAGTCTATCTTTATTAATTTTGATTCTAGCCCCACTTTCAATTCTATTTGGCTTATTTGATTATTTATGGGCAGTCCTGGAAATCCTGAGTTGGATAAACAATTTCTACTTTTTCAATGTTAATTTTCCATTCAATGTTTAGGTCTTATTTTTGAATAGTGATTGGTCATCAATAGTCAATTTTCCAACCTATTAAGATTTGAATCAACCAGGATGTGATTATTATTTTGAATCACCTCCAAGATTCTCTGAAAAAGGTGTTGATCCACTATTTATGAATAATGCTTAAGTACCTGCCTTTTTTATTTTTACCTCCATTATACTATACTTTGTGGGCTTGCTAATTGAATTCTTCTTCAAAGCAATAGATAAGATTTTTGAAAAAAAAGTTCCATTACATAACCATACAACATTTTCAATGTAAAAATAATAGGATGTTTAATTACATCATCAAAATCAATCTTCATATTTAGTTAAATCGAATAAATATACTTAATATTTGGTTTAAAAGCTAAAAATGGTGACTCAGAGTTTTTAGAGTAGAATTAAACAAACAGTAACACTGTGTCTATTAGATTTAACTATGGCTATTACACTTCAATTAATTTTTGGAAAACAATATTATCATAGTATGATATTAATCAACACTATTCTTGCACTATTATTTTGTCTCTTAATAATATTTTAATTAAGACAGTCATATTATGTTATAGGTATTCATAAAAATCTAGCTGAATTCCCTCTTTTCTAATAAAAATATGGGTGTTATTACGAGAATATAAACATAGAAAATACTTTTGGACTCAAATTTAATTTCTTTGGACTCATTCGTAAGATTACCTATATTTTCTGTCTTGTCTATTTTTACTATAATCCTCTTTTACAAACCACGTTCTGCTTTATATCTTGTTCCTCAGGTGTTTTATTACTTATTTACTCAAATCCATTTGAAAGTAAAGGGCAATTTTATAAACAATTAATCTCAGAATCAGGATTGAGTTTGATTATTTTTATTACAATTCTGCTATCCATTGATGACTTATTAAATAAGATGGAAGAATAAACTAAAATCAATTTGGGATGGATTATTATAGCTTTGGTTTTCCTATGTGTATTTTGTGAAATCATAACTTTGATATTTGAAATTTGCAGATTGTTTTATGAAATAACTGTTGAAACTTTTAAGTTTCTAATGAATAAGCATAAAGCAACTGCGTAGATAGAATCCAATAACGATACATAACAACCTAATGCCCCTGAAACCATAATTCTAAACCGGCTATCCTTCAAGCAGCATCGCCAACTCCATCAGTATTTCAAATGAATTTGTTTATAGTATTAAATATTATGTATTAATAATTATCTTGCATTGAAATAATAGGATTTGGATTATAACAATTTAAATATCAATAATTATATTTTCAACTTAATCTCTGTTTTAATTCTGATATCATTCTATTAATATAAGTAGCATCTGGATAGCCATATTTGCCTCCATTCAAACTGGTTTTGTGGTGTAAATCATTAAATTAGACTTGATACTTATGGCCATCTTATAAAGATCTTCCAATTGTAAACACTAGGCCTTTGTCAAATGCCGTCTTTAATAAATCTGCTAATTCTTCTCCCTCTTTAGTATTAGGTATGTAACAAGTGTGTTTAGCACCTCTATAATGTATTCCATTCTGTAATCCATTAGGGATGTCATAAACAATTTCAATTGTCTAAGTCTTTTCATATCCTGAACATGATTGATTGATGATCTATTTGGTAAATGTGCCAGGTGGTTGAGGGGGATTTCCATAAGTTTTATCACAATCTAGACATTTCAATTACTTGTTCTTAATCTTCTCAACTATACATTTAGGATGGAATATATGATTGCAAGGAGTAATGATTGATTTTTGATTTGTCTTGCCACATATCGAACATTTAGATTTATCATTAGTCTTCTGTATCTTAAAGTATTTGGCTAAGACTATATCAGGTCTATTCTTTAGTTTTTCCTCAAAGGTGGTCAGTCTTTAGACCAACTGTTCAAAAGATTGCCCATTTAAAAACATTTTATTTATATTATAATTCTTATTATTTATGTTAAAATTTTAAAGAATCTGTCTAAGATAATTTAGTTAAAAAAAAATATTAACAGATGAATAAGTAAAAGAAGGCCTGAGACCCATTTTAATGAAAGAAGGCTACTTTGAAGATGATTAATACTTATATTATATTGATAGAGACAGCAGAGTCAGAAAAGTCCCTAGAGAGTACTAGAAGAGAGAGTAAATAACATATATCTATGTCTTCTTAGTGGAGTTTATAGAATCAAGTTTCTTGAACCCATATATAGATGGTGGATACGCAGATCACCAGACACTTAATTTGCAATTATTCCTTACTTTTTGTCTGCTCTCTTTTTCACTGTAATCTACAATGGAGCCAATTTCATCATTGAGAGAGAAGATCAAATAGTGGAAAAGGCCAAGGTAGATCCAAATTTCAATAAAGAAAACCTTGAAAGATGGAGAACTGAAAAGCAAAATAAACAATGAAATTAATAACCAATATTATTATTTATCAATATGGATAAGGGTGGTTCTCATTAAATTTAACAACTCCTTCGATTTCTTTCATTACTCTAAGCACCATTTCCTCTTGATTGGGGTATGATATAACTTGAACATTAACTGGCAATCCCTAGGCATTTTTCATATTTTGATTCATCATAATATAAACTAAATCTATAGTCCTTTCCTTTCCTTCAATTTTTAGATCATCTCCCTCTTAGACTCTTGTTATTGGCATACTTCCTGCGGGAACATCAACTGTATTCCATATCCATGTGTATAATCTATAAATAGAAATAATAGACTTACGCTGCCAAAGGTAACACTTTTGATGCTCCATGCTTAACAGCTGGACAACCAAATCCAGGTACAATTACCGCATCAATTGAATTTGATTTCAAGTATTATAAAAATTAAAAGTTCATCCTCTTTTGCTTTCCTGAATTCACCAAAAATTGATAAACATCTAAACCATGAGTTTGCTTACTCATAACATGTAGGGTCTTTTATCCAAATATCTTTAATAAAGGTGCTAAGATGTAGGTTTATAAGAATATTGGAATCTTAGTTCCTGTCTCCATTAATTCATATTCTTCTATGATCTTTTCTCCTTACAAATTATCTTCAAATGACTTAAATCCACCTTCTGCTGCCACTAACCTTGGAAAAGCAACAGCTAATTCATGTTCCAATTCTTTCTCCAAATTTATTTAAACTATTTCATGTCCTTTGCTAACCAAAGCTTAGCATGCTTCTTAAACAGCTCTCTTCATGCAATTGGGTGGCAATAAATCATTGAATTATTCGATATATCCAATCTTCAGTTTATCCTTTTTGGCATTCTAAGTAAAGTCAAGATCCTGAGGTTACCAATACGGATCCTAAACTGAACATGGTAATTCAGAATAATTCTTAGAATTAAATAGGACTCTCAACATAACTGTTAGATCATCCACACTACGACCTAATGGACCCTTAGATGGTCTTATATTAATCATTCCACTAGCTGCTTTTTCAATGATTCCTTCTCCAACTTCTGTCTATCTCCCAATGCCTGGCTTAATTCCATAAACTCCACAGAAGGCAGCAGGTATTCTTATGCTTCCACCTATATCTGAGCCAATACCAATAACACTACAGCGAGCAGCCTGTAATGCGGCCTCTCCTCCTGAAGATCCACCTACAGCTCTATCCTTATTCCAAGGATTTAGCGATCTGCCGAATATTCGATTGATAGATTCAAAAGTCATAGCAAGTTGAGGTAGATTGCTTCTTACAAATATTATACCTCTAGCTTTATTTATTAAAGACACTTAGATTCCATCATAGGTGGCTGGCTTAAATAATCGAGAAGCCAATCCATAAGTGTTATCAAACCCTTTATGAATGTAAGTGTCTTTAACCGAAACTGGTATTCCGAAAAGATCATATTTATAGATAATTTAAGGATCTTAAGAAATTTCTTAATCTTGCTTCCTAATTAAATCACTCTATAAACTTACTCTGCCTCTAATAAAGCTTCAGTAAAGTTGATATCGGTTATTAGATTCAAGTTATCTGAAGTGGCCACAGACAATGTTCTATTAATAAATACCAACAGCACCTATTTAACTGTTGCCTTCTTTTCGAACAGAATTTCTTTAATATCAGCAATAGTGGAATTTAATATTTGTTTTTCCAACTCTTAAGTCAAACCTGTAGATAAATTCTATGATTCTCGGAATTCTTAAATGGATCGTTTGAGTTCATTTCTCTTTCTTTCGCATAGTTTGCCGTATTTTTTCTGTATTCTGTATTTGGAAATGAAGTTAGTCAAGCCATAGAGTGCGAAGATCCCTACAGCTCCAAAAAGATATTTTTGTTCTTTTTTTGAGAACCAATTTTGTAATCTGAAATTCATTATATATATATTTATATTGATAGCATATACTATTTTCCGAGTATGGCCAATATAATAGTTCGGTGATATATACTTATGCATGAACATACTTTTACAATAGGTTTCTTCAAAATGGAATGCTGTAGTGCAGTTATTATTAATATTGAGAATTGATACTTATTCTGTGATATATAAATCTATAAAAACAGATTGATTTTTTTATTAAATAAAATAATGGATTAGATTGAATATGTGAATCTAGAGAAGAAGAAGCCTTAGGCTAATTAAAATAAATAAAGGAGAAGATAAAATATAAGACCAAATAAAAATGAGACAAATAGAAGAAATCAAAGGGATAATCAACCATTCAAAAATTAAAGAAAGCAATGGAGAAACAAGGATTAATAAAGATAAAATGTAGACTTTTCAATGTTATAATTAAGCGTCCATTTCAATCTGAAAACAGGATAGTGGCTACTGGTAAAAGAAGAAGGCAATTGCAAACAAGAAAATTTAATCAAAGACCTAAAGCTCCTAGAAATATTCAACCTAATGTCATTATAAAAGGATTGGATCCAAAAATGACAGAAGCTGGTTTATAAGTATCGAAATCATTGATCTCTCCTAGGAAGCTTGCAAAGATTTTGGCCCTATGAATATGTGCAAATTGGACAGAGATAACTTTGGACAAGTGAAGGTAATTTGAATTATTAACTTTTGAACAGCCAGAAGGAATTGGCTTAATTAGGTTTACCAGAGTTGAAGATGCTAAGGCATGTGTCGAAAAGCTAGATGGTGTTACTGTATAAATCATTGGGGAAAACAATAATGTAAATCATTGAAATAATCTATAGGAAAAAGTAATATCTGCAACATTCGTTGGTGATTCAGAATAAGCTGACAACAATAGAAATAGAGGTGTATTGAACATTACTAAGAGATCAATAAATAAAAGGTATTGATTCAATAAAATTAAATTAGAAACTGGAGAAGATGAATTTGAATAAACACAAATATGTTATTTTAAACAATTCAAAAATCAATCATTTAGATTATTAAAAATAACTCATAACATTTTGATAATAGATTATGGGTCAATCCTGAAAAAATGTATAATTAAGGAAATAAATATACTCCAATTATCCGGGAGTTAGACTTATTTCTGTATATTTGAAGGCCTATTCATAATCTAATCTCTCACATTGTCCCGGTTTCAAATACTTTTTCTTAACAGTCAATTATAAAATGGCCTCATTGAATGAATATTAGATTTTTCAAATATTTATCTCAATTCAATCTCATATATTTCAAAATTTCCAATCAATTTGATTGAAAATTCTTACAACTCCCAATGTTTCATTACTTTTCAATTAAAGATTTAATTACTTTCTTAGATTTTCCTTATGGATCTTTCTAATTATTATCAAGAGATCATAATAATACTTATAAATTTAAAGTATAACTTGTTTTTCTTAATAATATCGAAAGAACTAAAGCGTTTCATATTCAACCCTAATTTGTAATGTTTAAAAGATTGAATTTTATTTAAATTTGCCTAGATACCATACTAAAGTACTCTTTATATTAAATTATTTAATAATTTTATTGGATAATAGTTTGTAAAATTAATTATAATAAACAATAATCATTTAATTTATTCCATTACTTTAAGCACATTTACTTAATTAAATTTTTCCTTCTGAACCTTCTTTGAGTCTGCCAAACAATATTTTATTATTAAATATCTCAATGGGTCGACTATTATTTCCATAATTAATGCAGGCAAATAGTAGATAATGCATAATGAATTATTGATTTCAAACCAAATTATACCAAAAACAAAAACAGCAAAAATAGACAACCAAAATGTATAGTTTAGAATTTTAAGTGCTTACACACACAAACCTTTGCTAATTTTCTTGATCAAGTGATAATCTAAAACTTTTAAAACCACATATCCACCACATGTCGCTCCCATAATGATGTAAAATGATAGGTTCTATGTGTAAATTAACAATAATCCACAAATCTCAAAACAAGTAATTTATCTAAAATATATTTAAAACGTCATAAAGGTTCTTGAAATTCCATCCTTATGAGTAAAATATATCTTTGATAATTAATGGCATTTCTAATGTTATTACTATATTTTACATAGTAATCTTTTAATGGTTTAGGAATTTTATAAATAGAGTCTACAAGAAATTGTCCACTAATTTAGAAATTTGAGACTGATGATATTCTAGGAATGCTCGTTATTCTCTAACCTGGAGATTGAGCATAAACACTATTCCTTTCACTATTAACTACTGAGGGTCGTGATCGGACGCTTTTTCTATTAGTTGATTATAATGTGTCTGCCCCATCATAAGTGCCAATGTTGAGTTTCTTTATTATAGTTTATTACATTTAAAATTTCTTTGGAGACCGTGAAGGAGATTTTTTATCACTGGACCTCCTTCTTGGACTTGTATTTAATTCTAAGTTAACTTGTCCATTTTCTTAATTAACTTATTGATTTTATTATCCATAGTTATTGTTTACAATATTGAATTCTTCATCAACCTTTCTAATTGATTGCTGTTTCTACGCGTTTGGAACCATTATTGGATTAATCGTAAGGAGGCTACACGAAGGAGTAATACTTTTTGTTTATGGGCTTATAGATGCTAATTGATATGATTTATCTAGCAAATATCCTATAAATAAAATCAATAGAAATAGTAGAGTCCAAGCAGAAAAAAAAACTATTATTAATAAGTTATTATTCATTAATAAAATTATTGAAATATTAGATTCAAATTAAGGAATTGTCATTTTGCAATCTTGATTTTCACATTATTATGACATTTTTATTTGAGTTCTATTTGATCTAATATAAAAGAAGAATCAAAAGAATTATTATAAATAAATAGGATTTAATTTAATATATAAATTTCCAATTTTTGATTCACATCAATAAACACTAAATGTTAGAAAATATATTTATTAATCTAATTTATTAAGATATTTTATATTCTAATTATGGAAATGAATATTAATATTAATATCACTAATCTGTCAGTTGGATTATTGAAAGTTAGACTATTTCCATTATTCATTTTGTCTTGGATTCTAAGAAGAGATAAAAATTTTACTATAAATTAGATAATTATATTTGTGATTATATATTTTATTAATTTATATCTTGTATTCTTTTTCTTGTTTTCTAGTTTAAATTCCATTTGTTATTTAAGAACTTAAAATGATACAATTATTATAAGAACTCAAAAATAGAAGTTGAAAATTGAGTAACATTGTAAATTAATTTAATTGAGAAAAGTGGTTTAGTGAGATTTATCTATAAATCTTTTAGATCCACAACCAGTTGAATAACAACAATAGACAATATTGAGTAACTATAAATTTCATAATTACAATAGCAATACTTAATACAAAACCATTCAGAATTAACTGATTTGTAAGAAATAAATGTATGTAACCCTTAAACTATTTTCCTAGTTTTTAGTTTTATGAGATACTTAATATAATTAATTTTAAAATATATATAAATATGATGAGAACTAGATGTAATAAACACAAACAATAACTAATCCAATTTATTTGTTTATAAGAGGATTGTCAAATTAATAAATTAGGATGTATAAGTTGTTTCCCAGATCATGACGGTCACACTAAAAAAATTATGGAAATATAGGATTTTATTGAAAAAATTTAACAAAAGGATAAAGATCTTGAATTAAAGTATCTATAACTAATTAATTCAAACTCAGTGAAGAAGAATAAGGAATAAATAATCAGATCTATTTAATAATAATGCAAAGCAATCTAAAGTAGAGCATTTAGTTTTATTGATCGTCACTGCGAAGCTTTAATAAGCAATGTTTAAAATAAGACTCTCAATGATTCAAATTCATAATTAAAAGTTAAGGCGTATCACGATGAATTTGAACGGATAAAAAATAGGTCAACATATACGTTAGAGAATAAAGTATTTTAATTTATGAAATAAAATAGGAGGTTGAATTCTTAATTAACTTTGTTTTGACAAATGATTATCCTGAAATGATTGCCAGTGCAATGTAAATCAAAGATAAGAATATTCAAGAATTCACAAATGATATTAACTAATAAATTAATGCAATTGATGACTCACTTTCTGAACTGTACAATCAATTAGATTCACAACTTTCATCCTAATAAATTGGTAACTATCCATCATTTGACTAAAAAAGTAAAAGCTTTCAACACAATTATTCATTTACTCTTGGAATCTTACCTAAGAGTCCAAATCCAAATTCAACATAAGGTAAGTCAAAATCTCCCTTAAGATTAACATCTACAAATCAATCAAGAATAAAGACACCTGAATCAAGCAAGAAATAAACACCTTAAATTGGATCAAACAGTAGAATTTAGATATCAAAGTTTCTTGTAAGTTCTCCTCAAAAGGAAGAGGATGACTACATTACTAAAAATAAAAATCTAGAATCATTAATCACAAATGTATTGATGATCCATTTGCCAACCAAATATTTGAATGATCACTTGCCATTTTTTAAAAGTAATTATACTGAATTCTAAGATTACAATAATATAACCCAGCAGGAAAAAATTTAGTTAATTGAGGATCTAAACTCTTAATTACTCTATGTATTGTGGGATAATCTAATGATAGAATGGTTAAAGCCTTCTTTCAATTTCAATATCCTATAAATCAAAGTTTATGAAATTGAGAATAACTTCAATTCATTTCTAGAATTATTTGATAAACAATTAAAATTGTACGAATTCGTTGCTTATGTAATCAAATAAAAAGTGATTAAACCAAAAATTGATTATTAGACGTGGTTCATTATAGCAAATAAGGCAACGAATTCATTTAAAATGTATAATATTAAACCAAGTGGAAAGAAAGTTAATAAGGAATTGACAATTGAAGATTAGTCCTTTTCTTGCATAGATCAATTAAAATCTGCTAATGTATATGCGTAATTTCCAAAAGTGCTTTAAGATCATCTAAATGGAAGTTTTACAATTGAAAGGGATCTAAAAATTATCATCAAAGGAATCATAGATCCAAATTTCTAAACTTAGCTTTTAGCTGAAAGATTATAAGTAACAATTTAAATAAAATTTAGATTTTATTAAATTTGGTTATGAACCCCTAGGCATCCGCTAATCTCACATTTTAGAATATTGAAAAACACTTCGATTAAGTTCTCATCAATTTCAAGTATTTTATTAACTACCTTAATCTCTCATTAAAAGATACGCTGTAAGGTTGATTTTATATTTATAATATACTCTAATATCAAAGTTAACTAAACAAAGTGTTGTCAATATTATATAAATCTTAAAATCGTTTAACAATTCTAGACCATTATATAAATTCATATATTTAATAGAAATTGATAAATAAATTCCCAGTTGTTTGATATTTAAGATAGAAAGATAATACTAGATTATAAACTAATATTTAGTTTCGTTACTTTCTAACACATTTTGTTTTGATCAAAGAAACAAAGATAAAATTAATCAGCATTCAATATTATAATATTCAATCCTTTAATAATAATACAAAAATATTTTAACTTACCTTTCAAACAGTGATATTTTACAATAATTAGAAAATAAGTCATTTCATAAATTTATATTTTTAATCATTAACAAATTATATTTACCCTTCTAAAGCTATATTTTATTCTTAGTTCTCTGGTTAAAATTTGCTTTTTTAACTTTGGAAACTTACTGTCCTGGCTTTGAATTAAGGAGTTGGTATTAATTCATTAGAAGACCAATCATATATGTAATCTTCAATTATATTCTACTTTTATAAGACTTCTCTTAACTAAGTAATTAGTTTGTTGTGATCTGGTATATCATTATTCTGATTTTACTCCACAAATTAAAATATAGGATATATTGGGAGCTAATTCGTTGATTTAGCATCCAGAAATTCTTGCTTCATCTACATTATTCGAGATTCTCTACCCTCGATATATTTATACCATGGCAATTAACCTACATATTAATGACAATTTTACCTTTCAATAAATCAACTAAACAATAACCTGCCATTTCTATATCATCTATGAAACGATATTCTTAACGTCTGTGCACTATGCGAGGATCATATAGAATTGTGCCATCAACGTATTTATCAGGTAAAGGATCATTTTGAAGTAGCGAAATCCCAAAATCGATTAAATATATAGTTGAATCTTAATCATACATTGTGAATACCAGAATATTTAGTCATCAAATTTTATGGCTTGATATCTCTATGACGAATACCATTTTTATGAATTTAACTTAAAACTTGAATTATTTTAATAGCAATCAAGATGGTTGTTTTTATTGAGAAACATTTTTATTTAGATGAAATAGTGTACATATCTTCATTTAAGAGCTCCATTACAATGTAATAGGTATTATTTAATTGCCCAAAATTATAGACTTAAGGAACTCCTTGGCAATTCTGTAATTAATTCAAAATCCTATATTCCTTTTCCATGTTTTCTTTTGAGTATTTAATGGCCACAGGCCTATTTGTTTTCATTTCAATTGCTTTATAAACACAACCAAATCCTCCTATAGATAATTCATTTAATAATTTATAGCCATCAACAGGGTATATAACTGGTTAGTTTAAAGCTTGTGTTGTTTTTTTTTCTCTAGGTTTTAAAGCTGAAGCAGATTATTATTTAATTAGTTTCATTTACATTAAAAATATATAATGCATTTGGTTATTCACTCTGCACTTAAATAGGGATTTTAATCTTTGGTTCAGTTAAAACTTTGATTGTATTCTTTTATTCAACTTCTTTAGAGAAAAATTATCGCTAAACTTTCTAATCAGTCACTAAAGTACGAAAATTAATGATAATTAACTTATTTGATGAATACTATAAAATTTGAATACTAATTATTGTATTAAAATTTTCCTAATAGATAATAACGTACCAATTTATTTGTTCTGTTTGGTAAGCTAAATTTACATTTTATTAATACGATCGTTAAAATTAGAAACTAATTTACATAAACTAAAAGAATATAAGCATATTTAACATTAATAAGATGAAATAGAATATTAATTACATTTATTAATAAATATAAATGGATATCTATATGATATTAGAGTTTTGTTAAACTTCAATCTTATTTTTGCACATTGCTTATCAGACTGATGTAAAAGGGAATTGAAATTCTTAAATATTCACGTTATAAATGAAGAAATTTAGGATTACTTGAATTAATAATATGATCAATAAAACACCTTATGAAATAGATAAATTATACTTCTAAATTAATCTTGATGATTTTATTATAAAAATTTAAGAAGGAATACAAATAATTTATTTTTTGGAAGTGTTATATAAGTTCAAAAAAAAGAGGATTTTAAATCATTAAAATTAGTCATATTCATTTACTGATTGATTACATAATTTTTTGAATAATAATGCTAGCAATATTTTAGGTGTATCACATACTTATGCTAGTCTTAAGGTCAGATAAATTAGTTGAAATTCATTTTTGATCTGCTTGTAGTAGTTATAATTTTATGAGTTTGCTCGATGCCTTAAAAAATTATTTTAAGTTCTGTAATCAACTAATTATACTTTAATTTCAAAAAGGTTCCACTTTATTATATATATTTTATCACTATCATAATAATATGGTTTTCTGGTGTTTATACCAATTGTTTTATCCTTTTTTACTAAATGATTTTTCTAAAGTTAATTGGAACTATGATTTTCAAGTAACTTTAAGGAATTTATGAGTTAATATTTTTAGAAATTCATGTTTTCAATTCATAAGAGTGATCTTGTTTAATTTGGTCTAGTAATTTAATTAAATATTCTATTAGTAATTTATTATTTTGAATTTTTAAATGCTTCTCTTCTAAATTTAGAATATATTCCAATAATTATAGTTATAAAGAAATACTATGATCTTAAGTGCTAGAATAACTAAAACTGGAGGATGTCTTAATACTCAAGAAACTCTAATAGACAATAAGGAATGAGATAATTTATTTATCAAACTTGTATTGGGATACTGAGGGTATATTTATGGATGTATTCTCAGGAATACTCTGAAATTAAATTTTTAGGGATTTTTATTCGGCTTAGTCTTAACAATTTGAATAATTCCAGTTTAAAATTTAATCGAACTTTTATTAAATGGATATTTAATATTTATTATATTAATTCCTCTTTCTTCTCAGTTTTCACTTACATCATCACAACGAATGTCATCTCAAATTACAAAGAAGCCATCTTTAAAGCTATAATTAAACAAGAAGACTTTGGATACATTGGCAAAGGAGAAGACTATTATTCCTCCCAGCTCCAAATGCTCTCAGAAGACAGTCTCTTCAATAAATGTAAATATAACTATAATAATTCATTTAGACCACCAGTTGTACATCATCGTCTTCCAAATAAAACTACCCCTACAAGGAATCAAAGTCGAATGCCTCCAAAAGTTCAGAAGAACATTCACAATTAATTCAATATTTGCTCTAAGAAAATATTGAATTATAAAAACAGAACCAAGACAAGGATTACTTGATAAATTTCTTAAGTAAAAAACATTCCCCAAAGAGAAGATCTGTAATAAACACAGAAAGGAGCACTGAAATCAAATCTTAAAAACTTCCTTAGATTTAATAAGCTAAAAGCTCTTTAGAGATCGATAAGTAGTTATTTCTCTTAATTCAAACTTAGTTTAAACGATGGAGTCTGCACACCATTTTGTTTTACATTTTGCCAATAAGATATTCAAAGCTAATAAAGTGTAAGAAATAAAAAATTGCCTAAAGAATTTTAAATTGTACCAAACAAAAAAAGATATTTTATATGATTATAGAAAGTTAAATAATGATGATATTATATTTCAATATTTGTGTATATATTCAAAAAAATCGATAAAATTATTAACTTCTACACTTCAGAATTTCTCCTGAGAAATTTTGATCAAAAAACAGCGTTTTTTAACATTAATATTCATAATAAATTCTATATTTATCACAATATATACTCTAAAATAATTGTGAAATTGTTCATAAAATGATTAATAATTTACTTTCATATAGGAATATCACTCCCTTTTACCTTGTTCAGATCATTTACAATCAGAAAACTCGAGCATTTAGATCTTTTATTTTTAATGTATTTAATTGCACCATTGAAAACTATTTAATTTTGTTTATTAAACTTTTATAAAATCATACAAAAAATTAATAAGTAGTGCATCTGCATTATGATGAAATATTATAAATTAATGGAGATTTCTCAATAATATTTTTCAAAATGATTGCCTTTTACTACAGATAGCCTGTTTCAAAGAAATTGATAGATTTTTTCTCTCAGCCTCAAATAATGTTTAATATAAAATCAATTTGTTTATTAGATTATCAGAAATTATTAGATATTCATATTGTAAATTAACTTTGAGTAAATAATATCATTATTCTATTAAATGAAGTTATACAATTTGTATTTTATAGATTTGATAGACAACAAATGCGAGTAATATATGAAGTTTAAATATTTGCTTAAAAAATTTAATTAAGAACAATTTTTCTCATACTTCTTTGCTATTGTTCTTCTTATAATAATAAATATTATGATAAAAAGGAATATTTCGATATTTTTATTTATTTAATAAACAAACAATTTCAACTTTATGTTAAACTTTTTGGAGTTGTTCCAATATCCATAATGATTTCTCTATGAGTGGTCCAAGTTTAGACAATAGCTTCTGGTGAACCGATACCAGTACCTCTTGGATCTCCACAAGGTCCAAACCAATGATTTTAAGGAGCACCTGTAGTTCTAGCTTTGATACCTGCATATGTAACTCCATTGATTGTATTAGCTAATATCTTTTGAACAAATCTAATATCGTTAGACACTACACCAGCTGTCAGATTATGAGGTATATTTTCAAGTATCTCAATTACATGATCTTCATTCTCATACTCTGTAACAACTTAAAATGGTCCAAATACTTCTGTTGTAACTAACTCAAAATTCTCTTTGATTTATTATAAAGGAATATAGACAGCTGTAGGTAGGTAGGAACCGTAACATTCTGGTATTTTATGTTATTCATTAATAGGTTTTCCACCAAAAAGAACTTTAGCTCCTTAAATGGCCAAAAGTTTATCAAGATGAGTTTGTATTCTCTGATTGTTCCAAGTAAGAATAGGACAAATAGTTAAATTTTGAAGACTTCTCTACTCTGCCAATAGTTTAATTTTATCGAGAATTCCAGCTTGAACCCTTAGATAATGATGAAGAAATACCAATTTTTATGTGCAAATAATATTGATTAAGCACTGCATTTTTGGCCACTGAATGCATAAGCATCTTGGTCACTTTGATAGGCAACATAATCAAATTCAATGACATCTGGTCCAAGTATTTTCCAATCAAATCCTGCGTCTTCAATTTTAATCTTTCCATTCATAACATTGCATAATCTTTCAGCAATACCAGATGAGCCTGTAAATTGCAATAATCTAAAATTGGATTTCTTAAGCAATGATTCCATTTAGGGCCCATCACAATGAATCAAATCACAATCTGTTGGAGGCAATCCAGCCAAATGAAGCAATCTTAGAAACATTTCCAAAACAACTGATACTCTTTGATCTCCTTTGATGGTCAATCTATTTCCAGCAAGTAGAGCTCCCATCATTTAGAGTGCAGGTATTTCAAGAGGGAAATTAAAAGGAGCAATAATGGCAACATGTCCATATGGGAATCTATATCCACTTGATTGTTATCCTTGTACATCGCCACTTACATTAAAAGATCTAGTAAGGAAACGACATTGATCGCCAGAGAAATTCATTAGGAATCTTTGAGTGACTTTAACTTCTCCTCTTGCTTGGATGTCACTTTTTGGAGCAACTCTTTGGATGAGATGGACAAAATAATCTTCGACTTAGGGCAATCCTAAAAGAAATGAAACTCTGTGAAAGATTTCTCCGTATAGATTATATCTATCAGGATTTTTGAGTGGATTGTGAAGACCGGATTTGGGACACTATATGGCAGCGTCTCTATATTCATTAATTTCTTCTTCAGTCTAAAATATTAAGAATATTGAAGTACCAAATTGTTTGGAACAAGAATGAACTTATCACCATTAAGTGGATCCAATATTTCTAGATAATTAGAAGCACATTTCCAAATCCCATTGACTAATTATATATATGAAATTAAAACTAAAGTTCATGGCTCTATATGGACTGTTCTCGCTTAATTCTTTAACATTAAGAGGGAATGTATTTTGAATGAAGTTTGGATTTGATATTTTTTCTTGGATTTTTGTATTCATTAATTAAATGAGTTAAGAAATTCAATAATTTAGAGCAACTTTACCAATAAATGAATTCAAATCAGAGATTTTGAAGTAGGTTTTGGAAAATACCTTTATAATCATAACTGGTGATACAGGTTCAGGTAAATCAACATAATTGCCTCAGTATCTTCTGGATGATGAAGAGTTCAGATTGAACATTTGTGAAAGGAGGAAAAAGTTCTTGGAGGAATAAGTGGAAGAGAAAGAACAAACTAAAGTGTAAGGATTCTTGTCTAAGAAGCAAAAACCTTTTATTCCAGAGGATAGAAAAAACTCAACCGATTTAAAGATAGTAGTAACATAACCCAGGAGAATGGCTGCCATTTCGATGGCCAAAAGAGTAGCATTTGAGAGAAATGTATCATTATATCTTATATATCAATTAATAGCAAAACCTAGGCATAGAAGTCGGATATTCTATAAGGTTTGACAATTCAACTACGAATACTACTTAATTAAGATATGTGACTGATGGTATATTGGTGAGAGAATGTTTGTAGGATAAGGATCTAAGAGGATATGATGTTGTAATTTTGGATGAGGCTCATGAGAGATCTCTTTATACAGATGTGTTATTTGCCTTGGTGAAGACGGCTGCAAGGAGAAGGAAGGGAAGTTTAAAAGTTATCATAACATCTGCAACACTTAATATCAACATCTTTAAGAGCTATTTTGAAGGATGTCCCTATGTCAAAGTACATGGTAAGTCATTTCCTGTTGAAGTGAAATATTCTGAGCATAATATCACTTAATAAAAAAGAAATCATGATGCTGTGAATGCTGCCATCAGAATGCATTTGCATGAAGGTCCAGGAGATATCTTGGTATTTCTACCTGGAAGTGAGGATTGTGAAGTTTGCAGAAAATTTTGTTATGAGAGATTAGCAGAAGTATTAAACTCAGGAGTTGAAGTCCCAAGTGTGTTATTATACACATTGTATGGTAGTCAGACTTCTGAAGATCAGAGTCAAGTATTTTAAAGAGCTGATGAACATACTAGAAAAATTATATTTTGTACAAACATAGCTGAAACTTCTTTGACTATTGATAATATTGGATTTGTGGTAGATACTGGTTATGTTAAATAAAAAGTGTATAATCCAAGGACTGGCATGGACTCTCTCATCATTTAACCTATATCTAAGACTCAAGCCATTTAAAGAACAGGTAGAGCAGGTAGAACACAAGCTGGAAAGTGTTATAGATTATTTTCTAAATAGTTTTATGAATCACTTTCAGAACACACAACAGCCGAAATCATGAGAGTTAATTTAGCATCAGTGATGTTACTACTTAAATCTATGGGAATAGATGATGTAGTGAGATTTGAATTTATGGAACAACCCACTCAAGAAGCTATTCTATAATCTTTGAGATAATTATATCTAATATAAGCAATTGATGAGGATGGATATATCACTCCCATGGGTTATGAAATGTCTAGATATCCGTTGGAACCAAGTTATGCAAAAGCATTGATAACCTCAAAAATGATGGAATGTTCAAGTGAAATGAGTGCTATTGTGGCTATTTTGTCTACAGAAAGCATTTGGTAGAGAATTACCAGAGTAGATGTTGATGGGTATTAAAAGCTATAAGAAATTCAATCACAACATGCTGATCCTGCAGGAGATCACTTAAGTTTATTGAAAGTATTCTCAGAATGGAAATAGGCTGTGTTCAACGAATAATTTGCTAAGGATACTCTTTTGAATTTAAGGTCTTTGAAATAGTCTGACAATATTCGATAATAGTTATAATAATTAGTTGAAGGCACTAGTAGAAAGAAATGTTTACAGTTTTACGAATAGGATTACCTTTATAAGTTGTTTAGAAAATAGAAGGATTCAAAGAAGTGGAATATAAATGAGAGTATTAAATTATCATTATGTTCTGGATTTTATTTTAATACTGCTCGTAAGATGCATAATGGTGAGGATACCTATTTGATGGTATATCCTGAAGGTACAGTTGTGGATACAGATCCTCAGAGTGTATATACAGTAATTCAACAATATCCTGAGACTGTGATATTTACTGAATTGGGAGGCACATCCTAAGTGAGGGGAGTGATGAAACTAATCAGTGAAATCAATATAGAATGGGTTAAACCTTACTTTTCAAACATGGTGAAGGTATGAAATGAATATTGATTTTAGGTTGATTTATTCAAACTGGCTAGAATTGAATTCCAATAAAGAGGAAGAGATGCTGTGCATGAAAGAAGACAAAAGAAAATATAGGAATAGGAGAAGCAAAAAGAGTTGGAGGAAAAGTAGAAGTTGGAAAAACATTAAATATATAAGGCAAGATTCGAATAAAGAAAGAAGGTTAAAATGTGAATAGAACAATGTTATTTTTATAATAAATCATTCTTTAAAGACTGACAATCTCTTTTATACTGATCTTTTATTCTCATGGTTCTCATCATACACTGATCCAATTCTGATACTACTCTTACGACGTAATTTACTGGCAATTGTTTCATCTAAATTCTCCTCTTCAATGCCTTCCTCAGCAAAGATATTGATGCCATTAAACCATTTCGAAGGAAGAGTCCTTACAAATATTGCTACAATCATGCCACCCAATGCAAATATCCAACAGAATATATGTTACCACACAGTTAATTCACAGACAACTGCAAATTTATCTCCAAATAGAATCAGTAGATATTGCACTCCTACTTCAATTAAATTTATCAACCAAAATAAGGAATTGTTGAATAATCCACTAAAAGGATTAAGAGATACTTCATCTAATTTTCTGCAACTGATCGAATTGCAAATTTACATTAAAACAAATGTTTAAAAGAACATTGTTAATCTTTATATTGGTCTGCCTTCATATTCCTCATCCAAGGAGTCATCAAACTCAAATACTCTATTTGGAATAAACAAGATTAGACACAAAATAGCAATCTAATATATACTGGCTCCAATAACTGTTCTGTACATAATTGAATTGACAATGCTCTCTCTTTTACCATAAGGTTTCCTATTTAATAGTCTATCACTGGGTGGTTCAGTTGCCAATGCTAATGATGCAAAAGTGTCCATGATTAGATTCACCCACAGCATTTGAATACTTGTCAAAGGAGCTTCCTTGGTAACAGCTGCTCCAAGCACACTCATAAATAGAGCCACAACATTGACAGGTCAATTAAAATTAGATGAATTTACGAATACAATTATAGATATTTCTTCCCCATTTGCATGCAGTGATTATGGAACTAAAATGTCATCTAATAATATGATGTCGGCAGCATCTTTACAAACATCTGTACCTGTGATACCCATAGCAAATCCAACATCTGCCTTCCTTAAAGCAGGAGCATCATTAGTTCCATCTCCAGTCACTGCAATCACATTATCTAGTTATTTCAATCCTGTTGCCAATATAAATTTATCCTCAGGTGTTGCTCTTGCCAATACCTTCAAGTGAACAGCAATTTCTTAAAATTTTAAGAGATTCTTGACTTCTTGTACTTCAACTCCATCCTTAACTACTTTATTCAAACCGCCAGTCAATTACCTAAATTAGGATCCTTCCATGGCTTCATATTCATGTAAGTCACTATCTGGTCCTAGAATTTTGCAATCTCTTGCAATAGCTTTGGCTGTATTAATGTTATCACCTGTTACCATTCTTACTATTATTCCTGATCTATAACACTATTAAATAGCACTTGGTACGTCAGGTCTAACAGGATCTTTGATTCCAGCTATATTTATTAAAGTCAAATCATTTAAAAGATATTCTTCTGGAATAGATTCGAAATCATATTCGAGATGGTAATTTAATATTTTGTAAGCATTTCCTAATGTTCTAAGTGCCTAACCAGCATAATCTTCAATTATTGTCAACATGTTCTTTGCATCCTAAGGTGTCAATTGGACTTCATCTCCATTTGAATTAATAAATTTAGTGCATTTTTTCAATACCATTTCAGGAGCACCTTTGCTGAATAAATATATCTTGTTATTATGGTTGACAATTGTAATCATCATCTTTCTCTTTGAATTTAGAGGAATCACTCTTAAGATATTATCTGATGGTCTATAACTCGAAAGCTAATAACCTAACATATCGCAAAACTCTATCAAAGCACATTCTGTTTTGTTTCCTATCTATTCAAACTTTCCATTAATTCCTCTTTTTGGATATGCATTTGAATTATAGAGATTGCTGGCAGCCAAGAGATCTAAATAATCTTTCTATAATTCTTTGATTTATGGTAATTGATAATCCTTATAATTAGAACCTTAACCAAAAAATGAACTGACTTGCATCGTATTCATTGTCAGAGTACCAGTTTTATCACTACAAATATTGTTGACTCCTCCCATAATTTCACAAGAGGCAAGAGTCTTAACTAAATTTTATTCATCTTTCATTTTGTTCACCGAAAAGGCCAAGGTAATAGTAACAGCCAAAGGTAGACCCTCTGGAACAGCCACAACGATAATAGTAACACCGATCATGAAAAATTTGAGTATTCTTTGGAGACAATCCAGATGCCAAAATTATTCCCAAAATGTCTATTCATCATTCTGTGCATATTCTATGAATAGTCGAACCAACAGAATAACGAATGTTAATATTGCCACAATTACACCTACCTTACCTATAGTTTCTGCCACTGCTTCTAATTTTACTTGCAAAGGAGTCGGTGTACTGTCACTTTCACCTAATCTCTTCATTTCATTCTGCACTGTCTTCTCACCCACTAAAAATAATTCAATTTTTGATCGCATTACCTTACAACACCAACATTACTCCTGTTCCTTCATTAACCTTGGTTCCTGACATCAAAAATGGTGATTTTCCTTTTTAGTCCTTCAAACATACATCAAGTGATGCCTTCAGCATTTCATCAGACTCCCCTGTCATTGCGGATTCATCTATCTTCACTTCGCTGCCACTCAAATACAGTCCTAAAATCAAATGTTATACTCACCATCTACATTGAAAATATCTCCAAGTTAAAATAATAAGACGTCACCAACCACAATATCCTTATTGCTAATTGTTATTACACTTCCACCTCTCTTTACTTACACGTTTCCCTCATCCAGCTTTGATTATAATTTAGCAAATTGTCTCTCCTTTGCATAGTTGTTGCCTGCTGTAATTCCGATGATCAAGAAGATTGCCAAAAATATAGTTAAGCTAACTAATCAAATTCTAAATTTACCCTTCATACCATCCACCTTCACCTTCGATTATCCCCAAAATTGTCGATACAATTGCTGCTACAATTAAAATCTACAACATTGTATCACCCAAACACTCTACAATTAATTTCCATAAAGGTGTTAACTCTTTTACAATAGGTAAATTAGCTCCGTATCTATTTCTCAGCGTGCTTGCTTATTCTTCGTCTTGTACACCACGCTAGACTTGCAAAAATAAATAGTACCTTCAAATCTACTTGAAATATTTTTGCCAATCCTTGTTCTCCTCCCAATTATTATACGAGTCCTAAAGAAGCCCCTTCTCGAATATTGTCAAGTTTAAACAGATTTTTGAAGTCTCCGTCCTCCCCTTAGCGAACTAACTCAGAATCAGAGTTCTTTTCAATGAGATTTACTCTGCTCATTTTTAATTATGAATTATTTTACAACGAAATTACTTTTACAATGTTAATCAATCAAACCTTCGATATCGATATGAATACAAAAAACTTATCTATATTGATGCAATCTCAAGGTCTTCAAGAAGTATTCAGATTATTGGAAAAATATCGAAAAAATACTTAATATGTATTTTCCTGTAAAGTCATTTATAATATGACAACATATGACTAATGAATAACTGCATCCTTTAATAATAGAGTTTAGAATTAGGATTATGGGTATAGATTAGATGATAATATTGAAATAAAATTTAATTAATTAATATCTTTATAAATATTTAAATTTCATAAGGCAAATATTCAAAAGTGAGATTTTAACTCTGTCAGAAATTAGCATTTAATCGAACAAACTCATCTATAATATTGAGAGTAGAATATTGAAATCTCATCGATAGAGAATCTGTGTCACTTTTATCTCTCTAAGTATTGCAACATTCAGTTTGATCATACTTATCCTACATATTTCACCATTTAATGAAATTCATAATTTTCATTCAAAGATGTTTAATAATAGACATATTTATAAGTTTGTGAATGACTTAAAAGTAAAGTCTGAATTAAAATTAAATAACCAAATAGTCACATTAATTAGTGAATAAAATTTCTTTGCAAATATTGAATATCACTAGTATTTAGAGGAGAACATTGATAGATTTAGGACATTACACAACTCCAATCAATTCAGAGTTTAAAATAAAATAACAATAATCTGTCTTTCTGTCTACATTTATAATGTTTCTATAATTTAATAAAGTCATTAATAAATTGAGTTTTAAAAGCATATCGATGACTTGTTTGCCCTTGATTATATCTCCATTTCGTTTGGTTTGATAATTTAAATTGATAACTCTAATCTATTTTTTTCTCCATCTTGTTAAATATAACGAGCTATTTAACATTAATTTAATAAATAAATGAACAGATAAAGTAATATTAAATCAGAATTAGATCAACTGACAAAACATGTAAATCATTTAAATTATTTTATATTAGCATACATCTCTTGATAAATCGAAAGAAAGGAATCATACTCCGAAAGTTAAATGTTGTTCAAATAAATATTTATTGAATTCTTCAACAAAACAAAACCTGAACAGATCCTACAATAGCAACTAAAAAGCCCACTCCAAATTGTAGTCTAAAGCAACCTCTGACATCAAATAGAAATTATTAGATGAAAGTAAATATCCTATTATTATCTTAAAATAATAGTTCTTAGAGGATCTCATTCATAATTCTCGCAAAGCTATCTAACAAGTATCATCCAAGATAAAATTGTTAACAAACCCTAAAAATATCATACCTCTGATGATACATCAAGTTTTACATTACCGGACAAAGAATTTAATATTAAAGCACCCTTTCTCTAAATTGACATCTTTACTGCCGAAGAATGCAAGAAGCAATAGGACTCGATTACACTCACTAAATTTTAAGAACTCTTGGAATAACTTGAATTAAAGGAAGCAGAATTGAAAGTCAATGTGTTTTCTAATCTCAAAGCCTTGTTTTTAATATTGGCTAAATAAATTTAATAGAAACTAACCTCTTAGATGAATGAAATTGTCAAATTGCAAAACTGTAACTCTGAATTGCAACAATAGCAAAAAATCCTCTAGGATCGAATCTAAGAATAGAAGCAAATTACTATCAAAACCGAAGAGACCCTAAACTCTCTTCTCTTTACACTTCGATACACGAATCTAAATAATCCCTAAATAATGGAACAACACGGTGATTAAGCTGAAACCTAAAAACATCAATCAGATATCAAGAACTTTGAAGAAAATATATCCATTATGTCAGAAGAATCAGCCCCATTCGGAAAATTTTATAATTACTATATTAAAAAGTAATAGGATCCATAAAAAAAGGGAGCATTGGGTTTGACTCTAAATTTGAACTCCTTAAAAAATCCATAAACAGCTCCAATAGGATATCAAGAGGAATTTATGGCTAATCTAAACGAATTTAGTGAAAGCTGGAGACAATAGGCAATTAAAGAACAGAGATTTTGAACCATGATATGATTTTCACTTAATAAATTTTGCATCAATTTATTAATTATATATATATTTTCATGCTAAGACCTAATTATTGAAAACTATATCTGTTGAGTTGCCCTATTTTTCTTAAGGTTCTTAGGCCAATTACTATTCACTACAATTTAACTCGATTCTAAAAAGTTACCCTTCAACAAGTACATCGTATTTTTATTGTTCACCTGTAAATTTAAATTTGTTTATGTAGTTCCATTTGGCAATACTTCAGGTTTAACATTGAGAACATTAATTTATGGATTTATTCTTTTGATATCAGATTTCACTATGAATTCATAAGTGGTGATTCCTTTGATCATAAGATAAATATGGAAAATGAATAATTAGAAGAGCAATATAGAAAAAATAGAGGAATCCACAAGCATAATTATTGAGAGTGTGTATTTGATATCTAAATCGTTTTCATCATAAAAATGCTTAAACTTAAATGAAATTTGTTACAAACTTTTGAATTTCATTGTTTATTAATAGTTTTTCATGCTCAGTATTATATAATTTTATAATTCTAATATAAACAATAGCTGTGTAAAAGAGTTGAAGCATGGTTGTCGTTATCATCATTATAAAAATTTTATAATTTTTATTCCCAACACAATTATTGACCCATTTACAATGATGATCAAACTCTTGAGAACATCTAAAATAATAAATTGGAACAACCTATTACAATGTTTGCAATGCTTTGTATTTTCTTTCACATACGCATCACAAATGTCACAATATGAATCTAGCTTTTAACTTTCATAATTGAAAGGTTTTCTATATAATTGCATAACCATACCCCATTCTACGATGTTGTACTTGCTATATTAAAAAATCATCGGTTGGACAACTAAGAGTGGTTTTAATACTAGAGAACAAAGATAGTAAAGTTAAAAGTCCTAGTAGTATAAAATGTGTAGCCTATATAGTAAATACACACTTACAGATTCATCAAGTAAAGATATTAATAAGAAACAGGTTAACATATTTGGAAAGTAAAGCAAGTAAGTAAGTAATTGATAGAGAGTTGGTGTTTATGTGCAACCATGTCGAATATAGTTATTTTATTTCATTCTAAAATAAATATAATTATTTTTAAAGAACCTAATAAACTAAAAAAAATTCATAACAAGTTACCTAATTCATAATATATGAAGAGTATATAGTGATAATCAATTCAATGATCTAAAAGTTTAACTAGAATTATCTTATTAAATTGAAAAAATAAATTTATAACAAATAATTATTGCTTTTAAGTCTTAAAATGTGTTGGTGATTACAAAGTTTTCGATAAAAATAAAAGGAAATAGATTATATTGATTTTTATTTCTCAAACTAAAAATAATCTCATCAATTAAAATCAACAGTTGTTACACTAGACTTTAATGATATCTATTTCTCAGATTAATAGTATTTGATTAAAAGACGTAATTGATTAAAATTTTTATTACTCCATATAGAAATTTAAGTAATTTAAAAATAATACGATGAAAAGTGATGATAGTGCGTTCTATAGTGTTGTCTATCAAGATGTCTATGATCCATATCCTTTATCAACTGATTTACCATGCTCTGAAAATGAAGTCCCTTTTAAACAATTAAGGTTTTTTCTATGGTTGAAATAATTAGTGGTGATGAAGCAATAGAGAAGAGTTTCATGGAATCAAACTGTTAATCATCCGTATGGGCAAAAAGGGGATCGAAGGCATCCTTTTTGTTGACATCCATAACCATTATGAAGAGCATGGTTGGAGTTGGAATTTTAGGAATTGTACTTTTAATAGCTATATTAGCCAAATGTGATGAAAAATTTTGGTGTAATTTTAACTATTGTTATAATGATGATTGTCTATTCATTAGGTATGACAGCTTCTAGAGTATTACTTAAATGTAAGAATTTAAGCAAAAAAAGTAATTATTCAACAATTGGATATTTTATATTTCGTCACAGTTGGATCATATACACAGTTAATTTAATTATTACACTCTCCAATATAACAACATGTTTAAGTGAATTGATGTATTCTATATCAAATAAACTAGTATTTTTGGAGATGCATCTTAATTGCTAATTAAGTTTTATAAAGGAGATGACTACGAGGTTCCATTTTATTTATCAAGACCCTTCTTACTTTGCATGCTTGGACTCGTTCTTACACCTCTCTTAATTGTAAAATCCATAGAGAAACTCAGATTTGTCAGTCTAACTGCAATTCTATCGATTAGCACCTTTACTGCCTTGGCCTTTTACAATTTCTTCACAAGAGAAGGAACACCAGAGGGTAGATCAAATTACTTATTTAGGTTTTTCTTTGTTGATTCCATCTACATTCAATTTCAAAAACGCTATGACTGCACTTCCAACATTGCTTTTAGCTTATAATTGGCAATTCAATTTATTCCCCATTTTTAAAGGTATGGAGGATCCAACTGACCAAAAAATGACTTATGCGATGTTTACTGGATATTCTATGGCTTCATTTCTATATCTTTGTGTTGGCATCTTAGGTTATGCTACATATGGAAATAATGTATACTTATATCTCAATATGTTAATAGATCTAAACGAATTATTTAAAGAGTATAAAATCTTAAGAGGTTGGATCAATACTTTATGTTATTTTGAATATCACTTTTGTTATTTCGACGACGCTAACATTGCCTGTATTATTCTTTGGTGGAAGAAACAACTTCATATAAATTTATAAGCAACTAACTTCAGAGAAAAAAACTGTTTAAGATGTTAAGAATTATAAAGAATTCTTGGATGAAACAAATTCAAAAAGATAAGAGAAACTCATAGAAATTAAGTTGAAAAAGAGATCCTAAAAAATTCGATTTTATTTGTTAACACTTCTTCTTTTCGTATTGTTAATGTGTGGAGCTATATTTTTAGATAATCTCACATTGGTCTTCAATATCAAAGGAGCTGTTTTTTGTAATTCAATTTAGTTTGTGTTGCCAAGTTTATTCTATATCAAATTAGTAGAGAAGGTCAAGAAATACCGATTCAAAAGTAAATAGAAATAATATTTTTATTATGGCATAAAAGTATTATTTTGTATGAGTTGGGTATTCTTGGTTACTTGTGTTGTATGTGGAACTATGGCAGCAGGTCATTGATTTATTTAATGTTAATTATTTAAATTTACAATTTTATGCATTAAGTACACATATTATAATTACTATTCTTTGAGTGATAAGTTTCTTATATTTAATATTTATTATTTGAATTATTTTAGTTTAATTATTTAAGTATTACTACTTTCAATGAGTGATCTCTCTTAATTCTGTTTTAATTGCAATAACAACACTGAGGACTTGTTGGTATCTTAATTTTCTGAAGAATCCTAATTCAAATTTTAAGAATCTTTACAATAAAGGATAAAAAGATAAAACTAGTAGTCTCAAGTAGAAAATCGCAATACTTATCTAATTCAAGAACAACATCAAGCATATTTACCAAGTTCAGTAGATTGTAAGGAAATCCAACTTTTAAAATTAGTTTCTCATTTAAGGTAGCTCTTATAAAAATAGTAATAGGATTTTTCTGAAAAAGAATTATCCCTTTAATAAAAGCTGTTAACTTTATAATAAAAGCATGACAAAATGATTTCATTAATGAAAACCAAATATCAAATCATTATAGAAGAACAATAATCATAAATATCATTATCACTAATAGAAAATACAAATCTGAAATAACAAATATTTTAATTCTAAGAGTAATTACACTAATCGGCAACCCTAAGGATCAAATAAGTAAGTGAATTAGAAAGAAATAAAAATCAAAATTGCTTTTCTACCTAAAATAATTAAAATTCAAAATTAAATGATTGGAATTAGCCAGAACGTAATTAAGATCAATTGCTTTAATTATATAAATAAGAAATAGATAAACTTAAATAATAAACTACAGAATTTGATAGAAAATTTGAGAATGAAAGACAATGCATAAAATAAGAAATAAGTACCTTAAAAAATTAAAATCTAATGATCTAGACATTAATTTCACAGAAATATGGAACCAATTCAAGTGCATAGAAATCATATGCTCTAAATTCTGATAAAAAGATTAACAATAACTAACCTAGATCTTATAGTCATAATTCAAGGAAGACTTAAAATTTTTGAATACTTACTCTGTAAATTTATTTTATAATAAATTAAATTCTTCTTTATTATTATGGATTAAGGGGTAAGCCATGGATTTTCTCTAAGAAAGATCTGCAAATAGAGACTCAAAGGAGTATTTGTTTCTTTGATTTAAACAAATCCTAATGTTACTAATTATTTTTTGATTGTTGACCAAAGGACTGTAAAAGTTGTTTCAGCATATATGAAATTGGCGGAGTATTTTATACTTTGAATGCTTAGATTAATGGAATTGGGAGTAAGTGCTGTTGAGAAATTGGAGTTGGGGAGAAAGCCTTTTCCAAAATTACATGCAATATATTTTATTTCTCCAACATAAGAGTCGATCTAAAGATTATTGGACGATTTCAAAGATAAAAAGAATCCTCAATATGGTGTTGTTCATATATTTTTATCAAATGAAATAGATCAAGGATTAATGCAAAAAATAGCTTAATGTATGGAATACATATATAAATTTTATAGGTAACTAGCTAATAACTAAAATTGCCTCTTTCAAAATAGTGAATTTAGATTTTGCATGTACTTCAGATTAGGTATTTACAATTGAAACCCCAGAAATACTTACAAAAGCCTTTACATAATAAAGTAAATTAGTTTTGAAGATTTTTTAGATATTTAATAATAATTGAAAGAAGCTTCATATAAATTGTCAACCTTACTAATATCATTTAACAAATTTTATTCCTTTGAATTCTTATATAATTAAGCGGAGAATAGGTTATCAGAACAAGTCGCAAAATTAGCAGCAGCAAGGTTACAAGAATTACTAGCTTCTTTTGTAAAGTAGAAAAATGAGTAGTATGATAACATTGAAAAAGAAGCTGGAAAGATAACCGTTATGATAATAGATCGATCATATGACGTAGCTACTCCATTATTACATGATTTTTATTACCAATCCATGATCTATGATTTATTAGATATAACAAATGACATATATGAAACTGAAGTAGAAGCAGCTGGCAAATAAATTAAACAGAAAGTAATATTTAATGAAAATGATGATTTATTCAATAGATATAAGTAAATACAATATTTATTTATTAAAGATATCGACACATTATACAGGTGTTGGAAGGAATCCCTTCAGAATTTAGAGAATTCGTACACAACAACACGACTGCCAAAGTGCATTAAGGATAATTGAATAATTTAGATTTGAATCAGATGTCAGAAATCGTTAAGACATTGCCTTAATATAATGAATTATTAGCAAAATACACCTTGCATATGGTAAAAGATTTAAAATTGAATTAAGAAACTAATTGAAAAGAGTTGGTCAATCTTTGAAAATAAGGGTCTTAAAGAAATAGGAGAGATTGAGCAAAGTCTAATCACTGGTATTGATGGGTCTGGCAAAAGTATTTCAACCACTAAGATTTAAAGTGCTGTTGCAACTAAATTGATGAGTGAAACACTGGATGACTATGATAAATTAAGACTAATCTTATTAAGTAAGTTATAAATAAAATTGTAGCCTCCATCGGTTTGGAAATGTCAGAAAAAGACAGAAAGATATTAACTGATAAAATTAAAGTTGAACACCAATAAGCAATCTTAAATTTAATTTATTTAGGTGTCAATCCTTAAAAAGGGGGGCAGAAAAAGGTAGATTATATGAAATTAATCTTTAGTCTAAATCTTCTAATAGAGTCAATGACGATTTAAAAAAATAAGCTAAACATAAATTGGCCAGTGCTTGTACTGAGCTATCTAGAAATACTCCATTGATTGAAACTTTAGTGGAAAGCTATATTGAATCTAATTACAAAAAACCTTAGAAATTCGATTCTATAATTATAAATGAGGATGGTGTTGGGAGCAAAGGTGGAGGAAAATCAATTAGAAAAGGAGGACAATTGGCCAGAATGATACAAACTGATGATAGTGATGACACTATCAATTACACTCCTAAATTAGTAAATTATTTATATTTAATAGATTATATTTGTAATTGGGGGAATTAGTTATTCAGAAATTAGAAGTCTGTTAAGTAATCAAAAAATTACTAGTTCTTAAATTACTGTAAGATAATTCATATTTATCAAAGTTGGTTGGCTCAACTCATATTGTTAAACCAAAAGACTTCTGTTAAGGATTGATAGACATGAAGACTATTTGAATAATATATTTATAAAATATATATGCATATTTATCTTACTCATTTGTAGATTGGGGATCCTCTAGGTTTAACTTGCTAAAATATAGAAGAAAAGAATTAATACGTTGTTATTTGGACTTTAATCTTTATTCTTTTCATACTAATCGTGAATCCATTTAGAATGATATTAATTGTTTCTCTAATCTTATATGTTAAATTAATAATTATTACTTCTATCATCTCCTTTTTGATCTCTATCTCTATTATTTCTATCTCTATCATTGAATCTATTTCTATATCTATCTCTATTGAAACTGTTGTTTCTATCATTCCTGTCACCTTTATCATTTCTTTCGTTTCTATCATTTCTGTCATTTCTTTCATTTCTTTCATATTTATCATTTTTATCATTCCTTTCATTCCTATCATTCCTTTCATTCCTATCATTTCTATCATTCCTATCATTTCTGTCATTTTTTTCATTTTTATCATTCCTATCATTCCTGTCGTTTCTATCATTCCTATCATTCTTTTGGCTTCTATCATAATCACGCCTATCTCTTTTATCGAATCTTCTATTTTAAGAATTGTTAAATCTACGATAGTTTCCTTAATTATAGTTTCTTCTTTCCACCTTATTAAATCTAAGAACTAATAATCATACTTATTAATCATCTGCTTTTTTCTCTAAATTAACATTCACATCATTTGTTGTTTATCCCTGTTCTTAAGGTTTATTTGTTGGAGGTGGTTAGTTTTTTTTCCTAATACTGTAATCAATTCTAATAAATAATGACAGATTGATTGATTACTTTTTCAAATAGGAATTAGCTTAACTAAAATCTTCATTCTTCCAACCACTTATTAAAATCAAGAATAAACTTACAAAAGGTAACTATTCATATGACCCCTTCCTTTTTTTATTATGTTTGGGTCATCCTTTGGTTTTGATTTTGAATGAGACTTTGATTTCGACTTAGATCTAGATCTTGATCTTTAAGTTCTAAACTATCACAATTATATACAACTTTTATGATGCCACAATATCTAAATTCACAAAGTTCGAATTACTTTATGAAATCTTTTCCTTCTTCTCTTTCTTCTCTTTTTTCTGTTTCTTCTTCTTGTCTCCTAGGACAATTTAACTGCTAAATGTACTTCTTGAGCTGCTCGATGAACTTGAATTCTTTCGATGCTCTCTTTTGGCTTTTTTCCTAAAGCATTAACATGATGTATTACTTGGAGGATCTATCTGATGAACTTGAGTCGGACCTTGTATTGGTACAGATACACAATATACCTTTTCATTATTTTGAGCAATTAACAAATGAATAAAATATTAATTTATTTAGATAATAATCACAGGATATCTTTAAAGAGTAATTCAAATTCTCTTTTTTAAAAGAGATAGTGTAAAATTGAATTGTTGTTGTTTAATCAAAAATTTTTAAATGCCCAAAGGTACAACAAATAATAAAACTACAAAACAGTATGGAAAATTTGCAGCATTCTAAAATTGATCAATTAAATTTATTAATATAGATATAATTAAATGTCATAAGCGAAAATCGACTCAGTAAGTGAAACAAACAATATTTATAAATGGCTGGTCTTAGCTAGCTTCTCATTGAACTCGTAAACATTATTTTTAAGTTTAGAATATCGAATATCTTTATCTACAGTGCATTGACTCCAATTTGGTCATCTGTTGCCATCTATTATAACGTAACAGATTATGATTTAAACTGGTTTCCTAACATGTACTTCATATCATTATTTACAACCACTTTTGGTTTCAACCCATTTATTTTAAAATACTTTGGTCAATCACAAATTTTTAGTTGTATTCTCACAACCTCAGCACTTTGGTTATTATTGATATCGGGAAACGATTTCTCAATGGGATTGCTCTGCTTTGCACTCTTAGGATTGGGAGAATCTCTTTATTACTAGGTGCCACTACGTAAACAAGAAAATAAATTTATTGTAGATTTATCGAAAATATGGTTCCCCCACGAAGAGCGAGCTCTTTCGACATTTATAGGGTCGTATGCAAGTAATATAGGTATGTTGCTAAGCACGATCGTTTCATTTTACTATTTTTATGAAGTGGTATGATTATAAATAATTTAAGGTAGATGAAAATGAATTTCAAACTAAGTATTAAAATTTAATATTTGCAACAGCAATATTTGCTTCAATTGTTTTGGTGTGCAATCTAATTACTCTAAAAAAACCAATTAATCAGAAAGACTCTATTTAAATAAGGGATTCTCTTTGGGTATCAATTAAAAAGATTTGCACTGCTGAAGAAGCTATCTTCGACCTCCTCTCTTTTTCAGTTTGTAAATTTATAAATTCAAATTAGTCATTGGAGTAGGTTGGAGTTACTCAGCTCTGTTTAATATCTAACAGTACAACATTGGATATACAGCGTTAGAGTTATTTGAAACCAATCTTTGGTATTAGATTGGTGGAATCTTAATTGCAGCTTTATATACTTGGAAATTGCACTCTTAATCACAACACGGTCTGCAGCAAAGCTATGACAAATACATGAAATAAATAGTCTCAATAGGGTTTTGGGCACTTGCAATAGAGATTATCATTTTTGACTATGTTCCTTTCTGGATCCTTTAGATTCTTAATTTTTTAGTCGGTTGCGGTTTTGGTGGATATTATTCAATATTACTTGAATCACTTTAGGAGAAACATTTTCCTGCATAAGAATTAGCCATTGGAAGTGTACTTAGTGCAGCATCATGTGTAAGGCTTTTTAATATAATCAAGACGGCTTCAATATTAGTGATAATGATCTTAGGGTTGCCAGAATTTTAGAGATATGGATTTTAAATCTCATGTTACTTATTAATTATGCCATTTTGCTTTATTATAGTATTTTATAAAACACAGTTCAAAAGATTTGAATAAGAGGCTTGAACATTTCTTTCTTAAAAATGATGATATAATATAGTCTACAGAATAATCGTTTAAAAAACCAATTAGAATATATATATATTAATAATTAATTCAAAAAAGCATTTTTTGTTATTATTACAAATAATTTTCGTTATTTGATTTGTTAATATATTTACAAAATGAATTGATGTTTTAGTCTTAACTTTTGATAGATTTTATATTGAAAATCATAAATATTTGAACCTGTAAAATCCCTTTATGTTTTATTTATTAAATATCTGCTGTATTTGTACTTGTCCTATTTAGCCTTATTTAAGGAAATTAATTTTCGAAATCATTAAATTATAGTTTAATTATGAAAGAGGATCATAAAATACAGAAACAAAGTGAAGGTCTTTATTAATGGATTGTTCTGGCAAGTTTTTGCTTGAATTCGTATATAAGAATACATATTTTAGAATGTCGAATATATTTTTGTTTACAGGATTATCACCAATTTGGTCTCAAGTGGCCATATATTATGGTACTACTGACTATGATTTAAATTGGTTTACAAACATGTACTACATTACTTTAATGTCCTCTGCATTTCTTTTCAATCCTTTAATAATTAAATATTTTGGAATCTCCTAACTCCTAAGCTGTTGTTTCACTTCATTAGGACTATGGCTTTTATTGTACGTGAAATAAGATTATTTATTGGGACTTGTAAGTCTCGGATTGATTTCTTTAGGGGAAAGCCTCTATTTCTAAGTCCCACTTCGTAAAACATATAAAATAATTATAGATTTATCCAAACTATGGTTCGCCCATGATCAACGAATCATATCCACGTTTATAGCACAATATTCAAGTAATGTAGGAATGTTGATAAGTTATACAATTTCATCATTATATTTCCAGGATATTGTATTTATATTTATATGAAAAAGGTTGATGAAAGTGAATTTAACACTCGATATGAGAATTTAATATTATTTAATGCAATATTCGCAACTATAGCTTTGGTTTTTAACCTTTCGACTTTAAAAACCCCCTCATAACACCATGACATAGTTGAAATCAGACTCACCATATGGGAATCCTTATCAAAACTCGTAATGTCCGAGGAATCAGTGTTTGATATTTTATCCATTTCTTCATGTAACAAAAGTCAATATTGATAGTTATAGGATTGAGTTGGTGTTACACAATGCTATTGGGAACTCAATAATATTATTAGGGTTAATCCTTTCTAGAAGTGACTTAAACTAGTATCTACTTCTAAGTCGGTTAGATAGTGGCTGGTACTTATTGTACTTGGAAATTGTAAAAGTAATCAAAAGCAGGAATCCAATAGGATTATGATAGTTACATAAAAACCATGATTAGTTTAGGATTTTGGTTACTTGTTTTCGAAATTATATTGTTTGAGGATATTCCTTTCATAATTTTAGTTTTTATAAACTTTTTCATTGGTGCAGGTATAGGTGGAATATATTCAGTCCTATTGGAAGCCTTAATGGAGAAACATTTTCCGGTGTAAGAGTTGGCAATAGGAACTATTTTCGCTGCAGTTGCTTCCGTAATATATCATAATTAGAAGTAGGTTGTATCAATAACAATAACTATGACCTTAGTTATTCCTAAATTTCTTGAATATGGATTTTAAATCTCATGTTATCTAATGATCATTCCTTTTTGTTACATAGCTGTCTTCTATAAAACTCAATTCAAAAGATTTGAGGCTGAAGCTTGATATATTAATTTTGTACTTATAGCTAAAAATAAAAATATAAATGTCATCACATTAACTTATTTTTAATTATTTAATGAAATTAAAATAGTTTAGTATGTACAAAATCATAGATCACGACTCATATTCAAAACGAGTATATTTAGTTTTATAGAAGACTAGAATGTAGCAAAATGATGGGATCATAAAAAAACATGAGATGTAAAATCCATATGTTAGGAACTGGGGTATTATTGAAATCATCAAAATAAAATATGACAATGCCTAGGTTATAATAATATTATTACACAAGCCACTACAACCAATAAACTCGAGATTGCTAATTCTTGTACTGGGTAGTGCTTTTCCATTAATGATTCTAATAAAATTGAGTATACCCCTCCAAGGCCAGCTCCAATGAAAAGATTCACAATAATAACTAATTGAAATGGTAGAAATTCAAAAGTTAGATTTTCAGCAACCAAAAACAAAAAACCCAAACTAATAGTAAATTTGATAAATGTATCATAAGTTTATTATAATCCTTTTTGAGATTAAGAGTTCAGCTTATAAGAACATATTAAAGCAGCAATTAATTATCCAACTGAAAAAGTAACATAGGTTAAACAAATTTCTTCAGGTGTATAATCCACATAATATTACTAATTGCCAAATAATACAATGTAGCACCAACTTACACCAATAACTAAAGAGATTATGCAATAAAATACATGTTGATATTGAAACAATATCCAAAAATGTTCCCTTATGAGAACAAATCTTTTTTAGTGACTTCCAAATAGAATCTCTAATTTAAATCTTATCTAGGGTATTACGTGGGGACTTGAGCGATATGAAACTAATAATGATAGTAGAAGTAGCAAAAATAGCATTAATAAATACAAGATTTTCATATCGTGCATTAAATTCAATTTCATCATCCTAATTTTAGAAATATCTACTTACAATTCCAAAAAAATAATAAAATGAAACCACATATCCAATTAAACATCCTACATTATTTGCATATTATCCCACAAATGTAGTAAATATACGTTCGTCCGAATCAAACCAAATTTTTGATAAGTCTATTTTTTATTTAATTTGATACATAGAGGAGTTTAGCAACAAAAGGCTTCCCCAATTCCTAAAAATATAAATCCTAGCATCCCTAATTAAAAATCTCTTTTGACAGAGACTAAAATCCACAATCCAATTGATGAACATATGCTGCTTAAAATCTACGATAGACCATAATTATAAATTATTATTGCATTGAAAGGAAAACAAAATAAGATTGGGCCAATAAAATACCAACCCACTAGCCAGTTTAAATCATAATCATTTGTATTATAATAAATAGCTACTTAGTACCATATAGGGGAAACAATAGTCGACAACATAATATTGGAAATTCTAATTAGAACAATATGAATACGAATTTAGGCACAGACTCCCAAGAACTAATAGTTTAAATATTTTAGCATTCCATCTCCCTGTATCTTGCTGTTGAATTGGCTGAACTTTTCTCATCTTCAAAAAGTATAGATGTAATGCTTTGATTGTATAAATAAATATTTCTTAATTGATGATCTTAATTGATTTAATTTAAATATAATTAATCAATAAAGTTCACAATTTGGTGAGGTCGATGTCGCATTCAATAGGAACATGATCACTTCCTAGAATTGTAGTTTTAATATCCGATTGTATAACTGAACCAACAGCTTCTTGATTAACTACAAAATAATCGATTCTCCATCCCTTGTTGGTCTCCCTTTTAATAATGTGATTTATTTCTCACCTTGAATTGAATCGTGGACTAAAATAACTATATTTAATCTCTTTTGGATGTAAGTGTCTGAATGTATCAATCCACCCTTTCGACAGAAACTTTGAAAATGAATCCCTCTCCTCCTAAGTAAACCTTTAATCGTAGATAATCAATTACCCTGCACTTCTTTTATTTCCCTCAGGATTGGCTAAATCTATTTCTGTATGAGATACATTTAGATCTCCACATATAATAGTGTTCTTGGTCTACTTTAATTTATCAAGATAGTTTTAAAAGTCAACATCCCATTCTTAAGTTCTATAATTCAGTCTATCCAACTTATCCCCAGAATTAGGAACATAACATGCCACTAGATTGAATTTCTCAAATTCAGCTGTAATGATTCTTCCTTCTTAGTCATGCTTCTCTATTCCCATGTCGTATTTTATTGAAATGGGTTTCACTCTATGAAATGTATAGGATCAAATACTTAGATAATATAGCGACACCGCTGTATCCTGCCTTGATTTTACAAAAATTTAGGTAAGCAAAATAATCTTTAGGTAATTTAGTAATTAAATTTTCTTTTTCAAATGCTTCTTGAGCAACCTTTAATTCATTTAAACAAATGATGTCAAACTAATTTTTCAAATTTCAGTATACATTCTTATCATTTAAATATGATACTGCACTTTCTTTTTTAGATGAAGCTCTAAGTCCATTAATGTTCCAACTAGAGATTTTCAATTTATCCTATGAAAATATTCCATCACCCAAGTCTAACTTCTTTTATGTTAAATCAACTATTTATCCTTTCTTATCTACTAATTTGAGAGTTTATTATTTCAATATTTTTGGATTGCTTTTTTTCTCATTTTTTAGTTTAGATGCTTCCTTTAAATTTTAGCTTTTGCTCTTATTCTCCTTCTATACATTCTCATTTGAATTAGAATCAGTAGCTTTTGAATTTAAAGCACAAAAAATACTTATTTTTGGAGGCATTTTACTAATTTTAAATAAATGAGTGTGTTTGATTAGATTTCTGGCTATTTGTAGCATTGAATTTTTATCTCTTAATTTAATTACCTATTGTCTTATTCAATTTATTAATGTGAATATATAATTAAAAATTTAATGATTTTGCATTGTTTTCTATTTTCAATAATATTTTAGAATGTTTTTAATAAGAGATTAAGCAATAATAATATCTATATAGTTTTAATATGGTTTTTATTAGAGAACTCATTTATCTGATTATAAATAAGCCATTCTTTAAGTGGCACGACATGCTTCGAGTTCAGCCTAAGCGAAACATAATTATTCTTGGCATTTATGGTACTTCTCATTTAAATCTTGGAAATTTCTTCTCCAATCCAAATTTTCACTATGATAGGAGTCTTACAATTCTTAATTCTTGATAATAATGATTCTGTTCAATCTCTCGATTTCCTTGTATGATTAATCCAGTGCTTATTTTTGGTTTCTATTTTCCTCATTCAATTGTCTATTAAATAAAGTGACCTATTGTAATTCATTAAAAATATTCTCAACTTGTTTGCTTTGTTATTGTAAGGAGTTCTCTTTGTCTCTAAAAATTAACATAATAGTACTCTAAAATCTATGTAAGTACATTGATTTAGCTGACTAATTGATCTATGTTTTTTTCTTGTTCCCTAAGTTTACTATTAGAACCGATATTGTCACGTTAAGTTGATTGAGTCATCTATAATTATTCTTGCAAGTAATAGATGGTTTTTTGTTTAGTGATTAATTCATTCCGCAAATCTTCGACCAACTTCTAAATTGCAATCAATTCTTGAGCTAATTATTTTTAATCGTTCTATCGTAAAATCTGTTCATTGTCATTGTATTTATTTAATTATAAATTATGAAGTCTCTCGATTTCGATGCTCATGGTTACAACTTTATCGTTGGACTCTTTCAAGAGATTTTGATATTGGATGCTGTTTTCCCGAAATTTAATTTCAAGCTCTTGAATTCTCAATTTGTAATCTTCATTTTGTTGCCTCAAAATGTTGATATCATTAGTGAATAGTTATTCATTTTGCACTACGAATGAGTATACAACGGTTACCTCTTTAATTGATTTCGCATTATAACTACATTTCCAATTAGGAAGATCTTTATCTTTCTTGTTGGATCTCAAAACGCAAATATTAGACTTCAGCTTTTTCTTAACAAGGTTGGAGAACTTGATTTTCTAATTAGTCAGTTTTAAAAGTAAGATTTGGTGAGAATGGTCTGATTTAACTATTGAGTGCAGGTGTGTTTCCTTTTCTCATTGATCTACTCATTTTAACAGTTAAATATAAATTAATATTAAATAATGTATATAAGTTCCAATATTAGGAGAGGGGAGAATTTATTCAGTTTCCAAATTTAAGATTGGATTGATATTATTAATTATATTGATTTAATCAATTTAGATTGGTTTACAAATCGAAAAAAATCTAAATTGATTATAAGTAAATAATTTAAAAAAATAATATTAAAACAATGAGTAATGGATCTGTGAAAGACATATTGAAGGATAAAAAGAAGGTTAGATTTGTTGCTGAGAGTGCTTTTAAGCAAGTTGATAAGGATGGTAATTTATGAGAATATATATAAAACAGGTAGTGGTTATCTTGAAAGACCAGAACTCGAAGAGGTGATGAATAATGTGGCAGCAGATTTAGGAGTCGAAGTAAGTATCACGAGTATTACATTGTAGCCACCTACAAGCGAGGAAATAGATGAAGTATTAAAAGAATTAGATGAAAATGGAGATGGAAAATTGTCTATTGATGAATTTTAAGTTTTAATCGAATAGGTTCTAGAGATGATGGCAAAGGTCGAAGGTTGATTTAAATTAAGATGCACATTTCTTATTAATTTTAATATTCACTGTTTGTTTCTCAACAATACTCCATTAAATTCGATAGGGAATTTATTATTATATGTATATACTCATATAATATTTATATATGTGTGATGTTATTAAAAAATTAAGAATAATTTCTAAAACTTAATTAGATTTCATTAAATTTTATTTCTCTATCATACTATCAATATTGGGCATATAAATGTAAATCTTTGAGCAAGGATTTTTGATAAAATAATTAACCAATTTAAGAAATGTCCTTCTATCCTGGCTATCCCTATGCAGCACCCCTCACAACCTCAGTTGCTGCTCCATTGACATATGCTCCCCCTGTCTAATATGCTCCTCAATTGTCATACGCTGCACCTGTGTAATATGCAAGACCTGTCACTCAATCCGTTGTTCAACCAGTCGTCACACAACCTGTAGCTGTTCAACCAGTTTTACAATAATCTGTGATCGCATAACCAGTTGTTGCCCAACCAGTTCAACCAACAATCAAAGGAGAATCAAGAGTAGAGTACAGAGAGTACTAAAGACCAGTCGTTGAGATGGAAACTGAGACTGTTCAAGTGCAAGTGCCAAAAACGAAATATGTCACAGATTATTACCCAGTCGAATATTAAACCGAATACATCCCTAGAACAGTCTATGAACAATAAACTGAATATGTCCCAGTGACTAAAACAGTCCCAAGAGTAGAATATGAGGCTGTCGAAAGAGAAGTGCAAAGAGTATATAATTTTGTATATTCTTTCAGCCTCAACCCGTTGTTGTCCAATAGCCAGTAGTCTAATAGGTTGTTCAATAACCCGTTGTGTAATAAGTTGTGCAATAGCCAATTCTTCAGTCTGTTGTCCAATAACCTGTTGTCTAATAACCATTGTCATATTCTTTGGTCAGACCAGCACCCACTTATACTGCTCCAGTTGCTTATTCAAGTGTGGCTCCAGTGGCTGCCTACCCAAGTTATTATGGAGGATACAGACCATTCTGAGATCATTTTAGATTCAGCATATAATATAATATAAAATTTGTATATTTTCCAATGACTTACTTGGAACATCCCCGTTGTTTAATAAAAAAAACATTATAAAAAGCAGCGAACTAATCATCAAATCAATAGAATATCACTTAATTTAATTTTATTATTGGTGCAAATTTTAATGATTAATTTATATGTTTTCAGACATGGTTAGTCCATTTATTAATGTCTGAGAGTTATTTCTGGGCTCCACGAATTTGGTTTGAGTGCACTTGGCAAATATTAGACATACAATCTGGCATCCAGGACTGATGTTGATTTTGAGATTGCCTACATATCAGACACAAAGAGAACGATTGAAACATTTGAAATGCTAAAATTAGCAGGCAAGATGCCGTCAGAGGAAAATTGCGTATTCACTCCTCTCATAAGAGAAAAATGCTAAGGCGACTTTATTATGCAAGAATTCAAGGCTTTCCCTGTAATAATTATTGAATAATGTAGGATGATCCAAATAAGAGAAATTTCACTCCTAAAAATGGAGAGAGTTGGGAAGATGTTCAAGTACGAGTATCAAAAACCTTTGATTTTCTTGTTAGACGCTATCTGCTTTAATAAAAGGAGGCAAAACAAGATGATGATGAACTCGTCAAAGCATTATTTTAACAATCAGAACATATCGAAAGCAAAAAGAATAATATCATTCTAGTCACTCATTATGGATTCATCAAGGAAATTGTATAATATCTTAAAAAGGCTGATCAATTATAACTAGAATAGCCATATTTTGCATAAAATGCTACTCTTTTCACTTTATAATTATTTCTAAAAGAAAACGAAAGTTGGCAAGCCAAAATTATCAGTCTCAATAGCTACACTAGATAATACAGACCTTTTATGGATTGATTGTAAATAATGTTCCATAATCAATATATATTATGCAGTGAAATTTTCAATTATCATTAAACTTTACCCATCAATTCATGTTTGTTTGCCTACTCTCTTAATTTATCCAATTCTCTTTGATCTTCTCTCTTTAGTTGCATTCTTAAATCCACTTCCCTCAATTTATCCCTAATTTATTCCCTTCTAAACTCTTCAAACTATCTTTGATGTTTAATCGCTTCTTATTAATCAAGTCGTTTCTTCAGTTTTTCATAAGCTTATTATTGATATAAACTTTCTTATTCTCTCTTCACTCTTTATATCTACAAAATATACAAGCTATTACTTTTTCATCTTAATCCTATAATTTCCGAAGATACTGTTATCTTTTCTCCTCCAATTATTAGATATTCATTTTCCTAACTTTTTCTCTGTATTTCGTTCTTCGCTCTGCCTACTATTTCAGAAACTCATCCTTTGCTCCTGATTCACTTCTTTATTACAATCTATATTATATCTCTTATTCCCTCTCAGCATACTCTCTTCTGAATTCCTCATGCATTTATTCTTTCATTCTAGCAGTATTTCGAATCTTTTCATTTTTCAATTTATTCTTCTCCTCTATGGTCATTTATCTTTATTGAAGTTGTTCTTAAAATTTATGTTGTTGTTCTGCAATCCTTTCCTCTTTCTTAAAATAATCCTCTCTTAATTTCTTTTAAAATTCTATTTGACTTCTTTAAGCTTCTCTCTATCTAATTTTTGCAGACTATGCCCTTTTCTAAGCATTAATTCTTTTTTATTCTTGTTGCGATTAAAAGAATTCTTATCTTCTAAGCTCTTGTTCCTCCTCCTCTTATTTCCTTTGATTATACTCTAGTTCAGCTTGTTTCTCTCTCATTTTTTTTTCTCTCTCTAATTTTTGTTTTAATTCCTATTATTATTGTTCCCTATCAGCTGCTTCTGCTTGTCTTTACTATTCTTCAATCTATTATTATTATAGTCTTTGTTATTCTTTTTGAAAATATTCCTATTGCAATTATCGATTTTTCTTTTACTCTTCTAGTTCCTTCAATCTCTTTTGTCTAGCTATAGACTCCTATTTTGCCTGGAATTCTAATTGTCTTTACTCCTGTTGTTTCTGCCTTTGTTCTTCAAATAACTGCATCTTTTCCTACTGTTATTAATTTTATTGTTCACGCTTTAACATTAACTCTTGTAAATGTCTTTACCTCATCATTTCCATATACTTCCTCTTCTATACTTAATCCATGAATTTCGATGCATTTGAACTACTCAAAGGTCTCTCTCCCTTCCCTTTAGGGATATTTGATTCAATTTTTTTTCTTTTTTCTTTTTCAATCAAAGCTTCTCTATCCTTTATTAACATATAAACTTTTTATTGTCTTCTATATTCATAATGTTTATAGAAGTCATCTAAGTTCTCATCCTGTAATGATTTTTCTTATTTTAACATTAGTCCCAACTTCTCCTTATTAATAAAGAGTAGCTCCTCTTATGTCATTCCTCTCTACTTTAAGACCATAATTGAGCGAGGACTGGTTATTCTACATCTCTAATCAGCTGGATTGAAATTTATTAAAGAAATCATTTACTATTAATAAAAATGAAGAGATTCTTTTATATTGAAATCATTCTTATTTGAGTTCAATCTCCCAATTCCTTAATTGCGAGATATCTCATGAAGGTATCTCCTCAAATTCAGTACAGTTAGTAGAATTCACTAAAAGAGAAGCAGCAACAATGGAAATTATAACATAAACATTCTGTTTTGTATTGCTTCTTGATTTACAATCATCCTTTTGTTACTAAAAGCTAATGCTATTTGTTCTATTATGAGATAGATTTAATTAACTAAATCCGAAGGTGGATATAAATATTCACAATTTAACTATGTTAATTTTTAATTCAGAAAGAATCTTTAACCAATTTCCCATTTATTTTTTTTAAAAGTTATTATTAAATTCAAAATATTTAGATTGGTTCGTTAAAAATATCATGAGTTTCTTTGTTTAGATGAACATTATTGAATTTAAAAATCAGAATCACTTCTGAACTTTAAAAAAAAAAAGGACTCAATTTAATTAGACATGCTATGCCCATCTTGCATAGTATATGAATCAACTTCAATCTTCTGTTACAAATAAATTATAAGAAGTTTATATCCTAATGCTTTCTATGAGATTGAATTTATCATGTTTTAAACTATAAAAATGTATATTTTATATTCATTATTAAATTTGATTGTTTAGAAAACAATACATAAGAATGAAAAATGAGTTATAGGCTTTATACGATTAAGGATAAAGTAAAAAGACAGATCCTACTAATATTGGAATCTTCATCCCGAATTTCCTAAACAAGTTGATAGCATTAAAAAAAATGATTGGGAGTGCCTATGAATAAGGACGTTTCATTGCTTAAGAGGAGGATCTATTTGGAAATAAAACGGAATTCGATGATGATTTCCTAAGAGCTTTAACACTAAATTAATGGAATCAGTTTTTAGCTGTAAATATAGAAGTCACCTTACTCTAACCTGATTAGCAAATGTTATCATTTAGCAAAGTAATAATCTTTATTATAATACACTTAGAGAATAGATATAATTCAAAATTTTCTACTCTCCTTCGTCAATTCAAAATCAAATGGATTGGCTTTTTACTCTTATTTAGATTAAATTTATGTGAAATACAATATATATTTACCAAATGCGATTACATTAAAAATGATGAACCATAGTGAAACAAATCACTTGATTTAAATTATTGATGAACGTTATAGATTAATGGAGTTGCAGATAATGTCTTATAAAGATTAATTGCTTTCTGCTCTTGCTTTAGATCAATAGGAAATCTAAGAATATTTTCCATAACAGCTTGATTTATATTACAACTACAAAAACGATAATATTTAGATTCCTATTGATTAAAGTTTAAAATACGAAAGCTTAATAGCAAGAGAATGTGAAATATTTTAAGATCAAATATAGATTGATGGTGGAGAACAAAGGAGTATTAATACTTTATCAGAAACGGATCAAGAAATAGCTAAAAATGGCAATAATAATTCACAAATTCTTCAAAACTTAAATTACAGAGTAAAAGTGTATACTGTTGAAGCTAGAGTTGGTTTACTTAATTAAGGACATTTTAGAAACTATTAGGAAATACTTGGTGGGGAATTATTTCAGGAGTTTGAGAGACAACCTATTACTTAGTAGATTTAAAGAAAATTAGAATTCGAAGACTCTATTCACATCCCCTAAGCTGATCCTAGATATAAAAATGTTTTATAAGAGTAATTGCCTGATGTAAGCATATCAATACTTAGGAGATTATTAATATTAAAAGAAGCTTTGCTTATTATTATTGAAAATCAAAGACAACTTGCAAACCTTAAATTTAAAGGCAAGTTGTCTGTTTTGGTGAAGATCAGATTTTGCAATGTTTTAGGGACCAGACCAATTTTTATTATGCGGAAGATAAAAAAAGAAAAGAAATAAATAGATGACAAAAATCATATACACAATTACAAGATCATAAAAAGTTTGATATATGTTCTGTTTTTTAAAGATAGGTATGATGATGAAATAAGGCCTATTCATCATTTATGTTGTGAATTTCTGCATAGTTTTTGTTAAGGTGAACCTGACAATTCGCAGGATTCTGATTAAGAAACTGAAGATTCTCGTTATATATTAAAAAATCTTCCAGATATTGATAAATATTTAGTTAAATTAGAAAAACTAATTCTTTTAATAAACAAAATATATTGTGTACCTTTTTGAAGAAATGATTAACTTAGAATAAATAATTTAATTTAATTTATTATATTATTTTAATTTATAATTCTCATACATGAATCAATTGATAGATGATTAATAACAACGATAATGTCCTAAATGTTAAAATTTTTTTGTTGGTAAGAAAATTTTAGAGCATGAAAAAGTGTGTAACTAAAAATAGCATGGGTAGTCAAATAATAATTAACTAGAATCAATTATTTAGAATTAACAATTTTTACATAATGTAAGAAAATGTGAATATTGTGATGATGATTACCCATTGGAAATATATGAATAGCACATCTAATAATGTGATATAAGAATATAGCATTAATCATTATTGCAATCTGTGTGTCCATCTTAAGTCTTTAATTCAATAGATGAGAGTGATTAATAAGAGGAAGAGGGAAGGTAAAAACTTGAAATACTCACAAAATATTTTGAATTAATGGAAAATTATGGAGAAGTATTAGAAAAAGGAGAGGAATTAGTGAAAATATCAAATTTTTCGATTGAACCTTTTGCCAAAACCTTTGATAAAAAAATGTGTCAATCTTGCAAAAAAAACTTTATTTTAGATGAAGAAATATTAATTATGAAATGTTGCTTTTAAATTTATCACCATATTTGCTTTTCCTAAATAATTAACTAGACTAATAACTGCGAATGTGGAAAACAGATTATTATTGATTGATATATCGCAGTAATTAATTTTAAGAATTTATATATTAACATAACAATTAATTTAGTTGGGATAATTTTAGAACTGTATTATTGTAATCATAGTCAATCAACTTCTTCATATCCCATCTCCTATTAAGTGATGTCAGTTTTGCAAATAGGACAAGTGCTTTGATTTTTAAACCATTCCGAAATACATTTCTTATGAAATCTATGTATGCAAGGAAGCAGAATCAATTCCTCGCCATCTTCATAATTATTAATACATATTGAGCATTACTTATACTCTTAAGAAAGTCCATCATATGGTACAAATTTGATAATTGCTAAATTATCTAACCCTTAATTGTGTCGATGATGCTAAGTAGTCCTATTATATTGATTGAATTTACATCATTGGTATGAGTGAAAATCTGCTTCTTCGTTAATTCATCATAAAAGGATTACGTAGAAATTCATTCAAGAAGCTGAAATATTAGTTCTATTAGTTCGTGTTTCTCCCAAAAGTGATTGGAAAAGAAGGCATTTACAAAAATTATTATGTTTATGATTATGATTATGATTAAGATTCAATGATGATTTTTTTTTCAATAACTTATCCTGTATCTAAATTTGTGGTAGTGATAATTTTTCTTCTAGTTCCATTTGGTAAGACTACAATTTAAGTTCCAGTGACTATATTCTAATTTCTATTTTATGGTTAATCGGAGTAAATATCATTTTGATTGTTAATTTGCTGTTGATTTAAATGATAAGTGTTATCATAAGGATTATTATTCTATTACTCATAAAAGTTTTCATTTCGTTCACCTTCAATGGACATCTATTCAATTACCATTTTGGCTTCACAATGAGGATAATGTTCTTCTAAAATTTGTATAGGGTATTCTTGATCACAGTATTCGCATTTCTTCTATGCTTGTTTCAACAATGACTCGGTATATTAATTACGATTCTATTAACGCATCCTTTGTGCTTCGGAAGCATTTATTTATTAATCTGGATAATCAGACCTTCTTCGATTGTTCATCATCGAATTTTAATTGAAGGTGTTATCTTATTCAGAAGAATAAATGTGTGATTCCACATACTGAACAGGATTTCTTGAGGAACTTTATTGCACTCTTGATTATTATTGGGGATTGTTCTAAGATTAGAATTGAGACTAATTTTCTGAGATTCTAGATTTGATTTCAGACTAGTAATTAGGATGGTTTTATAGGTTGCACTCCAGTTTATGTGCGAACATCTAGCATTGATGTATTTTTTGCTTGCAATATTTACATCTCACATAATCTTGATTTTCAGATTACATTCTATTTATCACAATAATTAATTAGTTTGAATTTGTTCTAATTTAGTTTTGGATGCCAAATATTTTTCATAATAGAATTAATTTGAAATAGGGTTGATTAAATTCATATCCGTTATATTTTTTTGAGTTGAATTGTTAATTGTGAGTGCTTATTGCCAATTTGTAAAATATAATTCAGAATTCATCAAATAAATTAAATTTACAAAGATGGTTGAAAAATCTACAATGAGATGGCTATGCGCTGTTTGTACTTGCTGTTTCTGGCTCAATTATTATGGCTTTTTAAATAATTGCGTTAGAGGATGTTAAATTTGTATAGATGGTAAATTGGATTATTATATATTTCTAGTTTTTGATGCAACTGCTTCAGCTATGTGGAAGGGCATATTCTGTATATTCATGTGTTGTTGTTTTGGATTTGAATGTGTGGCATGTGTGTTGTGTATCTACTCCTGCATTGAATTATTTAATGATCCATGTTAAAGATATTAGGCTGAAGATTCATGGATCAATGCTTTTTGGCAGTTGGTGTATCTGAAGGATCTAGAAATAGAAGGAACAGTTAGAGAGAAACTTAAAGAGCTCTTTGCTAAATGATAAAATCAATAATATATATAATAGATTGCATGTTCATTCATATTTTAACTCCACTTGATTTATACACATTAATTTATTAGTTAGAAGATATTGAAATAAGTTATAAAAGCAATGCAATTAAGTAAAAGTCTGAATAATAATTAATTCATTCTAATTTGTACTGTTATTAAAATTGTGCTTGTTTCATTGTAATTGGATTACATTTCTCATAATCTGTTGAAAACTTTTTTCTCTCCTCAAAGTAATTCAAACAAAGAGCTGATTCCGTATGAGTAACCTTGGATTCAAATCTAAAATATAGATAACTTCCAACACAAATACAAGATATTATCATATTTATAATATGCAGAATTAGGTTACTGTAAGTTTAAATCAATAGAAATGAATAACAGGCTGACCCAGCAGATATCAAAATTGGTGATATTCCTAATAATTGGAGAGTAGAATCATTTAAATTTCTATTTATGGTTGGGGGATAAGAACATCTTCTTAACAATGTATATTTGCATGCCCAATAATATAGAAACAATGACACTATCTACATCATCATTCCATATGGAAATATGCATACATAAAACATACTCATCAATATGCTTTTGAAAATAGTAGAATATTTGTCTGCTATTCTATAATCAGGTCCCTCAAATAGTTCATGTGTTTGTTGTTAAGTAAGAATAATCTATCTTTTATCTTATTCCTTAAGGATTTGGTTCTATTTGATTAATTTAATGATATATAATGGGTCGAATATTTCTAATACTGGCAATATGATGAGATTGCCTAAAAATATAAAAAATAGACTGACAGCTAAATTATTCTAATCAAAATCAGTAAATATAAATAATCCAAAAGGCACAAGAGCTGTATTTATGAATTGCATTATGGTTTATGTTACCATAACACTTCTGGTTTCATTAGTATAGGTGGTATGCTTCTCGTACTTTGAAGTGATCTTAATCAGAAACTCCAAAATTTGATTAATAATTAAAATTGCCAAAGCACACAAACCTGACAAAACGTATTTTACATAAAATGAATCACTACTCTTTGCTTAATTTTGAGTATATGAAATTCCATAAACAACAAAGGCTCCTACCAGAACAACTAGAAAGTTTAAACTTAAAGCCAACAGTCTTTTGCATCTTTTTTATGAATGACTTGTATTGAAATTTTACCAAATTATATCTAAAGGTTCAGGTGCTCTTCTTATATAAATTCTTTATCCATTTATAAACTTCCATTGCTATTTATCATTATTCAAATAATAAAGCAATTTATCACAACACCCAAGATAATCCATCATTACTTCATACCATCGACTTTAGTTACATGTGTCTAGAATTTAATCAACTAGATTTTCCTCTTATAATGTTACTAAAACATAATCAGTTCTTTGATATAAATTATTGAGAGTGACTTATTACTCAAATAGAGAAATCTATTTGTCTAATACTTAGATTTCAAGCATTAACTTATTTAAAATATCATTTTTCTCTCTGACTTCTTATGGTCGTGTCATCAAAGCATAGATTCTCTGTTATTCTTTCAACTTTTCATTCTTTTTCTTCTAATCATTCATGTAATCTTAAATATTCAAAGGACGTATTATTTTAACTATGGATGCTGGGTTAATGTTGAAGTATTTCATAAAATATTATTCAATCTGGTGTCTCTCATGAATGTAAGGATAGTTTCTTAATAAGATCGTAAAATCACTTGGTGAACTATTTATAGAGTAATGAAGATTTCTTTATTAGAACCATTTAATTAAGAATAAGCCACCTGTCGCAAGGAATGTTCCAAGGAATGCTAAGACGGCCTGAATGGTTAATTACAATTCAGTTTTATTTACAGTGTATGCCACTCCTATAAAATGGTAACATCCTTATTCTTCATTCTCTTGGCTATCCATCAAATTAAAATGATATTCCTTGTAACATAAGTCAGAAGTAGTGATGATATTGTATATTCCGACGAGAACGAAGATTAGTAGTAATAGAATAGAATATAATTTGATTGATTGAAAGAATAAAGGGATTCCCTCGCCTAAAATCAATCAATGGATCTACCTAAAAACTGCAATCTGATGATGTCCTCGCAGACTCCAATCGGTATTTTATTAATTGCCATATTGCAACATGGACAATATTCCTATTCATTTTGAGTCTAATATCCCACTTATTTTGCCTTGGCATGAGCTTAGGCTAAACCTAACATAATTGTGGATTGAGTAATTACTGAAATCTGGAGGCAGAGCATAAGGATTGTATTGTTTGTTTTAATTCATTAAAATAATATATCCCAAATCCACCAATCAAATGAGAGGTTCGATGTTTTTTGTGTGCCAATTTTTGAGTCACATTTTTTATATTAAAAATGGCAAGAACTAAATAAACTGCAAGAAAGAGCACTGCTGGTAACAAAAAGCCAACCAAACATTTGGCCACCAAAGCAGCCAGAAAAACTGCTCCAGCTGTTGGTGCTGCTGGAGGTTTGAAGAAGCCACACAAATTTAGACCAGGAACTGTTGCTTTAAGAGAAATTCGTAAATACCAAAAATCAACCGAATTGTTGATCAGAAAATTACCATTCTAAAGATTAGTTAGAGAAATTGCTCACGAATTCCAAAAGGAACTCAGATTCTAAAGCTCTGCTGTCTTGGCTCTCCAAGAAGCTGCTGAAGCCTACCTTGTTGGATTATTTGAAGACACAAACTTATGTGCAATCCATGCTAGAAGAGTCACAATCATGTCAAGAGACATCCAATTAGCTAGAAGAATCAGAGGAGAAAGATTCTGATATTTTTATTAAGGAAAATTATTATATAACATTTTCATAATTCTTTATATTTACATTGCAAATATGTAGATTTTCACCCATTTACCATGTAGTCCCATCTATTATTCAATCTAAACTAGTTAGCATGCAAGTAAATTAGAACCATTGGATTTCTAAATAATATAGAAAAGCATTATATATAAATAATGTATGCAAATTAATATTTAAAAACAATAAAGTGTATTGTATTAAATTTATAACTAATAGTTCAGAATATGTACTTTGAGTGTCCTTGCTCTTTTAGAAAGGAATTAGAATAAGAGAGTTAAATCATTCGACACATTGATTGTTGTTAAGAATTTAATAGTGACAGTCCCCTCTGCAATATGTACAAAAGAGGAAATGTTGAAGAAATACCAATTGAACAATTAGTAACTTTCTTATGCGATCTAAAATTACAAGTAGAAAGAATAGAAATTGTTCTAAACAGAAGTAAAATAAAATATTATTGCTTTATAGGAGGCTACAGAAAATAAATATTGCCAATAATTTCAGACTTAACTTTTGATCAATCTAATAAATTGTCTTCCAGTTCTCAAATCAAATAAAACAATGTTGAAGTCAAATAAAATAGTATTGTGCTAAGATTTCGTTCAAAAAACAAAGCCAATGTGTAATAGCCATTTAAAATTGATTTAGGAGATCTGAGTTAAAATAATAAAGCTTCTTCTTCACTTTTCTCACCTCGCCTTTTAGAAGATGATAAAAGTTCAAATAATATGACAACTCGTGATCCAACAAGTATAATTTAAGAACAATCAAAAATTAATAGTTTACAACAATAAGATCAAAAGCTAGCATGTGAAGCTTGCAGAAAACCCTTTTATTTTAATTAAGATTTTGGAAAATTATGGTTCTTAGAGAATTGCGGACATGTCATGTGTAAATTTTGCATTCATCGATTGGCAAGAGAAGATTATATTGAAAATAATGGTAAAATTATGTGTAAGGAGATTGGATGCAATGCTTAGATGAGGCAATTTGAACTAAAAGAAGTACTTGGAATTGATATGTTTGATGATTTGGATAAAAGATTAGCACTTAAAAATTAAAATATAGTTGAATGCATTAAATGCCAATTTCAATCATCCTTTGATAAGGGTAGTTCCAAAGAATTAGATGAAAGTAAATAGAGTAAAAATATCAGTGGTGAGGCATCGATTAATTATGGTAATAATAGATTTATCTGTGAATAATGTAAGACTGAACAATGTAGAGAATGTAAAGCAGTTCCATATCATATTGGTATGACTTGTTAATTATACAAGACTATTTAACATACAAATAAATGCATTCTTTGTGATTTCCCTTGTGAAGGAAAAGTCTGTAATAAAGAATATTGTTAAAGGAGAATATAAAGAGTATGTCAAAATACATTAGATTGTGGTCATAGTTGTAATGGAGTCTAGGGAGAAGAATGCTTATGTTTACTTTGCTCTAATTAAGATCCAAACGACTATTGCAATATCTGTTTTACTGAACCCTTAAAGTTTGCTCCCTGTATTAAAACAGAATGCGGTCATATTTTTCATGAAGAATGCATTTTGAAGAAATTAGATGCCAAATGGAATGGACCTAGGATTTCGTTTGAATATTGTACATGTCCTTCATGTAAGAAATGGTTGAATGTCAAGCATCAGAAGATTTAGTTAAAATTAAATGAAGCTATATAATTCAAATAATAGATATAGGAATTGTGTATTGAAAGATTAGGTATAGAAGGAAAGAAATAAGCACAAGAATTAAGAGATCCTGAAAGTTCGTATTATTAAAAACCTTAGGAATTTGCAATGGATAAATTTTGTTTTTATGAATGCTTTAAATGCATTAAACCTTATTTTGGAGGAATCAAAAATAGTTTAGCAGGTGCAGAGAACTATGGCAGAATCTAATTCAATAAAGAAGATTTAATATGCCCAGGGTGCTGCCCTATCTCTTTTGAGGCTAAATGTAATAAGCACGGTTATAGATACGTTGAATTTAAGTGCAGATTCTGTTGTTCTGTTGCTGTTTGGTTTTGTTTGTATTTATTTAATCTAAATTTAGAGGAAAAATCCATTATTGTGAAACTTGCCATAGTGGAAGAAATCCGAACATGAGTAAACCTTGTCCTGGGCCAAAATAATGTCCATTAGGTGTTGATCATATGCCAACTGGATAGGAACATGTCTTGGGATGTGCACTTTGTAGAACTAAAAGATTGGATGTTATTCTTAAATAAAAATGATTTATAGTATTAGTATATATGCTTAATTTTTATAGCAATTTCATTTAATACTATAATCATATTTATATAATAGTAAAACTATTAGATGGTGGTGTATTAATATTACAATTAAATGTAAATTCTATTTATGATTTAAGTCAACATTTATTGGAAATAACAAATGGAATGAAAAATGCAGACTGAATCATTATTGATTAATTCTAAGGTTTTATTAAATAAATATGCGTTCAAATTATGCAACAAATACCGAGAATGGGTCTGCAACTAAACCATAACAATATTTTGAGGGTAATAGAAAAGGAGAAGTGAATGAATTGAAAATGTATCAATATATTCATCGAATATAGATTGGTCAAGAATACTATTAATGAAAAGGATGACAAAAAGAAAAGAGAAGTAGTTAAGAAGGTGATTGCTTACATGACATTGGGTAGTATTAGACACTAAATTAGGAATCGATGTTTCTAAATTATTCCCAGAAATGTGCATGGCTTCTTATACTAATGATCTGGTATAGAAAAAGATGATTTATTTGTATCTGACCACTTATGCTGAGTAGAACAAGGATATGGCATTCATGGCTATAAGTACATTTCAAAAGGATTGCAAACACAATGATCCAAAAATTCGTGGATTTGCATTGAGAAATCTGTGCTCGCTTAGATTCAGTGGTGCAATAGAATTTCTAATGCCTGCAATAAAGGAGGCATTATCAGATATTGATGCATATGTCAGAAAAACTGCAATTATGGGATGTGTGAAAGTGTTCTACATGCAACCAGAGCAATTAAATAATATCGAAGACTAATTGTATAAGATGATAAGTGATAATGATCCTCTCGTGATTATAAATGCCATCCATGCACTAAATGAAATATTAGCACAAGAAGGCGGGATGGCATTATCCAAAAAGATGGTTGATTACTTAATAGGGAGATTGAAAGAGTTTAATGAATGGGGATAGGCTACCATTTTAGATGAGCTATCTAAATACTCCCCAAAGGATGATAAGGAGATGTTCAACATCATGAATTTCTTAGAGGAGAGATTGAAACATTCCTGCTCTGCAATTGTTTTAGGAGTTATCAAGGTATTTATGAACTTTACTAAAAACAAACCTCAAATATATGAATAAGTTATCACCAGAGTCAAACTACCATTAGTTACTTTGGCCTCAATTAGTGAAGGCAACTTTGAAATAATGTATACAATTCTGTGTCACATCAAATATATTGCATCCAAAGGATATAACTCAGTATTTGCATCTGATTACAAATCCTTCTATTGCAGAGTTGATGAACCAACCTACATCAAATTAATTAAACTTGAAATTCTATCATTGATTGCATGTGACTTCAATTTAGGAGACATGCTTAATGAATTAGGAGAGTATGTTACCGACGTTGATCAAGAAATCTCTAAGAAATCAATCTAAGCTTTGGGTTCTATTGCCATAAGATTACCAGACTTAGCAACTGCCATTGTAAAATAATTATCTTCCTTTGTTACTCTCTAAGATTATATCACAAATGAGGTCATTCTTGTATTCAAAGACATCTTGAGAAAAGAACCGAAGCACGTTAAAGATTGTTTGGAAATTATTCAATCTGATAACATTACAGATTCAAATTCAAAAATTGCATTGATTTATATTTTGGGCCAATTTGGTAGCCAAATCCCTTTGGCTCCTTATATTCTAGAAACATACATAGGGGCCTAGGAATCAGTTGAATTAAAGCATACTCTCCTTACATCTTGTTTGAAAGTGTTTTTCGTTAGAGCACCAGAAATGCACTAAGTCTTGGGTAAGTTATTCTATGTAATTATTGATAATGAGAATGAAGATATAGATCTAAAAGATAGAGCTGCATTTTATTACAGAGCTTTAAATTCAAATCCAACTGAAGTCAAGTAACTTTGGCAATATAGCATCAAAGTTGATAAATTCCTTGAAGAAACTATCATAAATAAAGAAGCTCTTCTATTTGAATTTAATTCTTTGTCTGTCATCTATGAGAAAAATGTTAACAAATTCATCAAACCGATTGAGTACTTCAATAATCTAAGAAACAAAGAGTTGTAGGATCTTAATTAAGAACAACAACAAACTCAAACAAGTGCTACTTAAGAGTAGACCTCTGATGTTATTGACAATCCATAATAGTAAACCTACAGCTAGACTAATGATCTCCTTGAAATTTCTGAATAACCTCAATCGCAGAATTATCTGGGTGTTGATAGCTTCATAGTCAATTTTACTATTGATGCTGATCATTTTGAGAATATGTGGACTAATTTAAATGACGGGTATCAATTAAATCATCTATATTAGTGCTACCTTTACAAGAATGTTAGTTCGAAATGACATTGCCAATGAAACTACAATTGAATAATTATTCAAGTAATACAGGCTGTATAATATTGCAGCAGGAGAAGAGGAGAATGTGTTGAAAATGTATTTCTATGGATCCCACTAATGCTAAGTCTTTTTTGAATTTGAGATTAACAAGAATCTTAGCACAGTTATATTAAATACCAGATCTGAAATCGAAGATCAAGCTTATTTAGCATCTAAATATGTTGAAGATTTTCTTAAATAAGTTCATTTAATTGAATGAAAATATTATATTAAATATATGTATATGTTGAGTCATTTATTTTAATGCTCTTGATTTACCATTTGATTCAAACAACCATACATAAATTTTATTACATTTTTCCAATTCAAATTGCTCAGATTGCATCCAATAGAATTCAAAAATTGAATATTATAATTTAATTAAACTGGAATCTTATATTTAAATTTATATTCATCGTTTTAATTTTATAAGGTAACAAATAATTATGGAGTTATTTTATTTTATTTTTATATTTATTATGTCTTTTTAAAGAGATAACATATTAATAAAAGAAAATAGATTAAAACCAATTCAAAAGCGATTCATTGCAAGGAATTTGGTTATGAATGAGCCATAAACACAAAGCGACAGAAATATTTTCCAAGAAATCAATGACGAGTTTAATATTGATAAAGGTCCAAAGTATAATGATAAGGGGGAAATCATCAAACACTCAATTTTAGGTAAGCCTGACTGGTTCAATAAAACAAAGCATGGTAAAAAGTAAGCATAATTCGATGAATTTAATCTTCGATAACTTCCACAAAAATAATCGACTAAAATTGATATAGATCAAAGGTCCATGGCCAAGAGCGATATAAAAAGCTAATAGAAAGGAGGAGGCTCTGGAAAATTCAAAAAGGAAAAAAGAGATCAACTAACCACTAAAACTCAATTGCTTTAGGAATTGGAGAGGATTAAAGAGAGAATAGAAATGAATAACGATATGGAGGAAAGAAAATTGAAGTATATATTAAAGATTTAGTATAGAGAGTTATAACCTGTCGTGAGATCTAATGCTACAAAATAAGAGAGAGTCATGGAAAAGCATAATAGGATTGAATAATACTGGAATGATTTTACTTAAAAACAAGCAAATAAATTAGGCAGATTTCCTTCTGATTGTCAATTGATATAAGCTGAAAATTATAGAACAAGATTAGAAGCTGCTGCAGCATTTGATGCTCTTAAAACTGATTATGAAAGATTTGGACCAAGAGTTTGGCAAATGACTCTTAGAAAACCTGACTAATCAAATGAAATGACAGTCAAAATGAAGGACACATAAATGATTGTAGAAAATGAAATGAAATACGATTTTATAGTGGTATAAATATTAAAGTTATTCAGGGATCTGATTTGCCTAATGCTTTTACAGAATCATCTGTGTGTGGTCATAAGGGAGGGATAGAATATTACAGAAAACCCAATTTTCTACCTGATAGCAGTCAATTAACAATTTCCAGTAGATTTAGAAAATATACAGATTCTGATATGAATTAGAGTTCATTACCCTTTAAGAGCTTTCGAAGTGAAGAATATTTAATGAAAAAGATTGAGAAGCAAAAAAGCTAGTTCAATTAATCTCACATGTTATCAATTGATAAGACTGATGGATATGATTAACTAATAATATTAGGAAAGAATTAGTATGAAGTGGAAAGGCAAATGTTGTTGAACGATGGCACAGATAACACTGGAGTCTATCGTAAGAACATTGAAAAGATACCTGAGGAATTAACTAAAGAGTAAATTTACGAGCAAAATTTTACTGGAACATAGAGATTAATTTTGCCATAGATTTATAAGTCCTAAATTTCGAGGATTAAAAAATAAGGATCTGCCACTAGTAAAAGTTAGGATTCAAGGAGTAGTCAGGATTTTCAAACAGAAAATTAAACAGTTATATAATGAAGAGAAAGATTTTGATTTTGTATTTCACATGATTAATATACTTATTTTATATGAAGCTTTTTCATTTTTTCTTGTTTCCTCCTTTAGCTTGAGCAGCTGCTTTTCCTCCAGCATTATTCTTTCTCAAAGATTTAAGTTAGGTACTGAGGAGTGCACTTCTCTATTTTTATAATTGAAAATAGCATTACTCTCTTTCTGAGAATCATAACTCTAAATCTATCAAAATCTGTTAATTTAGCTCTTAAAGCTTTCTTGGCAACTTTCTTGGCAGCAACTAGTATTTTGATATTGTGCAAATGGGTCACTCTTTTTAATTGCCTTGGTAATCACACCAGTTCTAGCACCTCTGGTGGCACCTTTAAGATTGAATTTTGTAAGGGTCAATCTTCTGATTGGGATGACCTATCTTTAAACTCCTGTGGTGGGTCCATCAATGAGGACTCTCTTGTCGTTGAGGATTTCAACAATAGTGGCCAATTTGCCTTCTTATGGACCATAGTTGATCTTGACAACTCTTCCAACTTCAACGAACTTTCCAAGCACCTAGAAAAATTAATGGATGTTCTTACCATCTCTAATAAAACAAATTTTTTTTATTATTTAAAAATCCTTTTAATCTTTTTAAAAAGAGGTGTTAAACTAATATAATATATATTATTAAAATATATTCAATCAACCAAAGACCTCTCTTTTCTAACAAATACCTCAAAGTAATTCAGAGAATCAGATATAGAATTCAAATTTGTTTATATAAATTTTATTTAGAATATAAATTGTGACATATACTAATAATGTGATAATTCACAAATATTAAACCACTTTTTAGTTAAGTTAATTTTTAGTATTATTTATTAAAAATCCTATTATAAATTTAATAATATGAGAATAATCATATTTATCAATTCCAAACTATCAAATATACAAATTGATAAGCATACCATCGAATTCAATATTTTGAAAAGAACTCTAATAAAATGAGAAGCTTATATTAGATTGTAAATGTATTTAGAATAATTGAAAGAAAATTAGAAGTCAATCAGTCGGAATCTTTAATATATTATAAAATATGGAGTGTTCTCATCCAAAAAAAATACACATTCATAGTGAATCAACTTAAAAAATGAATCTAAAGTGGAAGAGAATAATAGTCCAATTAGTGGAGCAGTTATTGATTCTCCTTTAATGTAAAGGAGAACCAAGTTGATAAATATAGATAATTATATCCTTTAGCTATTTAACCAACACCATTTAGTAGTTTAAATATATCCTAGACTTTATCTTTGGATCAAATTACTATAAATAATTTATTATTTATTTTAGATATTAAGTTTGTCTATTATTTAGTGTATGCTAAAATAAATTAGAATTGAAATAATAGGGGAAGATGAAATAATGGGAATTAAACTGAAATATCCGACAACATTTATTAGGATTATTACGAATAATGAAAAATATATAAATAAAATTATTAAATAGATATGTCTAGAACAAACAAATAGGTTGAGTAGTAGCCAGCACCAAACAAGAAGGTCTAAGCACCCGCCAAGCCTTAAAAGCCAAAGGAGAATTATTTGACTCCAGAGGAAATCAATGATTTGAGGGTAAGAGTGTTATAACCATAAAAAAGGAAACATTTGATTTGTTTGATGATGATAAGAGTGGCACAATTGATGCACACGAAATTAAAAAGGTGCTTGAAGATTTAGGCGTTGATGCTAGAAACAAGTTTGTGTATCAAATGGTGTAGGATTTGGAAAAGTATTCATTCACATTTTAATGTTAGTTTTGGAGGCTCAATTGATTTTGATACTTTTGTTAATATTATATCAGACAGATTGGGAAATAATAAAACAAAAGAAGGTGCATTCAAATTGTTCCAAATTTACGATCCTGAAGATACTGGGTTTATATATGAAGATATTTTAGATTCATTGATTTCACAAACCTTAAACGTGTGGCAAAGGAATTGGGTGAAACTCTCAATGATGATGAATTGCATGAAATGATCCATCACATTCACATTCTTAGAAAAACAGAGAGCCCAGAATAAATCTCATTTGATGAGTTTTACGAAATCATTACCGCTCCAAGAAGATATTGAGAAAATAAAATTACATATATTAAATCATCATTTGGCATATATATATCTATATTTAAATATAATTCAAAATTTCAGGATAATGAATAAGATAACAATTATTAAATACTTCAAATAATAATATCAAATTAGTAAACAATATTAGAAAATACATAATAAAATAATAAATTATTACTATTATATCATTTTAGATATCTACATTAACAAATGAATAAAGTACCTTTCCATAATCAGAATTTTCAACCTATTAGTACATACTTTTTTGAGACTCTAATGCATATCTATTAACTTAGGTCTAAATATGGAAAGGTATATATTAATATTGTGCAAATCTATGTATTAAGAATCAAGAAAAGAGTAGAATTGAAACCTTATTATATGAATATAACATCAATATTAAGCATGAGAATTTATATCAATTTTAAGACTCCACAATGCCATCCGATTAAAAACATAGGTTTCTATTTGTTAAATTTTGAGGAGATCCATCAAATTAAATAATTTGTGGCGAATGTTCTGCTTAAGGAGAGCAATCCAATTCTATTTTGCACTAAGTTCTAAAAGGAGAAGATGATAATTGTAGAAATGGCAAATCCCTGTAAGTTTGTGACGGTGGTTCATCCTTTGATTTGATAGCTTCTTATATTTCTTATATGTTTAATTCTTAGACTTATCGATTTCTATTGTTCTTAACTTCCATTAATTCATTAATTTCATTTTCCAGTAATCCTTATCTACAAACTGGACAATTGGCTTATTTGGTTGTCCTTTAATAGAATATTAATATACCAATCTAATAAGCATTGTTCATGGAAGTAATGATTGCAAGGAGTTTTGCAATACTTCTCTTTTAATTCAAATTAGACCAAACAAACTGAGCAAGTATCAGCACTCATTTTCGAATCTACTTTTTAAGGTGGCATGTATTTCTTTAATACTTTCCTATCTAAAGCTGGTTTGATTTAGGTTAGCTTTTTATATTATCGCTTATAATGACACAGTATTATTAGAAATAGCAATAGACCAAAGATCACAATAGATATCAAAAGTATTGTAGCCCAAAATGGAAATTCTTCATTTTTATCAGAAGCTCTATTATTAATTTAGTATATATACGTAATTGTGATTGTAATTTCCTAAATTTAAGTGGAATTGAAATTGTACATGCCAATAATATAAATACTTTCTTAACTATTTTCTGTTTTTGGTAATAAAATTTGATTTTCATCGCTGTAAGAATCCAATACTATAAAATTTTATAGAAATGATGGAAGTCTAGTAACATTCACTTTATTAAATGAAATGATTGAAATACCAAATAAGGAGTCTCCATTTTGTACATAAATCTGGATATAATTAATTAGTAATTACCTCATAATCGTCATTGTCAAGAATGGTGTAAGCATAAAACCAGGTATTGTTAAGAATTAGAATTGTTACAGAGAATTCTTTTTAGATTTGTTGAATCGAAAGACTGCAATTTTACCCATAATGAGGGAACTGGCATGGTGGTGAAATATGTTATTTCTAAAAAATTAAAATTAGATTTACTGCTTCAGTTAGAGTCAAATTAAAATGCATTGTTTTGTTGATGTTTTTTTGATTTTAAAAGTGCTCTAACATTATACAACTAACTTTGATAGTGATGTTATCAGTGGAATTGAAATACACTTTTTGAATATTAGCTTTAATGGAATAAGCCAATGAATCATTATGAGTTTGGTTATTAATGATGACTTAGAGCAATGGTAAGCAATAATTGTTTGATGGTAATTGAGTAATTATGAGGGACAACTAATAACTTTTGGAACTATTCAAATTGGTTTGTTGGATTTCCAATTAATCAGTTACATATTAAGTATTAAAGCTAGCTAAAACAGCTGAGATGCATAATAAAAATATCATTAAAATTAATGTATAGAAATTTATTGAAATTGCGCTACGCATATCAACCTTGTATATATTGAAATCATTTTCATTCTAGAGCCCACATAATTAACTCCAATAAAGATGACTGTGAGAGAAGCAATAAATCTTGCTATGGATGAAGAACTGGCTCATGATCCAAATGTATTTTTAATTGGTAAATTATTCAAAGTAATATTTTAGGCGAGGAAGTAGGGCTGTATCAAGGAGCGTATAAAGTTTCAAAGGGACTTTTCTAAAAGTATGGAGGCGAGAGAATTATTGATACCCCAATTACAGAGGCTGGATTCACAGGAATCTCAGTGGGAGCTGCCCTTTATGGGTTAAAGCCAATAGTTGAGTTTATGACTTGGAATTTTGCTATGCAAGCAATTGATCACATTATAAATTCAGCAGCCAAAGCTCATTACATGAGTGCTGGTGATTAGAAGGCTTCAATAGTTTTTAGAGGAATCAATGGGTAAATAAATAAATAATATGATTCAGAGCAACTGCATATGTGGCTGCACAACATTCTCAATGTTTTGCCTCTTGGTATAGCAATGTGCCAGGATTGATAGTGCTATCCCCCTATGATTGTGATGATGCAAAATCATTATTAAAGGCAGCTGTTCGTAATCCAAATCCTGTTGTATTTTTGGAGAATGAGATTCTATACAGTGAATCATTTGAATTGTCTGCTGAGGCCAGAGATCCAAATTACATTGCTCCAATTGGAAAGGACTAAGATCATGAGGAAAGGTGATCATGTTACAATCGTGGCATTTTCTAAAATGGTTGAGTATTCACTTAGAGCTGCTGAACAACTGTTTCGTGAGGGCATCAGTTGTGAAGTTATCAATTTAAGAAGCTTAAGACCTTTGGATAGAGAAACCATTCTTTAGAGTGTAAAGAAGACAGGAAGAGTAGTTTGTGTTGAAGAAGGATGGCCATAATCAGGAATCGGAGCTGAAATCGCTGCTCTTATTATGGAAGGAGGAGCCTTTAAATATTTGGATGCTCCTATTCAAAGAGTCACTGGAGTTGAAGTGCCAACTCCATATGCTTTCAATTTAGAAGCCATATCATTTCCAAAAACAGAACAAATTGTTGATGCTGTCTTAAATGTGATTAAAAGGGGCTCGTTGATTTATATTTAAATTATAAAATGGATCAATATACAGTTCTTGGTGAAGGTGCTCAGCACATTGTCTATTAATATATTGGTGAAGATCCCACTCTGAAGGATAAGGTCATTAGAATTCGTAAGCCAAGGGACATGTGTGAGATTTCCACGAATCTCATTATGCCTTTCAACAATACGGATTGGACTCCTCTTAAAAAGTATTTCGCAAAAAAGCAACCATACCAGATAGGGGATCAATAATGTTAAATTATGGACAATCTATTTTTTAATGTTGTATTTGCGGTGGAAATCAAACCCAAAACATTCTTACCAATTTTATCAAACAAATAAGAAAACAAGGACTTATGTGATCCTAAGAATCAAAGATTTTTTATGATCCAACTCTTAAAGGCTTAAAAGAAATTACAAAAATCTGGCAAAGATATTTATCAAAGCACAAAAGTGGAAATCGATTCCTTAATCTCTAAATATGACCCTAGGAAGTTTTATAACGGGAAGGTTGAAAATTTATTTGATGCGATCATTGATTTAGCAGAAATACCTGAGAACAATTTTAGACTCTTTAATAAATAATAGAAACAGGTTCAAAGCATTGAAGAATTTAATATAGAAGAGGTAATATACATACCAATATTTTTAGATAGCCTCAATCATTAGCGAGACTCTGCTGTTAGAGGATCTCATTCAATAACTCAAGGGATTCTTTCATATGTTGTAGTAAATGAATCTCACAGTTGAAGAAACTTAGGAAGCCTATGAGAAATTAAGACAAAGAAACCTAACCAATAAATAATTATAGGAAGTTGTGGAAGGAAAGTGTTAAGATCCTGAAATATAAAAGCTAGCCTTTAAATTGTTGACCTTTTCCTCCTTTTAAGCTTTGAGTGATCTGTCAATCATCGCAAGTTTCAGGAGGGAAGGCTCAGGCAAATTCGTTGAAGTGGGCAATTAAAAACTGTTTTATCAGTATTCAATAGTTGATTGTGATTTGAAGCCATTGAATAAAATTGGAGATTACCTGTCAACCATAGACGAATTAATCAAATTGAGAAATTATTATGATTCTCTTAAATGAATTATTTTATATATAAAAATGAATAAATTGATCCCAGCCATAGTCTCAGATATTGATGGAGTATTAGTGAGGGGGAAGTCAATAATTCCAAATTCAGACACAGTTGTTAAGCAATTATTGAATTGCCATTACACAAATGGAATCAGACACAATATTAGGATTCCCTTTTATCTATTGACTAATGGAGGAGGATGCACAGAGTTGGAGAAAGCCAATTCCTTGAATAAGATTATGGGTTCAAATTTTAAGAGAAATCATATCTTTTTGAATTACACTCCATTAAGACCAATAATGAATGAATATTAGAATAGATTAATTTTAATCTGTGGAGCTGGCAAACTAACAGAAATAGCTAAGGATTGTGATCTAAAATATTTCTACACAATAGATGAATATTCTGCATTGTTTGATTAAGTTGCTTTTAAATAATATGATCCTGAGATGATTAGATAATATGAGGCTGACATCAAATAAAGACAAATGGAATAGATGAAAAATAGACAAATCGAAGCAGTGTTTATAGTATTTGATCCAATAAAGTGGGAAGAGAGTATTTAGACCATTTCCAATTTGGTTAAGGTGAATAAAGATATACCTATTTATGTAGTCAATAACGATGCGACTTATGCAGATTAATTTAAATTGCCAAGACTGGCATTTGGAACATTCACTAACACTCTCATTTCTATTTTAAAGAAACAGTACAATATAAATCCAAATATCATTTATTACGGAAAACCATCTCTAAATACATTTAGATATGTATAATCTTATATACATGAAAAACATGAAAATATTGGTAATTTTTATATGATTGGTGATAACCCTACAAGTGATATAAGAGGTGCAAACTTAATTGGATGGCCATCATTATTGGTGAGGAGTGGTGTGTTCAGAGATGGTGACAATGATCCAAAAGATCCTGGGAAATATGTTGTGAATGATTTAATGGAGGCTTACAATAAGATATTGCAATTAGAAGGATTAAAAGTTGTTTAATGATGTTTTAACTATATAAATTTAAAAATGGGTGCTAATTCTTCTTAGAGTGAGAAGTTTGTGCAAGAGTTCCAAAGACAATGCGTAAAGGTGAGGGAGCTAAAAGACTTGCGTTTTGGAGATGTTCAGATTTACAGAACTCAACAGAATACTTTCATAATGGTCAAAAGCATCTGGTGCAACAATTCATCAGAATATGATGCATCCATCAGTAATATAAAATTAATTTATTTAGGTAATTGTGAAAAGAGATCTAAGATCCAACATTAAAATTTAGTCAAACTCTTAGGATATCATTCAAATTCATAAAATTAATGGTGTGGAGATTTTTCAAAAATTACTGTATATTTGGAATTCTTTGACTACACTTTAGAAAAGTCCATTGAAACAAGAAGACAAACCAATCAATACTTTACTGAAGCTGAGCTTTGGAAGATGTTATTCACTATTGCTAAATTGGGAATTTATCTTGAAGAACAAAACAAAGTTCTTGGAGACATCAGACCTTGCAACATTTAATTGTCAGATGATTTGAAAATGGCTGTAAGTATCCTCCTTAATTCTTTATAGGAATTAGGCATATTGAAACCAGATCAAACAGGTTATTAAAGACAAATTAATAATCAAGAAATAGCATATTTAAGTCCAGAACAACTATATTCAATCAACAATCCTTCAATTACAGCCAAATCTGATGTCTTTTCTTTGGGTGTCACTATGCTAGAATGCTCAACTCTAATGAGTGGAAAGAATCTCTATAAATCTAATAGAATTGATGGCCATTTCCTTTAACAATTATTAGAAACTGTGAAATAACTTGGGTATTCAAATCCTTGGTACAGGATGGTCAGAGAGTTGTTAAAGGAGTAGCCTGATGAAAGACCTTCATATTAAGATATTTATGTAATTTCAACTTTTATATATTAAGGATGCCCTCAAATAATTCGAAGTTCAGATTCTGAATCTCCAACCCTTTTCCCTTTTATACTAACAACCTCAATTACCATAATAATCAATATCACCATATCGACCATAACATTAATAATATTCATAATCTTTGCCACCTCCACATCTGTAATAATAATAACCCCAAACTTAAGTTCCCATGTAATTTTAATAATTCTAACAACAATAATAATAGCCATAATAATAATAGCAAATAGTTTAACCTTAACAGATACAGTCTTTGCCTTAATAACCACCTTTTTAATACCAATAGTAAGTGCCTTCACAACAACCAATTTTAGCATCTTAATTACCTTCTTAATAGCCATAATAATAATAACCATTGCCTTAAAATTAATTTCCTCCATAACAATCTTATATGTATTCATATCAATAACAACAACCTTATTTAAATGAATTAGCAAATGCTTAGTCCAATTATTTTGTATAATAACCTGTTCACCATGTACCCTAATAAATAGAGTAGTCCCCATATCATACATTATAGTCACCTTAAAATATGACATCAACAATGTATTATCAAGAAGAGGAGTAAGATGATGGATTGAATGAAATTGACAGAAAGATTTAATAAGCATTGAAAATGACGAGGGATACTGAAATGAGAAATAAATAAACACCGAATTACTATTGAAATGATAATTGCAATATAATCAATAATTAGTAGTATAAATAACTCCCTTCCATTTCTAACTTCTCAAGTTTAATGTATAACATAAAATCCAGTTAAGATGTTAAGTATTCTTACACTTGATGCTAGACGAGCATACACCATTTTAATTAAAATTTATTTTTCAATGAAATGTAAAATTCTATTATTTCCTGTAATTTAATAAATTCAATTGTTATCCTTAGAAGTGTCACTTTGAACCTTGAACAATCTTAGTTAAAGTACAATAATATGGAAACCAGAAATAGAACGAAATTTGGTATAATTTTGTGAGGTTAACAAGTATAATTAGATAATGTCAAGATTGGCCAATGATGATTGAAATAAAATGTAAAGAATTAATTTTAGTGGCTTTTTAAAAGAGGATTGAAAATCTAGTGTTGTTAATCCATTCTGAGATTAAAATTATTGAATATTTAAAAATTCATTTTTTCTAGTATAAGCAATAAATTTATTGTAAATATTACTATTGTTGGTGAGATCGATAGCTCTTATTATTTTAGTAGATGGGAAACAATCTTATAAAAGATTGGATGAGTAGCTGAAAATAATATTTTTATAAAATTTATTGATCTAATGAATGCTTGCGTCATAATGAAAGATAATACCTCATTCTTAATCACAAACATTTGACTCTATGGTTCAGAAAAATAAATATATAATGAGCTATTCTACCACAGATGAGAGATTGATGGATTCACCAAAAAGAACAGAAAGCACAGATATCTAATCTGACGGTTAAATATTTAAGAAGGGACTTAATCCGTCATTCTTAGGAATTTAATAAACATCGAAAGTCACTGTATTTAAATATGCTATTTTAAGGTGTCTAGAAGATATCTCGATACTAAAACTCATGGAGTTTAATTATATTATTAGGAATTTACTCCTTAATTTGTAGATGCTCAAGTAATAATCGTACATGGATTTGGTGAGCACTCAGGAAATTATCAATAAGTAAATTCGAATTTCATTCTTCTAGTTGACTGATTCTTTTCTACTCAACAATTTTAAAGTTTATCTCTATGACCAAAGAGGATTTGGCTATTCTGGAGGTATAAGAGGCTAAGCCACCGTTGAATAAATGCACATGGATTTAGACATCGTTTTATAATTAGTTGATAGATCAGTTCCTTTATTTATATTTTGTCACGCTCTCGGTGCTTCTATGGTTATCAGCTTTTGTTTAATGAATCCCTCATTCCAATTTTAAGGACTTATTTGTAGTAGTGCTTAATTACGAGTGCCAGCCAAATATGGGAAAATCAAGATGCTCACCCTTAAACTCATGACTAAGTTATGCCCTGATCTCCAAGTCAATACATACCAAAATTTATCATACGCCTCAAAAAATAATCATCATATCAAAAAGCTTGCCACTGATCACCTCATGCATCCTTATATGAGCATCTAATTTGCATACAATGTACTTCTATTTCAGCAATTCATTTTGCCAAATGCAACTAAATTCAAAATCCCTGTCTTGTTATTGCATGGGAAAAGAGGACAAAGTTGCATCGCACTTAGATTCCCTTGATTTTTATAGACTCATCCAATCCAAAGAAAAAACACTGAAAATATTTGAGCAAGGATTTCACGAATTGCACAATGACTCTGAATGGTCTAAAATGAAGATTCTCATCACTTAATGGTGCACAAAAATGTTAAGCAAAGATATTAAAATGTCTTTTATGAGAGAACACAATTACGGAGTTGTTGTTAAACAATACAGAAGCAAAATGAGAATCATCGTTGCAATTCTTCTCATGTTATTCAGAAAGTAATTGTTTTTATAAATTCTATTAGAAAATATGCATGTTTAAAAATAAGTACTAAAATTAGCATCATAATATTTATAGAGTTACTTCTAAGAGTGTTCATTTCTAATTGAATATTGTAAAGTTTTATATACTAATTAATATAATATGAAAAATAACAGATAAAATTTTATCGATTTGATCATCCATCTACTTGATTTGGAAGAACAAATAGAGAAAACAAAGATTCATATGACTTCGAATGAATATTTCACTCTTTACAGAGCTTTCTAAATAATTGATGAATAAAATACAAATTAAATAACAATAGATGCAATTTCAAAATTAATCTCTAAATCTCCTGATTAATGTGCGTTGTTAATTGATTATTACTCTGAATTTAAAGACAATAAGTTATCTTTTGCTAACTTTATGAATTTGTGTTTGCCAAGGAGTAAACCTTAATTAAGAGCATAATTGACATAAAAACTCCAAAAAACGATTGGTTCCCCAGAGGAATAAGAATTAATCAAAGAACATTTATCTATTCTATTAGCAACTGAAATTCATTTTTTATAGTAGATTAAACAACACCCAATAGAAGTAGAAGGGTTATTGGATTACCCATTTAAACAGAAGGATTTGAATTAATTAGTAGGTGATTTTGGCTATAAAATAAATATAGAAGCAATCTGGAGAAGATTGGATTTTGATTAAAATGGTATTGTTACTTATGAGGACATGAAGAAATTGTTTAGAGAGCATGATCAAAGCATTGATGATTATGAATAGGAAATGGGGAAGGAATAACTGAGGAATAAAGATATAAAATTGGGATGGATAAACAATAAATCATGCCCATATCATTCATATTCGAAATAATTCAGAAAGAGAATTCAAAACTTTTAGGAATTTGAGAAATAAAAGACCATTTTGAGGTATGATTATAACTAAGTTTAGATAAAATGAATGGAAATAAATACGGAGTTTTTTATATTTGATCAAAGAACACAGTTAGATTTATTAATAGATTGATCAATTATTGGAGAAGCTAAATAAATTTGATAGTATAAAGCTATTTGAATTGTTGAGCATCAATGGGAGATTGGAATTTTAGTATTTGCAAAAGTAGATATAAGAGATTGTGGGATAGGAGTTCCAGCTGGATTATTCGGATGTGGAGTAGTTGATGATCTTTTTTGGTGGTCAAAGTTATGAAGAATTCAAACGCTCATTAGAATGCAGTAGGATTTTGGAGAGAAAGCAACCTATAAATATGAATGTCCTGAAGATGCTATTCATAAAATTGATATTGTTGTTGCAATTAAGTAGATATTTGAAATAATAATACGCAAAGAAGGCTTTGATATAGAACAAGGACTTGTTGAATGAATTCGGGGAGTTTTCTTAGTCAAATGTTTTGTTGATGGCGAGGAAGGCAGAGGTAGAATTGAGTTTGGAAGAAGTTAATGTGTTTTTTAAAGGTTAAGAGGTTTTGGAAGTTAGGAATGTTATGAGTTTTTTGAAATGATTTATTATATATAAAAATTATGGAAGAAATTGTTAATGGAGAGGATGATGTCGAGCCGTAATTTACATTTATTACACACACCCGAACTACATAATTTCGTATTTCTGTGATGAGGAAACGAATTGAGATAGCATCTATTAATAGCCTAGATTAAATTTAAGTTCCATTAAGCATAGATTAAACTATCTATTGGCTATACGAGGAGGGCCGAGAAATCGCTTTTGGATTGAGGTAGGGAGATCTTACCAATTATTACTATGGAAATGAGAGTGAGCTGTCCCATTTTAGGATATTGATTGGGTGCAAAATTTCATATGGAACATTTAGACAGGACTATTTCGTTGGTGATTTATTGGGAAAAGGCACATTTTCAGAAGTATGAGTTCTTCTATGACCAGGTAATGAAGGTGACTAGTTTGAGGGATGGCAAAGAGTATGCTTTAAAGAAAATTAAATTGCGTAACGAGTCTCATTTAAAGAATATTGAAATTGAGGTAGCTATTTTGCATAAGTTAAATCATTAAGGCATCATCAAGTTACATGATGTATATCGATTAAACGAAGACACTTATGGGTTAATTACTGAATTAGTCATTGGACAATCTCTGGACTCAATTATTAATAAATAGAAAGTAAGGTTTTAAATAACGTGTTAGCAAAAAAAGAGTAAACTGGAAGAACGAGACATTTAAATGATTCTAAAATAAACTCTATAAATCATTGATTACTTACATTAGAATAATATAATTCATCGAGATATTAAACCTTAACATATGATTTTATGTTAAAATAAAACGATTAAGATATTAGATTTTGGTTTAAGTTCTAATGAGAGTCAAATGTCTTGCAACTGTGGTACTCCTGGTTATTTGCCACCTGAATCATTTCGAGAGCAATCGCTATACACATCTAAAGGAGACATATTCAGTTTGGGAGTGGTTTTTTATAAGTTATTGAATAGAGGAGTTAGTTGTTTTGATGCAAATACACTCGAATCAATAATGAGTAAAAATAGACGTTGCATGATTGAATATCAAATCAATGGGTATTCACCTCAAGCTCTGGTACATTTTTGAAATGAATTCTAAGCATTTGCTCAAATAAATGCTTCAAAAAGATCCAGTCTTGAGAATCAATTCGCACGATGCGCTGAATCATACTTATTTTACTGTCCTCCGTGAATCCCAGAATCTAAAAGAAGATAAAGGGAATATTTATGTTTACTAAGCTCATCCTAGGCCATCCCACTTATCTAGGACGAACAGTGGTGAGTTAGAGAAAACTTCAAAATGATTGTAAATTATTATTAAATATATGTTCATGATATTTTCAATTGGTCAATTAGTTTATGTCATTTCTTTTTGGTGTTCTGAAGAAAGTCAGGAGTGTCAGGTTGGAGGTTTGTTTTAAATTGGATTGAATTTGAATGAGTTTAGGAGTGACAGACTTGTTAAGACTCAAGTTAATGAATTAATGTGCTTTTGGATTATTTGCTAGCAGCACACCCCATTTAGTTTTTTTAAAGATAAATTAAACAATAAATCTTCATGAAGACAATTTAATAAATAATGAGTTGTATTTATATTATTTGAGTTTTTTCCCTAGATAATCATATTTATTATTATAATGTTAGTATACACAGTCAACATAGATGATTATCAAACAATGGATGATAAAGTATATTATTAGATCAACGTTTATTGTTCAGATGGACACAGGAAGATTTGTAAACGATATTCTGACTTGAAAGCATTGAATGAAAAAATCATAGAGAAGAATTCTAACTTTAAACTACATTTAAATTTGCCTCAATTCCCTGGTAGAAAGATATTTGGGAGAACCAAAAATTCAGTCGCAGGAATCAAGTAGAGAGTAATAACATAAATTCTATCTAGGGAAAAGAATTATAGAACTATTTAGAAGAAGTATTAAACATAAAATAGTTGCAATAATTCTCATCAATTAAAGAATTGTTACCTCAACAACAATTACATTAAGAAACTATTTAGTTAACTCATAGTGATGAATATGATAAAGAAGTTTGTTGGCTATAAATGGATGAATTAAAGCGATCATTTTTGGAGAGACAAGAAATTAAAACACCCAAGAATTTAAAATCTAAATGCAAATCTAGCTTAAACACTAATGGATATGTCTAGAGATATCATTTTAGCATTGATGATTATGAAATCCAATAAGATGTAGTTTTATATACGATCACATTAACAGACGCAAAAAAGACTACTAATTATTAATTTACATCAAGATATAGTGATTTAAGAGAATATGATAAATTACTAAAAAAAGAGAATTTGAAGGTTGAATTGCCTGTTTATCCGAAAAGAAAGATCATATCTCAAACGAATGAAAATCCTTTCTTCATCTAAGAAAGATAGGAATAACTTTAGAAATATCTAAATGACATTTTCGCCATTAAAGAGTTAGTCTAAAGTGAACCTTTGCAATACTTTATTACAAAAATTAAATTAGAAGGTAAAGCCATTCGAGTAGGGCCTGTTCAATAAAAATAGTAAATTTGCACCAGATCAATTTTATATGAAAGTTAAGAGAATTTGCCAGAAAGAAAAAGCTCTTTTTGAAGTAACCAATTCTAAGATGTTTATTGCTTTTTCTATTATTTTATTTTAATAAATATTTATTTGCATATTTCACAGAATTGGTTGTACAATACTAAAGTAGCCTCGCTAATAGGGGAATAAGTGTGTGTTCCAAAAATGTAACAAATAGTAGTTTGTATGATGCTAATTTGAACCCAATAGTGAAAGGAGATTACAGTAAGACAGCCAACCATAATCAGAATAGACCAGAACACTAATAAGATTTTGAATAGATTATGATGTACTAAATATAATTATTTCAAATTCTTAATTTTTATTTAACCAAATCCCATAATCTTGGATAATCTTTCTTTCCTTTCTTGACTTCAAAATCAACAACCACACCCATGGCTCTGTATCTATCTAATAAGGGATGAGTCTTTTCGTCATATTCCTTCATTCTTTATTCAATAACCTATGCGTTAATTCATTTATGTACTTCTTTCTTATCATCATCTCTAACCACTAATTTACCACCACAAGCATCACAGATTCCTTCCTTCTTTGGATTTAATGGCTCCATAACATAACCATCTCTATTGATGTCACACACATTGAAAGCTGTTCCACAACCAACACAAGTACGACGACTTACATATTTTTATTAAATAATACGCAGCTAATTTTTCAAGCAAAATATCTCCTCTTAAAGTCACATTAACAACCACATTTGTTGGTAAAATCTTTTCATACAAGTCCAATTATCTTAATGTTCTTGGGAATCCATCCAATATTACTCCCTTTGCAGACTCTGGCTCCTTTAACTTTTCTTACAAGATGTTCATCACAATCTCATCTGACACAAGACCACCCTTTGCTACGATGTCTTTAATTGTAGCGATTAATTTTGGATCAAATGATTTGGATGTATTGCCTTTCAAAATCTTACGAATTTCATCTCCTGTCGATATGTGGTTAAATTTAGTATCGTTGATCAATAACTTTGCAAATGTTCCTTTACCAACCTAATTTCATATTAATTCACTTTATTACTCCTGGTGCACCGAACAAAACAAGGAATTATTATCCTGGCTTAGCAACGCTAGCTGCATATCTTATCATGAGATTTTTCATATCCAATATATTAATTTAATGAAATAATCACTCTTTGCTCAGCGTATGAAGTTAAAAAAGGACATCCCATAATCAGATGAACAACTCTCCTTCCCTTAAACATTCAAAGTTGATCTCCCACCTCAACCCAATCGTGCCCAATTTCATGGCTTAAGTGAAAAAGAATATTAATAAATCGAAGAAGAAAATCTTAAAGCAATCAAAGAAATGAATCAAGAATAAGTCTTGGAATTACAAAAATAAATCAGAGAATCCTTGGGAGATAATTTATGCAAAATGTTTGAATCTGGTGACATCTACCAAATTAAACAATAAAAGCAAATGCAACTAGAAATTAACTAAAACATTACCAAAAATACAGAAATTTTTAGCAAACTTATTGATGAAGACTAAATCACAATATCCTAAATTCAAGAACTAATCAAATCCCCAGAAATGAGTAGTGTCAAAGTAGCACTCTAAAAAATTGAAAAAGTTATCAAACCCCAAAATGTTCTCCAATTGGAATCCATCAATCTCAGCGATTACCTAATCTCCGTTGGAAAATCAACTAACATTTCAGTATCCCTATTTTCATTTGATCTGCTTTATTCATATTGGACTAAGATCGTTCCCAATTGCTGGAATCCAATCTACAATTTAAAGGAAACCAAAGAAGTTGAAAATCTCTATGTTGACTTGCCTTAGATGGTTAATTAATTGTAGCATCATATTCCTTATTCAAAAGCCTTAGACCTCTTAAGAATTAGGAATATTCTATCCCAATCCAATTCTAAATACATAATCGAGCAACAATCAGTTGTAAACATTGATTGCAAACTTAAATCCATCATTTTGCTTTAATAATTTCAAGAATTACAACAAATTAACTTCATTTCATAAGAGTTTTCAGATTTTCTACTCTCAATTATATTCTATTATTTCAACTATCTACTTGATTCTTAATGTAATATAATCATTAGTGAATTATCAAAAGTTAAGAACTCAAACTTAAAAATAGCCATATTCTATCTCTATTAATCAAGATTTAGTTGCAAATTAATACACGAACCATTAATATTGGATATCAAGAAACCAGAAATTAATCAAGATATCTAAATTTATGAAATAGTCCCTTTTTAATCTGTCCTTGCACCACTATTCGATTCATTTAATTTGGCCATTTTTTCTGGTCAGGATATAGTAATCTGTCTGAAATAGATCGTTTCATTGATCTTTGATATAAGATATCTAGCAAAACAGATTATTTCAAGAAAGTAAAGAAAAGTCCATAAATGGAGTTTGTTGAATATTCTAAGAAATATCTTTTAAGAACAATTTAAAAATGAAGCGAATAAAAGAACATCTATAAAAGAAAATAATGAAAAGTATTAGCTTTTAGAATTGATCAGACAACAACTCAAAATCGAATTTCACTTAAAAGATGAAAAAGAATTAGTCTTTGAGGCCAGTTTATATACAGGGCTTTCCTAATTTTTGAGTTAGCATGAATATCAATTAGAAGTTGTTTAATAATATATTGATTGCTTTCATGATATTGATTTTGAAATAAAATCTGAATTTGTGCTCTTAAAACTATACAAATTATTAATATCGAATAATGAATTACCAACTGGATTAATAAACCTATACAAATATTTATTGGATAAAATAAATATTAAAGAATTAGGTGCACTACTAAATAAGAATGTCTCTTATTTTGAAAAATTACTCTAAAAATGTTAATATGATTCGTATTATAATTAAACACATGTGAACATCCTATTTTTGTTTATTAGTCCTCATTTTAATCCAGATTTTCACAACTTACTATTTTAAGAATTCCAATGTACACCTATATTGCAATATCTATCATCAGATATATATCTAAAACATTTAAATTACTTTACTGTAAAGCCAAATAAAGGATTAGAGATCTATAGATAAAATGTCTTGGATATAAGCAGTTAAAATGAATTTATACAAAAATGGTAGGCAGAAATAAGTTAATGGTGATGATATTTATGATAATGAAAATATATAACATGTCAATAATAAACTTTTATTTAATATAATATAACTTAAGTAACAAAGATATAATAGCACTTATATTTTTCTACATCCTTATAATGAAATATGCTACAAAATTGATTTTATAGAAAATATAGAAGAAATAAAAAATAATGAAAAATTGCATAATATTGAATTAAAGTCATGAAAAGCAGTCAAGGAATACATCACTTTCATCATTGGGTTCCTAGTATTTATTATAATTTCTATAGTTACCTCTTAGAATACATAAATGTTTCTTTCACTAATATATTGATAGTTTTTGCTTATAATTTCATGAACAAAATATTACTCATCCTAATATAATGAATTGATATTACATCATCATTTCCTACCCCAATCTAATCCTCTCCACACATAAAACCTGTAGGACTGATTTATTAATTTCTTTTATTAAGATGAACAATTGAGATTGATCAAGATCCCTCTAAATCAAACATCAATAGGAAATCATCTGAATTCGGATAGATGTAAAATGCCTTTTTTCTCAACATGAGCTTCCTCAACTCTGTCCTGAACTATACAATTAAACATTGGAATTCTTTCTCCTTATTAAATTCATTTCTCATCAACTTCTTCATACCATTAATCCCATTCTCTTATTTTTTAACAAATAATCGCAGGTTTACCAACGATTCCCCATAAACCCCAAAACATCTCCTGAATTCATTTTTCAGCATCCATCAATATAGGTTATATATTTGGGGCCTTTTCAAATTACTTCAAAAATTTAGTATAATCAAGGGCATATTGAATGAATCTATTTATAAAATATGAAATACTTCTCTGATTTGTTGCATTCTGGACCAATCCATAAATACAAATCATGTTCTGAAAGTACTAGAAAAACACCTCTGCTATCAAATGTTCTTAAAACCTTACCAGAATATAATTAATCCATAAGCATTCTACATACAATACTTTAAGGTCCACTCACCTCCTCTGCCAACTGCAAACACTCTTGGAGCGATAGGTATACTATCATACGAAGCTTATAATCTCTTTTAAAATAACAACAATTAGACTGTAAATCCCATATTAGGGGATGCTACACCCCTGTTTTTCTTAATAATATCAAATGCTTGAGAATAGGTAATTTATTAAGATATGATTAAATAAGCTATGCAAAGTGACACAGATCTTGATACGCCTTAGACACAATGAATCAACACTTTTCCATTATTCTTTTTGGCATTTTCAATGATGGCAATAACTTCATAGAATATACATTCAATATTTTCTGTCTTTGAATCTTTAAGATAATAAGTCTAATAAAAGAAATCATCGGGGAACTTATTTTTACATACATCTCCAGCACAATTGACTACATGAGTGACTCCAATTTATTTTAAGACCTCCTTATTATAAGCTATTTATTCACCTCCAACATAAAGGAAATTAGGAATTACAGATGAGCATTGCTCTGCAAAATGTTAAATTTTTAACTTTTTCCTATCTGTATCTCTGATATCAAAATTGAATCCATTTGAATCCTCTTATTCAATATCCTAATAAGTCGTATCATCTCGTTATAATTTCAGACTTGCTAGTGGTAATTTCATTGGTTTGACTTTTTCATTTTCATTGCACTCAACGCCTTCTACCAATGGTACTCCAATGCTGACTTCTTGGGAATGAGTTTTGCAATTCAAATCTAGTTTAGGAATATTAAGTGCAGGAACTTTGCTTTTTATTTGCGCAGGTAAATTAAATTAGAATGCATTATTAGTATTAGTGACTGGTTATTGTTATGGACTTATGTCTTCATACCTGTTATTTTCTCTGGAACGGCTGGATATTGGTTTTGGGCTTTCTTTAGACATAGAAGGAGAATCTTCATCTGAAATCTCATGTATTTTATTGTTAACTTCATTTGAATTTCTTCTAGGAAATGCTAATTCCTTGAATGGATCTTTTGGTTAGGCATCTCTACTAGTCAATGATTCTCTGAGATTCAATTTAGGTTTTTGAATTAACTTTGTTGGGTGTTTTGAATTTTAAATTTGTTCATCTTTCAAATCAACATGAATAAATTATTAAGCATATGCCTATGTATTTTATTTTTTTGCTAGAAAATCTGCCAATTTGGAGGAATTCTTTCTTCTTTTCAGGGATTGGAAACAGGAAGTTAAACAAATACACTGTTTCTCTAACTTAATTTTCTGTTTCAATGTTGGTCGTTGATGAAGTTTAGGCACTACTTTGTAATGTCAGGATGGATCCTTTGGACAACTTTTTATTTTTAATTATGCCACCACTAAAGAGGATTTCAAGTAATGGATCCTTTCCTCTATTTAATAAGTTTTCCAATTCAAAAGCATTTGATAAGGCTGATGCTTTAATTAAGGGATTTGCTGTTTTTCCATTCCATACAAAAATCATGTACTCGTAAATATTTGATGTTGATGGGTTTTATTATCTTTGGGGTAATAAAAATGATTCAAGATGACTTTCTGATGCTGCCACTGGTTCTTCTAATCCCCTGGGAGTTAAATTAGAATAGGATTCAACGACGCCCCACATTTGATGGGGAAAGTTTGTAAATTGATTGTACTCTATATTAATTATTCAATATTATACCTTCTTAAGCCTTTTTGTATATCAACAATACGAGATAGCATTCGGTTGAAAGAAAATTAAAACCGCTTGTTTAGATGGCACTTAAATTGATGGGTTCAGATCTAACTTTCTTTAATGGGTGCTTTTCCTCTTAAAATTTCCAAATCTGATAATTTTGAAAATATATATACTTTTAAGTGTTAGGTTATGCTTTCAGGAATGTTACTATCGAATTTAATCTTCTCCAATAATTTTGTATTAAGTTCCAAAATGTCCTCCAAATTTGAAACATGTTTATCAATACTCAATTTAGATCCCATAAATTATATATATATAATTAATATAATATTTTAGAATAATATTTTCAAATATCCTTCAACCTAAAAATAGATAATCTAACAGTAGAGTCCCAATATATTCAAATATTTCATTTCTCTAAATAAATTTTTATTTATAAATGATTACTATTCTATACTGTTTGATGTATTCCTAGTAACATCACTAGATGATTTGATGAAGTAGAATAAAAGATAGATATTGGTCTTTAATTAACAAAGATAATATTTCATTCTATAATTATGAGTGCACAAGGTTTAATTATATATGTAAAATAATGTAAAATGTTCATTGTTTATAATTGAAAATTTTAATCTAAATTCTACTTGTAGTTTAAAACAAAAATTGATAATTATATTAATTTCTTAATTTGTTATTAAACAATGATATGAAATCAGAATAGAAATTGTTTTTGATAAGAATCAGAATTGATTGAATCTAGATAGTTCCTCAAATATCACACTTGCATGTGATTACGATATATATTATGTGAAAACCGAATCTAAATGGACAAAATCTCTATTAACCATATTAAAGAAAGGAACATCAGAAAAAGTCTAAAAGGGTGATCTAAATTTAGATTTAATAAAACTTTCTCTTTCTGTAAATCAATTGTTTCAAAATAAGATGTGTATTGAAGTAGGTCTATTAAAAATCCCATTTGGATTAAGAATTTACTGTTGAATAATACAGGATTATTCCATATAATTTATGGTTATAAAATATAATTATTAAGAAAATCATTTATGAATCATTTGATTATGTTATTAACGATTCAAATTGTCAATACTTTCCAGTTTAATTTCTAAAAGGATTTTTTAGAGTTGGAAAGTTCAAAAGTTTTAGTTAGGTTTCTATTGGATGAGGAATTTCAGACCTCTATCTGAAAAACTAATGCTTTAAACAAAAAGAAGCTGAAGGTCGATGTTTCCTGTGTCCGATCATCAAAAGTAGGAGCTATCTTTATTCAGTGTCTATAATCTTAGAAGATATTTTATATTTATTTAATTTGTTCAAGAAAACTAAATGATTTTTATCTCTATATTCTGGGTACAACTTTTATCCTGACGATAAAGCATGAAACACACTTCCTAAACTATAAATATCAACTAATTCATTGTAATCTTATTAATTTAAAATCTCTGGAGCCATGTACCCAGGAGTACCACATCTCATTATGTTTTAATAACCAAATTCTACAGCAAATCCAAAATCGATGATTTTTACAGACTTTATATCATTTTCCTTTTCCAAAACAATATTATCCAGCTTTAGATCCCTGTGAATAATTCCTAACTTATGTAAGTGTTTCACCCCTTTCAATAACCTCTTCATGATACATTTTATCTCTGATTATTCAATTTAGTATTTTCTATTTAGTATGTAATTATATAGGGTTCCCCCCTCACAATACTTCATTATAAATATGATTTCATTTGATTCTTTATAAATTTCCTCTATTTCAAGAATACTTTTATGTTTTTATTATTTTAATTCAAAAAGTATATTAACCTCCTTTTCCAATTTCGACTTAAATAATTATTAAAAGCTTACTTATTAATTCATCTTTAAATTCACCTTTTTTACCAATTTTTCTTGACTTGTGGCTTTTTGAACATATTTTTATATCTAATCATTATACTTCTAAAAATAGTACTTCAGAATCCTCTTTTGAATGCAATGAACTAACAAACAGATAATCATTATTGAAGTCTGTGTACAGCACTTTACAATCCAGTAATTTCTTTAATTGCTTCATATCTTCTGCCTTGCCTCTGTAAGTTAAAGACTTTTAAGCACTCGAAAAACGACAATAATACGATACTTAAAACCCTTAAATTATTGTTTTACTATAATTTAGATTATGTGAAATACTTAAATATCCAACTAATCGTAGTTGAAAAAGAACTAAGGTCAATAGATCTACCCCTTTATTCCTGAACAGCATCATTAGTTGTCTAATCCTATTTTGTGCTGCTGATCACTATCTTTTTATCATACAAATAGAGAGTTCGCGAAAAATTATTTTTTGTGTTATTTACATCGCAGGTGTAAATAATATCTCGATTCATTCTGATTTAAAAATATAATTAAAACAATAAAGTAAACTAACTTGGTTGAAAAATCCTTACCAAATCTTTAACGATTACAAAATAATAATGCTAAATTTGCTTAACATAAAGAAAATTGTAATAATGAATTTTTTATAGTAATTTGTATTAAAATTATTTTAGCACATTCAGTCTTATTTTAACCTAATTGCTCTTTGCGGATTGATGTCTTTTTTAGGTTAGATCGTAATTCTGTAGAACTAAAAAAACTATGCAACTGAATTTTTTTCCAAATATACAGGGTTAAAAATTTTGAAAAGTTAACGAATTATTTTTGAATTTTAAATCAAAAAAGGTCAAAAAATCAAAAAGTAGGTTTCGTAAACTTGGTTTTTAAATAGGGGGGATTTTACAAGGATGAAAATTTAAAATGCATAAAATTTACATAATGTTTAAAGGATCAATAGTAATTTGCTGTTTTATTATTATTAATAAAAAACTAAAATTATATATATATATAAATTTTTTTCTTATTATGCTAGAAATACCAATTAAGTATAAATAAAATAATTGATTATGTCATTCCTTTAAAATTTAGGATTTATTGAGAATGTGAGCATCAAAAATTTTCAAAAATTAAAAAGTTTAAGTAATAAAGTTTAAAAAATCTATCTTATTATTTAATATAATTAATAAGTTTAAATAAATTCATCTTCCTTCCTTCTGAATCAATTAAGGAGGTGCTAAAATATGCAAAGGTTTCAATTCATTAAATTAATGGCAAATCTTCATTGACTGTAATTGATTATTTCTATTTATATCAAAAGATGTTGAATTCATTTAAAAATCTTAATTATGGCTATGAACTTTTAAATTGAGCTTTAACAAAGTCTTCAATTGTAATTTTTGTCTTGTTTTTATTCTTTCATTGAGTTTTTTCCCTATAGGTCATTATAAAGTTTAAAAATTTGTCACACATCAAAACTCAATACAATAGTCATCATTTTCAACTACCTTTTTCTAAATAACCAAGCCAAATTTTTAAAAAAGAAATCCAATTTTTCAAAGTTTATCATTTTTATAGAAATGAACTTGCAATTTTTTATTATAAATTTAAATTTAGAACATTAAATTTTTATTTAACGCATAAAGTGTGTAGTATAATTATGTTTATTAAGAAATTAAAATATATAAAATGAACATATAAAGAATTAATATGTTTTAACTAAGCAAAAATTTTTCTGTAAATTTAGAATAGAATTAATAGGAAGGTATTGAATAGAAAATAAATTTAAAAACATTAAAGGCAATCAATCTTCTTTAAACCTTTTTGCAATAGAGATGATTTATTGCCTTATAGATTTATTATAAATTTTAGGATATTTAGTATTGGTACTGAGATCGGAGGGATTTAAGTTTGATTGTTATAATTTATTGTAAATGTTATCTTACATGGCTTTTCTGATTGAATTAGAGGCCAAGGGTTCAAGAGTCGATTTAATGATGGTTCTATATTCTTTTGGGTTGAGGTCCTCCTTATCAACTTTTCTTGATATGTCTCCCAACGCTTCAAAGCCTTCGATGTAAACATCGCTATAAAATTGAGGTTCTGCTGACTTTGGATTAACGGTAGTGAGAAATCCTCTGTCAGTCTTCCATTTATCTTTGGAAGGAGTTTTCCAGGATGGAAAATAGACCATGATCATATCTTTAGCGGTATCGTCTATAACACTTTTATTATATGAATTTGCTTGGTTGGCTTGATCTTTCCTCAACTTGGGTCTGTTCTCATAGGACCATTAGGGACCTTCCAAAGATTGGTCTCTATCTCTTAATTTAATTTTGGGACATTCAGTGTACAATTCTCTAGGCAAATGGGACTGTGAGAAATCATCAACAATATATTGGATTCTGTGATTGTTGGATAGAAATCTATATAGAATGAGGAGTACAACTTGGAGAGTGTGATGGGTTTGGTGGTTTCTCTGGGTATTTTGGGAGTGGGGTAAAGTCCATTGAGTAAGCCTTGAATAGAGAGGAGAAATCATACAATTGGCAAAGGCAGGGTCGAGAGTTTGTAGAAAGTGTTGTCGACGATCATTAAACGAGTTGTCGAGTATGGGATTGTGTTTTTTTGTTGATTTTGGGTTTGAGAGAGAGACAGTTCTTTTCTTTTGTTGGAAGTAATTATTCATGAAAATAAAATAAAAATGCCATAAGAAAATTGTGTAGTTTGCGGGAAAAGATAAGATGGTTTATATGAATTGCTGCCTCATTTCAGATCAAGACAGTCTTGCAAGTACATACACAAGATGTGTCTGCTGTTATTTAGTTCTGATTGGAATCATCGAGTTGCTGCGAATGAGCGATTGTATTACAATGAATACCGGAAAGAGTGTTCAGTGTGTGGGAGGAGAAGCAAGCAATAGGTGGTTAGATGTGCACACAGGTATAAACTTTAATTATGAAATGCAGTTAATGTAGAAAAAGATTTCATTTGGAGTGCTTGAGGAATGCTGTAATTAAGGCGAATTCAAATACAAGGGATTATTATCCGAGACTGGACGCATATTGTTAAGAGCATTCTCTCGATTAAATTAAAACTAGTAATTTGGATGAGTGTGTAGAATCCATTTTTAATGAACATCTATCAAATTAGGAATAAGAACCTGGTTAGATTTAGAAGAAGAAACACAAAAAAAAGCATAAGAAGAAACGTTCTCGATCAAGATCAAGATCTCACAAGAAATCAGGACGTCGATCGAGTAGCTAATGCAGATTTAGTGATAGTTAAAGTTCGAAATCATCAAAATCGCAACCCAAAAATCACTCTCATCCAAAAAAAGACAGTTTGCTAGTTATACCTGAAAGCAAGATTACTGATTTCATGATATAAAAAGTCAAAATCCTAACACAAGGACCTTTGTTGGAAAAAGAGGAGTCTATTGTTGAACCTCTGCCCATTCTTCAGCCTATCCCCTAGCCCATTATTGTGCAGAAGGAGGTTGAAAAACAGAAGATTTATCCCCAAATTCAAAGGCCCATTGTTGAAGATCCTGAGTTCCCCTATACCGAAAGAGAAAACAAGAGAGATCAATCCATTCTGAAGTGGTGGGAAAAAATTGAGGAAATCTACTTCAAAGGGGAAGAGAAACTACCAATTACCAAAGTTGAAGAATTCCAGAATCCTTTCGAATGGTCGAATCAAGGAATGGATGAGGATTTGCTTAATTATGCCGATCAGATGAATATTGGTATTCACTCTCATACTCATTATCATTATTAGAGCCTATCATACAGTTGAGATTTCAATGTAGAGGAAGCATAAATGTTTTAATTAGATGTTCAAAAACTCAGTATTAGTACACTAATTGTAAAAATCTTTTAGTTTCATTCGATATAGTTTTACCGAGCATGTAGGCAAAGCAACACCCAAAGGATTGTTGAGGACCAATATACAATTGTATAGATATTTATAAGAAACAGTTGACATTCCTACATATTCTGATAAGGAAATAGTTGGCAAAGATCTAATTTATTTAGAGGGTTGCGAATTAACTAAATAGGAATATTAGGATTGCTTCGAATTAGAACAGCAAATTAAAGAGGTCTATTCTAAATTGGAATCTCAATTAGACATTGAAAGTGACACAATCCAATAATTCGATATTGTCTATCACATCTTGAATAAAGAACTCACCTCTGTAGTTAAATAAAACAATCAATTCCGAGAATAAATCAATTCCCAAATCACTGATTACAATTTCAAAATATTGAACACCGAATAACAACTATTGATTGATTTATTGAGGTGGTCTCAAATCGTCAAAGCCTTCATAAATGGATATAAAGACAAAAATGCAGATGTCTTAAACTCCTTCTTTCCTTGCCAATTAACATTGACATCCCAATCCTCCCAAAAAGCTTAGTAAAAGAAGAAGAAAATCCACTCTAAGGAAAATACTCAACCTTTAGATACAGACTGCAAAATCTGTTTTGATTACCATTACACAGATTTCAATCCTGTCATCTACTGCGGAAAGTGCTCCACATCCTTCCATAAGATTTGTTATGGTTTGACTGGATCCCTTGACGAAGATGATGTTATTTGTGATGGATGTTATTATGAGTCATCTAAGGTGTATTAATTCAGAAGAGGTATATTATACATAATTATAAGGTGCTGCAAAATGTAGAATCTGTAAAAAACTAGGATTGCCACAAAAGTACATAAGAAGCTCCTTTTATCACGTTTCTTGTTTGCTTTTAACCAACTAAGTCATTCTCTCAGATGGTGCCTATGATGTTAGAAATAGAAAGAATGATATCAAGCAATTTTGCAAAGATAACGAATCCAGTACTCCCCAATGTGCAGTTTGCGGAGATTCTAAAGGTTAAATATCAATTGAATCTCAGGATTTCGTTTTATGTGTTCTGGCGGAGAAACCATTCCGTGCAAGCATGCCTTCCATCCCATCTGTGCTTATCTACATGGCTTAACCATCGACATCGAAAGCGAGGATCTAGAACAGTGTTGCAAAGAACTAAGGTTTGCTCAGTTAAATGTGCATATCAAATGTGTCTTACATTGTAATAAAACATTGTAAGAACTCGTACAGTAGACTTACTACAGGTATTGATGAGTGATCTTATTTTACTAGGAGATTTGCACTGAATTATGAGCAAACAGCCAAATGTGGAGGTGAAGACGTGTTCATCGAAGAATTCAAGAAAACTAAAGGATATAAGTAAGATATTTAAGCAAACTCTTAAGATATCTCTCACTAAAGTTACCCATTTCAAGAAATGACAATTTATAATAATTTATTAATTAAAATGGTACACCAACCCAACAGATGTGAGTAGTATTTTCATTTTAAAATATTAAATATTGGATGAAGAAAGCTATAAACTATTCTTTAAAGCGTGATTTAAGTGGCTAATATTATTATTTAAAAGTAAGATATCATTTTTATTTCAAAATTCTTCAACTTGCTATAGACCTATCAACAAAATACATTTTAGCCAATTCCAATTTATAATTATGATTCATAAATGCCCAATCAATTTATGAATGATGATTATAACTTAGGAATTACTATAATTTAAATTTTAGAAAAATAAATAGACCCTTTATTTTTGATTAATATCATAAAATAATAATACAAATTGTAAAGAAAGTCTATTGAATTTGAGATAATTAATTTTACATGAAAATTGTAAAAAACCTTGTGTTATAAAAAGAATATTAAACTAATTTAGCTTTTTAAAGATAAAGAAATATTTTTTAAATTTCTACAGTAGAGGATAGAATCAAAAATTTTAATAACATTTATTATTAAAATAATCACTTAATTAATTTATTATTGACCCATCTGCCTTCAACAATCTTTTAGTTTTTAGTATGATATAAACCAAATCCATTTATATAATCCTTTAAAAATTGGCCACAAAACTTTTCGCCATTGGATAAATATAAAGTGCCTTGGCCTTCTTTGTTATCATCATTAAACTCTCCTTCGTATTTGGTCCAAAAACTAGATTAAAATGTTTGAATTACTCTTCAATATGATCAAAATCATGATAATTGAAAGGTTCATTTAATTAAGAAGTCACTTCGTTATATAATACTCCATAACCTTAGAATTTATCTTAATTCCACGATCCTTTATAAGCTGGATTACCATTTGAATAATATAAAGTGCCTATGATTGATAATGCATAATATAGATACCGTAGCCATGCATGTGATTAAACTGCCAATTTCCATCGTAATATCCTCCATCTTTGTAATAAAACATACCCTGTCCATGTCTCATCCCATTGAATTTATAACCATTATATTTGGAGCCATCTTGATACTATTCATTTACAAATATTTCCCCTTAAGAAGAGAACCCTGAAATATGAGGTTATGGCTATTATTAAGGTAGATCAAATGGGAGGGAAAATTGTTGTTGAGATTCTTTTACATTAATATCGCTGAGTTTTAATTAGAAATTCTTATTAACATGCTAATCAGTGTGATCCTATAGTGGCATATTTTAGGATCTATTGGTGTAATTGTCATTATTTTCATTTTCAATTTCATTATTATCTGTATTCTCATCAATTTTTGAAGGTTTAGAAATTTATTGAGAGTGCACTATTTATTACACAAAATCGCAACAATCAGGTGGATTAGGCAACACTACATCTTCTTACATTCTACTGGCCATGGTGGAATTTGTATTAGACTGTTCAGTAAGAATATCTCTGAGCGATGGTTTTTTTGCATTTGTATTAGATTTTGAACTTTTGATTTATTTCATAATGGGAAGAGTTGATTATTGGACATTGGATTGATGTTATGAATTTTATTGAATAGAACTTTATTATGATTGATCGAATGTATTAAATGATCTAAGTTAGTACTTAAAATTAGTAATAGATGCTGATTCTTAATATTTTTAGTCTAATAATTTTGATAAGACAATAAAATCAGGTCTTTAAGTTTCTTAGATTGATAACATAGATTGAATGACCTCAAATAATTAGGGTTGTACAAGAGTGTTTAATTGGTGTAATTTGGTTAGAAGCACTTCTTCGACCAAATACAATTGTTTATAACAATCATTCATTGGGGTCTTCAAGATACTCTATAGCATGCACATTCCAAGTATAAATACATCACTCTTGTATGGATTGTGGTGAGGTTGAAACTCCTTTTATCTTAGAGCCATGGTTTGTTGGGGTGATAGATAAAGATCGTTGAGTTTATTGTTTTGGAAGAGCTGTTAAAAATTGGTGGATTGCTCATAGAGGGAAGGATCACATATTTTAGGAGGTAAGTATAGGGTTTTTGATGAGATATGTTCATGCTATATGGATTTAGTTTATAAGTCTTCGAGTGCTCTAACATATCCAAACAAAACCGCCCAATAATCTTGGGGAGCCAATTATGTTGCAGATAATTAGGATGTAGGATGCTCTATCAATATGTATACTTTAAAAAACTGACTACACACCTATTGATCTTAGGTAGTGTAGATGTCAAGAATTTTGAGAATGTATTGATTTTGAATTAGTTATTGTTTATTTTCGAATTGCTTTTTGCTTTTCTTAAAAAGAGTCTCATCAGTGTATGTGTACTCTTTCAAAATAAGTTTGAGTTTGGGATTTGATTTATTAACTAGGACTGTGCAATCTCCAAATTCTAAATTAATTGATTGAAATACATTCATCTCTAGTTTTGGTTGGTTGATATTCAGAATACAACTGGGCTAGCTTAGTGGATTCTTAGCTATTATTATTTCCCATTCAAAATTAACGAATATTTAATAATAATGATTACAATTCTGAAGAATACTTTAATAATATATGTTGGCCTATTGGGTCTTAGCACAATCGGATCCCTCTTCATATGTTTGGATCAAGACTATCACCAACAGTGTCCATCACATGTGATTACTATACTATCAGATTTGTCTGTCATTCCAATTGTAAATGAAGCAAGAATGATGTTGATTCCGATGATCAAAGAATTACCCCCACAATGGATTACTGTGTTGATTTGGAGTTCATTAATGATGACAACAGCCTTAATTATATCAGTGATGTATTTAACAGCGTAAAGAATTTAAATTAATGTGTAGAAAGTTCACTTATAATGTTTTAATGAATTTAGTGAAATTTATTGTGATATTGATGTTGATATCACTCGTTTATGCCTGGTGGATGAATGCTTAAGATATTCCTTAAAAATTACAATATTATTTGAAGTACTTACAATTATTCTAATAATGAAACATAATATTTATATTTTAATGAGATCACTTTCTTAAGTTTGTATCACTGAAAATTCAGAAAACATCGAAAAGTATATCTTCAAACCAAAGAAAGTAATCACGTTGATCTCAGAATCACCTGCTCTCACCAAACGATACAGTCAATAGGCCATGGTTATTGCATAGGATTCGCCTCCAAAAAAACATAAAACTTGTAGCAGTGAGATTCCCTTGAGCAATGGAAAGATGTTCTTGAAGGATGGCAAGATCTCATTCCTGAAGCAAATGTTACCCAAACTGGAGTTACCTTAAGCAAAATGTAAATTTGACCCAAAAACTGAAATCCTCAAATGGATACAAACAAATAAGATTAATTCTCCTCAAAAAAAGAGAATCACCTTCAGGGCAATTAAAGAATCGAATGGTTAAAACAGAAAATCATAGATCTTTTGATTATATTTATGAATTAATGAACTACATTATTAGAGTGCATGGCAATCTCTCAATTTGTTTGTAGAACATTACAAGTGAACTGAGAAATTGCTTAAAACCTTATATTCATTAATAAATGTAAAGAGAAACAGTCTTTAAACTTGAGACCCATATCTTGCATCTCAGTGGTAGATATCAATAGAATGAATACAACAAATTGATTTTTAATTATTTTATATATAATTTTATTATTAAATGGATTATTACAAGATTTTTAGAAATTAATCGTGATGCTTCAGCCTCAGAAGTTGCCAAGGCTTATAATAAGCTTTCATTAAAATGGCATCCTAAATTGAGTAAGTTGGATCACAATACAACTTATCATCATTTTTGTCTAATTTCTGAAGCCTATGAAGTATTGTCTGATCGTAATAATACATAATCAAATTAGCAATCAAAAGAACATTTTATGATAAGTATGGAGAAGAGAAGTTGAAGGAAGGTTTCTTTGCTAATGGAAGTAAATAAGTTATTGATTTCCTTAGACCTCAAGGGCGGTTACAGTTTTGCAGGTAATCCTGAAGAAATATTTGAAAAGTTTTTCGGGACATCCAATCCTTTTGCTCAACTGATAGGTAATTATGAATACTCATTCATTTAGATACCAATGGATCAGAAAATCATGGCACTCTCTTTAGTCATGCATTTGGAGGACAGAATTTCCCAGGAATTCCAGGACCCTAAGATCTTGAAATCCAAGTAGAATGCACTCTACACGAATTGTACAACGGATGTGCCAAGACTGTTTCATATCAAAGACAAGTGCTGAATAAAGACGGCATCACAACTCGTCAAATTATGGAAACTAAGTATCCATTTCAAAATGATATCTCTTAGAGAAATCAAAATCGATCGTGGAATCGAGACTGGCTAAAAGATAGTCTATAAAGAGTTAGGCAATGAAGCTGCAGGATTTAAATCTTCAGATCTGATCTTCCAAATCAAAGAAACTCCTCATCCTACCTTCAAGAGAAAAGGAAATGACCTATTGTATATTGCAAAAGTTAAATTGGCCAATGCCATTGCTGCAGATCCCATATAGATTGTAACTTTGGACAATAGAAAATTATAAGTGCCTGTTGATTAAATCATAAGGTATTGGAAATGTGTATAATCATAGTCCAAAATATGTGAAGATGATTGAAAATGAAGGAATGCCAATCTTCCAATAGGATGAAGTCAAAGTATCAAATTTGGTATTATCTTTATAGGATTTTGGTAAACCATACACATTTGGAAATCTGTACATTAGATTTGACATCCAATTCCCAGAAGATCTAACTGAAAGTTAAAAAAATAGAATCAAAGACATTTTGTTGGAAGGTTAATAATGATTCATATTAATTATCATCATCATCATTATAAAAATTACTCTTTAAGATGTTGTTACTAATTTCACAAGAGTTTATTTAATTAATATTTTAGTATTATTTAAAAACAGATTATGTTTTAATAACGTCATCAAAAGTGGAGAAGTAACAGCATAGCAATCGATTAGCAATTGCCTCCCGTAAAACGATTTCGGACAGAAGAAACAGTTTTAGGAGTATTGAGTTATGGCGGATTTCGAATAAAAATTCACAGACGCAGCGTTGATAGTCTTAATATGATCAAACCTTGTTAATTGTAACCAATATAAAAAAATAAATTCAAACTAGAAAAAATTAAATAATAACCAAAATTACCTAAATTAATAAAGTTAAGATAGATTTAGAGTAGAGAATTCAGTCCTTGGTGAATAATTGTTTATAATTTTATTTATGATTTATATGATAACAACCATCCCTCTCTTATGGTAAATAAATAAAGGAAAGAATAGTAAGTCATAGCAATAATGACTTATTCTCTAAATTTATTATAATAATGTCAAATGTTAAGCTGAATCAAATAATAATTTTTAATTGTTCTATGTAGTAGGCTGCATTTTAGATCTTAAGAAACATTTAAATATCAATATTTTGAAATATAGGATGGGTTTCTGAAAAAACTAGAATATATTTATGAAATTCAATTATCGAATAAAATAAGATAATTGAATTTCTCAAATTGCATTTAAATTAGGGTAAGATCTTTATTAAGAAATTCAAACCTTTTTTTAAAATTACATTATGGGAAGTTAGATAATGAAAATAAGGCTTGAGATTCTTCAAGGCTGGGTAGTTTTAATCAAATATTTATCTTCCATTAGTTAATGATATAAAAATTCTGCTATAATTATTTAAATTTAAATATAAGAATTGTGCAAAAGATAAGAAGAATGCAGAACTAAATGAATGATCGATATTACAGTGAGAATATGATAAATCAGATGATCCAAAAGTTTAGTCATAAGCAGACCCCATTAATTTTTCAGTAGAAAATATAGAGAATATATCCCTGAACTCAAAAATAGTAAATGAAAAACCTATGTTCAGATCTAAATATTGAAGAAGAATATGATGATGATTTTGATGAAGATTAATAAGCGTGATAGTTATTGTTTATACTACATTTTAATTAAATTTGATACCAACCAAATAAAATTGAGTAACAATAAATTAAGAGTCATCATAATCAAGCACTTAAAATTTTAATTCTTAATAGAAGAGCGTAAAACTGATTTAAAATAATTATTTAATTGTAATAATAACTAAAATTTTTGACTATAATTTTTAGGAGTTTTAATAATTAAAATTATAAAATTAAGCAAACAAACATCTAATATTCAATACTCATCTAATGTGTCTTTTGTATCCAATTAAACCATATATCTGATCTTGACTTTAGTATCATCGTAAACAATATATTCATTATGTTGGAGATTTAAACGATGAATAAAATTTCCATTGGCATCTTTCTTCTATGGTGGTGGATAATCAATGCATTATCCAACAGGGACTTTGCATCCATTTGATAAAATAACTGATTACTTATAATCAGGTCCTCTTCTTCCACATCCTTTAACTGATTAATATTTTTCTAAAATGATTTATGATTAAAAATTACTATCTAAATTAGAAATGCTTTCAGCATTATATAGATTTTTTGATTTTCCTACAGCCACTTCACAGAGTAACATGTATCTGTACCTTTGGATTTCCTCTTATTCATCTTTCTAAACATTGGTTTACCTGTAGTATCCACTCTATTAGAATAGTCCATTATATTGATTGTAATGCAAAGACCAATCCTCAGTATAACCATACGATTTCTAGAACATATCAGCAAAATAGATGCCTTTTCCAAACATAGCCCCAGTGTTTAATGCCCAAGGTGGTGCAACTAGGAATATTAATGATAATGAATACCTTTCAGTCCTTAAGATAATATTCCCATAAAATTAGAAATCTTGGAACCATGCCATAAAAGCAATCTCTTGTATTCTTTATTATGCTCAAATCTTTCAGCGTCCCCTCTTCTCTCAACTGCAAATATATTTGAAATCTTTGCTTGATGTGATGCATTGATATATTAGACTATCAATTTAAATTCAGGATGCTCTTTTGGTAGAGTTACTACTCTAACATTAAGTGCATTGAAACAATAAGTTAATGGATTAATTGATTGCTTCATTAAATGAGCACCTAATAAGATTTTAGAAGTGGTTTCAAAGTTTAGCAAGGTTTCAATTAACAGTAATTTTTGATTTATTGCCTCTACTGAATCCAAAGGAGGAATGGGCTCTGTTCTTAATTCTGTTACTGGAATCAATTCATAAAATCTACTTGATTTATCACAAATCTCATTAAAGATGTTTTAAAACTTTTTAATATCAATATCACCTTTTTACCTAAGTAATTTTAGATCTTCAACACAATCTGTTAATTCATTCAAAATAGCCTTAGCAGCTTCCAATTACTTTCTATCTAGTCTTTCAATAGGCATAGAATCCAAATCAATATGGAATTATTACAAATCTTTATTATACAATTTAACTTAGACAAATTGCAACATGAATCTTTTGATTGCTTTCTCTAAATTGGATTATTGATAAGGACTTTTCTTGCTAAAATCAAATGGTGCAAGCAAAGTCTTGTAATTTTTTATGTTCTTGAAATTTATCAATTGATATTTTCCTGGCTTCTTTATAAATGGTTCTTCACCGGTTTAGACACTTCTCCAATTATTTCCTCCAGCCTTAGTGTGGAATATCTTATTAAACTCCTTTATCGCATCTTCAGCACTATCAAATGGGGTTAATTGATGTTATCCAGGTGTACCAATTCTTCCCCATTTGGTTAAGAGTATATAAACATTTCTATTAATTTCATGCAAGACTTGCATCCTATAAAATACATTCTCTGAATATATGCCATTTCCAATATCAACTTTAGTCATTAATAATGAATATGGACCAGATTCTTTATCAACCAGCACCTCAACCTTACCTGATTCTCTAGCTGAGGGATCCACTATTATTCGAGTGTCTTATTTTGAATCATCCAATTATTCTCCACTCTCATCTAGGAATTTCTGAGCATCAGCCTCTACATCGATCTCCTCCTCCACCCAATGAGCCTGAGAAATAACACTCGTAGGGAGTCTAGGTTACTTTTACTTCTTGCTCTCTACAGCATTTAATTTTTTAAGAGCCTCTGCCATAGTTCCTGAATCTTGATCATTAGCATAATCCAAAGGAGTCCTTCCATGATTATCAGGTTAATTGATGTCAAAGTACTTTGACAATAATTCCAACATCTAGATGTTTTCATATGATCCAAATTCAAGTGGCTAAACAACATAATGGATTGGTGTTCTATTTTATGAATCTTATGAATGCAGAGTCTTATCGAATTTGGGATGATTCATTATAAAACTGACTAATCTTATGGAGTTTATTTTAATGGATATCATTAATGAAGTTTCGCCAGAATCAGTCTTTTCATTGATATTGCATCCTGCATCAGTAAACTTATTTAGTGTAATTTCATCTTCCAAATGGTACTCTTAAATCAAATACAAAATAGTCGACATTTAATAATTTTTACCTTTAACTTTGAATTTGACATCTAAATTTGTATTCTTATCCCTCCATAATTATAATTCTGGTTCAGATGCCAACACTTTGTAATTCTCCTATAATCTAATAGAAAATGGAGTATTTTAAAGGTTGTTGTAAATGTTTGGATTGCAATTGTATTGTAATAAATATTAAATCATTACAAAAAAGTCGTATTGAGCAGCATAATGCAAAGGAGTATTATTTTAATCATCTTTGGCATTTCTATCCACTTGTCTATTTGCTAATTCATCAGCAATCATTAATGCAATTTCTTCTGTGCATTTTCTACCCTTGATGGAAAAGATATGGAAGAGATTTTATTTATTTTTATTTTGTTTCTACACAATTTTGTCATCCTTAACTTTCATCAATAATGTACGTACCAGCTTGAATTATTCTTCCATTATTGCATCCTCTATTGCTCTTTGTAAATCATAACCATCAGAAATCAACAAATAAGCAAGTCCTTACCACCCTTATTTGATTGCTAATTTAAAATATGAATAGGTTCCTACAGGGAATTTAGTTGACTGTAATAAATAGTATTTACTTTATTTTTATGGTTAATATTATTAATACTATTATTATTATTGCTATTAATATTAAAATTAATTTGTTTAAAATAGGCTTTATCCACTAAATAAGCCTTTTCCTGAAAAACCTGTACTATTAATAGCTTAAAAGCTTCTACCAAAGGCATTATTTTAATCAATTCCTTCATTAGATTAGTCTTTCTCATTTTATTCCTGCTCATCATCAGACAAAGGTTCATCACCTTCTTATTCGATTTCCTTCCCATTCTCAATTCTCTCCCTTCTCTTTTTCTTTTCTTCCTTTCTATACTTCTCATAGTCAATAATATTGGCATATCTATTTACATCTGCTTTGTTATCTATGAGCATTGTGCAGAAATTAGAGTGACCACACAAGAATGCCAAGGCTAATGGAGTATTGCCATATTTATCAGGAACATCTATAGGTGCTTTCATTTTAATCATGTATCTTCCAGATATTACACTTCCTCTCATGGCAGCATAATGAAGAGGAGATCTTTAATGTATATCAACACAATCAACTTCACAATTTTTATCAGCTATGATAGATGACACTGTTTCGAAAGGATCAATCTCTCTAAAATCATTATCATAAGTCATTTTTGTGAATGCATAAAAGAGAGGAGTTCTTTTGAAGACATCAAGGGCACTCGTGTTTGCTCCATTCTTTATTAATAGATGTTCCATCTCAAAACTAGCATCAGCCTAAGAATTTGATGAATTTATAGCGTGATGTAAGGCTGTTCTCTTCTATTTATCAGGGAAGTTGGGGTCAGCCTTAAATTTGGTCAAAAGGATCCCAACCACCTTCACATTATTTTATTTGACCCAAAATTATAATGGGACGACATCAGAATCATTCAAATTATTGAGACTTCCGCCATTGGCTATTAAAACTTAAAGGATTTCATCTAAAGTGTAATTGTATCTAATAGCTATTGAACTTGTTGGAGTATTTAATGTCTTGTCTTGTAAGTTGACATTAATCCTGCCAATTACATACTCCAAAAATGTTTTACTTTTTTCATCTCTTCTTCCGCAGATATAATTGGCACTGCATGTATTTGCAAAAAGATGAATTGGATAAATATTTTATAATGCTGTCTAATTCAAGGGTATAGGTTTGACTTTTTCGATTCCTTGTAAGAATGAGACACTGTGATATGATTTGAAAATGAAGTGAGCTACCGTATAGCATCCCTCATTAACATAAGGATTTCCTTCTTGTTCTTACTCTGTTTCTCTGAATTGCTTTCTCTTTATGATTGATGAATTCGAATCCGCTCCCATATTTATAAATAAGGAGTACAATTTAATTACAGTCTCTTATAAATTCAAAGCGTCTTGTTTGGCCTATCGATACAAGTCATCAACTTGTTCTTGATTTAAATAGACTATCACTGGTTTACTTTTATAATAGAATGTTTTTGGATGTAATTAATCCTTTGCTGGTACAAGATTCGCTTATGTTTATGGAGCTTTATTTATATAGGATAATATTCCCTATTAGACTTAGTTGTTATTTTGAAAATTATAGCCATCGTCATCATCTTCATCATCATCATCAACTTCATCAACCTTCTCATTCTTCTTCTATTCTTCATTAACTATTTATTTTGCTTATTTCACTCCTCCTTCTTCATTTTCTTATTCTTCCTCCTAATCAAGCTTTTTTTATTTCTCTTCATTCTAAATTTATAATTATAACAGCCTTTCTTTGTTGATTCTTTCTTCTTCTTCTATCACTACTTTTAGCTTCTCCTCATATAATTTTTCTTACAACTTTGAGACTTTCTTACTGAAACTTTAATTATATAATGCATCTGCCTAACTTGTATACTCAGATATTAGATAAAGCAGGGGATTCCAACCATTTTCATCATATTAATTAACATATGTAGGATCGACAGTAGCAAGTATATTTTCCAACATTGTAAAACCTTTCACATTCAAATATAATTTGCATTCAATTAGCTTATGCAAAATATTTCGATCTTTTTTGTCAACATAGTTAACTATTGGATTAGACAATTTCATTAGTAATTCTGAAACCTTGAAATTCTAGTTCATAAAGGATAGAATGAATGGTGTAAATCCATTTGCATCTTAAGCATTTACATCTGAACCTGCATTAATCAAGAGTTCAATCATTTAATGGACTAAACTTTCATAATTATTTTTGATATTTCTTCTTTCTGTTTTAGTTAGGTCATTCCATTTAGAATAGTATTATTTTGCATCCTTTCTGGAGAGCAATACAGCATAATGTAATGGTGTCTTGTCTTATAGATCTGCAATCTTGACATCAGCATTCTTTTCCAAAATCAGATATTTCATATACTCAAAAGTATCCTCAGTAAATTTGCTTAGACTTGAAGAAATTAATGTTCTGCCTTCGTCATCCTTACAGTTAACATCAGTAGAGGGATAACTCAGCAACTATTTAACAATACCTAAATGATTTTTCTATAAAGCTACTGATAAGGGAGTCAATTTCCAGGAATTTGGGAGATTTTAATCAGCTCCAACTTTCATTAATTCAGTTATACACTCTGGAAAACCATATGCGGCTGCGTAATGTAGAGGAGTATTTTTAGAGCTGTCTGGTGAATCGTATTCAGCTCCATGACAAAGCAATAAGGAAAGAATCTTAACATTACCATTTCTGGCAGCCAAAACCAATGAAGACCTTCCATATTTATCCTTAGCCAACACTTTAGCTCCTTTGTCAATTAAGTACTTAGCTAGATCGAAATGACCATATGCACAGGCAATATTCAATGGAGTCATTTTGTTTTGTCCTGTTAAATTGATTTTTGATCCATTTTTTAGAAGAACCTTTACAGTTTCCAAATGTCCTCCTTTGCATGCAACATGTATAGCTGCATTTCCATCTCTATTTTTTCCATCTACAAAATTAGAAGCCAGAAGTTAGACATTATGTGTACGACCAAATTAGGCTGCCAAAATCAAAGGAGTGTTCTTACTTCTATCTCCTTCTCTTACATCTATATTGTTCTCCATTAGATATTTTAAGCAGGCTGATGTCTAAGATACTGCTGCATAATGGATGGGTTTTCTATGTATTTCATCCAAAATATTGTATTCCTAAGAAATATCTAATAATTTCTAAAGACATGTATGACTTGGGTTTATGGCTGCACAATGAATCGGAGTAATTAAATAGTCACCTCCTGTTTTCTTTGTCGCTGAAGGTTTTTTGATACTGCCTATGCGACTTCCACTAGTATAATTCAAGACGTCCACGTGAACTTAATTAAATCCATACATATGTCCTTTATCCATTGCCATTTGAACCAAATAACCAGCTGTCGCCCAATTTCCACTTCTGACTGCCATAGCAACCATACTATAATATTCATGTTCACCACCCAATTAGGCCATCATTAAACCAAAGAATTCTGGATCACTTTCAATTCTCATCAATCTTTGAATTTAAGTCTCAGTTAAACTATCCTCCTAATTCAAATCGTAAACAAAAGCATTATTTCCTTCTCTTCCTCCTCTACTTAAGGCAACCTTTCTAGTTCTAGCACCATAAGCATATTAATCATTATATCCTGTTTAGATTTCCTTGAGTGAGCATCTGGGAGCATAACCAAGTCTTACTTTATTTATGGCTTTTATAAATTAAAGTAACATAGCTCTATCTTACCTTTTAAATATGATTTCAATAGCATTCACGTCGTTTTCAGGAGCCCATTTTTAAAAGAGATTACTAATCTTTATTGAATGAGTAAAGATATCTTCCAATAATTTAACATTTCCTGTATTAGCAGCTCGAATCAACTCCTTATTATTCATCAGAGTACTAGAATAATCAGTAAATTTAGAAGATGTTCCTTCAAATTGTTCATTAATTTCCTTTATCTCTCTGTAATCTGTGATTAATTTTTCCCTTAATAAATTTGGGTGGTTGAGCAGGTTAAGATTTGGATTTCTTTTCACTTGCCTTAGTTTTCTTTTTCTTTTCCTCAACAGATTAAGATTAAAGTTAATTATCTTCAACTTTATCATTTTCTCCATTATCTAACCTTCTCTGAGCTCTACTTCTCCTTGCTTGAATTGGAGATAATTCTAGTTTATCCCTTCTAGAGGAGGGTTGCTATCTTGAGACTCTTTTCTTTTTTTAATCTTACTCACTTTCATCTCCATAACTCTCTTCACTTTCCTCCATCCTTACTTACTTCCCTCCTTTTTGATTACTCTTAACCTATTTTGGGGTCGGCTTCTTTAATGATGTCTATTTTTTTGGTGGTTCCTCTTCTGAAGATTCCTCAAAACTCTCATCTGATTCATCCTTTTTTTTCTTATTATTCTTAACTTCCTTTTTTTGAGTCTCTACCTTAACGACTTGTTTGGTTCCCTACTTAATGATGCACTTTTTAGGGGGTTCTTCATCTTCACTTTCACTTCCAGAGCTCACCTATTTCTTTTACTTATGGCTATTGGCGGGAATTTGTCTAATGCTCTTTGCTATCTCTTATAAGGTATCATGAGAGAATACAAAGGAATTCACAGTCGATTTACTCTTTGGATTTGGTTTTGTGGATTTTACCTCAACATCTTCAACAATTTATCTAAAATAATTATATATTTTACGTTCTCTCCTTCACAGGTAGCAAAGCTTCCTATGATTCTTTGTAGACTACTTTACCATCCTTCTGCTTCTCTTACTACTCCAGTCTTACAACCTTTAATTATGATTTATGATCATTTGTTTATAGATCTTCTACTACCTTATAGAAGACCGGCTTTCCTTTTTCGTTTTACCCTAGAATCTGATCCTTCTTGAATTGATATGCGAAGTTTTGTTCTGGTTTTTATCCTCGAGTTTTCATTTATCTTAATTATGATATTCAATTAAAAAAATCTGATGGATTTATGACTAATTTTTATGAGGTTTAATAATTATAATAAATTAATTCATAAATTTATATTCCATATAACATCTTAATTTATCTATATTCACGAACATTCTATTGAAAATAGGGTGATGTTCTCCATAACCAAAATTCTATAAATTATATTCATTCATGTCTCCTATTTAATGGAAAGAGATATATCTAAAAAGAAAATCCGATCAATCATTTAAAATAAGAAAAATCTAAGTTCTGTATTATATTTATTAGTTATCCATAAATAGTTTCTCTTCTTTTAGATGGATTAAAATCAGGTTGTTTTTCCAATATTTTAATCTAAATCTTTAATTTTAATCAAATTAATATAAAAATATTATCAAAAATTAATTCATATATATTATCTAAATTCTTGAAGGGTTAGCAATCTATTATGTTATTTCTAAGGTCTTTTGATTGGTTAAAGATACATTTTGACATTAGTTTTGAATTTTCTTGGAGATTAAGCCATAGTCGTTGTCATTGTTGCTGGTGTTCTAGGAGTCAATACTTTTTAAAAGTCACTTGGGAGAAATGGAATCGAACGGCATTTATCAAGAATTTTTCTGTGATTGGAAAATTTTCTCATTTCGTCAACCACAATCTATTGTTATTTTATTAAAAAAGAGTCAAAAAAGCTAGACTTGCTTTTATTTTTGTTTGCACAAATTTATGTAGGCACATCTTCCAGATGCTCAAACGAATTTATAATGAAATCATTACGAGGATCGTTATTATCGTCTAAATGTATGCTCTTCATATTCAAATATTGTGGATATAATTTTTCATGTTGTTTTTTTTAAGTTCTCTAATATTTATTTGCCAAAGCTTCCTATTCTTTTATTTATTACATTATGAAAACACCTTCCTTCATTGAATCTCTTTGAAAATTGGTTTCTTTTCCACATTCTTAGCAATCGCAACTCTTTCTCTACTATCTTTCTTTCACTTCTATATATTTTTATGAGTATTTAGTATTGGTTACTAAAGACTCTCTTTTTTATGGAGATTATTCTCTTGATTGAAGTTCCTCTATGGTTTCTTTTCGAGATGGATGGAGGTTTTTTGGTATAGATTCATATCTATTCAAAAATCTTTAATTGTGAGGCAAACTGAAGCTTCGTTTGATTCTCTTAGTATGCACATTTCTCAACAACACATTCTTCATTTATGTTTATTTCTTTCTCTCAATTCGCTCGGTTAGAGGTTAAAAGTGAACTTATAAATAAGGTTTTCTTTATTTAATATTTTGCATAATTATATTTAATCACTTATACAAATAATCACTCTAATGCAACACATGAAATACTCACAAAAGATTTTCAACAAAAACATCTTACATCTCCATTAAAATTATATTAAGTCTAAGAAAATGAACAAACAAGCAGGGTTGATATGAGAGCGCCTTAACTCTTCAATAAACAGTAATAATATGTAAAATTGCAAATATATCACCCTGGGTTTATTGATTCTTCTAATGGAAGATATTTTTCTAATATCTTCCCAAAATATTTAGCATTATTTATATAAATGAAAATCATATTCAATAGTTTCATTATGAGGAAAATCATTCTTTATGTATTGTAATTTCAATTGGAACCACATTATTCTATGTAAAATCTTTAGAGTTCTCATATCAAAATGTATTTTTAAGGTAGTTTGTTTGCAAGATTTTTTACATCTTACACAAGTTACCTTAGAAATCTTTCATACTTTTTTGAACTTCTGAAGAAGCAATGTTACCTTATTCTGTGAAACTTGACACAATTATTTTTTGATTTTGTTTATATACAAAAATGGATAGTACTCATTGATTAGCAGAATTTATGATACAATTCATTTCTAGAATTGAAAAATATTGAAATTATCCATCCTAAACTGAAGTATGAAAAACTGTTAATATAGGAGAATAAATGAACAATAAATATCTAAAATAAATCATATTATTTTTTAAAGTAAAAAATATTTTGAAATATGAATAGGTTTAAGATAAAAACCCATCAATTTTATAGGAAGAGTGAGATTGATATTGATTATCTGATGGCTACATTACCTGATTGTGTAAAAATTGTAAGTTCAGAAGAAGAAGAGATGAATGACATAATTAAATTAGAATTTGATAGAGTCAATTGTATTGCTTTAAGCGAATTCATTTCATATAGTGTATTTCATATAGAATTACATATTAGGAAACTATTATTTTTAGATTGTAACACGGATAAGTATTTACACTTATTGAAAAATTGATATTTCTAATAGAAAAACTAAATTATGAAAATGGAAAAATCAATTAATATCACATTTGGTTAATATTCAATTAAGAAAATAACCAAAAATTAGAACTATTTAAACGATCTATTTTAGACTATAAATTATTTTATTCTTTTCCTCTATTAAACAAAAATAAAGAAGATAAAATCTAAATTATTGAACTAATTACTTAAATTTTCAAATTTTGTCAAGATATTCCGTAAGCTTTTCATTTTTTTGAATCAAACAAACCTTACAAAATTTATGAAAAAGAACTTTAATAAGGATTTCAATAATTTAAATACAAATTTATTGATTATTGCCAAAATATAAAAAATATTGATTAAAAAACTTAAGTTGATCTAAATATTGACGTATCTGATGAGTTGGTACAAAATCCAGATGATTTAAAGAAGGTTGATCAGTTCATTCAATTTTATGTTAAATAAATACATGACTTAACACCTTTAGAAGCAATTTTAATAGAGTTATTCAAATAATATCAATTAGAAAAAGGGCTTTTCTCTTTATGTATGCATAAAAAATAAAATGTTTCAAATTATAAATTTGATGATTTGAAAAGAATCTTTGAATTTAAATAAGAATAATAATTGATTAATTTAATATAAGAAACCTTTGAAAGCTTGAATCAAACATAAGATGTACTAAAGAATTCTATTAAATATGAAGAATATCCATTAAATTCATAAGAATTTGAAGATTTATATGAATCTGCTGCTATTATCTATTTTAAACATTAAGGCTATTTTAATTCTTTTGATTTACTTATTTAAATTGTAGAACAAATTAACAAAAAACAACTCATTTTTGAAAATAAGTTCTTTTATATAATAAAGCCTATTATTTCTCAACACTACTATTCTATTATGGAGTTATGCTGTCTAAATTACGCCAATGACTTAACATGATATATAATATAGATTATTTTTTCTATTTTTCATGTCTTACATTTTTGGTTTGGCTATATTTTTTCATTTACATTCAAAAGAAATAAATTAAACTACAGGAGCTCGCTTCCTTTAATTAGTGCTTTCAAAATAATTTAACAAAATTATGTATTGTATCTGATGAAACACAAAAGTATATTTATCCAAAAACATTTTTTAATTCAAATCGATTAATTAGAATAAACATTTTGTGATTTCTAATTATAGACTTTACTATCTAAGATGAATACATTAGTTATTTCAAATATTCAATTTTTTCATTAGTTTTAATAAGTTATATCAATATTAAAATAATTAAGTTTTTGTATTATCGTTCTAATGCTTTTGATTAATATTAATATAATAATAGTTTATGAAGATCTATAAATCATTTGCATTTGATTAAAATATTCCCTAGTCAGATTATGAGAAATATATAAATCCTGACGATCTGTTAAATGAGAGTTTCGAGGAATTAAAGGGAGAGTTCAAAAATTATAGAACAAAAAAGGGAAGAGACATTATTAAACAAGAGATGGAAATGAGAAAATAATCGCAAATGAAAAGTATCATTATTGAATAATTGTAGGGAAAAAAAATTAATCTGGGTTGGTTGTCTAACAGAAAAAACATGAAGATCACGATAATTAAAAAGATGTGCTCGGAAATATTGGTTTCCTGATTCGGTAGTAAGAGAGGAAGTGCAAATAAATTAAAAAGGAAGTGCAATCGCGTACATAATTGAATATAGACATGCAGCAAACTTTGGTTAGGATTATACAATGATGAAACAGAAAATCCAGTAATTTATTTATGGGGACAATTTAGGAAGACAGATGTGACAAAATAACCAATATTCAGTTAAGAAGACTTTGCTAAGTTGATTCAAAGGGAGGATGAGGATGAGTTGATTTAAACATAAATAAGGACTATGCATAAACCTAGAGAGTTTAATTATTTATCATAATTTAGGTGTTTTAAGACTAGATTTATTGAGAAGCAAATACCATTGTATAAAAATATGGAGTAGTCTTCTGAAATTGATTCAAAAAAATAGGTGGATAGCAAAATATTAACAAAATCAAATAAAACTATCAAACAGTAAATATTTAATCAAAAAATACTAGATTTGGTCTTTAATAATCTCGAGAATCCCCTTCAAATGCAATGTTTGATGGGGAGGCTAAACGTATCTCGAAATCGTATCTCTATAAGACTTGGTTTAAAGGAGAGGATATGTAAAACAAGAAATACAAAAAGCCAAGAAGAACAGAATCATATCATAAGGCGGCTGCATAAAGAGAGGAAATAAAAAGCCAGTTAAAAGAAAGAGCATAGGTTGCATTCAAACGGTATGAAAGTATGGGAAAGAGTATTATATTTATTAAAACCTTAAGCATGGGAAAAATTTGGGGTATTTTCATAGGATATTCTGGATTTTAGAATGTAGACTTTAAAGGAGGCTAAAATCTAAAGATTGTATTTATTTAATAATAAATAAAGATTACTTGAGCAATAGGAGCACGATCTTAATAAAGTCGAATAGAATGAGTAATTAATTAATCTATTTTAAAAGACAGAGAGAATCTGACATGCTCACTCGATTAGTGAAGGTGATCACTAAACCTAATTCCGATAACAAAGAAGAAGTCAAAACAAACTTTGAGTATCACGAACAAAGACTGAAGGATATGAGAACGAGGACTAGATAAATTTAGAGAGCTGGATTTTGAATAATTATATTTATAAATTAATGCTATAGCGATAAAAACATGAACTAAAGGAATAATTTTAGGATAGAAAGAAAATATATGAATTAGTGTGTAAGAAGAATGCAGATAGAGCGATAGTAATGAGCAATATTTATGTTAATATTAAATATATGGGGAACAAGTATTCAAAAGAATTAGAAGACGAGTTGAATTAATATATAGCATAGTTATGAAAATTTGAGATATAAATTAAATCTTTTTTTTTTAAAAAGTATTATGATTCATCTAGGTGGGTCACCTTAATGGAGAGGTGAAAACATACAACTTAGCAGACTAGAGTACTGCAGCTGAATTAATGAACGTTTTGAACTCTGAATTAGCATGTCAAGTTCAATTGGTTTAATCTGGAGAATTAGTCAATGCATCCTCAATTTTGGCAGGAGAAAGAATCTACTATGTCACCGTTGACGCAGAAGGAGGTAAGAAAAAGAAGAAAAAGAAGAAGAACTTTGCCAAGCCCAAAAAGAAGAAGCACCGACACCGAAAAGTTAAGTTGGCTACCCTTAAATTATACAACGTTGATAATAAGGGTGTCGTCCAAAGATCTCATAAATAATGTCCTTAATGCCCATAAGGTGTTTACATGGCCAAGCATTTTGATAGACATTATTGTGGTACATGCCATTAAACTTTCAGAATGGACGAAGCAACAGTAATCATAAAAACTATATTTTAAGATTAAAGCCAACTTAGAAGCAATCAAAAAATAATAAGCTGCCAAAGCTGCTGCCGCTGCTGCTGCTGCTCCAGCTGCTGGTGCAGACAAAGGCGCTGCTGGAGGAAAAAAAGGCAAGAAGAAGTGAAACATATCATCTAGTATATTAATAAAGAATTTAATAAATTAATAAAATCTCAAAATATTTATCCTGATTAGAAATAATTAGGTACCTTCTTTTTTATACTAAATTATGAAATTATTATATTTTTGAGTATTTAATTTATTGGATGGTGCTTGTCCACTTAATTATTTTAAAATTAAAAAATTCGATTAAATACACTAAATCATAAATTTAAATAAGGAATGAGCTATATTTTGCAAGAGAGAATTAGAATTTTAATATAATGAATTTAATAAATTAATGTTAATAATCAAATATTTCATGCATATGTTATTCAATTTTAGTTGGATATGCTATTATCATTACGCTTATAGCTGGTAAAGCTCTCATTAGATTGATGAAATCTTCAACTAGTAATTAAGAATTAAATCCAATGATATTATGCATAGTATAATCTCTTTTACATGTTATTTAATATGCAGTGACCGAAAGTAATACCTTATAAATAATTACCCTCTATTTTTAAATACTTATTTTCACTTCAATTTCCTAATTATTTGCAAAATTATGCTTTTAGGTTAAAAGTGGAACTCTTATTTTGAGAAACTTTAAAATGTTTAAGATTCTGCAATATATTTTTTATGGAATAATTTTGATTTTTCAAATATTTGCGTTAGTTTTGTCTAGCTAAGATTCATGTGATAAGTAATGTTATCTTAATATCTAGATATTATTATTTAAGTATAATTTTAATTATTGTTTAGCAGATTACATCAACCATAGTTACAACTTATTTTGGCTTTAATTTACTCTAAAAGCTTAAAAGAGTCAGCTAATTTATATAGTGTAAGACGATGAATCCAAAAGCGTAAAAAATTAATAAAGTTTAGTGTCTATGATTCTTTTGCTAACATGTCTTTGTGCAATTCCAGAGCTACAATTATAGAACCAAGAGAATTGATTTAGACAAGAAAGCAAATTACTATAGTTATTGTTTTGATGCTAATCACAATACTACTCTATATATCATTTATTTTAATTGCTATACTAATATTCAAAAAAGTGACTTGTGAACATTAAATAGATATAAATTATTAGAATTATTTGATAGTAATTTATGGATTAATTTAAATGACTCCTTGTTTGGTCATCCCTTACGCATTTGGCTTTATTCCGTAAGTCTAGGCTTAAGGAGATTATAATGATTGCCTAATCATTTTAGATTAGTCGTAAGCAAAATCAAAAGATTCTATTCAGATTTGAAATTACATAAAATATGTAACTAAGAGATTTAAGTGAAAGATAGAGTCTTAATATATAAATTATAAATAAATTCATAACAATATTAATATTAGTAAGTTAAGATTAAAATAAAAAAATTATAATGAATAAAGTTTAATCTTCTTTTATCATATTAATATTGTAAAAATATTGAAATAGGCGATTTTTAAATAATATTTAATAAATTCAAATTAATTCAGATATCAATTCTAAAACTTATAACTCCATAATTGAATAGTAGTATTCAGAAATAATAGGCTTTATAATATAAAAGAACTTATTTTCAAAAATGAGTTGTTTTTTGTTAATTTGTTCTACAATTTGAATGAATAAATCAAAAGAATTAAATTATCCTTAATGTTTAAAATAGATAATAGCAGCAGATTCATATAAATCTTTTAATTCATATGAATTTAATGGATATTCTTCATATTTAATAGAATTCTTTAATATATCTTATGTTTGATTCAAGCTTTCAAAGGTTTCTTATATTAAATTAATCAATTATTATTCTTATTTAAATTCAAAGATTTTCTTCAACTCATCTAATTTATAATTTGAAACATTTTATTTTTTATGCATACCTAAAGATAGGAACCCTTTTTCTAATTGATATTATTTGAATAACTCTGTTAAAATAGCTTCTAAAGATGTTAAATCATGTTTTTATTTAATATAAAATTGAATGAACTGATCAACCTTCTTTAAATCATCTGGATTTTGTACCAACTCATCAGATACGTCAATATTTAGATCAACTTAAGTTTTTTAATCAATATTTTTTATATTTTGGCAATAATCAATAAATTTGTATTTAAATTATTGAAATCCTTATTAAAGTTCTTTTTCATAAATTTTGTAAGGTTTGTTTGATTCAAAAAAATGAAAAGCTTACGGAATATCTTGACAAAATTTGAAAATTTAAGTAATTAGTTCAATAATTTAGATTTTATCTTCTTTATTTTTGTTTAATAGAGGAAAAGAATAAAATAATTTATAGTCTAAAATAGATCGTTTAAATAGTTCTAATTTTTGGTTATTTTCTTAATTGAATATTAACCAAATGTGATATTAATTGATTTTTCCATTTTCATAATTTAGTTTTTCTATTAGAAATATCAATTTTTCAATAAGTGTAAATACTTATCCGTGTTACAATCTAAAAATAATAGTTTCCTAATATGTAATTCTATATGAAATACACTATATGAAATGAATTCGCTTAAAGGAAAACAATTGACTCTATCAAATTCTAATTTAATTATGTCATTCCTCTCTTCTTCTTCTGAACTTACAATTTTTACACCATCAGGTAATGTAGCCATCAGATAATCAATATCAATCTCACTCTTCCTATAAAATTGATGGGTTTTTATCTTAAACCTATTCATATTTCAAAATATTTTTATGAAATTATTTCTATTAAAAAAAATAAAATCGGAATAAAGGATACAATTATGAATCAAGTCTTACCAATATTACCCTCATAAATTAATAATACTATATTGAAAAGGATGCCTAATAATGAATTACTTTTAGAGTATCAAATTCAATAAAATACTGATTGTAAAGATGCATTTGAATGGGATCTTAATGCATCTTAAATACATCAAACTGCATTAGCATAAATAGTTTCTGTTGATTTTAGGATAGGGACTATAACATTAAGCTATGAAAAATAATAGTTACTTAATGCAGCAATAAGAAATAATAATTAGCTCAATTAATTATATATTCTATTCCAATTATTGGAGACATGTTATGAATTACATAAGAGATTTTTATTAGGAAGATGCTTATCTACATCAGCAATAGAGATAGATCCAAATTCTAAGATAAAGATTTATAGATATGGATTTAGTCATAATTTAATGAATAAGGATGAACTAATACAATTAGCTCCTGAAACTATATTCGAGGATAAGGTCTAAATCAGTAGTGATATCTGGCTTATAGGGATGATTCTCTACGAATTAACTTTTAAGAAACCGATTTCCTAATTCAAGTATCCAGATTAATTATCTCAATATAAAAATTTCATAAGAACTTCCATGCAGAATAATACGTTTGAAAATTTATATAGCAATTTTGTAGATCCTAAAATTTCGGTAATTTTGTAATTACTTTTAATTTTTGATGCTGAAGCTAGAGTAGAATCATATTAAGCAGTAATTCTTAACTTGAAAGAGTATTTTAATATATGATATTCTAGTTTGTTACCTCAACACAAAGCAAAATTAGATGAAATATTGAGATTCTATGAAAATGATATAACTCACATATCTATAAAGATTAATTCAAAAAGTGAGCAAAGAGACCCTCCAAATAGAACAAGATAAAAAAATGTCAAATCAAAATCACTTGATAAAAAATAAATATACTATGAGAATTTGCTTCATGCTAGTAGAAGAATCATTAATAAAAAAGAATTAAAATATGCTTACACTCAAAATGTTTAATAAATTGAGTCAATTTATAAATTACAAATAGTGCATAAAGAAAATTAAATCTAATAAAACATTAATTTATGCTAAAATGTCAACTTTCAGCTTTATTAAATCTCATTTTTAATTAATTTAAGATAACTAATTGCTTCTTTAACAAACGGAACAGAACTTATGATTTTAGATAAATATTTATTTGTAAAAATTGAGTAAATAATCGATTTACTAATAAATAATATTAAAAACATTAAAAGCATATTATTTACATCAGAATTAAATCATATTTAGAATTTATTAGGCTAAATAAAAAATAATTATTCAGATATAAGCAAAATTTCTGATCGCCTCCCTGCAAAATTTTTAAAGACTACGTTACAAAATTAAATATAATAATTCTTATAAGTTCTTCAAAATAATAACCTAACTCAAAAAATTGCTGCATAAATTAGTTTAAGATTGTTAATTGCTTAGAATATTGAATATTATTTAGCTGACAAATAATCTGTTAATTTATTTTTCTTTCCAATGAAATTCTATCTGGGTTTGAGTGAAATTACAGAGCCTTAAGAAATTGAAAGATATCTACAAAGATCTACAATCAGCTAATAAATTTACTTGCAAAATCTCCTAATGAAGTATAAGTAATAGCAGTAAATTTAATGATTTAGCAGTATTATCAATATATTCAATAAAGTATTATTTATAATAATTTATTTTTTTTATTCTAGTTCTAAACTATGATACTTGGCTTTGTTTTAATCATTATAAAAGGATATTAAGCTATAATTAACGATAATTTTATAGGATTTATTTGAAGATATTTGAGTTAATTCATGGTCAATTTGTTTTCTATTCTCAAAAGCATAAATGAAATTAATTAATTATTAAAATTAAAATTTTTAATAATTGCTATCATTAATTATAAGGAAATGGTTGAAGTTGACGAGCGTTTTAAGAAATTTATGAATTTGATTAATAGAAAATATTAATTTATAAGTATTATGAAAGATGTATCTATTTAAAAAAAATTAAATGAATCATAAAAGCAGAAAATTACGATAGAATTTGACATGGGAAAACAAAGGATAGCGTTTATGAGTAGTTATTCAAGAATTAAAAATTAAAAATCATGTTTATAAATGAACTTAAAGGATACGATTAAGTAAAAATTCAATAATTAGAAAACCAATATAACAAATAAATGCAATTTAATAGTAAAACTAAAATTGATATTTGAACTAACTTTTAGATCTAGAGATTTTTCAATTCATCAATAAAATTTCTAAATCTATATAAGCTGAGGAACATCAGGAGAATCATTTAAAATTAATTTAAATTGAAAAAGTAATTCTGATGATATGATTTATATTCAGACAGAAGACTTTGTTTAAAGTAAGAACAACATTAGGCAGAAAAGAATTTTTTTGATTCAATTATTTCAAATTTGATGGTAGATATTAAAAGATAATAAAAATGATTTTTTATTTTAAAATGAAAAAGAAGTAAATTTAAATAAATTTATTAACTTTATTAATTTACAAATCTGAAGCAGGTAATGTAACTAATAAATTAAAGAAAGTTAACTTTAAAATGAATTTTTGAGAAGGACTGTGGATGGTTTTCCCCTCTAAATATGTAGATTGAATTAATATATATAAATATAATTTTCCCCTAAATATATACAAAAAAGGAAGATACAGAAAATAATTTTCTTTACGGTTAGATGGCAGTTGTGATGGTAAGGCCAGCGAACTTACCTAAAAGAGAAATTAAAAAAAATTTAAAGAATTTTAACCAGGTGAATTTAATTGTCAATATAATAAATTTATAGAAAAACGCACAGTTTTTTTCTGCTTTATTTCTTAAATGAGATGTTAAGGATTAAATTCATTATTATGAGTTAATAATTTTAAGTGAAAGGCACCAAAGCAACATATATAATTTATGATAAGGTCCTTGGAAAAGGAGCTTACGGGGTTGTTTTATTAGCATAGGCTGTAAATTCTGTTAACTAGTTTGCTGCAAAAATTGTAAAAAGTGAATTTTCATTATTTAAGATAAGCAAAAAATCACTCAGTCTAACTGATATAGTGAATTTGAGGAATGAAATAAATATACAATCAAAGTTATCTCATCCTAATATTGTTTCGATGGTCGATGCTTTTGAAGATAACGAATACTTATATATGTTACTCGAATATTGCAATGGAGGATGTTTATTCACCAATATCCAGCTAAGCGGGCCATTAAGAGAGGAAAAGGCTTATAAATACTTTGTCCAAATAGTATAAGCTGTTCAATATTTACATTCAAAGAATGTTCTTCATAGAGATATCAAAGTAACCTGATATATTTAACTTAGTTATCCAACCTACTTTTAACCCATGAAGATCAGATTAAATTGGCGGATTTTACATGGAGCACATCTATTTCGATGGGTTACGTGGCACCTTAAATTTGTGGTACACTAGAATATATGCCCCCAGAAGTGATAAAAAATGGTTTTTAAAATGAAAAATTAGATATTTGGAGTTTGGGAATAGTCCTCTATGTATTTAAATCTTTTTATCTTTTAAGGAAATGCTTCATAATGATCTTCCTAAAAATGGATAATTTTTTATCAAACATGGAATTAGCGAAGAATGCAAATAACTAATGAAATAGATGTTAGAAGTGGAAACCTACAAAAGACCTTCGACTTCAGACTTGCTTTCTAGTTCATGGATCAAAAAATTTTAGAGAAATAACGGATTAACAATAAACACTTGTAGAAGTCTTTCTGGAATTACAGACAAATTAGGATCTCCTCAAAAGACTACTTTATTGGGATCTCCAATGGGATCTCCATTGAGGACTGCCTTTGGTTCGCCCTTTGGATCGCCTATGACATCACCTTTAAATTCTCCATTGGGCAAATGCACATTCGGGTCGAAACACGTGCCAACTGAGCCAGTCTCAAAATAGAGGGTTAGCACTCATAAACTTTGCTGAGTTTTAACTTTATATCTTTCTATACAAAAATATCAATCATTCATAATGCCAAATTCACCACTATGCACAAGTATTAAAAAACTTATTTTTTTTTATAAACTAATTGAATTAATACTACTATGTCATTACAGTTTTTCTTTCTCTAAAAAATTATTATGTTCTATATCTATTGTAAATCATATAAAAATGAGTTACTTCAAGACAGTCTTCTTCAAGTTTCTTAGTTCATCTATCAAAGAATCGAAAATTAATGTTAGTCATTAAAATTGAAGACCTTATTTCTAAATTAAATTTTAATACATTTCTATAAATGTTGACTTCTTTGAGATTTATTAGAAGTTGAAGTTAATGATTGAATCAAGTTTTAAATAAATCTAATCGATGAGTTTCTCAAATATACCCATCTTAGTTAATTCATTTTAATTAGGTTAGGTATTGGATCTGTTGCTTATGATAATTCCTCCGATAATTCCTTGTTGATTTAGTAATCCTTTACAATTATCTTCTAATTTGTAACTCTAAGATTAAGAATGATTTGTATACCTTATAATCTCATCTTATTATTAAAATAAACAACATCTATTTTTAGTGTAATTAAATATTGAATTAATTTCAATGTTAATCAATAAAAGTAAAAACAATTAATTATAAATAATACTATGATTAAAAAATTACCTTAAGAAGTAATTAATAAAATTGCAGCAGGGGAAGTAGTTTAAAGACCCTATTCAGTTGTAAAAGAAATGGTTGAAAATTCAATAGATGCCCATGCATAAAACATCACCATTTATTTAAATAATGCAGGATTAGATCTAATCAGAATTATTGATAATGGAGATGGAATTATGAAGGAAGACTATGAATTATTATGTGAAAGATATGCTACAAGTAAGATTCGAGCTGCTGAAGATTTGTTTCAATTATTCTCATTTGGATTCAGAGGAGAGGCCCTGGCTTCAATTTCATTTGTTTCTGAAATGACAGTGATCTCTAAAAGAAAAGATCAAGTTTTAGGATATAAAGGCACATACAATAGTTAGAAACTGTTGAGTATGAGTCCTATCGGATGCTCAGATGGCACAGAAATTTAAATAGCGTAATTATTTTATAATTTGGAAAAAAGGAGGTAAGCTTTGAATAAATCAGAAGAGAAAAAATCAATATTGCAATTAATTTAGAGCTTGAGTCTTCATCACTCTTAAGTTTAGTTCAAATTATTTTATGAGAATAAATGTGAGTTCTCATCTTTCAGTAGATTGGATACAATTTCATCTATTATGAAGATTAACTAAACATGCATTTAAGAGAAATCATTTAGTTCTGATATATATAAATATGAATCTCATCTGATATTTACAAAATTGAGTTCTGTTAAATATAAGAGGGAATTATGTCTATTCATAAATGACAGATTTGTCGATTGCGATACTCTAAAAAAGAAAATCACTCAGGCCTATTAGGATTGCTACTTGTGCTTAAGAGTCGAAGATGGAGGATACTATGTTTATTTGAGCATAAAATTATAGCCAAAGGACATAGATCCAAATGTTCATCCAAATAAAAAAATAGTAAGGTTCTTGAATGAGGATGAAATTAGTACTGAAATATCAGAAAAATTAAAATAGGAGTTATCTCCATAATAAACAGTGAAATTAGTACAGACTGTGCTTTTCTAACCAAAGTCTTAGGAGGAGCAGAAAAAGAATAGTTTTAGCTTCAAGTAATCACTTTAGAATCAGCAACTATATTAAAAAGAAAAGGTCAGGATTGATCCAAAGACGTAGACCTTATTATAGTAATTTGCAAAAAAATCACAGGCCTAATTGTCTTAGAGTTTACACAGCATGATACCAAATACATAATCCTAAAAAATTGAAGAAGAAAGCAATTCAATAATAGATGAAAGTATAAATATAAAACACGAGAACCCAAAATTGGATGATGAATTAAGCAAAAATGAAAGTGTTAAAATAATTTAAACAAATTAAGGATCTAAAATTTAAGAAGAAAAACAGCAAATATAGGTTTCTAGAACACAACGCTTTAAACTTTCTGTTGAATCTTAATTAGAATTATTTAATATTTTATAGAAAAAGCATCATAAAGAAACTTAAGAATTTTATAAGAATATCTCCTTTGTTGGATTATTATAAGATTAACAACAATTACTAATTTAAAATGATACTAAACTCTGTCTAATTAATATAATTCCGATGATATTTAATATGGTTATTGTTTAAATAATGCAAGGAGAATTACCGGAAGGAGTCCTATTAATAGAGAGATAACCAGATTCTTTATTAAGAATAATTTGTTTAAATTCATAAGAATATTTTTTGCAGATTAATGATAATGATATTGAGACCACTATTTAGTTGGCTGAATACCTGTCTTTATTAAATTACAGTAATGAATTCGTCAGAGATTTTGTACTGCCTTTTTTCAAAAAGTACAGTGTTGCAGTAATATAAAATGATGTTCAGGTAGTGCTAAGATTGGAGGATTTATATAAATATTTTGAAAGGTGCTGAGATTGAGTATTTTTACTACATGTTAATTTATATTGAAATATTTTATATATATAATTTTAGAAGATATGTTCATGTTAATATGTTTAATTTAATTTTGATAATCATTAATTAGATTAAATATTGAGAATACAATGTAAATGGGAAACAATGTTTTTGTTTTTACTTAACAAGATTTCTAAAAATGTTTCGTAGTCAACTTAAACCCTCCTTTGGGTTAAGGACATGATGCAAGAGTCTATTTGGCTATGCACAAAAAGACAGGTGAAATGTTTGCTTTGAAAGTCTTGACCAATCTGTCACAAGATCATATCATAAATCTCTAGGTTTTTTTACATGTTATTTAGCGAACGAAATACAAATACTTAAACGCATTGATAATCCAGGAACAGTACTATTGAAGGGACATTCTGAAGATTATACTTGTGTTCTTTTGGAGTACATGCCAAATGACACATTTTTAAAGATATTAAAAAAGGGACCTTTCCCATTCCCTTTAGCAAAGACTCTGTCAGGCTATCTAATTAAAGTCTTAGGAACTCTTCATACTGCTGGGATTGCTCATTGTGACATAAAGCCAGAAAACATTTTGATTGCCGCTGATTATAATCTCAAATTGTGTGATTTTGGATTTGCAAGACTCTCAAATTCAAATTTAAGGCCTGCTGGAGGTACTCCTGGATACACGGCCCCAGAATTATACATCAATGAAACAATGAATCTATTTAAATGTGATATATTTGCTTTGGGAGTCGTATTGTTTATAATAGCGATGGGTTTCCCCCCATTTTAAACAAATGATCCCAATGCGAGAGATGGATGGTGGGCCTTAATCTATAACAAATAGTATGATTTATTCTGGAGTAAATGCGAAAGTTTTAGATAACAACAATTTCCAATCGAATTTAAGACTTTGATAATGTCGATGTTAGAAAGCGACCCAAATAAGAGGATATCGTTGGATAAATTGTTAGAGCATGAATTCTTGATGGGTGGAGCTACTGAGGAAGAAGTATTGGTGGAGATCGAGAAAAGAGTGAAGGAATAATTATGATTATTATTAGAAACATATTAAATAACAATTTATTCTAAATTATGATTCATATTTGTAATTGTATTTTAAAATTACATTCTAATTTTGTATTCAGTTTTTATGTGTGTATATAAATAATACCTCTCAATTTTTCGAGGGAACTTAAAAATCTAAGGGTTAACTCTTGGAGAATTTCCACTCATTGTATGATTGTTCAATTAGTTATAATCTATCTATGAATAAGTGCATCACTAAGATTAACACATTATTATTAATTTATTATCTATGCAAAGGCCTCTCAAACCAATCACCATATCTTAACCCATAATTCAAAGAATCGAAAGCACAAGATCAGATTGCTCTACTGATGACGATCTTAGTTATATTGAAATATTGAGAGCCGAAGCTCAAAATCCTATGATAAAGAACTTCTCGGGAATTGAGTGCCTTGCTGATGACATACATGATTTAGAAGAATTCCTTAATTCTCTTGATTGAAACCACTGATTACAAGGGAAATGCAATTTATGACATGGACCTTGGTATTGACTGATTATAATACATAAAACTTTTAATCAAAAACATTCTTCAAAATCTTACTTACGACCTCCTACTGACAAGTCCTTGGTAATGACAAACACCTAATTATCCTATTGCCCTTGATTATAAAATAAAAAGGAAAAGCTCCCCCTTATTTTAGAATGTAAACTTTTGTAATTTGTACAAATTTCAAATATATAGAATCCAAAGAATGCATGCATCTAATCATCTAATCCTCTTGATTCATAATTGTGAACTTTTAGAATTTTTATAGGTTCTCTATATATTATCATAAATGGATATATATTGAATAAGGTATATGCATCAGTGATTTTATAATTTAGAACAACAATCAAATGAAGTTATTACAACATTAGTGGGATCGTTTGATGTTAAGATTGCAATAATTAACATTTATAGACTTGTAGAAATGTGAAATATCTGAATTTTAATATTTCTAGAGTATTCTAAACTATTATAATTTTTATAATTTAAATTAACCATTTAAATATCAGATCAATAATTTAAACGACATTTTTATGTCTATTTAAGAAGACCAAAATATTAGTTATTATAACCATCCAGTTAATTGGTAAATACTTAAAATATAAAATGATCAGTCTGAATAATCATCATCCACTAATGACAAGGTCTGATTAGTTTTGTTTAAGTTCTCCTACTTAACAGTAATATTTTCGTTATCTTCTTCTTTGAGTATGGCAACCTTCTCTCCTTCTTTCTCACAGCAGATCAACTTTTTGATATACTTTAGTTTCACTACTTATGGCACTTATTTTGGTTACGATTGAACAACAACTTACTTTAAATGCTGAGTAACACTATGCATAGTTTTATCTCTTAATATTAATATATTAATTTACTCGTTTTCATTGACATCGGATAATCTCTTAACTTTAAATTATTCTTTATATTCTTTTGATTTTTCCCATTCCTCTTATAATTCCAGGGCATCTAAATCATAAAACAGTTATTTAAGCAACATGTCAGGAGTAAATTAGGTTTATCTTCTATTGAGTTGGTGAGTGTCATCAATGGCATCCATGATGTCCATTTCTTTTTTTGAATCATGGGTTTTATTCTCTAAGAATTTCATGGAATCGCCTTGTTCTTCATTGGCTCTCATTTATTTTAGTACTTCTTCGGCTGCCTTGGCATCTCTGTAGGGATCATAGTTTCTGGTTCCTCCTCCTTCAACTATGTAATCATGATTTCGAGGATCAGTTTTAAAAGTTATTTCAGCATAGCAATAGCTAATGGATATATTTAATTTTGTACGTGCATTTAAAGTAGAATCGATGAATCAGAATACCTAGATAGTTTTCTGTCCATACTGTCTCCTTTCTCATATTGAATTTAGTTCCAATGTAGAGATAATTCCCACAATGGTTGCATTTGACAGTCATGGGAAGCATATTTCTGACATTATCCTATTTACCCTTTGGACGATGATTGTTTGGTAGTAACTTAGGATCGAAATCAGGTGGATAATATTTAACTAGAACTTTTCTTTCTGCCATTAAATAATAATTTTAATGATAGAGATCTAAAAAATTATTAAGTCAACCCCAGGGGATAATTCGAATAAGACCGCCTAGAATAAATTCAACCATTCAACTAAGCCTAATAATAATTCAGAAGTGCAAAAGGACTTTCTAAAATTGTAAGCAATTCTTGAATCAAAACCTAAATCTGATAAAACTTCGAAATCTAATCCACCTCCTAAGGCGTAGTAACAAAAAATTCCCGAATTAAAGACCAAAGAGCATAATGGGCATAAACAAAATAATAATGTGATAACTAAAAAACATGATGAATAGAAAAAATAAACAAATGAGCTTGTTGTTAAGCAAAAGGAGAATGAAAAAGTCAAATCAAAACATGAGATATCCAAATTTGAAAATATTTAGAAGCAAATTAAAACCAACCCTCAATAAATACCAAATTAGAAAAAAGAGAAGGAATCTTCTTATTAGCCTTTAAAAATACATAAGCCCTTGATCAAAGAAAAGGTTGCTTCAAAAGATGAAGAGGAAATAAATGAGAATGGAAATTAGATTGTAATCTAAAAGAAAAATCAGCAAAACAATGAGAAGCAGGAATCGACAAAAAAGACTCACTCAGAAATCCCAAAGTAAGCAGCGCCTTAAAGTTTAGGAGGACCGTCGAATTAGTCAACATAATAATAATTACCTAAGAAGGATCTTGGAGATCTCAAGTTAATGCAATTATTATAAAATTCATCCAAAACCAATACAAAAAAGAAGAGCAAAAGTAAAGATTAGCAAGAGCAAGGAAAATCGAAGGATTTAAAGCATCAAAGTCAATAACCAAATTAATCTTTGAAAAAGGATAAAATCAAGGATTTGTAAAATCAAAAATCAAAGCCTTTTCCAATTAAACCGTAAATCAAAGACTTAAGCATTTAGAAGATCAATAAACAAAAGAACTTAGTTAATGATGATTATGATTTGAATGATTCTTTTATTAATGATTCGGAAAGTGTAGATGTGGAGATAGATCCTAATGAAATAGTCAGCGAATTAAAAAAGTTGCAAAGGTAATTCTTGAATTTAAATGTTTAGAAAAAAGGAGGGAAGAAAGTAGAGCGATTTTGATGATGATATTGAAGAGGCGGGATTTGACATCATGTAGAAAGAGGAAAAGAAATCTAGAGTCTTGGGAATAATAGATGACTATAGAGAGGAGAAGTACATAAAGAAGGAGATAAAAAAGGAGAAAAAACACAAGAAAAAGTTGTTGGAAATGAAAAATAAATAAGAAAACAAAAAGACTGATGAGTAATGATTTAAATCTATAATTTTATCATATAAAAACAAATAAATTGAATACTGATTTTTAAACAATGATAAATATAATAAAAAATTGTTCATTTAGTTATTGCTTTTATGATATCCATTGTAAATTCAGGTTCAGGTTTTCTACTTACAACTTTAGGAGAACTAAAGATGTCATCGTCATCTCTTTCTTCAAATGACATGACATAAACATGAGTTTGATTTCTATAGAAATGAATAGAATTATTACTATTGATTGAAAATCATGTTTCCCTTGTGTCCTCCAATAATCCACAATTCATTTCCACTTCCCATGGTATCGGCAGCACAATAACATCTTGGAATGGGTATGGTTCCATGTATTTTAGGTTTAGTCCTAAGATTGAATTAATTCAAATTTTACCAAACCAAAGTATCTGGATTGAAATGATAGAGATCGCCGAGAATATCACTTGAATGCTCACCTCTTCCTCCATAGATGAACAAGTGGCCCCCCAAAGCACTTCCTAAATGTCCATGTCTGGAAGAAGGGGGTTCTCCCTTCATAACTGGAGTCAAATTGGCCCAACTGGCTTCTTTTGAGAAATCCAGAATCCACAAATCATTAAAATTGGGAGTGTAATGTCCTTCAGGAAGGGACTGTCCTCCAAAGATGTAGAGTTTGTCTTTGATTTGAGTGGCAGAATGGGCAGATCTTGGGGGAGGCTTGAGTGCATGCTCATCTAGATCATAACTATTTGTTAGGTTGAAATAAATACTGAGTCCACATCATGGTGGTTAGATCAAGACAATAAATATCATTGTAAGTCTTCTGCACTTCAAGGTCGTGACTACAATAGTATCCACCAAAGTAGATTAATGATTGGTAGTTGGAAAGCAAAGTCAAAGAGGCTTTTTCTCTTGGAGAGGGGAGCTATCCTTTGGGTTTGCTTTGGATCCAAGTTTTTGAGGTTGTGTTGTAGACATAATAATCATCAAAGACTTTGTCTGAATTGAGTCCGCCATAGTAGATTATTTTATTGCCATATTTAATTGCACTAATTTTGGAGGATAGATTACTTATGGAATGCTCTTGGATCAGGGATGGGTCCTTTGGTGTCCTCTACTACTCTAAGTTCTTTTGTTCTGGGATTGAGGATGTGAAGATCATTTTTGAAGTTATGGCCTGTTCCTCGACCACCAAAAATGTAGAATTCATTTCCAATGCCAGTCATAGTTAAGCCATGGATTCTTTCGTATTTCTTTTGGATTTAGTATTGAGTGAAGTAGACATTGTCATAGTTTTGGGGGTGATAATGGAGTTATTTTCGATTGACATGAAGGATATTATTTTTGGATTAGAAATTGTTATCGACTGTGGGCAGAGTTTCATCATAGACATATTATCCTGCAATGAGAAATTTGTACTGATATGAACCAGGGGCCAGATGTAAATACGCGTAATTGATGTACTTCTTTGCGAAACCCAAAAACTTTCTATTCAATTTGATTGGTTGCTTCCATTCATCCCAAGAGCCCATCACAAACATCTCATTCCAGTCCAAGTAGGTGCGTACCTTTACTTTCATTAAGTCTTGCTAAGATTCATAAGAGTCTCTGTACTTTATAGTTTTATCTAAACTGAACATCTTCATCTGAGTTTGGCTCCTGATCATCAGAACTATCCACTTGAATCAACTTCCTTGGTACGACTTCCAACTATATTAATAGGGGTTTCTTCATACCCAATTATTATGAGTCCCGAAATTATTGTAAATTACATCTGCATTGGGATCATGTTTCCAAACCCCATCAACATTGAACTTGTATTAATGGTAACCTGGAGGTAAGGGCGGATTGATTTCGGCTTGTAAGAAACTAGAAATAGCATAGAAGGAAGTACTAAGGAGGCTACTTGGATTTCACCATTGGGTACCCAACTTGGAAGTGACTCCAGGACCCATATAAGGTAACGAGATTTCCTTCGTATTTCCATTCAATCACAGTTGAGTTTACTGCACATTCTTGATCTTCGTGACGATTGCCACATTGTTTGCAATAATTTGATAGCATATTAAATTATTGCGAAGGGATTTAAATGAACTCACTAATATAATAGATAAATGATTTTTTATGTGCATAATTAAAATATCGAATTGTTGTGTATTATAGAAAGTTAGATTAAAATATAAATCGAAATAGTTATTCTATTGTGTCCCATTTAGTATGCAATTAATTTTAATGGTATCAATAATTAGATTAATAAATAGTCGATCAATTATCAGAAATAATTAGAATGAATATTTAATTTAAATTGCCCATAATAGCGCGTATTTATTTATCCTAAAAAAGAAAGTGAGGGTAATTTTGAAATTCAATAAATAAAATGGATAAGAAGTTTATAATTGTCTCCCTGGAAGGAAATGTTGGTGCAGGCAAATCAACCTTATTTGAGATTTTGAGATAGGAATTCCCAAAGGCCATCTTCCTAATGGAGCCTTTGGAATAGTGGTAAAAGGTGCACGGTAACCCCAACCTAAACATCCTGGAGAAGTACTACTCAGACATTCAACGTTGGGGTTTCACTTTTTAAATTTATGCCTACCAATCTAGATTAATGGCTTGGGACAGACAATTAAGAGCAGTAGCCAAAGAGCAAAAATTGCAACAAATTGATAATCAATTTTCTTCTCCATCCACAAACGCTGATGATGAACCCATCCTTGTGTTTACAGAGAGAAGCATTGAGAGTGCTAGAGAATTATTTTTCAAATTGTGTTACAATGATGGAACAATTAATGATCTTGAATATCACATATACGAAGAGTTTTATGAGTGGCTAATGGAACACTACAAGTAATATTTGGTGGATTGTGTCATTTATGTTAACACTCCTCCTGAAACATGTTTGGAACGTTTAACTCGTAGAGGCAGACAAGAGGAGGCCTGTGTGCCACTTGATTACTTGAAGAAGTTACATTAAAGACATGAGGATTGGCTCTCTGATAACAATAATAAATTCAAAATCATCAATATTGATGCTACCAAAAATTATGTTAAGGATTTAGATATTAAAGAGGCTGTTCGCAGATAATTAATTGATGAAATATCTACTTTGATTGATTGATTGATTGATTGATAAATATACTAATTATCAAACATTTTTTTATTTAAATTTGCATGAAGAAAATTATTTAAGAGAACTTATCTCCTGAAGAAGCAAAAACTCTCTGGAAATATCTTGATGATGCATGTTATCTCATTGCTGAACATCAAAGTATAAATTAATAGATTGAGGTTTATAGCCAAGCAACTATCCTTCTAAGAATTGTATAATCATGCCTACAAATTGATTCTCAATAAGTTTGGAGATTTCGCCTATACTCAACTACAAGTTTCTATTCATAACATTGTGGATAAACTCATCCATCCCCTCAACATTAGCAATGATGATTAATTATTGAATGACTTCGTTAAGGCCTACGAAGAGGTTCAATATTTTAGCAAATTATTGGCTGGCATTCTACTTTACATGGTAAATCCCCCTTATTTATGCAATAGGAAAAATCATATATAATTTAAAAATCTCTAAAGACTATCAAAATCATTTGCAATGAAAGTTTTAAAACTAAATGTTTTGAGAAAGACCAAAATCTAGCTTCAAAATTACTCAATTGTTTTCTTGCTCAAATTCGCAATCATCGAAATTCTCAAGTTATCGAACTTTTTAATTTAAAAAATGCATTATAAATACTTGTAATAATTTTCACATTACTCTAGATTGACATCAATCAAGAACAACAGATTAAGAGCAAGGACTACAGTTACACTATTGAATATAGAAACAATGATGACTTCTATAAGTACTTTCTAGAACGCAAACTTATTTAAGATTCTACCCGCTATTTCAAAGAAGAAAGCCAATTAAATCTAAATAAAATGACTATTGAAGAATACATCCTTTTTGTCGAGAAAAGATATTAGAATGAAGTCGAAAGAGTCTAAAGTTGTATACCTAAAATTTCCCACTAAAAGGTTTTGGATAGTTTCATCAAAAATTATATCACCTCCAATTCGTAATACATATCTTAAGGACTCTAAGATTTTATTGAAAATGATAAGACTACTATTTTCATTAAGATTTTTTAATTATTTGTCAAAAGTGAAGAATTTGATCAGTTTATTAAAACATTGACTTAAATTATCATAGACGATTTATAATTACTCAATCAGAATGATAATACTCTATAAGGATTCATCAAATTATATGAGAAGATATTCTCTATGTATGATAAAATTGCTTAATTTGGAAACAATTAGCATTAATATAAATTTCACAAAGCCATAAAAGGTATTTTTCATAATTTAAATATTATTAGATGCTTTTGAGTAGGTCATTAATAAAGACAATTTTATTATGTTCGAATTGAATAAATATTTTGATTATATAATGAGAATGGAGTCCTTGAGAGATGACGAAAAGAGAGTATAAATAGAAAAGGGATTTTTGATATTTAAATTAGTGTAATCGAAGGATGAATTTGAATAGATATATAGAAGACATCTATGTGTTAGACTTTTAGATTAAGCATCCAGTTCTTCCGAAGTAGAACATGATTTACTTAAGAAACTTAAATTGGAATGTGGCTCTGTCTTGACTCATAAGATGGAAACCATGTTTAGTGATTTATAGAGAAGCAATGAGGAAAGTTAAAAGTTCAGACAAAAATTGTCATAAAGTTAAAGAGAATTGATAGACTTAGATGTATTAGTTCTTACATCTGAATAATGGCCAATAGCTGATTATTAACCAATCATAGTACATAATGAATTGTTGTAATGGCAACAGCAATTCACCTCATATTATTAGAGCAAGAATCAAAAGAGGAAATTGGCATTTAATTATGGATTAGGCTCTGTTTCTCTTAAAGCAACTTTTGATCTAAATTGTAAGAAAGATTTTGTTTGTTCTGTCTTATAAGCAACCATTTTGATGCATTTCAATAAATAACGCATATATAAATTGGATGAACTGATAAAATTAACCAATACTGATTAAGAAGTCATGTAATCAGAATTGGAAAATCTTCTATAGTTTAAATTATTAATCTAAAATTAAGAAGATAATTCATTATAATTAAATTACAAATTCTAACATCGAAGTTACAAAATTAAGGTCTAACCAAAAAAACAAGCTTTACTTTTCAATTAGAAATCCAAAAATAAATATTAGGAATACAAAATAGATTAGAAAGAAATAGCACTAGATAGAAGAGTGTATTTGGAATCATTGATTGTTAGAGTTCTCAAAACAAAAAAGTAATTAGATCACAAAGATCTATTTAAATATATTGACAAAGACGCAAAAACTAGACATTTTCCTATTGAAATTCCTTTCTTTAAGGAATGTATAGAGAATTTGATATAAAAGGAATACTTAATAAGACAGGAAGGGTAATTAGACACGTATATTTATAAAGCATGATTAATATTATGATAAATATTATTCTAATTAAATTAGACAACTATACTACTCAATTATTATTTAAATGATTTCTTTGTATATTTAGCTTTCAATTATAGGTAATCATTAGTCTTATTAAATAATTACGTAACCTAAGAATAGGATATAAGAATTATTTGTAAATAAGAGAATTAGTAAAATAATTTCATTATAAATGAATGTCGATGTTTGCATTCTCAAATATTTATTAAAAAGATAAGGTGAAATGGTTCTTTCATTTATTTATAAATTTTAACAATAGTAACTTTTGAATAATTATATATATATATAGGCTGTTTCATTATATATTACAGGCTATATATTCTTCTGTTTTTCGTGCCTTATTCTTTTCAAAATTATTTTAGCATTCCTTAAATATCTATTCAAATTCTCTATTGTCTTTTAAACTAATATTTGTGACTTGAGTTGTTTAAGTTTGTTTTGCATCGAAACTATAATTTGTGTTTTGAAATTTCTAGACTTTAACATACTTCTTCTATGGAGAACTAAGTTTTGATTAAGGTATGCTATTATTCAAAACCAACATTGAGTCTTGCGATTACCATTTCTCTTTATTAGGAGTTTCAATATAGTTTAAATTACTCCCTTAACTAAATTTAGAGTAATTTTTCGAATCCCCTTTAACTGGTATTTATGTATTTAATCCAAAATCTGCTGAAATATTACATGCAGGATCCTTGTTTTGCTGTTACGATTCAGCAAATGAAAAAGTTCTTTTTTTAGGTGCTTATTTTATAGTTGATTAAAGCTCTTCATGTTTTGGGGATTGAATGTAGGAACTAAAGATATTTGAGTACTTATTTTCTGTTACACTTTAAAAATATTCAGGTGGCACAATATTATAGATTGGATTCTGGCTAATGTAAATACCAAATTATAATACAATTATGTATTATCATAAGACTCCGATGACTGATGTGTATCAATTCTTAGATTATCATTGAATAGTGTTTTAGATTCTTTTAAATTGCAAACATATTCCTCAATTTTTAGCATTTATCAGTTAAAAAAAAAATCGATTATATTTAAATAGAATGTTTAGATTTTATATATCATAATAATTTATACTATATTTATAACTATCATTCATGACATCTATTAAAGCAGTCCTAATCATTAGAGTAACAGACCATCAATTGCTCTTCTCCAAGTCATATAATTAAAAGAAAGTAAAATGAGATTAAGACTTATGTAGATTGACTAAGATTTTTAAATTATTTTAGATCATATGTCATAAATAAATCCAAGAGCTGAAGAACGAGTTACTCTAAAAACAGCAAATGGAATTTGGCGTTATAAACTTGATAATAACAAAATTGCTTATGTGTGTAAATCATTGTATTTACATTAGTGCTTGCTATAGAGAACTATCCAGATAGACAAATATATGCTATGATACAAGTAAGATATCTTAATAATTTTAAGGAAATAGAAACAGAATTATAGAAAAAGCCTAACTATGTTGATTCTTAACCTAATGATATTTAGAAATATGCAAAAACCTGGATGAAATAATTACATGAAAAATACGATAATTTGGCTGGAGTAGACAAAGTATTATATTCACTCTTACTTATTAAGGTTTACGCAGCATAATAATAAGTTGATGAGGTGAAAATTGTTATGGAAGAAAACATAAACAATATGATATAGAATAGCTCAAAACTTGATGTACATTTTGCAAAATTACTCATAGAATTTAGATGAAAAAGCTATAACCCTCAAAAATGAATCGATAAAGCTCAAAAAATCATCAACTGAACTTGCTAAAATAATGTATTGGAGGAACATGAAACTAAAGATTCTTTTTGGTCTTATCATTTTAGCCGGGCTGCTTTATATTATTGTCCCAATAGTTATTAATGTTTCAAGATGAATTTTTATTTTTATTGAGATCTTCACATGTTTTCATTTATAATTTTTGTAGTCATTTCAATACCTAATTTCAAGATCCTAAATAGAATTTCAGTATTTGAATATTTTAATATTTTAATATTATTTATAAATGAATCAACCTATTCAAGATAATGTGTGTCTTTTATTGAAATCAGAGAGCACTTATTCATAAATCTAACCATACCTCGATAAAATAAAGGAAAAAGATCAGTAAGTAATCCAATAATCTAGAAAATTTTATGAACCCATTTGCCAAGCTATTATATCTGTTTTTTTTGAGTAAGAACCAATTCAATGTTTTCAAGCAGCTCGAATGGCAAAAGAAGCAATAGAAAAACAGAACCTAGACTTTTTAACAGTCTTTCAAAATGTTTGTCTGAAGTCTTATGAATAATTGGCAGAAGATACGTTGAATGTGAGACTGGCTGACAAAGCATCTTAGTTTTTTAACAAGAGTGGCAGCGATATGAATTTTGGGAAGAGCTTCTTCCATTTGATTTTAGAGAGTATTGAAAATTGGGCGAGACTATATCCTAAAAAAAATGATGGAATCACTCCAACATTATTCTATTAAACTTATCAAAATCTTCTTAATAAAGGAATAAAATTTCCTTAAGCTAACTACTTTAAAGAGCAATAGTCAATAAAAAATAATTACAATAACCAAAAATTAGAAATATTGAAAGATCTATAATAATAAATTATGGCGATGAAATAATTACATGAAATAGAATTAACTGATCAATAGTAATAGAACAACTTGAAAATATTTGAACTGTAAGAATAATTATAATATTTCTAAAACATGCAGCCAATATTAAAGGGATAAATAGAAGAATTATAAAAAAAAGAAGAAAAATATAAGAAAGACTTTGAATACAATCAATAGAAATTGAAATAATTGGAAAGTGAACTAAGGAATAATAAATTGAATGGATAATAATACTTAAACGAATAATTAGAGAAATTAAATCTAGAATCTTAAATATAAGAGCTTTAAAAATAGATTTAAGAACTTGAAAAAAATAATTCTATTTTGACTGAGAAATTAGAAAAATAAGGGAATGGAAGATAAATTTAAAATAATTAATATTGTTTAAATTAGCTCAATGAACAATAAATAGACAACATGAATCTCAAGAAGGAATTGGAGAAAAAAGAAGCAGAAATCAAAGAACAAAAATTTACTTGTTTAGAATAAGCTTAAAATATTAACTAATTGAAGTTATAATTAAAAGCAAGAGAGAAGTTGAACTAGGATATAGCTTTATCAAGAAATTAGGATTAAGAATAACTGATATCAAAATTATAATAAAATATTGAGAACTTAAAAAAAAATATTGAATTACTTGAAGGAGAAAATGGATCTTACTAATTTTATTAATAAGAGTAATAAAAGAGGAATTAGAAACTTGAAGAATAATTGTTAAACGCATAATAAAAATTACAAGTTTCGGAAAATAAGATTAAAGAATTACAATCATAATTAGATTAATTAAAGTAAATATCTCCAGCCAGAACTAATTCTAATTCTGCCAAAATATTAATCCAAGAAAGAAAACCTACTTAATATTAGAATTTCTTCTTTCCTGAGGCATAGTAAAATCAATAATTTTTTAATCCGCGATTTTAATTTAATGAAGATTTAATTAGTTTGTTTACAAGACCAAAACCTATTGAAGTAGAGAAAGTTAATCCGTCGGATATCTATCCTCATTAAACAGCAGAGGAATATTATTCTAAAGCACAAAATAAATAAAATAAAGGTTAAGAAGTTGTTTTTAAAAATTTAATTAGCCAGTTGAAAGATTTGTCTCAAAAAAATTAATGTCTCTCTTAAATGTTCCACATTAATAGAACTACATATTACTTCATTGATAAACCCTCAATTTTTGTGGCAATTATAAAATAGGTTTAAAAATAAGGGGAATAAAACTAAGTTAAATTTGGAGTTTATTTCAAAACTGATGAATAAACTATCAATTTATCAGGAAAATTTTTAAATTTACAAAAAATGTTAAAGTATTTTTCATCTTCCTAAAAAGATTTTAATGTTACTCTAGAAACATCATCTTAATAATAATAAAAATAATACCTACTTGAGTATTAAATCAATGATGATTGTGAAGATATCTCAGAACTCCCTGTTCTGGAAATAAAATATAAGTAAAAATTATTATTACTTTAGAGGAAAAGTGTAATAACTGTTTCTTCCTATGCCAATATAAAGTTTCATTGAATTTTCACAGATAACTTAGGATGATTTTAAAGCATATTGGAAGTAACTTTCTATCTTCAGATCAAAAAAATTCTGTTATAATCTTTTGGTTTTACCATCTTATTAAAGCATTACAAATATCAGCACAAAATTAATTCTAATCAATGAAGACAAACTTAAGTCATATTTATAAGGAATTGATGAAATAAAATATGGAGCAAAATTTAAGATATTAGGCTCTTAATTGAAAGGATTAATTAAATTTGAGCTTATTCCTTAAAATAAGATTGTTATTTACGTAGGAATTAAGAAGGAGTAAACTCAATAATATTAGGTACTTGCGACAAAAATAATCAATTATTTTAACTCAATGTTTTAGATAATATGAGAAAAATTATTTATATAATATAATTTGTTAATATGTTTATTTATTAAGTTCTATATTCTTTTGCTATTTTTGAATTTAAGGTTAAAAGTTCATGAAATTTACCCCTTTTTGTTGTATTAACCAGATGATCTATAGGTTGCTTAGATATATCTATTTTATTTTATGAATCGTTTAAGTTTCAAATATCTTTCTCGTTTTAATACTATCTTTTGGATTTTATCAATACACTCTCAAATTCGAGAAGGCAAGAAATAGAAATAATTTAAGATTTGTAATTATAAATTATGAATAATGATAATAATAATCCAGAATAATAGCCTTTCGGATTATGGAATAGAACTGCTATTGAAAAAAAAACGACGCCTTTAGATTAAGTAAAAACGATGGCGAATGAAAAAATCCAAGAGATAATGAGCAATGTATTTAGTGTTCTATTTGGAAGGAAGTTGTAATAAAAGTTGGAAAAGAATTAGAGAACCTGAAGTAGGAACTGAAAGAGGGTTATGATAAATTGGATTAGAAGGCGTAGAGTGTTTTACATGAATAGAAAGCAAAAATGAATTTATGGATTAAATAAAAAATAGAAATGGCAATAATCAGAGTGTTGGAGAAGACAAAACCCATTCTTCTAGAAAGTATTCTTGATCCGTATATGGTAACAATTTGAAAGAGATAACTTTAGTGTGATTGTCTATCCAAACTCATTGAAGATGTATTCGAAGAGGTGTGGCCAGATATCAAAGAAGAAATTTTATTACAAATAAGAGTGAAATATGCAGATCCTTATGAGTTAGTGGAATTTCCAAAACCGAAGTTATGTTGTATTTAATACCCTTGGTTTTGGTTCAAGGTATGGTATTTATATGTTACACAACCTTTTGATAAATCAATTTTTGAGCAATTACATTGGTATTCTTGGTGGCTGATCTTCATAGTTCAATTAATACCCTTTTATGGAGTAATGAATTCAATAAAATAATTAGATACAAGCATTTATTTATGTTTTTGTATTTTTGTTCATTGACAAAGAGGATGAATATTAATTGATTCGATTCATATTAGCCTTTAAAAGCATGTAATTTATATCTATCGGATGTAAGAAATATTTAATGTAGTGATAGGAACTATGGTAGGATATTTCACATTCTATTCATGTGCTGTAGTTTCATCTGTAGATAAAAGTTATAAAGATTGCAAAGATGATGGTCCTGCAATATTTTTAAGTTTTTGGTCTGATATTGCAGGTTTTTTACTTCAATTGCTGTTGGTTTGGTTAGCAATTATATTGTTGAAATGTTCAAAAATTAAGGGTCAGGTAAGATTTAAGCATGTGTAAGAATCTTAATAATAAGTCAATAATAAGAAACTCTCAAAGCAATCATGTTGTTTATGTTGTTCATTTAATAATAGAGGAGGAAGATTATATTGCTTTATGCTTTACGATTTAATTTGTTTTTTTGGGTGTGTGGCCTTGTTTTTAGGTTTGTCTGTCTCCGATGGAGAGAGAAAGCTTTGGCAATATAGGTCAACCATGTATTTGGCCAAAACCGTATATGGATTATTGAGTTTTCCTTTTTTGGTGTTTCGTATTCCAGGACTAACTTGGTTGATAACTCGTTCTCATGGAACAGGGTATGATTGCAATGGTAATTGTGTACCTTTGGTGTCAAATCTACAATAGTATCACCTAAGAAAAAAGTAATAAAAACAACCATATGATCCAAAATATGCAGTTTAAAATGACGACTTTGATGTGATGGAAGGAGTGGAATTAATGGATGAATTGGTAAATTGATAAATTGATAATAAATACTTAAATTTCATTTTTATTTAAATTCATATATAGAGGAGAGTAGCTTTTACTCTCTCGATCTTTCTACCTTTTCTCTTTGTAATCTCTCTTTTTTTAATTTTTCTCTTTCACGTTATTTTTATTTTTATCTTATTTTTTCTATCTCTGAATCATCACTGCCTAATAATTCTCTGATTTATTCTCCAAGTTTTTGATATTTCTTCTATTTTTTCTTCATTTCTTTGATATAAGCTGGGTCATTTTCTTCTTCCTTTTTATCCTTTATTGTTTCTTCCTTCTTAGCATCTATTTATGAAACGAGAGTTTCCTCTTAGTATTTCTTGCTCAAATCTAAAATCTGATAATAATTATCTTTTTTTTCTTTGAAATTTTTCAACTATTGCTTAACATTTTGTTGCAATTAGGTTTGTTTTTGATCTTACCTTTGTTAAATATACCATGGTTTTGTTTAATCATATTATCCCAAAAATTTGGTACTCAAATCAAATGGTTTGTCTTTAAAGAACTCCTTCTCCAATTCTATTTTAGCTTAGTTGTTCTCTTTCTATAACAAATATTATTCTTCTTCTTTAAATAAGTTTATATGTTATTTGGCCTCCAAAATTTCTCTCAATTCAGCATCTAGATTATCACAATTAAATCTTACTAACTTTGGATGAACCTTATTTCTTTTAACTTTGACTTCTACTTCTGCTTCTGCTTTGACTTTCACTAACACTTCTACTTGGAGTGTGAGAAGCAGCTCTTCTCTATTACTTCAGCTTTTAAATTCTATTTCCTGCCTACTCTTTATGTTCTTTCCTTTTTTCCTTTTAAACTCTCTCCCTCTCCTTTCTCTTATCCCTCTCAACGATGTTCCTATTCTCCATATTGTACACATTCCACTTCTTTTAGGGGAGAATATTCAACCCTCCATGACCTCCCATAGATTATTTATATAAATTATAAGTTTGAGTATCAATTATCATCATCTTCATACATTTCATCATAAAGTCCATCATATGAATTCACTCCTGGCATCAATCGAGATTGGATCTCCTTCTCCCTATATTTCTTTGACTTCGAAGCATTTTCAGGTCCTGTCATTCTGCTCAAGTAATACATCACTTTCGTAGTAATTTCTATTTTCTTCTCTTTCTCTGATTCCCTAGGGATCATTTATTAATGAGATCCACTCGAATCCTAATGTTGCAATGAAGGTAGTCTGATTCTGATATTTGGCCTCAATTAATCAACCAGATTGTCTTCAGATTTCTCTCTCTCTATTTAGGGTTTCCATGACTTTGCCTTGTACTTAGTGGGTACTCTATAGATGCTAGCAAATTGATGTTGCTTTTTCGGGATTGACCGAGAGTATTAAGGAGAATTCAAAACACTTTATAATATAGGGTTCATTATATAACTTAATACTAATTACTAATATACAAAAAGATCAACCATTAACTTTCTTCTTTTGAATCTTCTTCTGCACTTTCTACACACCTGTTTTCTACTAAATCTACTTTGGCTTCTTATTAACTAGCTGCTTTTTGATTTACTTAGCAATAGGAACCACAACAGGTTTCTAAACCTAGGTCTATTCTTATTCTTGATCTGCTCCTCTCCTCTAAACAACACTCACACAGAAACATGTTAATCTCTAATTTGTTCGAATTACATAAATTGGTTTTAACTTATTCTTGAGATCAATGTCATCATATTATTCATTGGCATATAATAAGCAATCCCAAATTTTGATGTCACCGTCAGAAGAAATAGATGCCAAATATGTTTGATCGTTCAAATCAAATAGTTACAATTACTTGATCCTTTTCTAATGAGCAACAAACTTCACCAGAATCTGACTCTATATCTAATTGTCGACTGTCAATTTTATCATATACACTATTCCATTTGCATCTAGAATATTCTCCATTAAATACCTGAAAGGATAAGTGAATTTTGATTTAGTATCGAATCTGTTATCTATGCTGTAAAATCTATAGTATGAGCAACCTTGTTGGTTTCGCAATCGACAATATAGCACTTTCTGTCGGATTGAAATAATAAGTATTAGATTTCGTCTTCCTTTGAAATGAAGTGAATTTTGTCAATATCTAAAGGTTATGGAAAATAAGTACTAAAATGAAATTTCTTTAATGCTATCCTTTTTAAATTCATCAAATTATAGAGATGCAATTTCTGATCTTTGGTTGCACATGCTAAGATCTTTCCGGATTCATGAATTGCTATGCATATAACAGGACTTCCACATTGGAATGTATTCAGAATTGCCCATTGTTTATTTCTCCACAAATTTACTTTTCCATCTTCAGCTGCTGTGAATAGAAAATTCGAATGGCCTGCTATCTAAGTTATTGTTCCATTATGCTGTTCTAATAAGGTAACTTCAACTCTCCTTCTAACATCATAAACCTTGATCAACTCCTCAGAACCTCCAATGAACAGATATCGTCCATTCTGATAGGTTGTTTTGATTAATGACTCAAATAATAAAGTATATGTACTGTGGAGGCTGGAAATGAGTAGAGAGTGTTATTCGCTGAGAATTCATCATTCAATGAGAACCCTAATAGTTTGCCATCATATGTCCCCACATTAATATTAATTTCCATTTTAATTTAATTTATAATTAGATTATAAATAATTTCCTCATATTAATCTGGCTATTTCATAACTTTTAACAATCTGTTGACGTTGGATTTATTAATCTCTATTGGAAATCTGAAAACTATTGAAGCACATCTTTATCAAATAAATGAATGTATAAGCTTTATATCTTATAGTAATAACCCAATTTTTTGTATTAAACTCTAGTTTTAAAGTAAAATCTTCTTTGTGTATGAAAGACTTGGAATATCACAATTAATAAAATGTAAATTTAAAATTCATCTTATTGTAACAATAATCACAAGTATTTCTCTGTAATATACTACTACTAGTTGAATAATTTATTCTCCATAAGTATCTATATTTGAAAACAATATTTGTTAGAACATTCAATTCTTATTTATGGTTATTTCTTTGCCAAATCCTATATATAATCAGAATATGATCTCATCTCCGTTATCAAATCCATCCTCTCATTGAATTCTCTCTATCTATGAGATTCACGTGGTATTCAATTCTAAATGAAATGTAACTAATAATGAAAATAGTTAGTTATTTACCTTCAATACTTATAAATATTTGTATATATATAACGAACACATTCAAATTAATAAATAAATTTAAATAATTAGTAGCGATGGACACTAGATAGTCAGAACACTCTAGAGGGAAGTCTTAGACTCAAATCAAATTGCGTAACCCATTCGAACTACTTATAAGTAACATTGCTTGCAATATATAGAAATAATCAGATTGCCAAATGTTTGCAATAAATGTGGACATATTACTAGAATGAAAGAAATATCAGATATTCTCGAATAATTTGACACCATGACATCTTAATAAATTGATACTATTAATGAAAAACTAATTCAAAAATCGAACTAAATTTTAGCAGCTCGACAACAATTAGTTAAGGATGCAAAAAATGAACTCCAATAATCATTGCAATAACTGATTTAAGTGAGGTAGAGCATGGGTTCATCTTTTAATTTTGAAGACCGAGAAAAGTGTTTAGAGCGAGTTTGTGAGGTAACTATCAATATAATCAGTTAGGATATCTTCTGCAATGTTCAAGAATAGATTGAAATATAAAATTCTTTGTCTGAACTCAATGCAATCATCCAAGAACAATATCAAAAATTTCATCAATTTCCAAATGAAATCACTGAGATGAACAAATTAGAATATCACGACAACCTTGAAATCAGGGAGAGATTGGACGGAGCCTTAAGAATTAACTAGAGTCATAAGGATATCTTGAAGGAGATCTTGATTAAAATAGGAGAGGAAAATAAGAGCTACACCTTCGATATCTAATTATAATTTAGACAGTAACAATTGGAGATGCTCAATCTGCTACAATGCAATCAAGAGTAAATTAAGGAGATCGAAAGATTAGAAGATGAATTGAATGATAAGAAATTGGAATTATAAAAATATGCAATATTATTTAGTTAATTTGAAAAGTAAGCTTAAATAAATATGTTAGTCCTTTTAAATCAAATAAGATTAGCTCTGAAGAAAGTAGTGCTAGCAATTTCTAATCAATTTAGAAGGAAATTGTTCAACCACCGTCATCAATTCAATAGAGTCGAAATGTATTTTAAGACATTAAGAACATTTAATCGAAAAGATTTTCTTAACCTTCTGTAAATGAAAATAATAACATGTGCACTTTTTAATCAGAATAATTCTATTCAATTGATCAATCTCATGGTAACCTACATCAAGAATCATCATAAAAGTCGTCATAAAATAATAGCAAATAAATTGAGAATTCAGTTGTGATTAATTAGAGATATGGAAACAGCATATCTAATAAATTTAACAATTCCAAAGCAACCAGCCTAATTTCACAAATTAATTCTTAATAAAATAGTATTCCTATTTAAATAATCCCCAATTCAACTAAAAAAATTAGAAATTCAGTTGACACCAATCCCATGATGTCCCAAGAAAGTTTTGAACACTAATTACATGAAAACGATGAAAATTCCCCTAAAATCACTCCTACAAGCAAAACATTACTCTCCAAAGTTCCACCCCTTCCAATAGGCAGATAGTTAGAGCTTGATTGAAAATTTTATTCTTATTATATTTTTAAATCATTAACATTACTATTCTAGTAAATTCATTTAAATCAAGATTATCATTATTATCTCAATGACTATTATAAACTTAGGACATTCATAAAATCACAATTTTAACTAACTTAACTAACCTTTAAAGAAATTAACATTTTTATATAGATAACAATGTCCTTATGTATGAAAATTTAATTCTAAGTTTATTAATTTTAATAAATCCATAACTTGATTTTTGTAAAATAGAGGAAATAAATGGGTTATAACAGAAAAGCCTCCAAAAAACCCAGAAGCCCAATTTCCTCTTTTTGTTTGATTAATGCAAGGTAGCTAGCTTTACTCTAATTCTTAAAGAAAACTACTTACTATTTAATTCCATAGTATGAAAGTCTAACTCTATGATTTAATAATCTATAAAAAATATTTTTATTAATAAAATGTCTGATAACTAATTAACTGACTTGCTACTATATTATGCATATATGGAATAAGAAATAGAAGTTCTACGAGAAGTTTTATGTTCAGAGGCTTATTTCCAACCTTATAACTTATTCAAATTTATTGATTGCATGAAAGATGAACCAAAAGTACATATAATAAATATGGTAGGGGTACTTAACTGCTCAAGATTTATCTTTTTATCTTAGTGAGAGAAAGTTTCCATCTAATCTGCCAACCAAAACGTACGTAGAGAATTACAATTAAAATAAAGATAGCAAATTAGTATACTCTGAGTAATTATGAGATTGATTATAAGATTTTTGAGAGCCATTCTGCCTATATCAAATTAGGATTTAAGAGAAAAGATTACATAGTAAACACCTTCAGATTAAAAGATCATAAGCGAGAGAACTTAGTATTTGTTTGCAAAACTAATGGAAGCGTATAATTTTAAGCAAATTATTATAGGGAAATCAAATTAACTATACAGGCTGAGAATTACAAGCAGCAGATTGATCCAAATTATTTTGATAAGATCTGTTATCAGAATTACATATATCATCAAGATCTATAGAGTTATTTCAAGCATAAGCAAATAACTACTAATTCTATTGAGATTTAATAGATATTTAACAGGATAGATTTGTTAAATGATGGAAAGATAGATAGAAATGAATGGAATTTATGGGTGAGTGCGAGGAAATCAGTATTATAAGTCAATTCAAATTCATACAAATAATAACAGAAATTCAATAGCACAAGATATAGTTCAACAAAGAGGAAATAATAGGATTCCACAATGAGTGACCTACTCTCTATATCTAAATAGGGGTTTTATTAGTCCACTAAACCCCCTTTGTCCAATTACTCGTACAATACACCTAAAAAATATCAGAAGTAGAAAACCGAAGTGAGAGCCTAAATGCATTCTTAATTATTGTAGAATAGTAATCACTCCTCAAAATAGGAACTATCCTACAAAACAATGACTCATAAACCAATAACAAGTTTTTACGAGGATGATATCTAAACTTTAAAGAAGACTTAGTCAGTTGCAAAATATGAAGCCCTGGAACCAGTTAATTATTATGTCTAGCTATTTGTGAGTTTGATTTAGTTGGTGAAGAAGGTTGAACGTTAAAAGATTCTGTTGAGCAATCATGATGATTTTTCATTGTATTCTTCATTTTAAAAATTGGATAAAGGGTTTAAAGGGATTTTGATTAAGAGTGACTTGAACTCTTTTTGCAAAAACCCGTAATTGATATTGGATCGTTATGGAAAAGATAACAAGATGAGATTTTCAGAGTATATCAAAATGATTGAGCCAAAAGATCCTTAGGCAGTAGAGATGCTACTGAAGAAAGATCAAAAACACAAGGGAAACATGTTAACGCAAACAGAAATATCAATGAAATTGCTATTAGAATTGATCGAGCAATTTTAGTAGAAGATACACCAAACGAAGGAATATTAAAGCAAATAGTAATTCGATATCAGTGAAATCTTTTACATGCTAGCTTATGATAGATAGTAAATAACTCATTAAGACGTAAGAGTATTAACTTAGATAGATTACTGATTTCCTGTAGGCGAATCAATTCAAGACTGTGCACCAAGATGTAGATTTATTGTTGGCCGAACTGGATTATGATGGTGATGGACAGATAAGTTATAGAGACTTTATTAAAATTTTTGGAAAATGATTATAGTATTATAATTATTTATACTAAAATGATGGAGGACTTGTTGCAAAGTAGAATTCGTAGTCGTAATGCCTATTCACTTCATAATAAATATCAATCACTCTGTCACTAATAAGGAGGACAGAGCACTCTCAAAATGCTTTCTCAGAGCTTATAAAAATAATAATACAGTCAGAAATTACATCAATTAAATTTGTAACGAACTGAGTCTCGTTTCCAGATCAATCAACCAAAGCATATTTAATATATTGGGGCGATATCAAGTTCAAATAAAACTGTGAATCCATGTTCACCAGAAAAGATAATCGAATCACCATTAAAGGGAAGGATTAAATAGAGTAGAATACTGAAGACTTCACTTCACAATTCTCGTATGAGTCCTGAAAACAGATTGATTTTTAAATAGCGTCTCAATAAAATTGATGAATCCATCCAATATATTCAAGATAGACACAATCAATTCAATGGAGTTAATTCTAACAACTATTAAAAGATGTGTGAAATGATTAATAAAACCGAATACATGAGTGCTGATCATAATTCTAGCGTTGATGTTCCCTTGATAAAATTGATAAAACCAGAAACGATCGAAAACAATGAAAATAGTGCCAATCTAGTCTAAAAGTTAGCTACCCAAACTATACAATGGAGTGAAACCAAGAAAAAACAAAGATCCAAACTGGAGTAGAGTGTGTACTATAAGACTAATAAATGGAAAAAAGCCAAATTCTTAATCTTATAAAACTTTTCATCTCGTCATAACAACACAATGTATTCCAAGAAATATATGATTACACAATTAAAGATTCCCTACCTAAGACACAATTCGAAACAAATGTTCATGGCTTTGAAATAGAAAAACTATAACTAATTGCTTAAACATCTATCTTATAACAAGTCATTCATTCATGAAGTGGACAATTCTCTCATGACTCCCTTGCATATTTCTTGTCAATAAGGTCTATATGATATTACCAAAATGCTCTTGAGATTTAAGGCTGATGTGAATGCTCTAGACAAGAATAAGAAAACTCCCCTATATTATGCCATGTTTAATGGTCACACAGAAATAGTGAAAGTAATATATTTGGCTATTTCCCAAGATGCTCCTATTACATGATGCTTTCCCATATTCCGATACTAATTGCAATTACACTCAATTCTTCCCAAATAAAGCAATGAAAGAATTATTCAGAGTGGCTAAGAGAGTAATACCATATCATTTATATTCTAGATTTTAACATTGATGCTGATATGCCCAAAACATAAGAGAAAAACAATGAAAGAGTTCTTAGAAATTAATTTTTTGAATGAATATTCTCTACCCAAAAACTTGCTTGCTTGAACATCATTTTATATATAACCGAATCTATATGAATGAATATGAAATTTAATTAATAAATCAATCTACATCTAGCTTTCTTTGAGCCCAATTTGACAGCTTAATTGTATCATCCCACCTATTTATAATCAATATCATCATTACCGAACTTCCTTAGATAGACAATTCAAAATAATTATAATAAGGCAAATTTAGTCGTTTTTAAATAAAGTAGCAAGACATGGCCCAGCCTTATTGGTAAATCCTGTCTTAAATCCACAATAGCCTTCGTACTCCAACATCCTGTTAGTATTCTTCCAAGTCAAATTTATAAGTTTATTCTAATGGGAATATATAATTCACTGTACATTTCTCTGCACAGTTGCTTAATGCTCTTTTTTATTCACTATTTCCATTAACATTGGGTCATTGATAATTTATTTGCATAGGATTGCCAAATCTTCAGCACATGAATACGATTGATCATTTGATAATCCTTGGGAATATTGGATGAATTTACCATGCGGATTGTAGAATTAAGTATCATTCATTTCGAGTTGAAGTGCGTATTAATTCATAAGTGAAATAAACGGTTGAATCCTGTAATGTAAGGCGATGTTGGAAACAGGATCTTTAACACATTACGAGAGGTTTTCTGCGATTACATTTGCAGCATCATTCCCAGAAGGCAACATTAAGCCATGTAGTAAATCATATAGGGTAATTCTATCATAGGGATGTAAAAATGCTGAAGTTCCTGAGATTTAAACAGCCTTAAATGTTAAAATATATACATCATAACTAACGTACACAATCTAATAAAGATTGAGCTTGAGATCTCTAATTAATTAGATCGCTACGTAGCATGTCATCAACTTAGTAAGTGAGGCAACTTATACTCTCTTTTTTGAATTAAAGTTCTCTTGTATTATTTAATTGCAGTACTGTCAAATGTTATCCATCAATACCATTCATTACAATAAAGTTTTGAGCTGTCACCAATGGTACACCATATTTAGAGTGCAGATCTATTTTAGAACAACTTTAAGATCTCGAACTTGATCCTGGTCTATAATTAGAACCACTGGAGGTTCTATTGGGACGATTACCTTGGCTTGATCCTATGCTTCGAATCTGAATCAACGGCTACTCTAAAGCTTTACTTGACATTCTTTGGTTTGGTAGTGGTGGTTTGAACATAAACTATTCGTCTAATTAATTTTAATAATTTGAAATTAAACATGCACATTGAAAATCCATTTCTCTCTGTTATCTAGACCTAGTTCGTGCCTCAAAATAATCCTCCTTTGCCCAATTAATAGAGGAAGGAGATTGGCGATTAAGCCATCTGGACTTTATCATCGGCTAAGACGGGAAATGGAGTAGATCAATTAAGAGATGATAATTTGAATACATTCTGGCAATCTGATGGCACGCAACCCCATAACATCACAATACAATTTCTTAAGAAAATGAGAGTTTAAGAAGTAGCTGTTTATTTAGATTTCAAATAAGATGAAAGCTACACTCCCAATAAATTATCAATTCGAGCAGGAACTAATATTCAAGACATGAAAGTACAAATTGAAATCTAATCTAGGAAGTACTCTACATTGAATTGAAAGAACCATATGGATGGTTTGTATTTCAACTTAAAACCAAATTACTTAATGGATAGGAAAAGTACTGAATTATCTCTATATTAAGACCTTATGTGTCGACAATTAACATCTAAGTAGTAGTTTTATAAAATTAACACAGTGGAAAAGATACACATATCAGACAAGTAAGAATATTTGGACCAAGAGAGTATGAAAATTCAAATTTATTTTAGGAAACAAAACTAAGGGTTAAGTTTTCCAGATTTCAAAATGCCAGAAATTACTTAATATGCTTCGATTCGTTGAACAATTATGCATAATTATTAATTCATATTTTTGACCAATTTAATTAATCTTTATAAATTCCAACAATTTAGCAATCCAATCTAATATAATTTTGTTTAACATTAAAATTGTTCAATTTATAAGGTGATATTATTGATAAGTTAATTTATTTTGGGTTTTTTGGAATATTTTTAAAAAATATTAGCAAATTAGTTATTGGATTACATAATTTCTAGTTAATGCTAGATAAAATCTTATTTATTTACTTTGTTCTACTAAATTCATAAATAAATAAGAATCCATAAAAATAGTAAGTATATGATTAGCATATAAATTAATAGCAAATCATTATAAAATATTATCTCCAATTTTGAAGAAGTGAGACTCAACTTGAATTATAATCATTTTATGAGAAAGTTATATAGAGAATGTTATTAATTGCAATAATGCCATCATTATTGCAATTATTATCTTATTATAAATATAGGATTAAAATATTTTAAATTTAAGAAAATACTTATGAACTATCATTTGATAAGTTAATTAATTAAGGGGGGAAAGTGGTGTAAAAGCTCTTCACAATAATTCTATTAATTGATATTGTGTCTTTATTTCATTTTTCGTTATAAATTATATCAGCCTTGCAATAATGGGGATTGTGAAGAGAAATTCTAAATTTATCAAATTTATATTATAAAAAGTGAAGATTATTAAATGTAATTAGAAAATGATGTTTCAAAATTAGTCTAAAGCTAAATTAACGAAAACTAAATCTAATTCTTACGAATTTTCTTATACAAAATATTAGATTATATAAATATAGAACAGTCTATAATTTTTGAGTTATTAGATTGATTACTAGAAAAATCAATATATTAATATTTATATATGGGCTCAGGACAAGGAAAAACCCGAATTAAGAATTGTTTAACAGGATTAGATTATTTATAGAATTTGATTCCCAATGTTGAAGTATAGTTAAGTATTGAGGTGTAAGGATAGTTAAAATAAGTTATACTTAAAATGCCAAAAATTTCGAAAGAAATGTAAATTTTATTAACATTTTAGAGAGAATTAGTTCAAATATTTTGGTTAGGATCATTTGGATTTTGAAAAATACATTCCAGAAGACTATGAACACTTAAATATGTTGTCTACTTTTTAGAAAAAGCTGCTTGAACCTCCAACGATAAGAAGTTAACTAGAAGAGGACGCAGCTGATTAACATTAAGTCTAATTAAAAATCAATGATATCAAATCATTAAGAATGTTTGATATCAAATAGTTAGATACATTTAAATGCAGCAAACTGCAAGAACCTGGTTGGATCTCATTAATAAAGGGTATTAAAAATTATTGTACAATCACAAATACTTTATTATTGCAATGCGAGAAGGACTAAAAACTACAATGGATCATTTATGTTACAATATGGGAGCATTTCTCATAAAAGTTATCAAATTTATCGAAGAAATATTCGTTTTAAAAAATTAATCAAGCTTTTGATGAGCATTTTCACACCAACTTAAGACCAAGTTTAAAAGTAGAAATGTTTGGAGCAAAAATTTGGGGTGGATAAGTAAGCATAGATAAATAATTTGCTATAAATTAAATACTATTAGGTAGAAAGGAGAGAAAATCAGATCTCCCCTTAAGTAGAATTGCTACAGTCCTTATGGAAATGAGTACGGATGTTTATAATTTGTAATTTGCAGGCAGTGATGAATTTGTTATACCAAATATAATTCAATAACTATAGGAATAGAGCAAATAATTGTACGAGGAAAAATTTAAAGGAGATTATCATGACTTTTTTCAATTTTGGTTTCTTGATAATTAGTATGTACTTACCATATTTCCAGAATGGATAGTGGAGAATTATGTTGATACTATTTTATTTGATTTCGTAGAGGATCTCTTTTGTCAATAAATACTCAAACTCACTTAGGAGGAATAATAATAACTTAATAATACCTATTTTAAGGAATATCAAATTCAGCCCATATTTTTAGATGCAAATGAGTTGGGTCTTGATTTTGAATAGTCGTTATAAAATCTACTCACTTTTGATTAATTTTTGAAATCTCAATAAGAACCTACGATTAGTGCAATAGCAAAGAGAGTTAGTAATGAAAAAAAAAATAGTGAACTTCTAAAAAGTAATTCGACCACTAATTACAGTGGACTTTTAGTTGATCATTAAATGGTCATGCAATAGTTAAATTAACCACAAATTGGTGAATAAGTATCATCTGATATTCAATCGGAAGGTAGGAGTTCCTATTTCTCATCTGCTCTTATGTCTAAAAACTCTTAATTAATAAGTTTGAGTTTAAATGAATTTGAATAAATTACTAATTAATATGATACAATCAAGTTTCCAATTTAATCTAGAATTGAGGCGAGAAATCAAAGAATAAAAATGAAGAACAAAAATATAACGAAAATAAATTATGAATTTCGTAGTTTATTTAGTTTTGAAAATTAGAAAGGGGATACTATGAAAAAACAATAAGATTTTTTTTAATCGCTTTCAAAATAAGAGAATAAATTAGAAAGTGTCATTTAGCAAAAAGAGTGCATTAAATCCATAGCTGAAATGTTACTAAAAGAATGACTACATGATTGAAGAAAATATGTACCTCTCTTGTTTTATATATTTTATAATTCTATTCTATTATAGAGATATTTTTGTATATAAGTGAATTAAATAAATCATTTTTTTCAATTATTTTTAATGAGTTCATCTTAATACTATTTCTAAGCAGAAACTGGAGATACAAGACCTTAGGGAACTCTATAATTGCTAGCAAAGTATGCTTTTGAATGTGAAATCTGTTTTATTGAACAACAGGATAGCGTATAAGGAATTTAATAAGAATAATAATAAAATTACAATGAAGTAAGGTTAGTGGCTGCCAAAGTTATATCAGAATAACCTTCAAAAAGGTCATATATTGTAATTTGCCCATAACATTTTTTAAATATGGAATAGTTTTTTGAAAAATTTTTAGAAAAATCTCATGTTAGGTACTCAGTGTCACAATTAGAAATTAAAAAGGCTAAACTAGTTAAAAAACCTAAACTTGTTAAAAAACCTGATATAGATACAGAATTAAAAGAGGCCAGAAAAACAATAAAATGTAATTATTGCTGCAGAGTACTTTAATAAAGGTATACCAAAGCAGATTAATAGATATAAATACTTTATAATAATAATCTAGATAACTTGATGGAAACTGTATATGAGAAGAAAAAGGAGGATTTAGAAATCACATATGAGAAATTCAAATAATATACGGAAGAAAACAGGTCAATAACGGATAGGTAGAAATTTTTAATTTTTCATTATTACAAAAGACTAGAAAGAAAATCTAGAAAGATTATTCTCCACGAATTTGAAAATTTTTTACCAAATAAGAATCCATCAACAATATCAATGTCAATGTCTGCGTAGTAAAATCCAGATACAAAGTGAGTAACAATATAAATTATTAATAAAATATACAGAATTAATTATTATCATTAAGTGATATTCATCTCAAATGTATTTCTATCTTCTTCTTGGAATTTAGCTTTATTCATTTCATAAAATATCCAGAAAATGGAAGCAGGAAGAGTAGTGAATTCAATCAATTTGAAAAGAGTCAAGAAAAACACCTGAATAAAATTAAAAAATAAATAAAACCGAAAGAGTCGATGTAGCATTGTAATAACTAGTGCATTCCCTTGAATTTTCACATTTGAAATAGGTAAATATGTCGAACATAAATTACACTCCAAATTGTAGCAATCCACAATCTAATAATAATATTAAATACAATGCATTAATGTGATTTATTTAATTCTAATTAAGACTTATTCATATTTTTGGGCATGTTATTAAACTTAAATGTTTCCAGATCTTGCAATATCCTTAAATCAAATTAAAAAGAATAACAAACCAATTTATTTTTATAATCAACATGACCTTCTAATGCCAAATTGCCCATGTAAAATGAACCACCTGCCAAAATCAGTCCAAAACTTGAAACTATTAGGTAATCAACTTAAACACAATTATAACTAAATTATATAATAATCTACTCTATTGCACTTTTATGAATAATGCCTGCCCAAAACCACAAAATAAAAGCGCCTATAAGTAATGCTCTAGCCAATTACCATACTTTTGGTGCCTACTCTTCATCAGCCACAATAGATCCCAAAATATTGCAAATCATAATTTGCATTGCAATGCCCATGCATTTGATAGTTGACAATACAAAATCATTATCTGCACAACTAATAGATTAAGGCAACTTACCAAAGTATAAAAAATATAGGGTCTGCAAAAATATTTAGATCAAAGCTGCAAAACATAAATATCTATCTATTTGAACCAGGACTCCACTTTTATCATGACTAATTATTCTATATCTCGTGACCAAATAGGAGAAGTAGATTAAGCTTAATAGGAATTCTGCGAGCCCTTCAAAGCAAACATATCCATTATTGCAATGAATTAGGTTTGCCATATATTTAAATTTGTAATATATAAATTGAAGTTTTTGTCAAAATAATCATGAATTAAATTACAGTAATCTAATCGATTGAGAAATGAGTAATGTCTGTTCAGTAATTTGGAATTGAAGAATAACATAACCAAATTATTAAGCATGCTCGATTTAATTGGTTATGTAAATTATACAAAAAACTTTGGTTTAGTTAAATGTAATATTAAATTTAAGCAAAAATTTGTTATATGGAAATTAACTAACTCATCTCTATCAGTCAAGATGAATAGAACGGCTTTTTTAGTGATGATGATGAATAAATTTCATAGATAATAGAGTAGGATCCAACAGGTCGATTTTGTAAAGTATTTATCAATTTATAACTCAGTATAATGAAGAAATTGGCAAAGGGGCTTATAAAAGTGTGTTCAGAGGATATGATAATCAAAGCGGTTGTGAAGTGGCCTGGAATGTTTTCTAATTGCATACTGTTCCAGAAAGTATTCAGATTTCATTGAATTATTGTAGATGAAAGAAGAAGAGCAAGATAGGAGATTTCAATCTTAAGTAGTTTAAAACATAACAACATTATTAATTTTATTCATTCTTGGCATAATAAAAAGAAGAAAGAAATAATTTTCATAACTGAAATCATTAATGGTGGTTCTTTGAAGAAGTAATAATATAAATCACATTCACTAGTTATTTGCGAAGAATCTTGAGACCGAAACTAAAAGTCATCAAAAATTGGTGCAGATAGATTCTCTTAGGTCTTGAGTTTATGCACAAATAAAACATCATTCATAGAGATTTAAAATGTGAAAATATATTAATAGATACAAATAATAACGAATTAAAAATTGGAGATTTGGGACTCTCCATCTAGTAAGGATAGCAACAATTATTAGATTACAATCATCTTTCACTAGTTCTGTTTTGGGAACTCCAGAATTTATGGCCCCTGAAATCTATTAAGAACACTATGATACTAAAGTAGATATCTATGCCTTTGGGATGTGTCTCTTAGAAATGGTGACTGGAGCCAAACCATTCTGTGAATGTAAGGGAGGTATCGGCTAAGTGATCAAAAAGGTAATGGAATAGTAGAAACCACAATCAATTGATGCAATTCTTAATGATAAAATCAAGTCAATTATCTTAGAGTAATATATCACATAATCTAATCAGATGTTTGAAACCCCCTGAGTAAAGACCCTCTGTTTCTGAATTGCTACTCACTCATTTTAATGGATAGACCTAGGAGAATGACAATTTGCCAGTGGCTATTAATGAACAATACTTAATTCAATTGAGAGATGATAGCAAAAGTACAATTGTTTTATTGTTCAGATTCATCTCTTCTAAAATGCAATCTATCGAACAAAATTTTGTTGACCGCAGGAAGTAGCAAATTCGAAACAAACTCAGAAATCAGCAACTAAAAACAGCCTTAGTAAATTCAAATGAAAAAGAAAAACATTATCATATAAACAGACGAAGAAACGGATCAAGTCTTTATGTAGTGTTATAAGGCCTATATTGTAATTTCATCTTTATATTATTTTATAGGACAAAAAGAAGGATGACACCTTCTTAGACCTAGAATAAAGACAAGAAAAGGAATTACAAATCTTGAAATAGTTCCATGCCTAATAAAAATAAGAATACTTAAAAAAAACTCAAAGTTTTTAGGCAGGCAACAAAATATCCAATTAACTATTTTAAAATTCTGGATTTATGTCTCCAAGATCGTATCAAAATTTTTTTGATTTTCAAAATGAGTCAAATACCATCAAATCAATAGTTGAAAGTCCATGTATGGAAAAGATTGCCAATACTAAGATATCTAAATAAGGATAACTTAATGTAAATATTAACATTCATTTTTATAGTAGGGGGATAGTTCATAAGGATTACAATTCTAAATTAATCCTTAATCTTAAAATGGTATTTTGAATCAATTAACTGTAGATAAATAAATAGAAGTCAATTTTTGACAACTAATAAACAAACCATTAAAACAAATAACCAAAAAAACCAAATATAAATTAATTATTAAATATCAGCTTGAACATAAATGCCTATCCTCCTCCGTCTCTTCTCAAATGATTTTGATTTATTTTTATCATCTTTTCTTCAATTATTAGTTCATTCAAAATAGAAAATAAAAACACATCATATAAAATCACAAAATCTTTAATATTAAACTATGATTGAAAAATCTAATTGTATGTATAAACTGTAAGTTTGTGAATAAAAATAAATGTTGGTTGATATAAATCTATTAAAAGATATTTATTTTAAATGAAAAATGAAATAATAATTTGAGTAAAACATGATCCTAACAATACAATAATAAATCATTTAACATTCCCTATGATTTTTATTTTTGGATTGTTAGATGCTTTTTAATTATTTTAGTTAGCCTAATTTTACTCCTATTAAATTTGTTGTTATTAAAATTAAGGAATTTATTGATTATTTTGAGCCTAATGATTAAAATTATGCTGCTGTTAATTTGGATTGCTACTAGAAATTTATTGTTAATTTAGTTATTATTAATGAATTTATTACGGCACTGATTGATTATAATTTATCTTGTTATTTTGCAATTCATGGATTTAATCATTTAATTTTAATTATTAATTGTAATCTTAATTCTATTATTAATTCAATTTTAAACCATTATGATAATCTTCTTCCTATCTCTTAATAGCTTAATTATTTTGTTCCTATTCCTACTTTTTCTAATCTTGTTATTGTTAGTCTTCATTTTTTTTCTTATTACTTGCATTCTGATGTTCTAGCTATCTTTTCCTCTCGAAATATTATCTTTCTTCTTGGATCTTATTATTATAGTGTGTAGAACAATCCTTATTAGCATTGATAACATTTTAGTATTCTGCTTTATCTAAACTTAATTATATAAAGCTTAAGTCGGCTGGGTAATCTGAATATGTTGGAATTTCATGAAAAGTCTAAATAACTCTATTTATAATGTGCTCTAAAGTCACGGACCTTTACCAATATCTAATATTGAATAGCATAATACTTTTAGCTCCATTCTGGATGACAATAGACTCCTGTATTTGGTATGATATATTGATGTCTGAATTCCCTGGGGAATTCAATTCTCACAGGTTCTAAAGGATAATTGAAGTATTTAATAACGAAATAGTATATCGCACTACTCCAAAGTGAGAGTTATTTCCCTTCGAAACCCACTCTCACCTATTTAAATTCCTTTATGTGTTCTATATCAGTATATTATATATGTCCGTAGTAATCATCATCATCATCATTTTTATCATCTTTTGGTTTTGGTTTATTTTAATTATCCTTTTTACGTTTCAGCATTTCAACTTCGTTAGCAATTCTTTAATCTATGAAAATTTCAATTTAATTTTAATGCATTTTATAATTTTAATATTATCATTTTTATAATTAATTTGTTAAATTAGCTTGTGAAGGATAAGGTGACATGGCAACTGAATAAGGATAGCTATTTAGACTTTAGAGGTTTGCCATATGATTCTGATTGTAAAACGATCTCTGATTGTAGATTCCACTCTATCCTTGATGGAACTCATTGGACTGAAGCATTACAATAGATCGGAATAACTTAGGATCATACATAATTGAACCTAAACTATTAGGATTAGACAAATAATTCTCTTGTTGCATTCCCACTTAACCATTATCTGAGGTTTTGTTCAGATACGCATAGAGTTGTTCAGGGGAGGCAAAATAGATTTGATTGTTTTCTTTATTGATGAGACATGGCATGAGAGTAGCTACTTCATCATCGTTAAGTTATGACTCTTTAACTTGCAATTATAGTTTTTCAATATTCTTAAAATTTGAAATCTTTTACTTAAATTCCTTGTAAAATGTTCCTTGCCCATCAATTCTAACCTTCTTGACTACTTCTTAATGTTCTTCTTTGACAGCATCATTTGGTTCCTTTTGTTTGATGTTTTCACTTTATTGAATTCGCCATTCGATTTTCTTGATGATGAAGTTAATGAGCTTAATTTCTTCGTGACTTAATTCTTCAGTTGAGGCTTAGTTTGAAATAGAGTTTTCTTCAGATTGACTTTCCTCTTAATCTTTTTTCCTTTTAATAGTTCACAAAATTCTACCCAGATTTATTGCTCTTCTCTTTTCTTAGTAGACAATTAAATCGATTTTTGACGTTGTTTTCGCTTCTTGCAACTTTTAGTTTTTTTGAAATCAACGCCCATTTTTTCCCTAATTCTTTAGCCAAACACATCAGATCCAAATCTTCGCTTAATTACCATGGGTTTCTTTAGATTAAAATTTAAATACTGTACCTATTGATATTGGGGTTAAGATGATTATTCCATCTTTCTCTGCATTGTTTACCATTTCTATGGACTTACTGATCATTGGCTTTGTTGAGAGCTGTGGCAATTTGACTCCATTTATTACCCTTGTTTTGAGTTTGGAATTCATAAATTATCTTTTGTAGCAAATTATCCTCAGCAAATGTCCATGGAGCTTATTGCAAAGGGAGTTTAAGCATTTATAACCATTTCTACTTACATTTGAATGCATCTCGGCGAGGCATCATACTGGCAATGGAACTCCAATCAATATCGTTCTGCTATAGAAAAATAATTTTATACCAGTTATTTTAAATCTCTTTTATTTATTGTAACCCACTTTCCAACTAACCAAATCAGAACCTTTTTATCATCATCAGTCCAATTTTTTTTGGGTTTGTTTGGTTAAGTTTGTAGATTAAGTTTATTGGTTTGTTGGATGTTAAACACTTCTTGGTCCTCGGGAAATGTATCAATTTTTAGATTAAACTTTTCTTTCATTTAATTTAATCTGACACTCATCACACCTTTGACCTTTGAGTAGAAGTTTAAGAATTTTTGATGAAAATCATCCAATAACTGTGTATCAATTTACTACATTTAATTTTATTAATGTGTTAATAATCATGAGAGTTATATATATATATTCTACAATATTTAATATCCTATTTATTTACGACTCTCGTTCATCCAATCACCTCCACAAACACACCAGTCTTTTCAAGATACATTCATTAAATATTAAGCCAATCAATCCTCTATGGATGATTTATTAATTTTTATTCTAAGTCCCCTATACTTTAGTTTTGAACTTTTGGATCATCAAAAAAGATATTTTTAATAAAATAAATATATGGATTTTCATTAATTATTTATAACACACTAATTAACTAAAAAGCAATCGATTTTAAAAGTTCTTCTACAATACATCTTCATTTATTTCAATTTTTGATGTTCTTTTAAGCGAATACTCCTTTATTCTATGTAATAATGTTAAATTTAATTTATTATTTATTACATTTTATCCTTTAGTAAATAATATTATTGCTTAAAATTGTTCACAGAATCGAATAATCACTATTTTTTCACATATTAGAATATTATCTAAGCACATGTGTTCCATCACTAAAATGTAATATCCAAAATTCTTATGCAAATCTTAGACTTATATTCTCTCAAAATATTACTCACACACTAGTAATTTAACTTTTCAATTTCCACCTTTTAGGATGACTAATAAATTATAGTAGTTTCACTCTTTTTTGTAGCTTTTTAACTCTATTACTTAAATACAAATGTAATTGTTCTTCTAGAAAATGGCATCTATGATTGTATTATATAGCTACAATTTTTGTAATTACAAGTGTTATTCAACGATATTCCATTTTGATGGAACATCCATTAAATTACTTATTAATTTTAGATTAAATTCTATAAACAATCTTCCCAATTATTCTAATACCTACATTTTGTTTATCTCATTTCATTATTAAAATTAATACTCATATAAATGCAAAACCTTGTACAAAGTGGTTCCGACGAAGAGACAGAATTTATTTTCGATTCTAATACAGTTCAAATCAACGAAAGTAAGAGCAAAATTTCGAAAGCAAATGTAAATTGTGGAATCTCATTATAATTATAGGATGAGATCCAACAACTGAATGATTAAAATAAAGAATTAGCCACCCAACTCAATAAATAGAATGAATTGCTTGATTTAAAACATAAGTAGAATTAATAGTTGCAAACAGAAGGTATGCATGATGTTTAAAATATTTTAGTAACTAAAATAAAGGAAGTAGTTGACGATAGAGAACTCAAATTACTATAATCTATGAAGGAAAAACAATCATTATAGAATGAACTAATCGGATTGCATGATATATTGGATCAAACTACTTAAAAAAATGATCAACTTAATTCTGAAGTGTTTGCAATTAGATTGACCATGGAACAATTATAATGTAAGTATTCTATGATTACCATTTAGAAACTGCTACCATGTGCAAGGAAGACACTAATCAAGCTTTACAACGAGAGTTGAGATTAAAAGAGAACGTTGAGGTATAGACTAAAACAATCAAACAACAAGAGGAAACAATTAGAAAAATCACTAATGAGCTTAATCAAAAGTAAGCCCAATTTAGGATTGATATTCAAAATAGAGACAACATAATTTAAGATTTAAAAAGAAAACATGATTTGTAATTGTAATAGAATACCGAAATAATCTCTGAATTAATTGAATTTAAAAATTAAAACCTATAGAACTCAGTCATGAGCAAAGATTACAAACCAGAACTTACTAAAATGACAAAAGAGATCGAAGAATATAAGAATCAAATTAAAGGATAATCTCATTAGTTAAGCATTTAAACTGAAAAGGTGTTTGCCCTCTAAAATTAATTGGCCAAGTCTGAATAATCAATTTCAGATCTTTTCACAGAACTCCAATAAACCAAATTGAAATTAAAGGAGAAAGACTAAGAATTATAAATTAAACAAGGAGAGAGTTTGATAACAATTGAAAAATTAAATACTTAAATTTCTCAAATGGCTAATCAATTATAATTATTAAAATAATAGGACCAAAAGATCAATTTGGTTAGAAGCATTTCATAACCCTCTGATGAAAAGTACCTAAAAGATTTACAATAAAAAAATGATCAAATTGCTATGTTACAAAAAGAGAATAATCAATTAGTTAAATTAATTGAAACACTCTAGAGTTAGAAAAGTATTTCAATTATTAAATTTTAGCTGACATTCAAGGAAATGAAGCTCTTAAGGTTAGACAATTGGAATCAGAATTGAAAAGTCTCTAATCATTCATTTATGACAGTCCTTTGGTCGTGTTATTTAATCTTCTTGAAGACAGATTGTCCAAATAATAATAAAAGAGTTTTGAGAATAAGAAGAAGATTTAGGAGTTTTGGAGCAATCAATTAAAACAGTGGGTAGAAGGTTTCGAGGAATTGAAGAAAGCATTTAATGGTCTTAAGATCCAATTCAAATATGACCTCAAGTATCCGATGCCAGCTCAATAGTAAAATGAATGAATTATTGATATGAAATTATATAAAACAATAATAAAAAATCAATTAATATTATGAAAATACAATTTATACTATATAAATTTAATCAATCATCATCATCGGAACTGGAACTACTAGACGAACTACTAGAACTACTTGATGATGAACTACCAGATGAATCATCGGAACTCAATGGATTGGCATCCTTCAGCACTCTAAATTCGTTCTTGTCGATCTCATCTAATTTAAGTGCTCTTTCATACAAATCGGACCTCTTCTCTTTAAAGGTCTCCATTAATCTTTGACTAAACTTTGGCCTTTCACTTCTTACAGATCTAAAAGTAACACATATCCCTTTACCTCCAAATCTTATCAAAATTATTGATTGACATGAAATTCTAAGTTAAAGCCACTGAATTATCCAAATTTAACACTGCATGCCACCAACCCCCAGGAACAAATATCGTATCTCCAGGACCTTATACACACATTACAATCTTTAGATTATCGGCTCCTTCTTTTTCAATCAATTTTGGCAAAGCATAAAGAAAGTAATCTATGGATTCATCCAACACTTCAAAGTCGATTTCCTTCTTGGCTGCAAGTCCTTTGGCCTTTACTATTGACTTTGGTATATCTGGAGGGAAGAGAACCCATAATTTATGTCCCTATAATGATGTATTCCACGCACTAGTCATTAATGGATCTATATGAACTGTAGTACCTGATCGTTTTGGTCTAATAACTTAAATAGTAAATTACCCAACCAAAACCCACCTATAAGGAGGACGATGCTTCTCTCCCACCAAGGAAAGGAAGTCATCTTAAAAGTATTTATGTTATTTGTATCTTCCAATCATATCTGCACCTCCTTCCTTCAGATCCTCGACTGAACTATGAGATGATTATTGATTAGTATACCTTTCAAATAAGTAAAGAGGAGAATCATCCTTATTATATACTAAGTATTCAAGAAAATATTTGAATGGCAATCTTAGCTTTTTTCCTTTGTCATCTTCTCCGATTTTGAAGGAGGTCTCTTTATAAAGTTGATATAATTTCTCAAAAGTCCAATATTTTTCAACGTTCCAATCATCTGTTGTATTGGTTATTATACACGGAATGTCTGGAATTTCGAATTGATTCACAAATTGTTCAGCGGTGAATGTGCGCCCATCTACTTTTGCTATAGTAAAATATCTAAATCAAATAGTTATTACTTTTCATATTATTTTCGCAAATCTTTAAGACACTTTTCATAGTGATTTCTTTTATACCATTCTCTCAATCTTAAGTGACTTCTGTCCTTTAATTTTATTTCTTCTATCAACTCCTATGCTTTTGAGCTCATCTCTTTTTCGAAGAATCTTGATGATTTCAACTTAAGCTTTTTAGCTGTTTCCATAATTTAATTATATTTATATCATAATTTTATCATTTTATCTTCTATAATTTGGTTTCGAAGCCTAAGTTTAACTCCATTCAATTCAATTTTAATTTTAACTTGAATTTAATTAAGAGTTATCTTACAAATCAATTACAATTTCTTTTTATCTTATAAACCTAATTTCATAGAAGTCTGATCAAGTCTGCAGTTGTGTTTTCAGAAAAGTCATTCACTTTAGATTAGAAAATAAAGTCTCTTTTCTGAAATCTTATTTAATTATAAACTCTAGTAAATTATATGATAAATTTTTGCGCATATACAAGTAATATCATTAGTAATGTTCATAGTTAACAAAATTATTTCAAACAAAACTAAACTTAGATACTCAAGCTCAATAATGATCTTAAAATAAAGTTAATATGAATAATTATGATCAATTGAAATATTTGTGTTCAGCTCTCCTCTAATTCCTATCCTTAATTACATTTATGATTTGGAGAACAAGTCTCTACGGTTAATGATAAATAAGCTATACTTTACTACTATCCAATATTATAAGCCATATGCTTTTATTTTAAACACTTAAAAGCGACCATCCCTTTGAACTAATGATCCTGACAATCTAATTTCTAAGCGTGCTCATCAAAATCTGTTTTTTTAAGTTAATCCTTTTAGGCTGCGCATCCCATTATTGTTAATATATTTAATTGCTAAAAATAAGATATTTTATTTTTTCCAGCCAATAAAAATGCATAGCAGAAATTATAAACGTCATAATTAAGTTCGAAATATTTCATTTACTATCTCCTGAATCTAAAATGTAGTGTCTTTGTTACTAACAATCATAAATCTACAGATGGTGGATAAATTTAGATTGGTAGAGTTTGAGAAAATTATAAATATTTTACATTATAAAAAAGCAAAAGAGGACAAGAATTTATAATTGAATTGGGGCCATCTATTTTATATTGCTCCAAGACATATTTCCTTTTCAATTTAGTATCCAAACATACTACTTATGAATAATAAAGAATGTTTAAAAATCACATATATAAAAATTACTATATTTTCATCCTTATAATACTAATTTACAATCATAATAGTGAATCCTCATTTCTGAAATCTATTTTCAACTCCCAAACTCTCCCTTATCTTACTGATGTTCTCCTCATTTTTCTACTACTCTCTAATCTGTTTAACCAATTAACTTGCCCTCTACTTAGATATCATCAATGCCTTCTATAGAATTTCATTCAAATCATCATCATTATCCATAAATTTATCCCCAAATACCCTTGCTAAATGTAGATACTCCACTTTTTTTATCAATTTCTATTCCTATCCATCCTTCTTTGATTCTGTAAACCCAACATTTTTGTCCTCCTACAAGATTTATTAAGCTCTCAAATCCTCATTAAACTAAACAGTGTAAGGACTAATAATTATAGTAATTTCCCCCTTCAATTAAGCAGGAGTGACAATTTAAGGATCTGTCAATTATTCGTATATCTCTCTACACCTTCCTCTTATTTTCTTTTCATTCTACTTTGTTAAATCAAACCCAACCCAAACTTACTGATTTTCCCCAAAAATCTCTTCAATTTTCAAGATAGTTTAATGAATTCTATTTGGAGATTCAAACAACACTATTGTTTATGGTTGTTTCTTATACAACGATAAGATGTCCTTATTGTTATCTTAAAGTGAAAAGACTCCTAAGAAGGTGAAATTATCAGCAGGAAATCCACAAGTACTCAAAGCCACTGAGATAGCACTTGCTCCTGGTAATACTTCAATTTGGACATTCCTCTCTATACACTTATTAACGAATTTGTATCCATTATCCGATATTGCTGGAGTTCCACTATTAACTACTAAGGCTACATTCAATCCCATTTTCATCATAGCAATTAATCTATCGATTTTTTTGTCATCATTAAAGTTAGTGCAACCAATTATTAACCCTCTTCCTTTTTATTTCTTAGCTTATGCTACTTTATTTCTTAAATACATCATCAAAGGTGCACTCAAACCATATACTTCAAATTCAGATGGGTTTATTTCCTCGTCTTCCGGTAAGTCCTTTTACTTCTAAGATTCTCTCCCTTGTTATTCTTTGATTTCTTCTAGTTTCTTCTACTTATAAAACTTAAAATCTGTTGATGTTATAAATTCCTTATTTAATTCTGGCAATTTCCTAAATATTATTGGCTTATATACTCTTTCAACTGGTTGGTTGATTTAAATATTATATCCTGAATTTGGATGTCATCTTCATCCAAATCGCATTCCTTAGCATCTTCAGGAACAATCACTTATTGAATGTTTCCATCTTTAATCCTTATGTTTTTGATGAAAAATCCAGTTGAATTAATATCTTAACAGGCAATTACATCTACTCCAAATAAGGCTAGGTTTTATCTTGAACTCCAATCTGACATGTTTCCTATTGGGATTGGACAGATTGTTAATGTTCCTTTTGTCTGTGACATTTAACCGATTTCAAGAATTTCATCCTAGGGTTTATATTAATTTTATACAATTTTAGTAGAGAATTGTCGCACTAAACGAGTAGCATATCTGATCATCAATAGTTTAAATTAATTAATATTGTCATATGGGAAATAAATAATTATAAGCCAAAAAGAGAAATAGCAATTTGAGTTTGAATAGTATGGGTAGGTCAGTTTCAACAGCTCCCACGAATGAGTCAGGTTTGATTAGATTTACGACAGACGGCAGCTTGAGTTCTTCGATGTTCGGAGGAGTTGAGTTTTACTTCAATCGCATGCCCAACCCTGTCATTGATGGAATATGCAAATTCCTGACCATAAATGATCTTACCAATTTATATTGCACAAGTAGGTTTGTATATGAAAGATTTTACACGTCTCTTCCTTACTCAATTGCATGTGGGAATCTATTGTACAAATAGTATGAAGACAGAAGAGGCATTGCATAGTAAGCAGTGCAAACCAAACATGCGTCTTGGCCACAAGTGCTAGAGGTTTTCATATAGAATAAGTAATTTATTCAACTTAATGAAAATTGTAGAAAATAAATTTTAAATCTGCAAATAAATTTCAGACAAGCATTGCAGAATGCCTACCAATTGCACATCATTTATCCTCCGCTATTAATGGATGAGGTGACAAAGGAAGGGTTGAACTCAGATTTCTAAAGATAGATTATGCAAAAATTATCAGATAGTTAAGAATGCCACACTATTACTGAAATCTAAATCATGAATCAGACGAGGGCTTATTTCAAAAAGTCATCACTTTAAAAATAGCAATTGACAAATTCAATGTTGGAGATTAGAACAATCAAAGTATTCTCGGTAGATGAAAAGTAACAGTTTATAATAATTATTTTTAGATTGCCTTAATTATTTAATATTTTAATAATTTTATTTTCATCAATTAAATCTCTATTATAAATTGTGGCATTGACTCTTGAGTGTGCATTCAATGGAACTGATAATATTGGCCTCCTAGATTTTTATCTTTATAATTATTAAATGTATCTTATTTGGATGCAACAACTTGATGAATTTGCTACCCCTTATCTTAAAATGTTCGACATCATGTTACTCGAACAATTGCCTTCATATGAATTTCCTCCCTTTACACTCTAATGGATTATGATGAAAATGTGGAATCAGTGCATCTATCAAAAATGCAAACATTTTTTAAGATCTATTTTCCTTTAATGGCTTTAATAGGTTAGACTTAATCCCTCTCTCAAGTACGAATCATTCTTGTTAAAAGATTACATCTAATCTTTGATTGATCTTTCAACCAATCAATCAAACATAAGAATGGCTGGACATTCAAAATTCACATACATAAAAGACTTAGAAACTCTTTTCTAAGTTGTAATAAGTCAATCAGTTGAACTTTGGAATTCCAAAAATTTTGATTTTAAAACGGATATAAATGTGCTTGGATATATCTTTAAAAAACACATCCTAGAAAATAATCTCCTGCATAATCTTTTAGAATAAAAGTATGAAACTGTTAAAGTTTCCATTGAAGCTATCAAATAAAGTTAAGAATTTTAAAAAAGAACATCAAAAGTTGATGATAATAATTAAATTCTATCAGAATAAGCAGATTACTCATTTCAATTATTAAATATTAATAAAGTATTTTAAAAGATCAAATAGATAATCAATGGTGAAAGCATGATGGATGAAAACATAAGATTAACAATCAATTATTAAAAAAATATACTCGATAAGGTATAAATGTATATAAGAGATTATCATCCTGATATCTATGATGAGATTTCTTAATTAGCCAATCTTGATGTGACATCAAGAGAAAGCGTTCAAATTCGTGATGCTGTAATAATACATCGAACAAGGTCAGAAAAGTATGATAATCAATTAGTGTCATATGATTCTGTAATTGATGCTGAAATCTTGAAGTAGTTGATACACTAACAACAATTGTCTAATTAGTAAAGCACATGCAAAATTTAAAAATAAAAGAGTGAATTACCAAAATTACAATTAAAAAAAAAGGAGTAAAATGAAACATTTTTTTCGATCAACATTGTAAATGGATTAAATCTTGCTTAAAGTTTAACAGAACAATTTATAAGCCAATAATGATTATATATTCAAATTTTTTAGAATTAATGAAATAGAGATTGACACAAATATTATAAATATATATAAATAACTTAATTAAATTCAAAATAATTCTTGTAAAAATTAATCGATAGAGTTAAACAATTTACTTTGTTGTACGAGATCACTTTCGAACTCCTTATCTCCATTTAGTACTAGTATAGAGGTATTTTGATGTGTTTCCCTTAATAGCCATTCTTCATGTCTATTGTGGATTTGAGTCAGATATTCTTTAGAAATGGTATTCTTTAAATAATAAAAATGGCGGTAATACTTTTTCTTCATTCTCTTGCTCTTTTTTGCATCCTTTAATAGCAGACATCTGGGTCCACTTATAAATATATGATCATTTGCTTTTGGATTTTTTTCCCGAAAACTTCATCACAGAGCCAATCATAGAATTTTTCATACAAGGCAAATTCTAGATTGTTTATCATCCCATTCTTGTGTCCATTCACAGCAAAGATCTCTTTGTCAGCTTCAATGCTCCTTTCACTTAGAATGAGATGTCTATCTTCAGGATTCAATGGATCAGAGAGAACCTCCTTCCAATGCTTGAGTCTGCTGTAGAATGCATAAACTTGCATAGTGTAAGCCCATCTTGATGGCTCCTCATAGAAGGAACCCAATAAATTCAAAGATGGATCTCCATTAATGCTTTGCCATTCATTAACTGGTTCTGCGATAAATCTCAACTAAGAATTATTAAGGATATTTACATCTGGATATTTCTATTACATTAATCTTAGTAGAGTGCTTTTGCCAGATCCAATGTTGCCTTCAATAGAGATGAGAGTGTATTGTTTTGATTTCATAAATATAAAATAATAATATTGGAGGGATTTTTGAAATATAAATAAGAAATTCATTTCTAATTCAAATTAGCAGTTTAACAAGACATCGTTTATTTTTTGTTATTAAAACCTATTATTCCAAAATCTAATTTTTAAAAATTGCCAGGATTCATGACTTAGGTGTCATTAATAATCGTTTGGTATTTGAATTAATCAGCTGTTAAATCACATAATACAACTAAATCAACACTGGGATCAAGTAGCATAGCAAAATCATAATTCCATTTATAACAAATCTGGTTGCTCTAAAATGTTCCCAAATATTGTTAGGATATGATTGTTTCACATAGATGTTCATGGCCAGCCTAAAATGATTGGATATGATTCTTTCTTATTTCCTTAGAAATATCATTCCTAGTAATAACAATATTGAACCCCTTTATTGATAGCCTACAAGGATTACTCAAACTATGCATCATCTATGTTGGTTCCTTCATATACAAGGTCAAATTAATTGGTGTTTTTGGCATAGAATATGCTAATGGAAAATCATTATATGAAGGTATAAAAAATAGTAAGGTTTTCTGTAGATAATCAGTAAAATGTTTAATAATCTTTACCAACTCATTCCCATACAGTGATTCATGATTTGGAATTTGTTGACTAGAAAATTGCCCCAAAAAAAATATTGCACCTGGAGGTGGCAACTTATACTCTATTGCTTGTTTAATCAAATTTTCAAATGATTGGATCGATAATAGGCTTTCAAAACTAAAATTGGACAGTATCCACATTTTATCAAAGTCATCTTTCAAAAATATATTTAAACTTTTTTATCTCTCTATCGTTTAATACTCTTGTGCAGAACTAAACTTAAGGATTTTATTGTAAACTCCAAAAGTGTCCAATTACAATATTTCTTTCAAGTCTGAATTTTTCATTTGTGATTTAATCTCCTTCTTCAAATTAAACTTATTATTAATTAAGCATAATTACAAAGGGAATAGTAAAATTAGTGACCTAAAAATATCCATGATGATCGTTCCACTCTCCTACCATCATCAAAACACTTCCCAAATTTGCTAATCCAATGTCCACTTATTCAACTTTGTCATTTTTGAAAAAACTCTTATTATGAGCATTCTATAAATTTATCTTAATTTTGTCATCTCCATCACTCAAATAATAATGATTTCCCAGTTATATCAATATTCTATTATACTATTATTATGTACCCCAATATATAATAGATTTTATCTGTAGACCCATTTGCAGTACCAATTGAACTAATTGAAATTTCATCGTTGCTTTAATAACCAAATACATAACGAGGGTCTTATTTCAACAATTAGGTAATGTGTGCCAATCTATTCAATTGCATATTACATTTATCCTTAGGACTGCATTAAAATGTAAATCTGTCTAACTCGAAATACTCTAATACGATTATTGATTTCCTTATTCTCTCTTATAATATTGTAACTTAATCAAAGGAATTTGATTATTTTCCTTGCTTGATCATCTCAGTTATTTTCTCGACTTCTTCTTTCTCTAGATATTCATAAGCAAGTTCTTTTGCGAAATACACAAATTTTTCCAGAAGGGATTTGTCAATGTATGATCCATACAACTCTTTAAACCTACTAAATCCATCTTTTCTAAAATGAATGCCCGCATAATTCAACATTTTCAATATATTGCTGACCTCCATTTCCCGCCTTATAAATTTGATGAATATATATATTATATAAATTTAGTTCAAAAAAGTTTTTATCCCAAAACAATCTACTTTTAACTAGTAGCCTTATTCACGATCAGAGCTAACAATTACAACTGGGCGTTTAATAGTAAAGTCTTAATATTCAATACTAATTCCGATTAATCGTATCCTTTCTGCTGTTCTAATCATACTATAACTATAATATTACATAATGAAGTATTCTATTGAGAACTTGAAGTACTCCCTCTATATCCATCAGCAAACAAACTTGACTTTCTTGGCTTATGCTTTCTTTACATGGTAGGTCTGCTTGTCGATGCTTTTGTATGTCTCACCTAAATTTTCTCACTTCCCATGCTAGAATCGATCAAACCTAATCTTGCAATTCTTCTGTTGTCGTGTTGCAATTCGCTTTTCAATTGAAAATCATATTCATTTGATGACAATGGGAATGAGATTTTTCCAAAATTGTTTACAAAATCCATATAAATAGCATAAGCCTTAGCAAATTCTAAATACGTAACCCATTCATTCAATTCATCTTCTGTCTCAAGGGCAAATTAAACTTTTCTATAATTCTCAAATACTTGGTTCCCTCTGCTCCATTAAGAAGTAGTGACAGTTAAAGTAAAATATTAGGAGTTAAACTCCCTCTCTATGAGTTGAATGTGTTTCAAGTAAATAGTTAAAATATGTTCAGGATTGTCATCCTCTTGGGAAACACTAATTTTATTATAAATTTACTTACATTAAACATTCACTTGATATGACACAAAACCGCCAGTTCCATTACAACCCCTTCTCAGATCTTTTGTTGATATATCCAGATTTCAATAGCACATTTCTTCGATTTTAATCTAATAATTATTTAATCTTTTTTATTATCAATTATTTCTTTTCATACAGTGTCAATTTTGGTAACAAAGTGCCTTCATCTACAATTACTGAATTTCTATTTTACGCTTAGGTCCAATGGTATTGCATTCTAGTGTACTCTTTGTTATTATGATAATCAAAGGGTTGAGGGATTTTCTATAATGCCAAAGCAACATTTTTATGGGCTTGTCTTCTTTATGCGTAAGTCATTCTTTGATAGATTGTCTCTCTAAAAAATGAATAAGAAAATCTATAATAAATATTTTCCACTTCCATATTCAAAATGTCTAATAGACCTTATTCATAAAGAGAGTTCAATTCATTTATTAAGAGTTTTTGTTTAATAAAATCTTTAAATGGATTCACATAATTCAACGTTTATATGTCAAATATATCTCCAATTACACAAGCTTATTTTAATATTAATTACTGTAATGCAGTTAATTTGTCAATATAAGGACCATTTATTTAAACAGCCATCAAAGGAGAGTCAATGTCTAACCATTCTTCATGTTTAATAAGAGTGCGGAATTTCTTTGAAGCCATTCCTAGATTTCTTTACTCATCAAGTATTATGTAATGATTATTCAATAAATGTTTCATTAGATAGATCACTTTCAAGGGATGGCCACATGTAATCACATACAAATAATTAATACAAACAGAATTGAAATCCATCTCTTCTAATTCAGGCTTTGACTCCCAAAACATTAATGGATCTCTGACTTTTTTCAGTAATTCAACCATTTCATAAATATCGTCTATAGAGGATGTTCGTTTCCTGCGTGCAAACATTGTTTAATCCTGATTTTTTTAATCTTCTTCCATACAAACAAAAGATTTGATCTTGAAAAACTTTTCAAATAAATCTTACAACTACTCAGTCTATTTAAGTCCTTTCAAATTGATTGTCAAATTGTTTGTTTGCTATTTTATCATTTTAGTTAAAAATTCTGATTAGCTATCAGATTAATTATTAGAATTATCAAAAAAGGAAAACTCCTTAAATTTATTCCTGATGCAACCAACAACTAAAATATTTTTAAAGTTTTTGAGAATAGATTTCAAAAGATATAATGATCCATCATCAGTGTCTTGCATATCGTCAATCATTATTATAAGGGCTTGAGAATAGTATTCCTATATTTAATCCTCATTTTGCATCTCATTTTAGATTTATCCTTATTCTTGTTCTAAATACAAGCTGAAGAGTCTATAAACAAACTTTTTGATTGATTTTGCTAAAGTTAAATCCTCCCTAATTGTATTGGCTTTGATATCATTTACAGTGAGACTCAACACTTAACTAATAATATTTGCTAAATGAGAATCACACTCGTAAATTTATTAAATTAATTCAATATTAGCAGCCTTGTTTAATCTCTATGCATAGGAAAGAAAAATATTTCTGAGAATAATTTTAATAGAATTTAACAATTTTGATCGACTGGATGGATTCAATGATGATATCATAATTTCCAAAAGGGCTTCCTTATTTTGTAAGGACTCAATGTTTTTGAGCACCGTTTTGGCTAAAAATGATTTACCAATCCCATATTCACCTTTAATTAACACCAATCTATTTTGAACATGTTTGTTTTTTTTGAATTCATCTAAAAATTTTTGTATAAAATTCTTTATCTAATTAATCTCCTATTTTCTGCCTACTGGTTAAAGTTCCTCATCATATTCTCTACAATGACTATGATATTTATCAAACACGATAACTGATTAAAGGTTATTGTGATATTGAAGTGATTTTGATGAGAAGGTAGAATTAAAGTTGGATAGGCTAACCATAGATTGAGTATTCATCATTCTAAATTCAAGATGAGTATTGATATCTTTTATCTTCTTAAAATCCTCCTACAAAGTTAAGGGTTCATATATCAATACTCCTTTTTCCTTTCCTTTAACTTTCCTTTCACTCCAAAAAATGGATTAGATCTTAGTCTAGGCATCACTTGCACTGGTCTAATCTATTAAGATACAGGGTGAAAATGGTTAAGTTGCAATTTACATCAATCTAGCAGCCAAATTAACACAATCTCCCAACACTGAATATTCTCTCCGACTCCCTGAAGTTCCTACGACTCCACAGTATGCTATCCCAGTGGAAATTCCAATTGCAACTTTGCATTTGATCTTTTTCAAATCTGACTCTAGTAGAAATGCTGATTAAATGGCTCTCACTGGATCATTCTGATGACTTACAGGTGGTAATCCAAACACTGCAATACATGTAGAACCTTTGTCATCCATTAATAGTTTATTTAGAGAACCTTCAAATGTATAGACACAATATTGAACAGTCTTGATTACATTTTGTATCCTCTGTAACCCTGAGTCTGTTTTGGCATCTGATAAATCTATACTCAAATTGATGAACATCGTAGTTACTCTTCTTAATTCACTGCCCCACCTCTCCAACCCTATTTCCATATATGGCTTAAGTGCTGCAGGTACAAACATTGCTAATTATTGCTATATTTTAGGATTCAAAATGATTGAATTTTTGATGAGAGTTGCCTCTGCTTTTAATTTAACTTTGCTGTAGGCATTCAATTTCTTAACTTGATAAAACTATTTATTTTCGTGATTGATGGTTTCAAATGTGAAGTAATCTTTTACAAATTCATAGACTTCCTTTGATATTATAGTTTCTCCTCCTTTGGTAGCACAATGTTCACTTTAGAATGCTTGCAACAATGGTTCTCCTGTTGCTAAATATTCAGATCGATTGTACACTCCTCCCACATAGATAATATTGATGTCTCCAATTCCAAATCCTATTTTTACTGACAATTTCAAATCTGGCAATATGCATGTATCATTTAATTTATTTTGGATGTCCAATGCATTTTAAAGTGCCATTCTGCAAGTCAAACGAAGCTCTTCATGCACCTAAACGATGTCCGTTTTGTAAGAAGGAGGCCATACAACAATCATGGCATCTAGAATTAGTAAGATAATATCAACCTCCAGCGAACTTTAGAATGTCACCTCCACTTTAACTTATTGCCTTTACTAGTAATTCCATATATCTATTGATTACGAAGGCTGTTAATTCTGGCCCCTCGTTTCCCAATTTTGAGAGACTCTCGGTCAGATTCGTAAATCCTGAGACATCTGTGAACATTACAACACTTTAAAATGATTATTTTGCAGGTAATTCCTTAATTCTCAACAATCAAATATTTTATACTATTCATGCTATGCAAAATACTACACAACCAAAGCAGGAACATATCCCATTAATGACATCAAACTCTTTTTTGATAACATAGTTAATTAAAAATATATAATAATAAAAATCATGATTCTTATTCAAAATTTTCCTTCTAGTATTCAATAACTTATTAATTATTTTACTCCAAGGTAGTAATCAAGAAGCTCTCCTAATGATCTCTTTGCTAGTCCTCACTATCTTCCAGTGGATTGACAACATCCTAATCACTTTATGGATCTATAGATTCCGCAGCCTTAATTAACACTTAGCTCCCATTTTCAACATCATTAATTGTGTTAAAATTGGTTTATTATTATTTTAGCAATTTCTGATCATTCTCAATAACTTAATTTTGAATCATTATTATGAAAGCATTTTCTTATGGCTTTTCTTAATCATTAGATTCTTTTACTTTATTCCCCTCTTCATTTACATTTGACCTTTAAATCTCATTGCTTTCAGTCATCTTCCCAATAGTCTCTTTCCTTTCTTCTTCTTCCACAATCTTGAAGAATGCAGTTCCATTCAATTTCCCCTTATCCTCATCTAAAGTTTATGTTTGAGTCTATTCTTGATTCTGGGACTGTTAAATTAAAAATAGCCCAGAATCATTAGAAAAATTCTAAACTGCTTCCTCAACAACTTCAACTTAAACCTCATTCCTAGGCTGATCTACATTAGGTTATTTGTCAATATCTGTGATCTTAATTAGAATCGGAGGAGTGTTTGATTTCTTAATGGCATCTTCCTAGCCATCCAGTATTTTTTTAGATTTTTGCTGTTCAGTTTTAGAAATATTGTTAGAGGTGATTTTTTTGAAATCCAATTTTTTCAAATTCCTTGATTAACTTTTCTATAAATAGTCCTTAGTATTAACGCTTTTGCTTTTGTATTATTCTGGAGATTGTGAAACTAACTGTATTTCATTTTTATGCTATTTTGGTTTGGTTAAGACTAATTGAATTTCTTTATGATATTTCTTATACTAATAAACTGGTTTTTATTATGAACTCCTGAAGGAGGGAAGTTAAGTTGTTTAATCTGATCTTATTTATAGCAACTTTTATTATTAAGTGTCAGGCTCTCTGTGACTTTAGATATGATCCACAGGCTTATCTGTAGTGATCTTTTTGATTGTATTGTCCTACGCAGATTCATGATTTTGAAAACCAAAATTATGATCGTCTGTTTCGTGTATCTCAATATTTTGATTTTTCTCTAGAGTTTTTGAGGCAGTAGTAGTGATGTTTTTAGTTGGTTAATTATGGATTTGATATTATTGTTCTCTTCCTCTTTAGGTCTTGCTTACATGACCCTCACTCTTCTTGATTTAAGGCAATTTCGAAAAGTTCTTTTGAGTTTTGACATTCTCTACTTCCTTTTTACTACCCAAAGAATTTGTACGCAATTTTCTGCTCAGTTATTCAGTTGCTTAACTAATTTTACGTAATTCATCTTGCTATTTCGATAATTTATTGTCCATTTAATCTTAAGGAAAATATGTAATTACTAACTGTTAAACATTCTGTACAGTTGTAATAAGAGAATCCAGAAATGTTACAAAATGTTCTTTAGATAATGATCTTGATACATTCGGAACTTTTTGAGTGTTGGAGACTTTAGTAGCTGTCTAATGCTGAGGCGAGCTGGATTAATTTAATGCTTAAGTTTATTTTTGTTGATGCTAAACTTTATGTATTCATCCTTACTATAGTTTAATCAAAAGACTTTGATTGCAGAGGAGCCAGATTTCTTTGACTCATCCTATCTTGTTTCATTTTGATCACTTGTTCTCTCACTTTCTTATTAAAGTAGTATTATTCCAAATGGATATCCTTCTCAGGCTTGTAATCGAGCACCTTTCCTCTTCTAGCAGCTGACACCCCATCCAACAAAAAAGGGGGCTTTATTTTTGTCTTTAGTTGTTGCATATAATTTTTATAAATGAATTATGCTAATCCATTTTCTTTATCATCTCATGGAAGCTTCCTAAGTCCCAAAGAGAACCCTAGCTTTTTAACTAGCTTTCTCTCTCAAAATCAATCAATCAGATCAGTCCAATCAATTCCCACCAAGATGAGTTTCATATCACATCAAAAGAATCCAAAGAAATCCGATTTAGTATCTCCCAGATCCAAGATTGTGACCTTGCATGAGGATCGCAAAATTTAAAAGAAGAATGTAGAAAGAGTCAAATACGTTTCGGAGCATTCCACTACACCTTACTTGTACATTTCAAAAAAACAACCTTAAATTCGCATTCCAATACTTCCCAAACTGACACCTGAACCTAAAATAGAAGTATAAAGAATGCCTTATATAAATATCATGACAGAACCAACTGCTGCAATTGAGGAACATAGTGATGAAGGAAGAACTAATGGCGAAAAAAGTGTAGATGATAAGTAATTAATTTTGAATAAGTCCCATAATTTACTCCATGCTTCCGATATCACACAGAACTAAGAAGACTTACTATCGATAAGTAAACTCTCCCTCAAGTCACGTTTTAAATCGGCAGTCCAAAAATCGTTTCGCACTCCTCCTAGGAAAGTATTATCTTATATAATTAGTCATTATTTAATCTTCTTATATCCAACGAGTTTAATACTTACCATGAAAAGGAGAGAAAATCCATCCAAATTAAATTCGAACCTGGTAATTAGGTGCTAGCATCCAAATTAATACAAATGAAAAAAGATGCCAATAGGAAATAGTGCATCAAAACAAAGGATATCAATAGACAGTCTCGTTTCATAAATGTTGAGCAGTTTAGTGTATCAACTAAGGCATTCTAAAGAAAGATTAACTTAATACATGGAACAAATTCTAGAAATATGTTACAATTGGAATCTTTTTCTTTACTTCCAAAATCTTAAAGGAAATCTGCAAGTTTTGTTTCGAAATTACATACTAATCTTCAATTAGGAATCTCGGACAAGGTAAATGAAAAGAATGAAGAACTCCAATTCAATTAGAAAGATATCAAAGAATCTGAAAGAGTATAAATAAATTTAACAGTAACCTTTGAAAACGTGGACAAGGCAGTCTACTAATTTAATAAACCGAAGCATATTTATCATAAAAATATCCTCTTTAATGAAGAAATATCGCAATTATAAAATATTTCACCAAAACTAACTCCAAGAATCCTTCCGATCTCTTAGCTATCTTCAAGTAATCATCTATAACTTGCCTCAACTAAAAAATTGGATTATAATTCAACTTTAGTCAATGTAAAAACAAAAAGATAATCGAGATTATCAGTTCAATAAGGAGTGACATAGGATGATGTATCAAAACTTGAGTAGTAAAATGAATTCAATAAAGTATTCATACATATTAGATTAATAGCCTGGGTTATACGTCCGAGTTTATTATCAAAACAAGTTATATAAACTGATATAGAAATCCAATTATACGAGAGATAATTTAGAAGAAATTGAATAAAATTTTAGATCAAATTTTGCATCTCCGAATAGCAATTTACTAATGAACACTGCTTTCACCATGATGTCAACAATAGAGTAGGGAATGAGATAGAGAAAAGTTACGAATGAATCATTAACAGAAAAAATCTAATTTTTGGGTTTAAGGTTGTCGAAATATGAAATAGAATCTGAAGAGTTGATCTTTGATTATGAAAATGAAACATCAAATGATAATACAGAATCGAGTGATGATTCAGAATCTGATGTATCCTTAGATAAATTGTTGGAGAGTCCCTTGAATCCCATAAGTAACAATTTAAATAAATTATAGCTAGAACCATCATCAAAAAATAAAAAGACTTCTAAACGAAAAAAATCTATTAAAGAAACATCAAACTAGCAAAATGATTAAACTCACTACTTTAATGACTAACCAACTGATTAGAAATGTAAAAAATTAATTAATTCATAGAGCTATCTACAGGGACGCTAGTTATATTAAAGAAGATTCGTGAAACCTTTCATACACCGTTAACTATTTAGCCAATTTTAAATATTTTGGAATCTTCAGCCAAAAACATTTTGTTAAGTTACAGTGCTTCTGTTTGCGAAGAATTTCCGATGGAATTGGTTTAGGATAAGGATTAAATTGCAATTTAGAAATTGTTAAAATTTTAGAAAAATTCTAAATTGAATTCTATGGCCTTTTAGGCAATTGTAATGAGATATTCTTAGATCTTAATTGGGAGATATCTCTGTTCAACCAGAATAATAGATTTTGAACATTAAGATCCTGTTGTTTAGACAACGATTTAAGAATAATTGGAAACAAATGATCAATCCTCATCTATTCAATAGCAACAACAAACCTCATAAATTAAAAGTCAAAAAAAAAGTTCTAATAAAGATTCTGGTAAAGATTCAATCAATAAGAAAAATTAGACAGGAGGGAAGATGCCTTAATAATCTTAAAGATATCTTACAAAATAGGAATCTCTTCAAGTAAATTAACTACAATAGTGGAATAGAAAGGCTATGCAATCTGGTGATTTATCAAATACTTTATAATAGTCAAATTAATAGAACTCAAATTTATTCACTCAAACTTCAACTATTTTAATAACAAAACCTACCTAAACCTCACAATAATCTGTGTTTCGAGTTATGAGTTCCAAACACATTGATTTGAATAGTTCTTAATAGGATATGAGTTCTTCATTAAGTTCTCCTTAAGAAGAAACTCCTTAATCTGGTTAAGTTATAAAAACTCCTTAATCTGGTTAAGTTGTAAAAACGTCGCAAACATAACAATAACATGTTACCTAAGCATCAAATTAAATATAATCTGGTCGGAATTTACGTTCTCTGGATGAAGATTCTCAGCAAGACTTGTGTGAAGTATACAACTCTCATCATTTAAAAAACAATGCGGTATTTGTTTGAATAATTTAAGAATTGCTTGAGTATGTACATGAATTCATTGAGAATGAGAACTCACATCAAGGAGTCTTCAAGAAGATAAAAATTAGAATAAATCTAATAGATTAAGTTGGCCATCTATGATCATAATTACACTGAAGTATTGAATTAAGAATATTAGTTTATTGATAATATCTAGTTCATTCCAGAAACCTAACTAGATACTCCTTTATAGAACGGGAATACTTTTCTAATTATGGCTGCCTAGTGTGGATGTATTGAGATTGTTCACGAGCTCATAAAGAGGGGTGCAGACATCGATATTTAAAATGTATAGTATTACTAAAGAAGGATGATGGCAATACTGCAGTTCATTTGGCTTTGGCATATGGGCACTACAAGATTGCGGATTTGCTAATGGAATCAGGGGGGAGCACGCATATCTTAAACAGAAAGGGATAGAATGCCTGGGGAATATTATGATACTAAATATTATTTATTTATATAAATATATTAATATTAAAAATGGATCAACAAACTCAGAAGCCTAAATTGGTGAACATTTATTAGTATTGCTTTTATGTTTATCAATAGAAGAGCCAATCTAGTTTGCAACAAGTTGAAGGCGTAGAATTTAAGTTCTCTAACATTTGTTCTGAAAGAACTACAAAAATCAAAGAAAACTCCAAGTACATCTTTACATACTACAGCGAGTAAAAGAAATTAACAATCAAAATAGAAAGATAATGTTTAGGTCTAAACTCCTTAAACTAGTTATCGTTCTAGGTTATAATTAACCCAAAGAAATGAATGGATTGATTTAATTAATCAAAAATCATAATAAAATCTTCAGTCTGATCAAATTGCAATCACCGAATATCGGTATTAATAAAATTCAACTTAGAACGAAAGTTTAAATGGATTCTTTCTTCTAAAATGACTGGAAATAGCCATATTATAAACAAGAAAAAATAAAATAAATAATCTAAAAAGTAAATTAATATTAGTCTATCGATGATATTGATTCATGGAAACAAGTAGTGTATTAGAGACTGTATCAGAGGATATCATGATTTAATTAAAAACAATTTTGATATATCACTAATCTAAAATATCTTTAAAATATTAGTGTTGCAAAGCTTAACTTGCACTAGGTCTTTATTCAGGTATATATTTCAGTAGTTTTCTAATGATAACTAACATAAATTAATACTTTAGCAAGTCTACAAAATTTTCTCTATCCTCGACATTACTAAATTTATCATTCAAATTAATGGCTTTGTATTCAGGAAACTCCTGAAATAAATTGATGTCAAAAGGAACCACTCTTTCGAAATATTTAAGATCTTCCTCTGTAAAGGATCCCATTATTTTGAGTATTTAAAATAATTGATCTCCTTCAGATTTGCCAATAAAAAAGGGTTCCAATAATGCTAATTCAGCCATTATACAACCGAAAGCCCAAATATCAATGGATTCAGTGTAAGTAGTGACGCCTAGCAATAATTCAGGAGCTCTGTAAAATCTGGAAACAATATAAGGTGTATTCACAGCTGTTCCAGTCATTTCTTTAGCACTTCCAAAATCACATAATTTAAGAGTTCCATCTTGAATCAACACATTTTCTCTATTTCAATAAAGATCAAGAATTTACGGTTTTAAGTCCCGATGAGCAATATGCTTTTTATGAATCTAATCAAGACCTTTGAGCATCTAATGAAGATAGTTCTTAAGTGTTTTTGCATCAAAATATTCCTTTCTTTTTCTATGATCAATTATAATATTTTCTAAATTTTGATCCATAAATTCTAGTATGATGTTTTAAACCATTTTATTATCTTCACTTCTGCTGTAGAAAACATCCTTGCTATTTCATTAATCATACTATCAATTTAACAACATTTGGACACGATTTCAATTGCATCAATATATCACATTCTCTGCTTGATATTTTACCCACTTTTTGCATTCTTTTTAGGGCTACTTTTTAGTGTCTCTTAGTATCAATTGCTTCGAAAACATAACCTATGAAATAACTAAAACTCTGTACCGAAAGCCCCTGAACCAATAACCCTTGTAATTTCGTAATTAGGAATGCTACCATGTGTTTCCATTTAGAAATTTGTTATTTTACTCACTTAAAATAAAAGTTAAGAATTTAGTATTAATAATGAGTATTATCACACTAGTATAATCATTTTGTTCCCTTGATTCTAGAGTTAGTTCTTAAAAGGATTGGAGGATCAATTGCCACCTTAATTTAAAATGATCTTACAAATTCAAATATAGGTTATTATGAATTTGTAACAGCAGAACAGAATTATAGTTAATTTTACTTTTGAAATTGGAAGCATATTTTCCTCCTGTCTTGCCTCGATGATGGTATTATTGAGTCCAAAATCTTGAATTGTGAATTTACAGCAAAAGAAAAGAATATATGAAAATCAAAGTTGATTATATAAAAAACCAATAATTTCAAATCATATATAAATTCTTCCCCTTAGTATCTAATTATAATATAAATAAAAATAAATAAAAATGTCTAGATAGGCTCCATCCTCTGCTTAAAAAAGTCGATTCCCAAGAAGGGCTCCTTCCCCCCCCCTCCTCCTTAAAAAGGACCTAAACCTTTTAATGCTGAAGATTTTGCCAAACCACCTCATCTAACAAAGGAGGAAGTCTTGGAAGTAAAACAAGCATTTGACATTTTTGATAACGATGGATCTGGATCAATCGATCCATAAGAATTAAGAGAAGCCTTTGAAGCTTCAGGAATCAAAACCTACCACAATAAATTTATTTATTAAGTATTGGGAGAATTAGATACTGATAATAGTGGAGGAATTGATTTTGAAGAGTTTTTGCATTTAGCTACAGCAAAGGTTAGTGATAAAGATACCAGAGAATAAATCCAAAAAGTCTTCAATCTGTATGATTGGAACAAGGAAGGTATAAGGGAATTATATATTAAGGTCGCATCACCTGGGATGAATTAAAGAGAGTAGCATAAGACTTGGGAGAAGAAATGACAGATGAGGAGATCTAACATATGTTCAAAAAGGCAGATTTAGATGATGATGGTTTTGTTACTTTTGATGATTTTTACAATCTAATGACCCAAAAAGAATACGGAAAATAATGATATCAGATAATGATAAACATATAAATAAAAAGTATATATTACATATTAATCATTTATTTATTTGAAAACGACTAGTATCTTATCCCATTTTCTTTATTTGATTTTATCGTAGTTTTTATCATTAATTGTACTTAAGGTAAATATTACTTCACCTTGGTTTTCGAGAGATATTGTTCCGCTCTCAACTATTAATTAATATTTATATATATTAATAAACAACATTTTGTAAATATGTAAGGAAACAATGCAACTGAAAAAAAAGTAATAGAGTTAATTGAAGTATCGCTGAACCAAGATCAAATCCGATCAATATTAAAATAATAATAAAAAGAATTTCGATAATATAGTGTTGAGAAAAGAAAGTCTCTCATATTGGCAGAAGAATTGAAGATATTAAAAAAGACAGAATGCTTAAATCTGATGGAACAGTACATCATTCCGAAGATTTTAGAAAAGCCAACAAAGCTCTGGAGTATTTCTAGCCTGAATTCCCTATTCTTAAGTTTCCTGTATTAATCATCTTTATTTTAGGAAGACACTGTGTTAAATACGTATGATAAAACTAAAAGATGGTTGAAAGAATTCGATTTCCCTAATAAAAAATAATATTGGCAAGAGTTTAAAAAGAGAAACTTTAAACATTATCCAGGATAGCCTTTTAGTTATGCACCAGGAGTTCCTACCTATTTTGAGGAATTCAAAGCATACCATCACATAGAACATGAAGAATCTTAAGTTGAAAAATATCAACGACTCTAATAGTACAATATTTTATATCATCCAGGAAAAAAGTATTATATGTTTAACCAACAAAAGTAGTTGGAGGTGAATTTAGTAGACCTATTTTCGATAGGACTCATGTCCATGTAGAATTAAATCCTATTCATTAAGTCTAATATCTACCTAATCCTGTTTCTGCAGGATTCAACTGACTATAGATAAATGAGTAGAGAATCAATTAAATCAAAATTGAATGGCATGCAAAGAGTTAAGCCATTTACTTCATGTAGTACGAGAAGTTAGATATTTTAATAAAAATACAAACCGTTGAATGCTGAAAAGACATAAGAGACCGCAAAATCTTCGAAAAAACCTAATGATGATGATTTTGATATTTGATAAATATGTATTTATAGATATTCTCTCAAATATAGAGACCCTCTGGAATATTTCCTTTTTTCAAATATAATATCTTTTCTTTAGCTTTTCTGAAATCTTCTTATGTTATTTTCATTCTTCTTTCTCTTAGAGCAAGTAAACCAGCTTCTGTGCACATGGCTTTGATATCAGCTCCAGATAATTCATCTTTAGCATTAATGAATTCATCCAAATTTGCATCCTAATTATTGAAATAAATAAGTACCTCTCCTAGATTCATTTTACTAGTGTGAATTTAAAAGATCTTCTTTTTATTTTTTACATCAGGCAAAGGGAATTCTATTTTTCTATCAATACGTCCAGGTCTAATCAAAGCTGGATCAAGAGATTCAATTTTATTTGTGGCAAGGATTACTTTAACATCTGCTCTTGAATCGAAACCATCTAATTAATTTAGTAATTCAAGCATTGTTCTTTAAATTTCTTTTTCACCACCAGAGTGTGAATCATATCTCTTAGTACCAACAGCATCAATTTCATCAATGAACACTATACTAGGAGCATGCTCTTCAGCAACTCTGAATAACTCTCTAACTAATTTGGGACCATCTCCTTGATATTTCTATATCAATTCTGATCCAACCACTCTTAAGAATGTTGCCGAAGTTTCATTGGCAACTGCCTTAGCTAAAAGTGTCTTTCCAGTTCCTGGTTCTCCATATAGGATGACACCTTTGGGTGGTTTAATTCCCATATCCTCATAAATTTCAGGATGTGTTAATGGAAGTTCCACGGCTTCCTTAATTTCTTAAATCTATTATTCAAGACCTCCAATGTCTGCATAAGATTCAAGTGGAGCTTTATCAACTTTCATCACATTAAGAAGTGGATCAATTTCATCTTGCATTATACCGACAACTGCATAAGCTATTTAATACAATCAAAGAGTGTTTTTACATCTTTAATTTAAAAGAACAGAGCAACCTGGCTCCAACTAATCTTTGTCAACAAAACTCATGATTCCTGAATAACTTTCTGGACCAACTGAAGACGATACAATAGCATGATTTTCATTTACAAATTCTTCTAATGTTCCAACACTTTCAAATTAATAAATATCTTTACATCATTGGTGTTCCTCTAAGCTATTCTATTTTTTTCTACTCTTCTGATTCAGCTTAATCTTATTCTTTTAATGGCTTTAATCTTTATTAATTTTCAATGAATTCTTATTCTAAAAGTAAATAGTCTTTTATTCTCTCATTTTTTAGTAATTTTAATCTACACTTAGTAATTGGTGTCGCTATGAAAATATATATCATAAATACCTGCTGGTAATTTGGATGCCTATTCAACACCCTTTCTAAGCTTTTTCCTTCCGACTCTTTACGGGGGAGGAGGTGGTTTTTTTTGTTAGTCCTTGTTTTAATTGTTATTATTATCTTGATTATTCCCTCTTCCTTGATTAGGATTGAAGGGATTAAACCCTTGTGGATTTTGATTTCCCATAGCGTATATTTTTAATTTAAATTAATACACCAGTATTGATAATTTTATTCAAATAAATAGTAATTTAATTGTCATTTCTCAATATACAAAAGTTTAGAAATCACGTTGAGATAATTAGGGATAAATAAAAGCATTTTATTTGTTTGATTGTTTTAGAATTTAAAATAATAAAAATATCATACAATTTATAAAATTTGGTTAATGCAAAACTATGAAATAGGAATTCCGATTATAATTGAAGCAAGTATTGGATTGGCTTCTTCTTTATTCTTCATACTCGACATTTCGATTCATTATACGATGAAGCTATATCAATTGGAATTGGGGATCTTATATACTAATTTGATGTAATCTATAAGTAAATAAAACTTAATGATTTTAAGTCACCATACTATTAATTCTTGACTTTAGCAATTAAATGTGTGTTTGGACATTGTTTTTAGAATAATGTTTGACTCTTTCAAGTTTTCTATGGACCATCTTGATTTTATAAAAAAGTTGTTTACTCACTAGATACCCAATTTAGACGGCTTTGGAATATCTAAAGACTAATTAATTTGCAGTATTAATTATTAAATCCAGCTCTAAGCTATAATTGCATTTGGATTGCCAATAATCGCATCATCATTAATTTTTGTTAAAGTAAATATATGTCAACTTGATACACTCACTCAAGTTTCAACTAAATTATTCTGGGCAATATAATCGATTTTAACAATAATATTCATTGGAATAATCACCTATCATATCATAAGAGTTCACTTGAATTGTAAACTTGTAAAGAATATAGAATAAATTTAGGCCAAATTATACTTAGAGATTTTATACTGCCCAATAATATTAATCTTTTCATTACCATGGATTGTGTATACAATTTTCAATTTTGAATTAGATGATTCAGAGGATGTGAAAATACTTCAAGGTAATTGTAAAAAATCTAAGCTAAAGGTTTATTTCTTCTAAAAAACTCACAAATAATTTTCAGTACTTTTCTTTTTGGATAAAATTCAACCTTTTAAGTGGCTTTCCTTGAGAATGCCTGCCCAATATTAAGAAAAACCTATTTGGCAAAATTTGATTTAAAAAATAAGTATATTATTCAATATATATCCAGAAACAACAATTCATAGACTTTAAACATCGAAATTTGTAATACTTTATGCTCACAATTATTAATAAAATGATTATAGATTTATAATTTATTAAATAAAATAACTAATGGGGTTTTTTTATAGCTTATTATCATTATTTGGTAATATTGTCATTGTTGCATTAATGTTGACAATTGGAATCTTGGCGTTACTCTACTTCCAACAAAACTCATTAATTTATTTACCAGGTATACATTCGTACTAATTTATCAAGCATTTTAAGGATCATCACAAAGTCCTAGTTAAAATATGAATGGACTCAGAAATCCTTCTGAGAGAAATTTATAATATGAAGATGTAGAGATTGGAACACAAGATAGATAAAAATTAAAAGGATGGTTCATTAAATAGAATGACAGTTCAAATGCACCTACCGTGATATTTTTTCATGAAAATGCTGGAAGTATTTTAGAAGTTAATATTCATTTCAGATATCGGAGCTAGATTACAATTTTTAGAGCTATATTTTGCCAACGTCAAATGCAATATCTTGATCATTGCATATAGAGGATATTCAGATAGTACAGGAAAGCCCTCGGAATAAGGTCTTTAAATAGATGGAGAGGCTATTGTTAATTATTTATTTCATAGAAATGATATTGATCACTCAAAAATATTTGTGCATGGTAAATCTTTAGGTGGAGCTGTTGCCTGTCATGCTATGATTTAAAATATTGCAAAAGGCATCAGAGGTGTAATATTAGAAAATACTTTTACATCAATAGATGATATGGTTGATGTCATCTTTCCTAAATTGAAGTTTTTCAAATCATTTCTTCTTTAAAATCGTTGGTTGTCAATTTAAAAAGTTGGTCAGATTACATAACCAATACTGTTTATTTATTGTAATTAAAGATGATTATTTGATTTTAGCAATGTAAGATGAAGTAGTACCAGCGCAACATATGGCATCATTACAAAATGCAGCCTAAAGAGCCAAATTTATTGAAAAGGTATTTCCTTCTATTATTTTAAAGTTTGTGATCGAAGATGGTGATCATAATAATAATTGGTTTAGAGAACCAGAAAAGTACTTTAATTCAATTTCAAGTTTCATCAATAAAGCAATTACATCATGATTATATATTATAAATTAAATGCAACAAAAATATTGTGATGAATGTGAAGAAACGAGAGCCAAGATAAATTGTAATTAATGTGGTCAAATTCTATGCGAGCAATGCGACAAAAAAATACATAATAAAGGAAAAAGAGTTTATCATTCTCGAGAACTAATTGAATCATCAGATTCGATTGAATCAAACAAAATTAAATAGGATGCTCATGTGATTAGACATGAACAACACAAGGAAAGATTTAAATAAATAAATAGCAGTTTGCCATCTGTCGATGTTGTTAACTTCAATCTAATTAATATCTAAGCAGAAACACCTATGATTTTTTAGAATGAGTATTTTTATCCTTTTATTAAAGTTCTCTTTTAGCTAAAATTGAGCATCACTTATTCAAATAGGCTAATAAAGGAGACCTTATGATTCATTTAAACGACTTTTAGAAATTTTTAAAATAGAATGAAATCTATAAAATCAATCAGTAAGAATCAATTAACATTTAGATCAAAAGATGTCATATAATAATTAGAGAAATTGAAAATGATTAATGTTACTATCAGAAAATTTGGGGATAGTGACCCAATTTAGTTTATTAGTCTTCAGTTAGATCATATCAGTTTATAATCATTATATTGGGTTTTATTAAATATTAGGAAGGATGAGATGACTCCAACCGATAAATTAGTAATGAGTAGAATTAAGGAATGCTATGGTTTAAAACTCAATATTTAAGATTGGAACCATTATTTGGCTGGATTCTATAAGTTGCAAAACTCTAATGGACTAATTTAGTTTAATGTAAAAAAATATAAACAGAATAAATGGATTGATGAAAAATGCATAATAAAAATGACTAAGTGTCCAATTGATTTAGTGAATAAGTCAGAAAATAATAATGCTTCTCTATCAGCATCTTAATAAATTAATAATGAATCATTACTATTATTTACAATAGAAGACAATATCAATTGGAAAATGATGGATGCATAATAAATGAGTTCCATTTATAAGAGTTAATGGAGATCATTTATATAATTTTTAAAAGATTTTTTTGACACCAATCTTACCTTAAATACAAGTCAAAACACTTAGTCATTTGGAGATTTAAATTAATCTGATTATTAGTCATAGTCATCCAAATAAAGTGGAACGCAATCAGTACCTACTTAAAAAAACTAAGATAATTCTAAGTGGATTAGAAGTGTTGAATCTGGATTACAAAATGGCCAAAAGAGTTAGGAATAATATCACAATCAAAGCTATTCTTCCAATGTTACATAAAAGTATTATCTGATTAATATAAATAGAAAAAGAAGTAAAAAGAGTTAAATTAAACCACCAAAATCTATTCAAAAGGCTATACCTGGAGGTAAATATGGATGTGCATAGCTTTTAAAATGTTGTGGTCCACTAGAATTAAGAGTTTGTTCTCTAGGTGTTTTATGTCTAATGATATAGGAAGCCATTAACAGGAATGTCCTAATATACTATAAAACCTTATTAATTAAACCAAATACTAATATAGCTTTTGATTTCAACGATTTCTTAAACATTTTTGATGATTAATTTTAAGATTAATTCATCCTTTAAAATATTTTAGGAAATGAGGAAAATCAATAACTTTCTGTTGATAAATAATAACAATAGCATGAAAAATAAAACAAATTAAAAGCTGTTCAATAAGCAATAATAGATATTCTAAATGAATACACTAAAGGTGTTAGTTTAGCAAGATTGCCAAAGATGATTTAACGCAAAATTTAATTTACATTTGATTTGCATGAACTGGGATTCACTAAATTGAAATGTCTAATACAAGGTATTGATGGGATTAGTATTATAAATGATGGGACTACGTATGCTTCACTTATTTTAGATGAGTATTATGATGACATTAATGATATGAAATAAGAATAAGAGGATGATCAATAAATGCAATAAGTCAAAATCGATCTTAAATATTTTTAAAAGTAATCGTTGTAATAATAACAAAGTTCATCTAACCAGTAGCTATAATAACAACAAATATAGCAATAATAATAATAATAGTAGCAACAGATTTAGTTTCTATCTCCAATCCATGTGTCTGAATATTAATTAAAAATTGAAGTAAATATTGATCTTAATTTATAGCAAGCCTTAAAATAAATCCTTAATTAGTATAGTAATGGAATTCCAGCATCTTAACTTCTACAAATACTTTAACTACATATTTAAAACACGTTTGAATATACACAATTTGGCTGTTCAACTTTTGAAGAATATATGGTAAAATACGCTGAAAACTATTGTGATGTCATGATTAAGATGAAAGGATGCATCATATATCCAAAGGGATATTCATCTTTTAGGTCTGCCATTCCACAATAGAAAATGCAACTTGGAATTCATCATTAAAAATCTCAGTCGACTACACTTCCAAGTTATGCTCAATAATAAAGTAATAGTAGTAGCTAAATTATTAAAGCTGATAGTAATTTTAGATTTATAATTTAGGCTTTTTAGCAGGTATGTAGAATCCTAGTCAAATGATTGGAGATGTGTAATCTCAATCCTTGACATTTCAATCATTTCAAACCTACCCTTAAAATAAAGACTTTTTTATGATTTAGGAAGAAAACAGTCACCACGAACTTGATGCTAATGTTAGATTTATAGAAGAACTATTAAAAGAGTCAGATGATGTAGAATAACAGAAACATAAAGTTTAGAGAAATCACTAAACACATTAAGACAGTAAATAATTTTAGAGTTTGGGACAATGGCCAAATTTAAATTCAAACGAGAAGAGATGCCATAACAAATACAATACTTATTAATATAGTCCTCAATAAGACTTTTACTAGGGATAAAAAATATCATTAGATCTTCACAGTTGGGATCAAGATAACTGATAATGTATATATATAAAATGATAATCAATTGATAAATATAAAATAAAGAATTATAAAAATGATGACTACTATTAATTACGTAAATGGAGGCTTAGGATGATCATTTGGAACTTCAAATATCATCCCACCATGTCTAAAGAGGGCTAATTTATTGAGTTTTTATTCTGCCAGTTTTAATCTTTTTAAAACAGTCTAAGATATAATTTAATGTTTTTGTTGATTTGAAATCGAAAGCATTGTTGGCAAGCAATAAGATAATTTCATTAAATATTTTGGATCAGATTCTTACAAGTATTCAAACAAACTTAGATATAAAAAGCTCATACCAACATTAGTGTAACTTTTAGTAAACTTCTTATTCAATTGAATCCAAATTATAATTTTTAGTAAAGATTTTTTCAATTGTAATTTTAATTCTATGTCTGATTTCATTCATCTCAATCAAATCATCTTCAAATGTGAAAGTATCCTCAATTTCTTCCTTGCCTTAACAAACAGGAAGAAATATTTCCTTTTTTTCTTTATTTCCAAATTGATCAGTGCTGTCGATAGTAAATCCTTCAAGTGTCGTTTACAAATGTTGCACTTTTTCCTAAATAAATGCGTATATGAATATATTATTATTCATAATTGAAATTCGATCAATCCTTGCCTTAAATTGGGCTTTTTAAAGTTCATTTTACAAATAAACTTCTGCATTTTAGAAACATTCAAAATAGTCATTGCAAGTCAAATTGCTATCTGTTATTTTAATTATTTGAAGTTTCAAAAATGCATAAGGAAATAGATCTTGCTTTGTTTTAAGAAGTATATGATTAGCAGAGTTAATTTATTATTATTTTTATTCATTTTGTTCTGGAGGTAGATATTAGTTTCTTATTATTGTATGAATTATTACGCTTACTTTAAAACTATTTGGGGAACTTTAAATATAAGATCTAAATTGTAAAATACTACAAAAACCTGCATAATGGGCAACGAGGCATTATACATAATGACTTGTACATGCAATCAAAACAATAAGTATGCCCACATGTTAGAGTTACTGGCTGACTAAATTACTAGCAACAAATTGAACACCGCAATAATTTATCAATCGCTTACTAATCCCACATTGGCTATTCTAATAATATTATACAAATTTGATAAATTAATTGTATACTATTTCAAATTAGTAAAATGCAAAAAGCATGGTGATTAAAAAATTTATCCTTTTGCTTTGTTTGCAACAGGGGCTATATGTTTATGTAAAAATATGCTAAACGGATAAGTAAAATGATATCTCTTAATATTATAAAAAAATGCTTTATTAAATAATTAAATGTTTAGTTTTAAGCCTGTGAAGTGGTTTTCTTCTCTTCTTTTATCGAAGGTAACACATATAAAGTAACTTTTGTTAGTTTCTCAAACCATACATAAAAAATTTTGAGTCTCAAAATATAGATGTTTAAATTTTAGATGGAGAAGTATGTTTGAAATAATTGGAGTTGAGAAATGATATATTGATGCAGTTTGGTATTGATATAGAAGTGATTGATTCATCATTTGGAGAAGTCAAATTGATCATTCCATGGAACAATTTAAAAACAAAAGAAATAAGTGTAGAAATAACAAATGCAAAAATTGTTCTATCTAATAAAATTGAGATGAGTGATTTTAATAAAGAGTAGTACAAAGACCATTTAGAAAAACTAAAAAGAGAAGTGTTGTCTAAATTTGATGAAGCCGTGTAGAAAGAAGATGCATTTTCAAATGGCTCATCAGGAAATAGCTTTTTTGCTGATTTTGCAAAAAAAATATTTGAAAAGTTTGTTCTCAAAATTAACAACTTAGACATAGTTTTCATTTATCAAATCAATAACTATGAAATTGTAAAGTTTGGATTTGGGTTTTAAAGTTTACTTATAAATCAAGATGATATCAAACCTAAGAAAGATGAAATTCGTAAAAAAATAGTAGCAGATAACATTTTTTTGCTATTTGAAGTATTTGATAATGTTCTCCCTTCTTAATTGCAACCTGAATCATTCATTCCAGATTAAAATTAATCAAAATAAGAAGAAAAGAAGGCTATTCATATTCTCAAGAAACTAGCTCTCAAAATAGAGTTTAGTTTAGTATTCTCTGAATAAATGGAGATAGAATTAAAAATCGCCACGATTTCTGATGTTCTCATTTACTTAAAACAGAGATAAATCAGATTATTATTAAGGGCCATGTAAGATATTGTAAATCATCGTAATGATCGACCGAAAGAAAAACCTAAATATGGAAAAACTGCAAAAAATTGGTGGGTATACATCATCAGAAGAGTAATTGAAAAAGAATATATTCGAACAAAAGTAAGAAAATAAGGAATCACTAATTACTTTAAAGTTTAATAATATATAGAATTATACACAAAAAAAATGTTGAAATAACATGATGCAAAAAGAGATAACAAACTAATGGGAGATTATGAATAAAAAAATACTATTTCTTAAATTTTAATTTTGAGAAGCATAGCGATAGATAAAATTCTTGAAATGAGAAATATATTGCGATCTAACAATCCAAAAGATCAAAAAGTTTAAAAAGAAGCCCAAGGATGGTTTAAGAGATTTTAAAATGATTTTAACATGGAACATGCAAGTAATTTAAAGTTTAGTAGAAATGTTATTGATTCATACTTATCCTTCATGAAAGAAAAGGAAAGTAATACAAGAGTTTCTATCATTTTGGATGTTAAAAAGATAAATATATTAATATAAGAGAATTAAATTCTGTAATAATTAAGAAATCTCCATTAGCAAGTTAATATATTTAAATAAGAATTAAATTAGAAAAAGTCTCTTTAGACAAAAGTATTGGATCACATTAAAAATAACTTTCTATAAAAGATTACTAAAGTAACTGTCAAATCATCTGAAATAAATAAACAAGAAGATTGGAAATTAGATGAGCTATTGAAAGAGAAAATACTTATTAATTTAGAAATTACTGAAACTAAATTAGAATTAGTAAAATAAGGTTAATTTAAATAATTAGTGAAAGCATAGATCCAAAAGTTAATCTTATTAGATACTAATAAATTCAACAGCCATTATTTAAAAATTATTGAAATTTCAGAGGGAATTAAAGTATTAATGAGTTCAGAACAATTGGAAAGATAAAAGAAGATCCTCGATTTGGACCCTTTAGAAAAGACAATATAGGTCTACTTAGATATTCAAGTGGGTCCACTTAGTATCACACTTTGCAAACCTCTTTATGAAAGATTGATATCTTTACAAAATTTAATATTTTTTGATAAATCTACTGTTCAGAATGATAATTAAGAACACTCAAAGTATTTTGACAACTTTTTAATTTTAACAAAAAGAGTTTAATCTAATACAAATGTCTCTTTTTCAATAAGCAGAATAAATATTTACTTGCCACTTTAATATTAGATAAAGACACAAATGTTATTGATACATTTGAAACAAATTAAAATATTTAAAAGAGAACATGAAAACAGTGTTGTTAATATTTACCCAGCTGAAAATTCTAATGGATAAGTAAGTTAATATCTAAAGGATTTAAAAACAAGGTAAACTGTTAATAGAGTAGCTTAATAAAATCAAAATTTAGAGGAAAACTAAAATTTAAAACCTGTGTACTTTTCAGTTGATTGCTTAAGATTAGCATTTGTATAGGATTATGATTGGGAGAATAAGGAAAATATTTTTAAAATATAATATAGGAAATTAAGAAAAAATGAATAACAGAACGGAGATCCTGGGATTGAAACCATTATTGAAACCACTATCCAATAAAAATAAGAATGGAATAATCCTAAAAGATGATTACTTTAGAATCAAACAGAACAAAAAGTAGAAGTAAAATGACTTTCAAAAAAAAAATATATCCGAAAACATCAATGATCACTATTTAATTGCCATTTTTGGATTTTAAACTTTCAACTAAGCATTTATTTTTAATATTGTAATTAGTTTCAATTTGGCAAACAAAAGGTTATGATTTTTATGATGTAATTGAAAGTAAAGTGTAAAAGTAGGAACATAAGCAATAGCAATAATATATAAATGAAGATTGTTAAGAATAATTGAAGGACTATATGATAAGTTAATTGTAAGTTGATATGGAAGGTCTACAATTGTCAGTTACTGTAAATACATAAGAGTTTTTAGAAAAATTGGACAAGACTAGTTGCCATGAAAATCGGCTTTTTCTGTTTTACTTTTTAAATTTAAGTTATTTAAAGGAAGTTAAATTCTATGACAGCATTCAGCACTTAGCCATATAGGAGTTAGCTTTATAAAATATTAACTGCCATTCTTATAATTTATAAAACCCATTGAAGGTTTTAGCTAAATAATTACTTAAATATTCGGATAGTGAAAAAGAATAAAAGATTTCAAGTTTTGGAGAAGACTTAGAAAGGGTAATGAATTAATAGTCTGAAATAGAATAAGTTGCAAACTCAAAACTAAATGAAAATAAATCAAACATAAAGAACTCTAACAATGAGGGATAGTCTCCATAACAACAAAATGATAACGATGATTAGGTGTAAATAGTAGATGAAATTCCTCCGGATGTGCTGTAAGAAGAAGAGGCTCCTTAAACAATTTTCTCTTAAAAAAAGGGACAATTTTAAGTTCCTTCTCCAAAGCATTCGTTTTTAGATAATAATTATCAAGAAGTTTTCGAAGGTGAACTGTACATTAAAGAGTATTTTACAGATAAAAATTGCTAAAAATGTAAAGAAAAACATAGATTATTACTAACCTTTATGAAGGTTCAGGATGATTTAGGTCCAGATGTATACTTTTTATAGACAAGTGATTCATAACGATCAAGAGTTGTCATAAATTTAAAATAATTAAACCTTATTTTGGATCCAGATATCATAAAGAAAATGAGATTAATATTTGATATTGGAAATTTGGCAGCAGAAGTGAAAAAGTAATAATTTACAAAATGGATGAGAGAAAATGGATTTTGGCCTGATTTCAATGAAGTTGATAAAAAATAATAGTCAGAGACTCAAACTTGGAGTACAATAACAAGTGATTTATTTTAGGAGACAAATAGAATTGAATTGTAGATTAATTAAATAGTGCTGATGCTAAACTATGAAGATTAAGTAGTGTATTTAATGAATATGAAATTTATTGATACTTAAATATCAAGTAGTTAGTTATTTAAAAATATAAATATCAAGATGCAACAAGTAAGACTATTTGATACAGCTGTTATTGGTGGAATCCATAGAACAATGTTAGAAGATTATGATGAACAGAATGAAAATCAGATTTAATGCTAAATTTAAATTTGTAATAATCCAGACTTAATAAGAATAAGAAAATACGCTACATATTGTGGAGTTAGAATTTAAAGAGCTAAGATTGTATTCTTGAAGAGGAACACAAATGAAATCTAATATTATTTGAGGAAGGTGCTCATTACATCATTTTCAAGTACTCTCACAAATGAAGACAGAAATGAATTGTTGAAAGATACAGAGACTTAAAATCTAAGCTTTACTACATAACCTTAAGAAGTATAAGTTGACTCTGAATTCGGGTTTCGATTTTCTTTAGTTGCCTTAGATTCGTTAGGGATTGGATATAGAAGTTCTTTATCAAATGAAGCTTTATACATTTAATTCAAAAAGGTTGGGTATTGGTTTAGTGGAATCTGGGGTTAATAGTATGATAACTTGATTAAAACAGGTTTATTTGATGATGAAATAGAAGAATAATAAAATATTAGCGAAAATTTTGTAGAGGCTAAATATTTTGAGGAACCAGGAATGGCAGAAGAAACAGTTTTTGAAGAAATAAATCATGAATAGTTGCAGGATGAGGAAAATGTAGATTAAAGAGTTCGATAAATAGTATATGTATGGGGTTTAGAAATTCGATGTTCTCCAGGAACAGATGTTAATGATCTATTTGTTAAGGCTCCAGAGGATAAAGTTTCTTTGGAATTATTTATAGACTTTTGTGATGAGACTCCAGATAAACTATTTTGCCTTTAAGATGTGAAACCTATGAGAAGTATATTTTTCATTTATATCTTATAGTTACAATCGACATTTAAAAGCTTAATATATATGCTTACGATTTGGATTATTGTACCATTTGCAAATTCTTTATGGATAATTTGGGAGAGTAACCATAAACAATAGTAGGAAACTATGATTACAAGGAAACTAATGAAAATATCTGGATGGTTTTGGACATTAACATCAATAAGGCGATTGCAAAATTTTTTAAAGGCACCAGAGAAGATTGTAGGAGATATTATTAATAAAAAGGAATATTATAAGATTAATTAGACAAGAATTTGTTGTACAAAAATCCTGCCTCAATTGCTATAGCCAAATTATAAACCTTAAATTACTAATTTATGATGAGAGAAAATGGAGGTAAATTTATGAGATTAAGTGTTCAATAATTGACACTTTCGGATTTTAGGAAATCATCAACAATGAAGCATTCAAAGGAAATTTTGTTTTCACTTATAGGGGATTAATTTAAAGGAGATGAAGATTAATCCATGTCTGATACTAAATAAGAAGAGTTTAACAAAATTCAACTCAATCCTGTAGATGAACTTGATGTAGAATAAGTAGAGTTAGAATTAAATGAAAAAGAGAAAGAGAAAAATAAATAAGTTATAATAGAATAGCAACAACTTACTTCTGCATTAGATATAAAGGACACTTAAAATGAGTAAGAACCTTAATCTCAAGTTACGCAATAATCATAAAATAAAAAAAGGGAAAAAAAAAGCAATTGGTAAAAATTTGTGACGTTCGTTAAAAAAACATTATGTTGTAAAAAAAGAGATAGGAGTAAAAATAGTTCAAAGGGCAAAAATAAAAATTCATAAGAAAATTTGTAGAACGAGAAAGAATAGTAGCAATTAATATAGGCTAAACTAGATTAGTTACTTGAATACGGACCAGAACCAATGAATTAAAGAAGGTGGCTAAATTTCAGGGAGAGATAAGTCTTACCAATTACTCTTGAAAATAACAATCACACGGATGATAAGGATGATTATGATTATTATTTTGGAGATGACAATCATGATGTTACCAATTAATAGTATCAAAAAAGACCATTTTAATAACAAAAAGAAGATTAATAGAAATAAGATCTATATTTTATCATGAAGACTAGGCCAGATGGAGAAAAATTAATCAAAATCAAACTTGAAAACAAAAACATTATTTTATTGATTGACTTTCTTGTTGAAGTTGTTCAATTTTTCAGATAACCATACAATGGAAGTGATAAGTAGCCTTATCAAAGAAATCCTCATTTTAACAATTTTCCACCAATGGTAATAGAGATTAATGTCGTAAATGTTTGGGCAATTATTTTAGGGGATTTAGAGAAGGAGAATTTTGAAAAATCAAAATCTATAGGTATTCTTTTGGATTGCAATTATTCATAAACCTGGTTAGGTGACAGTTGGTTTGGACCAGGAAGCTGTGAAAAAAATATTGAAGCTACTTTAAAAAAATTATACATATTTCAAACAAATCATATCATTAATTTAAAGTAGGATGAATAGTCCAAGAAATCAACAGAAAAACTAATATTACCACCTCAGCCTCCATTAAGAACCCTATTAGAACCTTTCAAGGTTTGTATCACAATGAAGTACTCAGTTGATTTCTATAGAAATGCTTTATTAAATTAAGAAATTTTCACAGAGCAAGGAATTTAGGTGAAAGAGTATTATACAGATTATAAATCGTAACACAAAGGTTATCAATCGAAAAATGAGTGGGAGATAAGTTTAATAAATTCTGCAAGACTGAAAAATAATTTTAGTCTTTCAATTAGAGATATTGCTGAATTATAATAAATCGTTAATATCTTTTCTGCCAGAAAATCTCCTGAAGATAAATACGCTTTTAAAAGAAAGCCTTAACCTCCAGATCCATTTATTGATGATTGTATAAATACAAAAAAGATCAATATAGAGACACTCAAGATTTAAATATTGAAAAACAAAGATGGAGTTAAAGCTGCGTAGTTTGAATTGAAAAGCTTGAGGATGTCAGATTTCAAAGACAATAAAAAGACGTAATTAAATCTACTGGCTTGTATATCATTAGATTACTTTAATAAGAGAAAAATGGATTTCGAGCCTTTCCTTGAACCTTGGAAATTCACTATTACAACCTTATCTTAAATTGAAAAACCTCCTGAAAATAAGGCTATTGATAGGGATTCTAATAAAATTACTATAGCAAATCATATTGAGAAGGAACTTAAAGGTGAAGAAGTTCCATATTATCTAAAAGATCATACAAATTCATTAAATATAAATATCACTCCTGCTTTAGTCGAAGTAGCTATGGAAGCTCTGAAGATTTACAACAAAAAAATGGAAGATGAAGAACCATATAAAATTTTTAATAGATGCGGATATGCTTTGGAAATTAGAGATATAAAAAAGGATCAACCTGTGAGAATTATATAAGAGGATTCAGAATATACATATAATACATAAAAAGAACTTTGGGCAAAGGATTTTAAGAAGCACAAGTCAGATTAATAATAAATGTTATTAAATTTAGTTGTTTTGAAACCAAATAATTTAAAGGAAAAAGATGAAGATGATGATGAAATTAAAATTGTTGATAGTATTCATAGTAATAACAATAGAAGAACTACTTTAGATTTCCCAAGCAAAAGTACTTAATCAAAAACTTTGATAACTTAAACATAAACATAGAATCAATATTAAAATATGAACTAATCCTCATACACAAGGAGTAGAATATTATTTAAATAATAAAGAAGTGAAAAAAATATTAGTAATTACAAAACAATTAAGTATGTTAATTTTGATTTTGTGGGCAAGAAATTTTATCCATTGGTGAGATAGCATAAGAATGAATAACAAGACCTTCATAGTGGTAAAAAAGGTACTTTTGATGCGTTTAAAACTAATATCGATAAAATTACTGGAGTTTTCTTAGCTGACAATAAGAAAATCAATGAAGAAAGGAATATCTATATTTAAGTCAATGTAAATATTAATCCTCAGAATGGATCAAAAGAAATTTAAATTTAAAGTACTGTGAAAATATACAATTATTTAAGTACTTCCTTAGAATTAGGTTTCCAAGTGAATGGTTAAATGAAAGAAACAACTTCAGTTAAACTAGAGCCAAAATAAATTTATATTGTTCCTTTAGAATTCCTGGAAAACAAAACAGAAGTAAGATTTACACCAGAGAAAATATAAAATCGTTAATAAGATGAATAATTAGAAAGAAAATATTATTAATTAGATACATTGTTGTGTGATTAGCAATCAATAGGAGAATTTGAAGTTGATAAGGATAATTCGATAGTTGAAGTTTTAGAACAAGCAACTCAAATTGTAACATCTTAAGGTAGATCAAATCCTGTAATTAAATCTGAGTTTAAATAAATTCATGATCCCTTAAATTATAAATATGATCACATAATAACCTCAATGAAAAGTAATATTAAAAGAAATAACTTTTATTTCATAATTAATTGCGTGAAAATAAAAAATTAAATCACCAATTAAAGGAAAGCAATGATTAATTTCAATGAAATTGGTGATTAAAAACCAAGTGAAGATGATAATGATGCCTGTTATGAAACCTATTTGATTTGTTATCCTATTTTTAAATTTACAAATGCAACAGTAAGAGATATCAATATACATTATGGTGTATTTTCTTCCAACAAATAATAATCCGAAAAATAACTACCTTATTTACCTGTATCACCAGATTAGCATTACTATTGTGAAACACTAGATTATCATGATGATATTGAAGTTTAATTTTCAATAAAAAACTAACCAAAAATTGATGGTGGAGATACATAAAATGATGATCTATTGAGAACTAAGCCTTTTAAAATATTTAATAGAGGTTTTGGTCTTGGAGAAGAGAACAAATTTTAAATTAAATTTAAGCAATAAAAAGGCAATGATTAATACCTGACTGTTCTAATTAAAAAAAGATCAACTAAGTCAAGGGAATTAGTATTATATTGTCCATACTTAATATTTAATGAGACAAATAAACTATTGATGTACAGAGAATATGGCTTAACTTAAGATATTCTTTCAGATGATTGGATTTATTATTAAAATTTTAGTAAAACTTATTAAAAGAATAAGTAAAAAAAAGAAATAGAGTAACATTCTTAATATCATAATTTACATCAATTTGCTACAAGCACAAATATGAATAAAATATAGGTTGCTATAGGATAATTAAATGATTAATAATTATAAGATATCTCTAAGTGGAGTAATCCAGTAAGCTTATAAAACAGCAATGTTCTAGAAATAATAGGATCAACTGAAATTTTAAAAAAAGATCATGAGTAATTACAGCCAAAAGATCGTAAAAAGAGAACAAGTGCAGATGCTAAAGGAAAATTTGAATTTGGTATGGCAATCACAAGTGGCCCTGGATCGTTTCATAGAAGCAAATTAATCACAATTACACCAAGATTTATAGTTCATAATGAAACATAGTATAATATAGCCATGGCCTAAGTAGATACTGAATATAGAGATAATAATCTATTGAGATTGAAGCCAGGAGATTGGAAATATTTTAGCTGGTCGAATATCAAAAAGCCTGCTCTTGCTATGATATCTTTTTATTAGGAATCAACTGGTCTTATATCAGGTTGGAGTGGGTATTTTAAACTATAGGTTTAAGAAATCTCATTAAAAATTCCAAGTATAAAGCCAATTATAAATAACAATAATTCTGATTACTTGTAACTTTATGTACTTTAGAAGGTTAATATAACATTAATGGATGATTTAATCTTATTAATAAGATTCATATTAGAAGATCCAATTATTCCTCCTTATTATATAGAAAATTTAACAAAATATGAAATTACTTACAAGCAACAACCATCTAGTCAAGCATAAAAATATCGATTAAATTAGGCTAATCCAATCATGTAAAATAACGAAATCAACAGAGGTATTCATCAAGTAATAGCTTCAAATCCAGTCGGTTCTCAAGATTAGGAATTAATATAATTTTCTGCTGGAGGAAATGAAGTTACTTATTTATAACCTGGAGAAAAAGTAGCTTTTACTTGGGATCATTGGATTGATGACAAGGAACATGTGCTAGAAGTTGAAATAGAGGGCTAAACAGAAAAATATGAAATAGATAAGATTCAAAACTTTTAACCATTAACATTACCTGGTTAATCATAAAAACGAAAAAAATTAGTAAATAAGAAATATCTTTATAAATAAGGAAATATATTTATAAAAGATTTGGATAAGCCAAGAGTATATTATTGTACTCTTAATGTTTTGAAATAAAAATTTAATGTTTATTCTTCAGATAAGAAACAGCATGAATCATATTATTTATAAGGAGCAAAAGTAGATGAAAGTAAGGATAATGAATTTGTATTAAAAATTAACCCAGAGAAAATGTTATCCAAAAACTTACATTTCCAAACTAAGACAGTTGATGAAGCAAATTAATGGGTAGAATATTTATGGAGAGCAATTTTAATTGATAAACCTGAAATGGTGGAATTAAAAATTGAGCCATCAAATTAAACTAAAGTAGTTACATTTTTTTAAAATAAATCAAATGACAGAGCTGATTCTCAAAAAGAAGGATCAGAAATTTAGTAAGAAAAAGAGGAGGACACTTAACGTTAATAATTTACTTGTTATAAGATTTCAATAAGTAATTGTGTAGGTATATCTATTATTGATGAAACCCCAAAGGAAATTTTATAAATCTGCTTTAAAAACATATAGGCTGAATATATTCTGATAGAAGAAGTTTAGAAAGACTTTCAATTAAGATAAAATTATGATGATGATGATAATACAAACGTATTAGCAGAAAAACCATAAATAAAATAAATAAAAGAGCATATAAACTTATCAATAGATTTAATTATCATTAATAATTAAATAATAAATTCACAATTCCCTGTTTTGCTAGCCCCTAATAAAAAGAAAATATTTGGAAATCAATAACCATTTTTTGTATTGACTACTTATAGAAAAGATCAATCATAAATAAAAAAGTCAAATCCGAGTATGAACAATGGAAGTAGAGTAGTTGTTAAGAATGAACCAAATGCTTAAGCAAACTAAGTTTAAGCTAATGATTAACAATAAAATCAATCCAAATTTAAGATTTCTTATATTCATACATTATAAATGTTTACAGATACTTTAGAAATTAGACTAGATCATTAAATTTTAGATTAAATAATATAGTATTATAATTTAATAGCAGCCATCATATGGGATAGTAATTTTAGTGATGTATAATAATCAAGCAACAGCCAATTTGGATTAGGATCTTTATAAAAAAAGTAAGAAGAATAATTGAAGAAGATAAAACAACATAGTATTAGTAAGATATATCTCAAAAATTTAATGCTAGAACCAATTGACATATGCTTTACTTTAAAGTATATATTTGATGTAATTATTTAGATCATCACCAGGTCACGTTATGAATTCATCATCTATAGGAGTCATAGCAGATCTGGGATTAACTCTCGCATCAATTGACAGTGCGAAAATTAGATTAAATGCTTTCAAGACTTAACATATCTTTGGATCAAGTAATGAAATTATTGGCAGAATATCTAAGCATTACAAAGGGTATGTCTATATAAGTATATTATTAGATAATTTCTAACTTAAATTTATAAATTGCTAGGATCATTTGAAATATTTGGGAATCCTGTTTCTCTAATTTCTAATTTAGGCACAGGTGTTATTGATATGTTTTATGAACCCATATACGCTCTTGTCACAGGAAAGAGTGGTTATAAGGTAGGAGAAAAATTCTTTACTGGAGCAGTAACTTTAATCCACACTTCGATTACAGGTGTGTATAAAACAGTTAATACAATAATTGGAACAATAATGAAAATTCTTGATTAAATGACTTTAGATAAGAAATATATGTCAGAAAGAAGTAATAGATTGAATAGAGCAATTAAAAATTTTAGAGAAGGATTGATAATTGGATTCACTAATTTCGGAAAGATTTTATTTCAAACAATAATTGGAGTTTTAGAAAGACCAATTACTGGAATAAATGATGGTGGGTTTTTAGGCTTTTTGTTAGGAATTTACTAAGGAATCATGGGAATTATAATCAAACCTACAGTAGGAATCTATGATCTTTTGATTACAATAATTGAAGGAATAAAAAATACAGCAATATATGAAGAACATATTATGGATACTCGATACAGACCACCAAGAATTTTTGGAGATAACAATCAATTAATCCCTTTTAATTTTAAGCATGCCATAGGTACAGATATTATAAGGAGATACAAATTAAAAGTTATTGATGGTGAAAGTATTATCTTTTTTGATCAACTCAATATATCAGATGGAGACAAGAAAAAATAAGAAGCTTAAATAGTTTTGACTGATTCAAGAATAGTTTATGTTTTGGTAATTTCTATTTTTATACTTTTAGTCTCATTCATCTATACATTGTGATAAAATAATGATTTATAAAATTAAATAGATAAAATATGATGAAAAGAAGAAATTGCTGAAGTTTAAGCTTCATACCCCTGTTAGAAAATCTTGGTTTTAAGCAAACTCAACAAAATATGAATTAAAATATGAAAGTAAGATCAAAGCCATCAAATTGTTTGAATAGATATAGAAATCTTTTAAAGACAAATATAATATTAAATTAGGTAGTTTAAAAGAGACTACAAATGATAAAAAATGATGAAACTTAATATATTTTGTAAAATATGTCAATTTAATTTACTTTGAATAATTTGCATCAGTTTCTTAGACAGGTTTTATGACTCAATTTAATTAAAATAATGATGACTCAGAGCATCCTTTACCGAAATTCTTTTATTTGGGTCATATTATAACATTTTGGATAATAAATCAATTCCCTCACTACTCATTTTTGGTAATAATTTATATAAGTTAACTGGGTCTCTCTTTTCAAATTGAATAACTTAAGGCAAATTTTAAAAACCTGGCCAATTTTTTTCAGTTGGATTTCCAAGAATATTTACCATTTTTGATAATATTTTAAGCTCACTTTCTCCTGAAAATAAAGTTTATCTGAGATAGAATTCTGCAAACACACAACCAATTGCCCATACATCCAAAGCTGGACCATATTTTTATGAATTGAAAAAGAGTTCAGGTGCTCTATATTACATAGTACATGTTTATGTTGTCATAGGCTTATCCTCCCATAATCTAGCTAAACCAAAGTCTGTTATTTTTAAAATGCCATCCTTTGTTATTAAAACGTTTTCAGGTTTAAAATCTCGATGTAGTATCATTTTAGAATGAAGTTCATCAAATCCCTATAAAATTTAGAGAAGCATTAATTTGATGTCACTTTCTTAATGTGATTCGCCAGTTTCTCTGTAAGATTAAATTATCTCAAAAAGTGAAACCATATGATCATAAACAAAACAAATTGAGCCAAATGTATCATCATTCCTTTTTTTTGAAGTTTTCATAAACACATGCTTAGGTATGTTTAAATTTTAGTGAATCATAGTATTCATAAATCTAACCTCACGTAGACTATCAATGTCCAAACCAACTTTCTTCTTTAAAGGCTTGAACTTTTTTATGACTACAAATTATGGATGAGTCTCTATTTCTACTAAGGAAGGAATCCATTAAAATATTCTTTTATTATGTATAGGTTTCTCACATTTACATAGATAAATCTTACCATAGGCTCCTCCTGGTAATTTTTTTACTTTCGTATAATGTTCATGATCTACACTTTGCATAATAATTATTTATATAATAAGTTTTAATTTAGGTTTGTAATATTTGTAGTTTGAATAGAATTTAGAATTCTTTAAATATTTGATATTTGATAAAATACATCAATCTATCATTTATTTAGTTGCTTATTTAAATCAGTCAAAGGAACATATCTCACTCCTAGAACATTTTAAATATTAATTTTCCCATTTTGATCCTTATCAATTACTTAAAACACTTGGTTTCCCTTACCAACAGGAATTACCATACGACCGCCTTTATCCAATTATTCTAATAGTTACTGTGGTATTGTTTCAGCTGCAGCCCCTACATGAATAGCTTAATAGGGGCCTTCTTACTCAAACCCTAATCGTCCATCTCCTCTTATAATTTATATTTGCTTATCTTTTAACTATTGATTATAAGCCCTATCTATTATTATTTTAAATTACTAGCTTAAATTTTTGATTGACTTTTCAACCAATTCTGGAACATGTTCTACCCCAATTACTTTTGATTATTATGATTTCATCATTAAAAACATTGCAGCACATAAATATCCACTTCCAGATCCAATATCAAGAGCTCTTACTCCATTTTATAAATGATCTTTAAGTAATTCCTAATTACTTAATACAATACTAAAGAATAAGCATGCATATGAGGAGCAGATATTGTTGCATTATAGCCTATTTATAATGGGTAATCTTCATAAGCATAAATCTTATCAGACTCATCAACAAATTATTAACGATCCACAGATAATAAAACTTTTTTAACAATTTCAGATTTAATAACACCTTTTTTAAACAAATTTTGCACTAATTTTTCTAGTTTATTATTCATTTAATTAATGGACATTGAATTTTAAATAAAGGAAAATAAGGTAGCGATACTTATCATTGGAATGGCAGGCACTGGAAAAACAACTTTCGTTTAGGTTAGGAATCAATCCATATTATTAGCAATTAAGCAAACAATTAAAAAATGAAAAACATACTTTAATTAATCTTGATCCTGCAGTTTATTCATTACCTTATGAACCTGAGGAAGATATTCGTAAATCAATTAATTATAAAGAATTAATGACTAAGTAAGTATCCTTCATCATAAATTCTAGAAATAAGCTTGGTCCTAATGGAGCAATCATGACAGCCCTCAATCTTTACTCACTTTAATTAAACTAATTAATTGAAAAAATAGAAAAATCAGACTCCAATATATAAATTATTGATACTCCAGGACAAATTGAAGTTTTCACTTGGTCAGCATCTGGCAATTTAATATCTTAAACATTATCTATGTCTATGCCTACAATAATATTTTATGTTATTGATATTGCAAGATGTTAAAACCCTAATAGTTTTATGAGCAATTTATTATTTAGTTGTAGTATATTCTACAAATTTAAATTGCCTATGGTTATAGTCTTTAATAAGTGTGATGTGGCTGATTCAAAATAACCATTAGAATGGTTGAGAAATTATGATTCCTTTACAGAAGCTTTAAAGAATAAGGATACTTATTTATCTACTTTGAGCAAATAAATGGTTTTGACTTTAGAAGAATTTTATAATAACTTTACAGTATTGGAAGTTTCATCATTAACTGGATAAGGTTTTGAAAAAATTAATGAAGTTATTGCTACTGCAAAATAAGAATATATGAACATTACTCTTGTGGATATTTAAAAGAGAATGAATGACTAAAAACAAAAAAATTATGATAAATAAATCAATCAGATAACTTAAAAAATTTAGAATTTGTGAATTATAGATAATCATTTTTTACGGTACACTCTTTCCTTTTCTTTTAAATCCAATATTAGTATATCTTATTCCTTTAACCTCTAATCCATCTAATATCTCAATCTCTTATCAATTTCTTATTCTAAAATATATTTAAATCATTTACATTTTTTTAAATCCATTATAATCAAATTTGATGATTCTTAATCTTTTTTTAACAAACTAATTTCGCTTTTTAAATTTTCTAATTCGTTGCATTAATCTCTTAAACTCATCTTATCATTTTCATATTTTGTGATTTCATTAAAATGTTTAGCTTCTAATTCTCTAATTTAATCCCTTTACTTTTTTTCTAATTCTTCCATTTAATCTTCATATTGTTCCTGAATTGCTATTCTAATTGACTCTTTATATTCGTTTAATTAAGATTTCAAAGCTATTATTTCTGCTTCTTATTAAATAATTCTTCTTTAAGCCTTATCAAATTCCTCAATTTATTCTCTAGCAATTTAAAATGAATTTTTCATTTCTTGAAATGTTAAATTTAAATCAGCCACACTCTTACCATCTTCTATTGTTGATTAATTTAAGAAACTTCCATGAAATGAATTTTATACTCTTCCATCTTATTCAGTTCTCAATTCTAAGATTTATTAATCCTTTTGATCAATTTCTTCCTAGAGTTTCTTGACTTTTTCTTATAATAACTATTTATCCGCTTTTTATTTCTCTAAAGATTTTGTTAGTTATTATATTTTTTCTAGTTCAGCATTTAATTTTAAATTTTCTGCTTGCTTCTCATGTAATTCATCTCTAATTTACTCATAAGCTTATTTCCATTTGGTCTTCTCTTCTTCCAATAATTTTATTTTTCGAGTATCTACATTCATTTATAATGAAGGTTATTCTTATTATTATTACAACTATTTGATTTCATCAATCTTGACTTATAATAATATTTTTGATTCATTTAATTGCTTCTAAAGATCAGTTATTTTATTATTCAACAACTATACAGTATTCTTTGAAAAATCATGAGTACTTTCTTTCTCTTTTTCTTTTTAATCCTCTACAACTATAATCACATCATCCTCATCTTTGGTTTAATTTAATTACCTATTTACGACTTTAGCAATTTCTTCCTTTGAAAATTAAGCTTTGTCATCTTTAATTATATCTTTGATATTCTCTGCCTTTACCTTCTATTCACTTTAAACTTCTTATTAAATTTAACAATTTGCAAACCAAGGGTGTTCTCTCATTTTTTGAATATTAAATCTCTTCTATGGATCTCTTTACAATAATCCTAAAACCAAACTCTTAGCCAAAGATGGGAAGTCATTTGGAAAGTTGATTTTAACTTTTAAAATATTATCCTCAAGAATCTTTTAGGATTCTTTTTGATCTTTAATTTATGAGGAAGGAGCGAAAGGTGCTTTTCCTGTTAATAATTCATAAATTAAGACTCCTAAACTCCAATGATCTATTTTTTCATCATGACCACATTCTAAAATCATTTCTGGAGCCAAATAATCTAATGTACCACAATAAGTTGTTCTTTAATGATTATTGATATTAGACCAACCAAAATCAGCTATTTTAATATGGCCGTTTGCATCTAATAGTATATTTTCTGGTTTAATATCTCTATGTATAATTGGGGGATTTCTTGTATGCAAATATTCTATTGCTGACATGGCTTCCTACATAAATTATTTGACTGTCTTTTCATCAAAACGACCTACTCGATTCAACTTTTACCATAATTACCCTCCTGTTGCACATTCTAAAATCAAATAAATATAATCCTCTTCTTCATAATGATTGTATAATTTTACAATATTAGGATGTTCTAATCCATACATTATTTTAACCTCATTGATGATTTATTAAGTCATTTTCTGTTGTTTTATTTACTTTTTGGCTATTTATTTCAGAGCAAAAACCATTTTTGTTTTTTTATGTCTTACTTTGAATACTTTTCCAAATGCTCCTTATCCCAATCCTTAAATTACTTCGAAATCTTGTGTACAAGCTTCTCTTTCCATTTTACCCTAAACTGTTGGTGAGAAAAAGAGTATTCTCTCTTTAACTTGGTTAATTACTAAACCAGTCGACATTTATTCTTCTGAAAATTTATTATTACATAATATATAATCATTAATTAGATATCAATAATTTTTATTGTATTAGTCATAATACAAAGTTGGACTCTAGGTTAAACAAAAAA